GGGAATTTGTCGATTTGGATAGATACAGGAATGCGTTAATAATTTTCTTAGAACTCATGGGTAATTCTGACTATTAAGTTTCTATATTGGAGGATGAGTTTGAGTCATTTAGATTCCTGGCCTGAAATCAGAAATGAAAGTTAATGTGGGTGTCACCGTGGGAGCCAGGCCTTAACTGAAACTTCTGTGACTGAAAATTAAAACAAACGTGAAACTGAAATTATGAAGAACATGAAAATATGTAAAATGCAAAGGTAGTGAGGGAGGCACATAAGAAACTGCGGAAGGTTTAACTTCTAAAACTTTTACTTTTGTCGTCTCACACAGGAGCTTTAAAGAAAAACTGGCTCCTTTTTTTCTGGAGAGAAATCTCAATTTCAGTGTGTCTGTTGGTACAGGCCTATCAGCTGAGGATTTGTAAGTAAAACTTTAGTCAAATAAAGCTCTCAGATTTATAAAAATCAAGAATTAAAAACATCAAGCAGAGCAAAAGCCCAGGGTGAGTGTATTGGGAACAGGTGGGTTGGTGTCTTTGTTGTCCCTTCTGTGCCATCCCGATGTTCTCTTGAATGGGGCGTGTTACACCTACAGGAGATTCAATCCATAGAGAACCACTGTTCAGACATCCACTAATCCACACAGAGAGCACAGCATATGCATATACACTTAGACAAAGACTCCTGCCAAATATTCAGTGTGTTTTTTCAGGACTCTAAAGTGTCAAACTTTTTTTCACAAGATGTTTTTGTCAAACTTTTACATTTATCAGTGGACATCAACCTCACAATTCATTAGAGGAGAAAATGCACAAAACAAATCCTGGATTTTCATTTTCTGTGAAATGACCTCAATTTTGGTACACACTTGTTTATAGCTGACCTCAAACCCAGTTTACACGTCAACAACTTTAACATGTAGACTTTGAGGGAGATGTATACAGAGTTTCTGTAATACATAAGCCCTACATGTCTCTGGTCACTGTTTGGCTCTTAACCTTGAATATCAGTACTTTTCATTGATTCATGAGGTTATAACTTTCATCTAAAGCAAGTTTTACCACATACTTGAACTTGGATGGAGAAAAGGCAGCACTTCTCTGTATAGTTGATTCCAGACTGCCACCTGTTGGACAGATTTATACCTTAAACTTCACCACATGCCTCTCATTATTGAAAGAAAACCAGATTGAAGTGTTGTTTGACCACAACAGCATTTTCCATAAAAATATTTAAGCATTTAAAGATGAGTTAATAAGAGTCACAATAAAAGGTATAATTTATAAAGAATGGTTGTTTTAGATGTGTTTTTCTAAAAGAGGCAATATGAAATATACTGTACAGGAGACTTGTACAAGAATTCTGTCTAGGCATTTGAAGCTCTCTTGAAATTTAATCTCACTGTATATATACTGTACATACATTATCCAAACTAAATTGATGGTGGATGAGGTGATGGGAGGAAATAACAGGCAGTCTGAGGGAAAACACCTTATCATATTTTCTGCTTTTGCTTTTAAATTTTTTCCTCATAGAGTGACGTATTGTCTTTCAGTCCAACAAATGAAGTTCCTGTTTTGTTTGGTAATTTAATCTAAGGATGAAAACAGAAAGAATTCAGAAAAGGCAGAGGCCTCTAACAACACAGTTCGAAGGCCACAGCATGAGAAAAGTGAACAAACGTAACTATAAATTACACTCCTGTTATCTTGTAAGAGCATTATCCTTCACACTCGGTGCTCTCAGTTTGAAACAAAGCCCAAGCAGAGATAAACAAGGACAAAACCAGCAAAGAGTTAACAGTTGCCTGTTTGGCCATGAGGGCAACAAAACCAACATAACCAAACGTTTTTCTCAGGACCTTTGACAAAAACTGTTTTTATTTCTTACTTTATTCTTATTTATCCAAATCTAATCTGGCCTTTTCTGATTTCTCTCAGTAACACATTGCCTTTCTTGTTGAAGTTGAACAGCACCAGCAGAGATGATATCCAACATCAGATTGAAATTTACAAAAGGCATAAGACAGTCTCCAGGACAGGTTGATGCTGATGTTGTTAAATATAGAGCCATACAATTCTAGTGATTTTCTGGTACAAATTTTATTCCTGTTTAGTGTTCTCCTGGTCATATAGAGTTCCACCTTTCGTGATGACAAGTGCATCAGTGTGAAAGACAGTAGGTATTCACTAAATCACAGAGAATGAATCCACGGTGTTACATTGTTTGCTTCAGTTACTGTCTGATTCCAGTATGAAGTTTGTTTTCATTTAACAGTTGTGTCTCAGTGATATAGAAATTTTGTAGAAAGATCAGAGTCAAGAGGGCCTGAGGATGAAGTTGTGTACTCCTCAGAGGTAATTGTATGTCTTTGGTGATAGTCATTTTTAAAAGGAGTGAAAATTTAAATATATATATATATATTTTTTAACTTCCATTTGTACTAGAATGCTCCCATAAAAGCTGAAGATTGTTTTGGACAGTTTTGAGAATGTAGCGCTAAATTCTTGACAGTCATATTAGGGTACAGGTTTTCAATCTCAAATTCAACCATTAACTCTTTTTACCCTGACAGCAGCAGCAGCATTTTCATACAGAGGCTACAACAGGGACCATAGTGTAGATGACACTTTTTAGTATGATGCATCAATTCTGCACCTTTTCTTTCACCTTGTTTTATCAAACTTAAACTGGCTAATCAATCAAACAACTAGTAATACACATATTTTACCAAAACATACACTACATTATTCATAATAAAAATCTAATTACCTGTCAGTGTTTCTTCAAGAAACAAAGTGGGCTACATATAAATAAAATATTAAAAATAAATTCTTCTCAGGGATATAATTAGTTTGTTAGCTCCACCACTGCTGAGAGATGTGTTTCTCAGTTCATATCCAAATATAGGACTGTAAAGTGAATAAGTAATACTTGCAACATACTGCAGTCTAAACTGTGGTATTGAACAACCATCATAAAATATTGAAATGAAAAGCCCCCAAAAGGCACATACTGCCAATCTGGCCTGTGATGTGGTGGTTAGCACTGCTGCCTTAATATAAATGGTTGTGGGTCCCAATTCAACGGCTTTCCTCACATATTTTTGAACAACCATAACAAAATATAGAAATGAAAGACCCCCAAAAAGCAGGTGCCTCTAGGGACTACCAGACAGACCTGTCACGTGGCAGTTAGCAGCACACAGGGAGGGTCATGGATATTGTGTGCCTCCATATGTTACTTTTTACATGTATGATGTAGCTATGAAAAATAATTCTACATGAGTTACTCGAGGTGATTTATCGTTAGACTTCCTAAGGTCATTTTTGGAGAATGCATTGAATTTATATTCCTCATGTGTGGCACAGGTCAAATTTCTTCATCAAGACTACAAATACTGCTGTGTACCGAGGGAAAAGCTCCACTGGAGAGAACATAATCTATGCATTTCAGATGATGTGAGAAATATAATGCTGTCTCCCTTTTGGCATTACTCTAAAGTTTACAGGGTGCTTCACATTGTTATAGTTCTTTAAGCTTTTAATGGGTCAGAAACCTACTGGGTTTATTGTGATAATAAGCTAACTGGGATAACGTTATGGGGCCCATTGTGTTATCTTTTCATAGAGTCCAGAATCCTGGGTGATGCCCCTTACTATAACCTTTACCCTTATTTACACAACACAAAGGTCCTAGACAAGCTGTCCCAAAAACTGCAGTCTTTGGCTCTTGAGGCTCTTCCTAGGTGAGTGGTGTCAGGTCTTGCCAATCACAAGGGTTTGTCTTCTATGTGGATGGTATCATTGGAATATTATGGATAGGTCTACACAAGAGGGCTGCCACTATACTTTAACTTCCTGAATCTGCCATCACCTTGGTATTACACAAACTGGACAGTTATTTGCATTACATACAAATTTTAGTGACTTATCCATATGCTACTGTTGATCCTAATCTTGTAATTGTATGAATATGGGATAAGAAATAGACAGAGCCTACTGCACAGTGCTTAAAGGGATATTCCGGTGTAAAATTAAGTTAGGGTCAAACACACCATAACACCGTGTTAGACACCCCCTCAAGGATGAATGTTGCCGACTGCTTGCTTCTCTAGTTATACCAACTTTAGTGACAACCGCAGGATAGCAATACACAGTGGTCTGAGGAGCCATAAACAAACTTCAACGGAAACGCTACTCCATAGCCACAAATAATGCTCAGAACGGCACCTAATTTCATCAACAGTACATATAGGGTCCTAGCCACCAAACATCTTTTTAACTTTGCCTAATTTCTTTGGCAAGGAGACTAAACACAACTCATCCTCTGTCTTCCAGCAGCAATTTGTTTGTAGCAAGACCTCGGGCCAGACCGCTGCGGAGGGACGCAGCTCAAGGAAGAACATTTATGATGATGCTCTTCTGAGCATTATTTGTGGCTATAGAGTGGCATTTTGGTTGAGGTTTGTTTATGGCTCCTCAGACCACTAACTGCTATCATGCGGTCGTTACTTAAGTTGGTAAAACTAGAGAAGCAAGCGGTTGGCAACAAGCATCTCCCGAGGAGGTGTCTAACACAATGTTAAGGTGCATTTGAGCCTTAATCAATTTTACACCGGAATATCCCTTTTATAGCTTGAATTTTTCATGGTATCCACCTACACTTTGGCAGAGGCCTGTTGATTTGGTATTATAAAAATTATGTGCAGACTGACAAGTTCAGAAGTAGTAATATACATCATACACCTTTAACAGTTCACTGCTGTCCAACCCAAGTGTTGGGTCTTTCTGTTGTCTTTGCTCATGGCCCAAACCAAATGAAGTGAGACTGGTGTAAAGGTTCTGCATAATACAGGAGTGAATCTGCTGTAACCTGCATACATGAAGTGTTTCATTAAAACCTCAGCGATCAATTTGAAGGAGAAAATAGTAATTCACAATTAAAGACGCGGGAGATACCAGGAAGTACAACAATCGTGGACAGGAAGTGGTGAATGTAGACGCTTCAGGCAGTCTGATTGGTCCAGACGGTCCCAGCGTTTCCAGCACCCTGGCTGATCTGGACAAGCGCTACAGTTTCTCCTCTTCTCTGAGAAGTTGGCACTGGCTAAACGGTGCCATCCCCGGGCTATTGAAGTTGGTGCACGCCCTGAATTCCCTGCGTTTGGTTTGAGAAAGGTAGGCTGAGACGCTGAACCTGCAGACTGAAGTACTGAGTCCAGTCTTTGTCCCATCATTCACCTCCCTCAACATGCTAACATAGCCTAGCCTGTGGGATGGTGCGCTGATCGATCGGTCCTAACCACTGCAGTGTGTCAGTCAATGCGGTTAAGGGTTTATTTTGACTCTCGGAAATGTGATTCTGCAGGTTCTGCTCGATCCCATGGTAACCGTTCAGGATCACGAACGTAGGAAGTCATAATAAACATTAGCTGGTTAGCATTAGCTACATCTGTTCTGGATAGGACCGGGAAGCTAACAGCACCCATGCTAGTAAATGGAAGCCTGCTCCAGAGACGCCACATCTGCTCGTGTTTACCACTATTATACGACCTATTGACTAGTCATAGTCTTAAAGTAAGATTATATTATTCAGTTTATAAATTTTAAATATATCGAGGAGTTAATTGTCGGGGAACAATGGAAGCTCACTCCAAATGCACATCTGTAACTCAGTCAGATTGTGACTGCCAATGAATTTAGTAAATAACTGAGAAACGTAAATATAAAGTAGCCGAAATTAGACACTAATGAAAGCATCTGAACACTCTCAAGCATTTTCAACATGTGGTTAACTGCAGGGAATTCTCATAGTCACATAAAAACATTAAACCATTGGTAAATACTGTAACTGAAACGTACCCCCCTCTACATTGTGTCTGAGTTTATTTTGTACCTATTTTTAATAAATAAATTTAGAAGTGGTCACAGTATACAAGTCTTGGTTTAACAATAAAAAATTATTTAAAAATAGATACAGTAAATACATGATGTAATGTTCAGGGTTTTTTTCTCTTGGCGTACACCATGAAACTCTCATGGTTAAAAAGCTGTGTTGTGAGTTCTGGTAATAACACCAAAAAATAGGTCTGTGCACCCCTTTTTATTGTATTTCCTTGTCATGTTTTGAAGTGAAGTAAGATGGTGTGGCCCTACTATTCCATTCTTTAAAGGGGTATTCCGGTGTAAAATTAAGTTAGGGTCAAACACCTTAACACTGTGTTAGACACCCCGTCGAGAGATAAATGTTGCCGACTGCTTGCTTCTCTAGTTATACCAACTTAAGTATTAAACGCAGATAGCAATACACAGGGCCATGCACTCAACCAAAAAGGCATTTCTTTATCATTTCCTTGAAGTAATAATCACCATATTAATCATTTTGCACTGTAGACGCGGTAGTTTTTCTGCCTTAGTGTTTTGGTCTGATTGCATTTCCAGACATGATGATAAATGTTCTTCCTTGAGCTGTGTCACCCCGCAGCAGTCCGTAATGGACTGGCCCGAGGTCTTGTAACAAGCATCTGTCTGCTGGAAGAGAGTAAGTGAGTTGTGTTCTGAGCATTCTTTGTGGCTAAAGAGTGGCCCGTGGCTCTCTGTATTGTTATCTGCGGTTGTTACTAAAGTTGGTATAACTAGAGAAGCAAGTGGTTGGCAACATTCATCTCTCAATAGGGTGTCTAACTCGGTGTTATGGTGTCTTTGACCCTAACTTAATTTTATACTGGAATATCCCTCTAAGTGTGACAAAGAAAGCTTTGATTTTGTTTTAGATTTGGTTTACATATTTTACATCCAAGCACACTCTCCTGCTGTGCTTAATGTTCTTGACCCTCTTCCAATAACAAGGATGCTCCTTTAGAGCTTTTATAATCAAAAACCGATGTAGAGGAGGCAATCTTATCTGTCGCCTGTCTGTTCTGGATGGTCAGCCTAATGGTGATCCTCAGACCCTTACAGTCCCTGGTGGCCTTGGTCTTCACCAACTATCTTGGAAGGCGGACCAAAATGGTCAGATTTTAAGGGCTAGGGCTGAGGTGGCTCTAACTTCTCCTCCTGTGTGCCCCATGTACATCACTTAAACCTTGTAGGAGTTGAATTCAGGGAGGCATGGTACTCCCATGGAGGTTGAGCTCAGTTCAGGGGTATGATGTCTAAAATGCTTAAGGAGGAAGATTTTCACGAGTTCATGTTGGCTAAACCTATGTTTGTTTGTTTTTTACAGGTTCACAATGTCTGAACTGTTTATGGAGTGTGTGGAGGAGGAACTGGAGCCGTGGCAGAAACAAGTTCCTGAAGTCCAGCTGATAGATGATGATGACGATGAGCCCATTTTTGTTGGAGTGCTTTGTATGTCATTACCTTTTTTTCTTTTTTAATATGTTCTTTTTGGCCGTGTTTATGAGCTCCAAAACCTCTGCATGATCATAGAATTTGAATCTAAATCTTTTTCCTATAAAAAATGTGATTTTATCTTAGCAACAATTTTATTTTCTTTGAGCTCAAAATCAAAGATTCAAAATATTTCGAATATCCTACCTAAATACGATTGAAAGGCAATGACTCAGAAATACTAAGGCTTTCAATTGATATCTAATAGTTGTTTTTTGAAGAAACATTTCACAGCATTTGCTGGCTTTTCTTGCAGCATATCGTATATTATCTTTTTAAATAGTTGCATATTTTATACCTTTTGTACTTCTCTGCAGCTAATAACCAAAAGGATGCCAAGTCTAACCCTCCACCTCAAAGAAACAGTGCAGGGAAACCAGAAACCAAGCGTCCTGCTGCTCAGCCAGCCGTTGGCCCCTCGCCTATAATGCTGCCAGTCAATGTAGCCGGAAACGCTGTCAATACTGCAGCACCTAACATATCAACAGTGACCCCGCAGCCTGTTATTGTCAACAACCAGGTATTTTTGAGTAAATGCCTGTATTTTCTGAAACTATGTTAACCATGAACAAAAACCTCTCAAATATTGACTTGTTCCTTGTCTGCAGGGTTTTATCGTCGCTTCTCCCAATTTGGCCAACAACAGGGAGCTTCTAGCATCTCTTGGGAACCAGTACCCTCCAGGGACTTCATTTACCATTGTATCAGGTAAAGCTGTATCCTGCATACCCCAGAGGAGTAAATCTTCTGTGGTGAAGTTGCGCTTTATCTATAATTTATACCACTAATGCCGCGTCTGTTGTCTTTCAGCCGCTCAGCCGCAGCTATTTCAGCAGGTCTCTCCAACCACAGTAATACCTGGTGCTGTCCACAGGCCTCAGGTGCAACAAATCAGCAACAACATAGTTAGACTGGCTAACGTCCGAAGCCCTGCAGTGTACTCAGCACAACCCAGTCCACTGCAACTCAACCTCTCTGGTCCACAAGCTCCTCAGACCTTCACTGTCCCTGTGCAGTCAAATAACATAAACAGAGGTGATTCCATGCAGCATTTACATGAATTTCTTCATACTTTTACATAATCAGCTGGTAAGAACTAAAATGCTATTGTGTTTTCCTCCAGTAGATCATAACTTTGCCAAGCAAGGAGCCTCATCACAGCAGGCAGAAAACACAGCAAAAAGACTCAAGCTTAATATTGGTATGTGTCTGCTGTTAGAGGTGTGTTTTGATACATCTATACCATCTCATCACAGATCCATCTCATTTTTGCGTGTTGTTAACCGTCATATTTAACTGGCTTTTTGAAGTGCCAGCAAACCCAGCAGTCTCAATGGAAAATGGGGATGTGAGGACGAAGTGCCCTAATTGTGATGAGGAATTTGCTACACTGGAGGCCCTGAGAAGTCACATGACTGTGAGTACATTTTATATCATGAAGTTAAAGTGACACAAATTGAATGAGATTTGTTTACATTTCCCCTTTTGATTATTTCCCCTGCATTCAAGTTTCTTAACCATGCACAAACATTTGGAGATCAGTCTTTTTTAATTCAACTTGCATCTTTGAGTAATCATTTGAGGTATGACTTAATGTCCGTCTTTCTTTGTTTTTTCAGAGCGGTTGTGTAAACATCCAAAGCATAGCTCGGGACACGAGTTCAAACAAGCGCATCATGCTTGTCTCCGATTTTTATTATGGTCGATTTGAGGGAGATGGAAACAAGAAAGAGACCTCGCTTAGGACCAATAACACGTTCAAGTGCCAGAGCTGCTTGAAGATTCTGAAGAACAATATCAGGTAGGATGTTGTGCTCTGTAACCTCTAGCAAAAATCCATCAGTTTTTCTTTCAGCAAATACAAACCCCCAAGAAACAAACAAGGCCCTGATGTCAGAAGAGTAGGGATGCTGTTTAAAACATTATCAAAAACAAAATTGAATTGTTTGCATTGAAGATGGAAAGAGATCCAGGACCAGCTGATGAGCTCTGTACTTCTCATTGAATCTTTCCAAACCAGTATTTTTGTGTTAGGTCCCAAGAGCAGCGTCTGGTGGCTCCTGTTTTCAAAGTCACATCAACAGAGTTATCTGGCTCTAGCTCCAGAGTGAGAATTTGCTGTGTTCTGTGTTTTTTGCACAAATATAAAGACTATATTTTTTAATGCTAGACTGTTGGTTTGACTAAAAGACATAAAACACAATAAATTAGTCAGACATTTCTGTCCTTACAATGTAAAAAAAAAATACCACATGGTAGTTACAGACCTTGTCTACTGCACAGAAGAATCAGCCCAAGCTTGCTCAGCAAAACTGTGCCTCTCTGCATTGGTGAGCATTTGACTGACAGTGTAATGCATAGATGTCAGTTCTGTTGAGGGACTTTGCTGGACAGAATCTCTCTAATCTCTCGGGAGGATTTTGTTTGGCGACATCCACTCTGCAAGTGGCAGTGATAAGTCTAATTGATGTTGTAAGACTAAGCGGGTGGTCAGACCAGAAGCAGTTCTGTCTTGACCAAGGGGCCCAACTTTTGTTTTTATGTAGCATCAAGTCATAAAAAGACAACAGAATATAGATGTCAGATGAATTATTGTCTTGTTCTTGTGGTACAAACATTTTTATAGAGTGTTGTTATGGCGAAAAGGCTGTGCGAAGTTAGGCTCAATATTAGTAAGGTCTGGAGTGTTGAGCCTATTAGGGCGGACTGATAAGGACTGAAAAAAGTTAGGTTAAAGAGCTCATCAAATCTCACAGAGACTGTCTCTTTTTTTCAATACCATAGAAATCACATTAATTACAGCAATAAGTAACAGTTACTGCTACAGTAATTAGCTGTGATTATTGGTAATGGACATGAAATTCTGCATTTCTTGCTGCAATAGAAAATAGGAGAAAAAATAAAATCAAAATATTGGAGGTTAATTTTTCATGTTACTTTTAACTGAAATGTGATTAACCCGCTGTATGAAGGCTTTTATCTGAGGCTGAAATAATGAATGAATTACAGGACGCTTTGATGGCTTTGTTTTGAATCTATTTTGTGTTGTGTCATCTGCAAAGTAGAACAGAGGAACAAACTGAAGTCACCTCTACAGCATTAAAATCTTGAAGGAAATGAATGCAGACCAATTTATGTTCCCAATAAAAGTAAGAGGGAGATGTTGAGGTTCAAACTGAAATCTAGCAGTTGCATTATCATTACCAATCAGTATAACTGTTAACTAATAGTCAATACAATCACAGTGTCTGAAAAAAATATAAAAAACTCCCTCAGATGGCTGCAGAGAAGAACTTGAAGGGCTTTTTTATAAGACATCTGTCCAGCACCCCTACAGTGACTATGGCTGTCCTCTCTGCAGTTTTCCTCTCAGATGGATGGCAGTATCAGACAGTTTTCCTCATGGGCCTCCAGATAAAAAATGGAGGCTGGTTTATTTGGCGTAAGAAGTGTTCCTTTTGATTAAATAACTCTACTTCAGGACAGTGCAAAAAAAAGCCTCTGTAAGCTGCTTTTAATGGGAAAACACATTTGTACCACAACCACGCTCTCATAGTTGAGGTCATGGTTCATCCACATGAAGATTTCTATTAGAGGAGCTGAGGCAGCAAAACAAGCATATTGAAAAATGGGCCGTCCCTCACCGGGGCAGCCATGCCAAGAAGCTGTGGAAGTGCTGCTTAGAGTCTGGGGGTAATATATCATTAAGCAAAGCCAAAATCTCTTTGTAATTGTCGATATTATAACGACATTATAGATGCTTAGATAGTAGGCACAGGTAGAGGGCTTCATTAATCTTTGAGCCCTTGGGACCTGGACCATTACCACTGAATATTTACAGATATAGTGTAATTTCCACATAGTTAAACAATTAACTTAATGGCTATATTGCTCAAACCTTTGCTTAATCGTCTGCATACGTACATCATGAATTCACTTAGCAGTGAATTTCATAGCAGCATTTTATATGTGGTAGTTTCTCTTCCTGAGGTATCTGCCATCCTTATTGACAGTGTTTTGATATCCAGTTTTTGTGTGGCTCACATACTCATAAAACTGTAAATATAAATCACCTAAAATGTGATCAGCGCAACAGCTCTCCTCAGAAAATCTCTTTTAGTGAATAACTTCCATTTGATAGAAATTTGTTGAAGAATCGTGAAGGGAAACTAGTGTGTTGTGAATTTTATCTGTAATTTTAGTTATTAACTATACAACTGCAGATTTTATTAGATGACAAATATAATAAGTTTGTGTAAATATTTCATTTTTATTGTTCTTCTGTACAGACAAACTTAATCCCCATATGTTTTAACAGTTAGTGGAATAAAAATATCATATACAAATCTGACTTCTTACATGTTGACAATACACCCACTGAATGATCAATTATCAATATAAATGTTGAAAACTTCAAATTCACATGTGACATATATTAGTAAATGATCATCTTGTTTTCTAGTGAGAAAAATTAATAAAGTAACCCAAAATCAGTCCGACTTGACCCTGCAGACTTGTATTGATGCAGTTGTTTTGGCTTTGTTAGTTGTTATCCTGTTGTTGAGGCATTTTTTTTAAACCTAAAAAAGACTAATCCCATCGTGAAAGACCAAATCCAGGCTGAGGATGTTTTCCTTTTTTTTCTTATTTTTTTTCCCTTTTTTTGGGGACAAAGATAATCCTTTAAACGGCCTCATTTTGTCAGATAGAGTTTATACTATGAAAAGCCACTCTCTGGTGTTAACTAGCAAATGTCTTGAAAGTGACATCGCTGTTTTGCGTGTCTGTTTACTTTTCCCTGCAGGTTCATGAACCATATGAAGCACCACCTGGAGCTAGAGAAGCAGAACAGTGAGAGCTGGGAAAGCCACACCACATGTCAGCACTGCTACCGAAAATATGGGACTCCATTCCAGCTGCAGTGCCACATTGAGAGCGCCCACAGCCCCATTGAATCATCCAGTATGACCGTATTTACTTTACAGCCTAACATGACTGTCAGACACTGATTGGCCTTTTATAACTTTCTTTCCTTTCTTTCTGTAGCCAATTGTAAGATATGTGAGCTCGCATTTGAGTCCGAGCAGGTCCTCCTGGAACACATGAAGGACAACCACAAGCCCGGGGAAATGCCCTACGTGTGCCAGGTCGATCACTTTGTACTGAGTCACAGTTGGCTTGAATATTTCCAAGAGAACATCAGTTGATGCTGATAATATCTTTGATTGTTTCTCCCAGGTCTGCAATTACAGGTCTTCGTTCTTCTCAGATGTGGAGGCACATTTCAGGAGTGCCCATGAAAACACAAAAGACCTTCTCTGTCCATTCTGTCTCAAAGTTCTCAAAAGTGGTCATGTGTACATGCAGCACTACATGAAACATCAGGTACAGCCCTTGTCAATGTGTCATTTTTCTGGTCTCTAGAGTTATAACAGGCCAACAGACATGCTTATTTTGATTATGTAAATCTAAAACTGATAAAAGATGAACAATTTGAGCTCACTTTGATTTGTACTTTAAACTACGATTCCATAAATTGATTAATCAGGCTTATTGACACGCACCTTAGCAGAGTATCTAGCATGCATTTACCCTCAGCTCCTCAAAAAAGCGTCAGACATCGTAGACTTGACTCTATTAAAAGTTCCATTATTAAAAATTCAAAAATTAAATCAGTGCCTCACTTTATATTGGACGCTTTCAATGAACTTAGGTGAAAAATCTCAACAATTAGCCTCTAGTATCATCCCTGATTAATGATGATATCTTTTATATTCTTGTATTTTTGTGTTTTAGAGGAAATTGATACATCGCTGCGGAAAATGCCGACTGAATTTCCTCACCCTCAAGGAAAAAGTTGAGCATAGGACTCATGTTCACAAGACTTTCAGGAAACCTAAAGCTTTGGAAGGTCTGCCACCAGGGACAAAGGTCAGACCACTCATAACAACACTAGAACGACATTAATTTCAGACTTTATTTGACTTTATTTATTTTCTTTATTTGAACTATTCCTGCGTTGGTGCAAGTTTAAGTCAGCTTTCATGCCTTCTGTTCTCTTTCCAGGTCACCATTCGAGCCTCCCTCACTGGGAAGACAACCTTACTGCCCACCTCCCCCGATCAACCTGGTCTTGTTGCCACTCCACAGAAACAAAGTTTAAATCAGAAAATCAAAACTCCCATCAACATCCTCAACCTGAAGACAAACATCACCACAGGAAAGGCCAAGGGGAATCAGAGGAAGCAAGATAACCGCATTAGCAAACACAACCTGATGCTCAGGGGTCTCAGGTTGTTAACTGCTTTCCTGCACAGTAATCAGTGACAGTACACTACTTGTTGCAGTCATTATTATAATCAACCAAGGGGCTGAATCTTAGTTACCTGAATCCTAATCTTAATTACCACTGACTTAGATTATTTAAGTCTGTCTATTCCCATAAAGGCTAACTTTGTTCAAAGTCTGTTTACATTTATTTACAGCATCAGAAGCTCAAAATTAACCTGATGGCAGCATCATTTGAGAAAGAGGAGAAACAAAAGTAAAAAAAAGAAAAAAACAGCAGGTTGTTGAATTAAAAGGAGATGAGCTCCTTAGACCTCTGTGGCCTGCTGCTTCGTCTGTCATGGGTTTAAATCCCAAGGGACCATTGGTTAGCCTGGTGCAACCTAATCTAATGCAGCCTGGTGGTGTAGTTGAATTGTTGGCAATGTAGAATACAGGTTTTGGCCCAGAAGGAGAAATGTAGTTCTGATATACTAATTTTAGAGTTATTTTTGAGATATCCAACATTTGCCCAACAGAGTTTAATGGCGAATTATCATAGCATTGGGGGAAAAACAGATGGTTTAAAAAATTTACTGTGTTCTATAAAATGCCCGGACATTTGGAAAACAGCTGTTTGTGTTAGTGACAGTGTTGCCTTTGCAGGCATTTTAGATTTAGTTTTAGTCTTAGTCATTTTGACGAAATGCTTCTTCGTTTTAGTCCCATTTTAGTCATTTCTATCCTTGATAGTTTTCGTCTAGTTTTAGTCCGAGGAAAACTCAGAAGGTTTTCGTCTAGTTTTAGTCGACGTAAAGGTGCCTTTTGAGGTTCGTGGTGTTCTTTCCCGACAGTTTGAAGCATGAGGAAGCTGTGGCTCCACAACTGTCGTCTGTCTCGTCTCCCCGTCCCGTGTTTTATTGTCACTTTTATTTTATTGTCACTTGAACTGTATCTGAAGTAGGACCAAAAATCATCCCTCTTTTTTCGGCCACCGGGCACCGCTGCTGTGCCTGCCGCCACGGTGTGTGTGTGTGTGCGCGCCTCGTCCACCTGCCGCTCTGTGTATGTGAATGAGTGTGTGCGCGCAGCTGTGCGCGAGCGAGGCTTTTGGTGCGTGTGTGATGGGGGCGTGACTGTTAGGACAAAAAAAAGCATGTTTTGAAACTTTGTTTGTCACCTAATAACAATTTAGTCTCGTCTCGTTCTCGTCAGACGAAAATGAATATAATTTTCGTCACATTTTAGTCTTTACAGAGCTTTGGTAACGTTCGTCTTAGTCTCATTTTCGTCAAGGAAAAAAGGGGTCTGACGTCGTCATTTAAGTTTTCGTCCTGCCTGACGAAAACAACACTGGTTAGTGATAAATCCTCATTTAAAACAATGGAATTGATTCTTGGGACTAAAAACAGCACATCAAATGTAATCTATAATCTCCTGCATGTTTAGCATTAGGTGCCATGAATCATCAGATTCCCCCCTGATCACTAATATAGACCCCCACCTCCTGGGTATTTATGACAAGAGGCGAGCAAATTGATAGAGGTTATTAAAGCCCGGCTATACACAAATAAGCTAGTTGTGTTTTTAATTAATTTTCCAGACACTGATCATTAGGCTGGCTGAAAATAATATGGCTTGACGCAGGAAGAGCGGGATTTCTTCCCTTTAAAAACTAATGAGCGGGATATTTGGTTAATTGGTCTCAGTAATCAAAGTTAAAATGCATCATTAATCACATGCTATGGGCTTTTAAGCAGATGAATCAAGAGACAATGTGGCATAAAGAAAGTTTTGAGATTGGTAAAAGTAAATAAGAAATAAAATACCCCAACAACAATTTTACTTCTCTCAAACTCGATAAAAATCTTACTTTACCCACAGACTTGATGTTTTTAATCATCACATTCATAATGCAGTGACTTATGTCTTTACGCTCTTTTCACAATTTCAGCCTCAAAGGAAAACGCCACACTTGTGTCGAGTGCAACTCACAAGTTGAGGACTTTTTCACCCACTTTCCGATATTTTCAAATTGCGGTGCATGCAAATATAAAACAAGCTGCAAAGTTGCCATTGGGAATCATATGATAAGGTAGGTTATTTTTGTTTGTTTTTTAATTGAAGTTGGACATGTGAAGCTTGTTTACAGGTGGATTTTTTTTACCAATGTTATGTCCATATTTTTTGTCTTTGTTAGGTTTCATAGCAGGATAACCAAAAACCGGATTTCAAAGATGGATAACAAGAAACATTCATCTACATTAAAGTACGTATACTTTATAAGTCATATCTGGATTACACATTAAGATCAGCTGTTCTCTCTGTCACTGAACATGAGACTCAGCACTGAAATGTCTGTTTTCTTTTATTTCCTGATCAGATCAACTCTGATCTGCGGCCACTGCGACCTCGTTGTTGATGGATCAGCAGGCGACCTGATGACCAAACATTTGACTGAAAGACCAACTCACGTTTGCAAAGTCATCCAGAACAAAGGTATGTTGCTTTCTTTAAACGACCCTCTAGGTATGACTAGCACAGAGTGTGACCAGTATCTTGAGAAAGCTGTCTCTTGTTTTTGACCCAGCAGATATGAAAGCCAAGGGTCGAGTGTGAGTAGAAACTGCTACCCACATCACATCTCGTCAGCCCTCTTTCTTTAATCTCTAAAAAAAAAAACACACATTCTTCTCCCGATGATCGAAAAACAGTTTCTAATTTTCCAGTGTAAATAAATTTGCATGTTTTTTGTTACAGGAAACAAACTTGTTTTTTAAATCATGTCCTGTATTCCCTTTCTTTGGTTTAGTGTCTAAGTAAATACAGGTTGTTAAATGTCATTATACATGTTGTGAAATATTGATCTGTTGTTGGCTGCTCATGGAAAGCACATTGCTAACAGCTGAGCTTTATGCAAAGGATGCTTTTACAATGATTTCCCCTTTCTTTCATGCAGACAACTCGTAATGGGACAGCCAGTAAAAGTTTTGTACCTCTTGACCTCAGCACAAGCTCAAAAAACAACGGAAAGTAACTCAAAACCAGTTGAAAGTGTTACATCTGGAAGCGTGTCTCCTGCAAAGTCTGACAAACCGGATCCAGAGCCGATGTTGCCAGCTGGCGATCAGGAGAAGGGCTCCACAGAAGTCATTACGATGGAAGGTTCCTTAGAGCAAACACAGCAGCCTTTGCAGCCTGATGTTTCATCTTCAGGTGCATCAGAGGAGGTTCCAGCTTTCTTAGAGGAGTCAGCAGGTAATTCAGAAGATCTCATGGTCAAAAATCAGCTGCCTGTTACTGAAGATGAGGCAGGGGAACAACAAACTGAATCAAAGTGAACCTTGAGGTAAACTTAATGCAAGTGAGACATGAGAGGACATCAGTTATACTGCCTCAATAGCAATCCTCTACTTTTTTTAACAACACACACTATCTAGTACTATACCCCTTGATAATCATGTGTTTGTCAAGCCAATTTGCAAGATGTATTTTATAAGAGATCCACTTTCTGTTACACCTCCTCAGCTCATGTAAATTAAAAATTTGTGTTTGAAAACTGAGAAGTAAAACCTTGTTACTGCCCTCTAGACTTTATAGTTAGAGAATACACATAGTAATACTGTAAAACGTTGAAAGGAAAACAGTCTTTTAGGTCTCGGCAGTTTGTTTGACTACAATGATTGTAGCTTATTGTACTTCTGAAAAGGAAACAACTAAGCTCTGCCATGATCCTTGTCAAAAGTTGACTGACTTTTCAGTCAGTATATTGATTGCTGCACTCAACCCCGTGGCCCAGAATGTACATGATCACTTTGTTTTTTATTGATGTAACATCAGATTTTCATGCTGCCCTTTAAAAAAATAAAAAAATATATATATGATTTGCCCCTTAGTTTAGCTTTTCAAACACTGTATTATGCTGGTATCATTTTTCAGTTGAAGCTGAGACTTGTAGTTGGTTTAGGATTTTAAATCAACAGTCGTGTGACCAGTAGATTTGTGGTTTTCTGCCTTAGTGGGGCATGCAAATCTTCTTTTAAAAATAAAACCTTGGCAGCTCACATATGTTGAATTTGAGATTGCAAACAAAAAAACAAAAAAACCCACAAAATTACTGAAATGTAAACTCTATTTAAAAAAAAAAAAAAAAAAAAAAAGGTCTTGGTATGTTGCAAAAAAAACAGGTGAAGTGGTACAGCTAAAGTAAGCAGTGACTCTTTTTGTAAATCCCAAAGTAAAATTTTTCTTTCCATACATAAATATACTTAAACGATGAACATCACAATACTAGATTATAAAAAGATCCAAACTCTATTCCAGAGAAGAGGGTGCTTGGCTTTGAGAAAATCAAGGGCATAGGGAGCATTAGCTGGAAAATTAAAAAGATTAGAGGAGTCGTTGAAAGGTAAGTTGGAGTTGGACCCAAGTGGAAACCATTGCTTTGATTTTAACCGTGTTAAAGAAATACTCATCTGTAATCTTTGGTGGAGAAACACAGCATAGGAGTCCAACCCCATAACATCCGTCAATCATGTCTTGATGTCCAATCTGGATGATCAACCTACCCTTTCTTTGCATACAAAGTAGGATACAAAAAGAAAACTCCACTCTGGCTCCTTATATATTATGAAACCTGTTTACTTTTTGTGACTAGTATCTCAAAAGTCTTTAATTTAGTTTGTTTTTTAAAGGGAAATCCCTCATACAGCATTGTTAGAGCAAGACTGTAATTGCATATATGTCTATGACAGCACTGTAAATGTAACCACTCTGAGTCTGTTTTAATACATTCCTTTAAATATATTGTGTTCTCTTAAGGACACATGTTCTTCAAAGATCTATACACTACTTGGTTTGTAGGAGTGTTTTCTTGATTGCTATGTAAATAAATCTTTACTACAAGAGATCTGGTACTTTGTGTTGTATTTTCCTGGATGGTGCTATCTGAAGGAGTTCCAAGCTCCGCAAGAATGACAGACAAAGTGTATTTTGTTTTCTTAAGATGACCTGACTTTTGTGGCAATTGTATAACAAAAAAACAAATAAATGAACTAAAGTAGCACCTCAGTGTGGTGGTGAGATTTGATGCCTCAGGATGAGAAGGATTTGAGTCCAAATCTCTGTACGGTGCGTGCTATGTAGAGTCAGAAGCACAATTTAGAACTTGAAAGTGCGTTTTAAATCATAGCACTCTACAAAGTAGTATCTAATTGTTTTGAAAGAAGTTCTTCCCTCCTCATGTAGTTTATGCTGTGCTGTTCAACTACCATAATCAAACAGTGACATGAAAAGACCAACAAATTCAAGTACTACCGGGCCCTCCTGTGGTGAAGTGGTATATATACGGCCTGTTAGTGATAAGATTTTTGGTTCAAATCCTGGATTGATTTTTCTCATGTGACACAGGATAGAGACACTATTCTCACATTACAGTTTTTACTGTTTTGAACTCGCATAATCAAAAGGTGATATGAAAGAGCTAAAGCAAACACTGCCTGGCACAGTAGTGCAGTTGTGAGACCTGCTTTTTCTTTATGCAAAGTTTAAGGATTAAACTCGGAGCACAGGCTTTCCATATGCAGGAGGAATAAAAAGCTTTACTTACACTAGAGAGTTTTGAAAAACCATTACAAAATGCTGAAATGAAAACATTAAAATTGCCATGTCCTTGCAGCTAAACCTGTGGTGTGGTAGTTATGGATGTTGCATTTGAGTGAAAAACTCCCGTGTTTAAATCCTGTCCTGGGACTCTGTGTGAGGCAGAAATGTATATTTTCTCACTCTGCAGTTTCAACCCAGCTTTTGAAACTGTGAAATGATTGGAATAGATAAGTGATCATTGTCAGACAGGCCTGCCTTTGAATGAAATGGTTCTGGGTTAACTTTACATTTTTTTTAAAGCTTTATTAGCAAGTTACAGCACATTTATATAACATTATATATATTATAGATTTTAATTTGTAATATATACAAGTTAAATCCATTTTTAAAAAATGCGACAGTGAAGATGGACTTCTCGTCACAAAATTAATAGATTGATGGTTTGTTTATTCCACATTCAAAAGGAGTACATTAAGCATGTATATGGACATGTTCTCATGTGTGACCTATATGTATGCACATTTGGATAGAGTTCATTGTTGTTATTGTTGCTGCTTTTTTACTTTTTTTATTCATTTGCTTGTTTGTTTGTTTGCTTACTTTTCTTGTTTTGTTTCTTTGTAATGTGCATGTGGGATTCTGTGCTCTTTATTTGTTGGTATATAGATATGTTTATTTTATTTTATTTTGTTCTTTTGTTTTTTCTTTCTGTTCTGTGTCCCTGGGGAGTGATGCACAAGAGTAGAGTGATGGGGAGGGTAGGAAACTATGCATTTGAAAGAAAAAAAAGCAAACAATTTTCATTTTTGGTTGTTATATCAATATGAAATAAAAAAATATGTTAAAAAAAAGAAGTACATTAAACAAACTGTACTTTTAGTTATAATCTTTAGTTTAGTAATATCCACTCAACTTTGCTTTGAGCACCTAATTTGTACCGGACCTGACGTCATTGCCAACGCTGATTGGTTGGACGTAAGGCGACGCAGTGTTCCCACGACAACGAAACGCCAAACAGCCGAGGGAATTGCAGACCCCTGAAGCCACTTTGGCATGCATCGTTATTTCAATCAAAACTTTTCCTTAACTATTTCCTTAAAAGTTACTTACGGTTGAGACTGAGTGGAGGTACTTGTAAAAAAAGAAAGAAAGAGAGAAAGGCGGGAACCGACGACTGGTACAGCAAACATGGTAAATACCTGATACTCAATCCAAGTTAGAGTCAACGTTAGCACACCTGCTACACAGAGTAGCGTAGTTACCAGGGTTACATGAAATGCACTTTTTCTGTCCCTAATAATGTTGAATGTTTTTGTCTTCTCTCCTGGGACTTGGGAAGAGTCATCATCGGACCTACAACCAGCAGCAGCAGAGGTTAATGTTGAAGCGCCAGGCTCAGGAGCAGCACAGGGTGGAGGAGGCCCGGATTGTTGACAAAGACAGGCAGCTGCAGGCCAGTGTGCGGGAAGAGGAGAGTTTTGAGAGGAGGAGGTACCTGCGACAGGTACATGAGGGATACAGGAAGAAGCAGGTGGAGATTGATCTTCTGAAGGTATGAAGCTGCTGCTCTTGAATATGTTCACTGCGACAGAGACCAACACGATACTTTTCAGTTTTTTTTTCAAGTTTTCCTCAGATATTCATTCATACTGTACAAGACACTCTAAACAGCTTCACCTTCTGTTTTGTCGGATTTCCCTCAAATAATTCACAATGCCTTACAGAGGATCATGTCTTTGAAACAATACCTATATATACCCCTTCAACTTTTTCACATTTTGTCACTCTACAACCACAAACCTAAAAATATTTTGTTGAGATTTTTTGTCATAGACAAACACAAAGTAGCACATATTTGTGAAGTGGGACGAAAATTATACATGGTTTTCAAAAATTTAAACAAATAAAAAATCTGAAAATACAAATGTACACCACAGTTTTCAGATTCCACTTCACAATTATGTACTACTTTGTGTTGGTCTTTGACAAAAAATCTCAATAAAATACTTTAAGTTTGTGGTTGTAGAGTGACAAAATGTGAAAAAGTTGAAGGGGCATGCACACTTTTTCAAGGCACTGTACATCTCTACAATCAGCATCCACATTATCTTTATTAAAACCTGAAAAGGTCACTAAACTGACAAACTTTCTAAGCACTGACTGTTCTTTTTTTAACTTTTTTTTGCTGCTTATTATAACCTTTGTTTTTCCAAAGGGGGAGGAATCTTAAAAAGCCATTGTGCGGCCTCTAACCTGGCCGGCATGATGTTAAGCTCTTATTGCTGTCTATTTTCATGAAATTAAAACTTCACCAAAACTGGATGAATATTTCATCAGGAGAAACCTTAGGCTAAAAAGATCATCTTTGTGGTCTGTTGTGACTAGTCTGTAGGCAAAAAGTCTCTTCATTTTCATGTGATAGTGCACAGAAAAGCCATTTGATTGGTCTAGTTTAAAAGTATCAAACTCTGGACAAAGTCGTCTTTCACAACTCTTTGATGTGTTATCCAGGCATTACCACTACACTGAGTGATCTAATCTAGAAATGTAGATATGACAGTTTCTGAAATCATGCAGGCAGAGGAGGAGAGAACAAACAGAGAAAAACAACTAGAACAAGAAGAGAGGATAGCCAAAGAGCTGGCCCGCATCAACCTCGAGAAGCAAAGAGAAGAGAAAATGAGGCAGCACATCAGAGAGAACAGGTAAACCTGTCCCACTGCACAGGACGATGTGTTAATGCAACAATTCTTGTCTAGTGTTGTCTCTGCCGTTTCTTCCTCTTAAGGTCTGTTAATTTTTAAGAATCTGTTTAAACACTTTCAGCAAGGAGCTTCGAGAGTTGGAGTCAAAGCTGAAATCTGCATATCTGAACAAGGAAAGAGCTGCACAGATTGCTGAACAGGAAGCCACGAGGTCCGAGACAATGGTAAGTGCCACCTCAATGAATTTATCACAAAACAAGGATCCTATTTTTTAAAATCTCTTTGAGCTACTCGGGTTTTCATAATCAACAGTTCTGTTGGAAAAGGCCTAATAGCTTCATGTATTATGGCCCAAATGAATGAATGTTTTAAGACATACAGATGGGCCAGCTTAAGACCTGAACAGAAAAACAGAAGTATGTTCTTGTTTGGCCTCACAATGCACTTCAAATGTCAAAAAAAGAAAGAAATAGAAGGTGAAAATTGTCGGAACAAAATCATATGAATTTAAAATCACAAGCTTTCCATCACATGTACTTTTTTGGACAGCGTGAGGAGGCAAACTTTGCTCGTGTGATGAGGCGAGAACATGAGCGAACAGCTGCTGAGCAGCGGAAGCTGGAGCAGGAACGCCAAGAGGAGGCGGCCCAGTATCAGAGAGACCTGGAGCGGCAGCTGATGGAGAGAGAGCTCAGGAGACAAGAGGCATACGAGGAGTTCCTCAAAGAGAAGCTCATGGTGGATGAGATTGTTAGGAAGATTTATGAAGAGGATCAGATGTGAGTGATCATTAATTATCAATGCTTGAAAGTATCAAACTGTCCATACTCGACTTGATTCATTTTAGTTTCACGCTGTCATGTTTGTTTTAATTGATACTTAATGTTGTGTTCCTTCAGGGAGAGGCAGCTGAAACTGGAGAAGGTCCGAGCTACTCAACAGTACATTGAAGATTTTAAGAGACAGCAGGCTGAGTGGAGACGCATGGAGCAAGAGCAGATGGAGGCAGAGAACAGACGTATCATGGAGTTTTCCAGCCATCAGCAGCACATGGAGGAGGCCAGGATGGCAAAGCTGAAGGAGCGTGAAAAAGCGAAGGAGCATCTGCTGAAACTAGTTGAGACACCACTTTCAAAGACTATCTGTTGGGCTTTTTGGATTTTATTTTCGGGGGAGGGGGGCTCATGCTGGGAGCAAGAATTAATAACCTGTTTGATGAGGATTGCATGAGGTGCCCACTCTGCCAAATGAGTCAAACCAGCACCCTGTGACAACGTTTTCTTTATTTTTATGAAGCATCTTTTTTATTTGTTTGTTTAATGAGATTTTGTTCTTAACTGGTCTTTGTTTTTTTCTGCAGCTGACTGAGAAGATAGAAGAAGAAAGGAAGCAGCATGAAGATATGGAGCGAGTGCGCGAGGAACTTTGTTTAGAAGAACAAGAAGAGGCTAATAGGCTGAAAGAGATTGTAAGTACAACTGTTTTACTGTCACGTTTCTAACCATTCACAAGAAAGATGTCTGCTGAGTTTACACCAATAGTGGTTCAACAAATAATATTTTATATATAGTCAGTGATAAACAACGAAATATCAGTTACTGTTCAAGCTCTAAAAGTGAATGAACATTTTTATTGGATAAACGACCCATTAATTCATAAGTCAGTGCATCACTGGAACACAACAATACTCATATGCTATGTCCCAATCTGCATTTTTTTAAATTACAGTCAAAGTTTTAAAATCCTGATTTATAAAGAAGTTATGAATAATTAAGTCCTCATAATTACGTGAAAAGAATTTATGTGAATCTTTTTCTGTTTACTATATTGAGCTCTTTCTTAATGAACAGTACCTTTTTAACCTCAGAGAAATTCACCAAGCCTAGTGTTCTCCTTGGCTTGACTTTATAAGTGACTCTAAATTTGTTTTTCATACTTTTGTCTCTCAGGAAGAGATGGAGAAGAAAATCAGACAACGGCTGATGATGCAGCAGACATACCAGGAGCAAATGGCTTTCAAAGAGATGCGGAGGCAGGCAGAGAAAGAGGAAGAGGAGGCCTTCAGGAAAATGATGATGGCAAAGTTTGCTGAGGATGACCGCATTGAGCAGATGAATGCTCAGAAACGGCGCATGAAGCAACTTGAGCACAAGCGTGAGGTTGAGAAACTAATAGAGGACAGAAGGCGGCAGATTCAAGCAAACGTGGTACGGGACATAATTCATGTGTGCTTTATTACACTGAGAATAGAGTGTTTCAAGTGTAGTTTAACTGTCACTACCCGTCATGCTTGCATTGCACTGTTGTATGAAGCAGGTCTTAGCATGTCATGTTTAACACTTGACGTCTTAAATACAAAGATTCATTGGCAAAGGTTTACCAACTTAAACACAAAAATAAGGCAACATATCACTCACATAATATTTTGCACAACTTAGCTTTGAATTCAGTGCTCCAATCACAGCAGTGATCTCTTATGTTAAGGAACTGGAGGCCAAAGAAAGAGCAATGGAGCAGGAGAGGGAGGCACTGCGCAGACGTATAGTTGAAGAAGAGAGACAGCGACTTCTAAAACGTCATGCAACAAAACTCATTGGCTACCTGCCAAAGGTATGAGGCAGTGTTTAAATCTTAATCATGCAACATGCATAGACATCTGCAGCTGAAATAACTATGTGACCATAACGCCATCCTTTCCAGGGTTTGCTCCGTGAAGAAGACCTCGAGCACTTTGATGAAGACTTCAGAAAAAACTTTCAAGCACGCCAGACAGATCTCTTCTCTGAAGACAGCTGGGAAAGTGCTGAGTAAATCTGAGAGCTGAAATTCTGTGGTATGCCACTAGATGGCAGATTGAAGATGACTGTGAATTTAGTAGAAATCAAAGTGACCATAAAGTTCTTAATTTTTAAAATGTATTCATAAAGCACTTGTTTAACAATCATTAACAACAGAATAAGTGGGTAAAATGCTTTTATTTGGGTTGTGCTACAGGGCCTTTAATAAAATGGTTTTAAAAAGACCTGAGATTGTAAATTTCAAGAAACCCCACGAGCTGTAGCCTTAGACCGTCCACCATGAAGATATGAAAGACAAAGCTCTCCGTTTTTATGGCTGCCCCCAGTCTAGAGCTTTCATGAACTCGTCTTCAGTGAACGACAGCAGCTTTGCAGCTTCAAAATGCATCTGCATAAAAGAAAGAAAGAACAGGTTTTAGGATGACAGACTCTGAACAGGGCGCAGATTAACATGATATGGAAAAGTTTTTTACCTTTTGTCTTTTGAGGATGTCAATAAGCTTGAGCTGTTTCTTGAAGCCCACAATGAGCTCTGATTTCTGTTTCTTCAGCATTTTGTTCTCAGCAAGTATGCTTTCTTTACTCTGAAGTTCCTCCCTTGACTTGTCCTTTAAAAAAAATAAAGATTGATATTAGTAAAAAAAATAACTTTGGACTAATCATTTAAATTTAGTTGATCATTCTGTGTAAGGTTTGAGTTACAGATCTTTTTTTTTTTTTTAAATCACAGTATTATAGTGTGGGCATATTGTTTTTCCTATTATTTTTCCTATTAATTCCTGTTCTTCAGATCAATGAAAATAGGGTTTTAAATTCAAACAGTGTCCAAATTTTGTTAAGTATGTGCATTTATACGTTCATTACTTGGTTGTACCATAAAGTTCTGCGTCAATGCAGGAGACAATGAGCCTGTGGCACAGCTGAGCTGTTACTGAAGCCCAGGTTGCCTATTTTTGGGTTGGGTATTTCTCATCTTCCTCTCGACCATACTTCATCGATTAGATTAGTGGGATTCAGGTCAGGCTAGATGGCTGGCCAATCAAGCACAGTGATGTAATGGTCAGCAAAACATTTGGTAGAAGTTTTGGCACTGTGGGCAGGTGGAATATTCTTCTGGGAAAAAAGATCTCCGTAAGACTTGTCTGCAGATGGAGGCATGAAGTGATCTTTGTCAAGACTTTAGGACCTTAATTTACTGATAAAATGAAAAATGTGCTTTTTTTAGTTTAAAGGGGGACTTGGGACCACTGAGCAACAGTCCAGTTGTTTTTCTTTTTATCTAAAGTCAGACATTTCTGACATCTATGGTTCTGGAATGACTTGGTCATTTTGAGAAGACACTTTTAGTGCCTAACCTGAGGACATCCATGCTTGAAAGCTCATTTGGCACTTTACATTTTATAAGCTACAGGTCATATTTTTCAATAATTCAAGAGAAAATGTGTGAAACATTTAAGTTCAAATGTCAAGAGTCTAGATTATATACATTTTTTAATTAAATAAGTGACAGAAGTATTTAATTTTTCACAATATTCAAATGGATCTGTAGTTTCTGCTTGGGTCTGAAGTGAAGTCTTCCTAAGATATAAAGTTCTTTGCATTTTTAAAAGAATGAAATTATAAAAACATAAATATATTGATTGTTTTGGCTGTTTGAAAGATAACAGTGAAGAGGAGCATACATTTGACAACTCTAAGATTTACTTACCTTGTTCACCTGTGTCATCTTGCTCAGTTGAGTCTTCAACCTCTCCACCTCTTCCAAAGCTCTGTTGAGACGAACTTCCACATTACCATGGGTAGCTGCTGCTTGTTTCTGGGCTCTGTTTTGATTTTCTATTTCCTATACAGAGATCAACCATTAAGTCTCACAACAGAATATCACACGGGTGATGGAGGATGGTGAGAAATCAAATCAGGGGTTTCTTGCTCAGACATAAATGGACTTTGCTCACATACCTTGTTTAAAGCTGACACTTGCACTTTAAGACCCTCACATTTTTTGGTAGACTCTTCTGCTAAAATTCGATTCTTCTCAATCTGTGTTTGCTGAACACTTGTTGTTTTCTGCAGTCTGGCTCGATCCTCCTCAAGCTCCTTTATTTTTGCGCTAAGCTTAGCATTTTCATCATCCTGCAGCAGCAGAAACACAAATTTATCCTTATACAATATCTTCCATCAGAAACTTATTTTTCAATTATCCTGACAGGTAACGTGTGTTTAATTATTGTGCTGAACTTTATGAAAGTAGGACTTACAAGGACAACAATGATTATTTCAACATACAGTTAATTTTCATCAAGAGATACGTGTCAAGTTTGTTCCTAGCCTTTGCCTCCATCATTTCATGAGTCTTGTCTGTTCATCTAAAGTTCTGTCCTCCTCTGCTGATGTGCAGGTGCAACGACAGCTACAGTTATATCATTGCATTGGTGTATATTGTTTAACATTACCTTTTTGTAATATTCACAGGTGACTTGATCCAGTTCCTCTTGCATAATCCGTATTTTTGCCTTCAGCACTCGCATTTGAGCATCAGACACACCTAAACAAATCAGAGTAGTGAGCACTGATAGCTCTGTTTAATGTAAAATTCCTAAATGGCAAGATGACACAAAATCATTAGTAAGAATATTATAGATCTCTGGAGTAATTCTAAAACACAAAACAGCTTTTTGAATTTCAAGCAAATAACATGAATGTAAAAGAAATGTTGAACAAATTCAAATAATTCAGTTTTCACTATGATGGCAGACAAGTTTGGGTTTTATTTTCTAAGTAGAGCCACTAAAACTACCTGACACCAAATTGTCTCCCACATCATCCACAGCATTTTCCTGGTTGACTGTGTCCTCTTTCATTCTCTCCTCCATGCTTTGGATTGTCCTCGCCAAAAAAAGGTCATCGGAGTATTCTGCAGCTGCTGCAGTATCTAGCTGAGTCACCTTTGGGTCCCTGAAAATCATCAAACAATGTAAAATCTTTCATAGCTTTATAAAGATAGTTTAATCAAAACTATATTTGATCAAATGTGTGATTGGGGGAGAATGATTCTCATTAAAAATAAACATCTAACTCACACCATGTTACGGTGAGGCTCTTTTCCTTTGTTTCCTCTAATTGTCTTTTTTGATGTTGTGGAGGCCCCTTTTTTGGTCAACACCTGCAAAAGAAGATGACAAATTCTATCTGCATCATGATTTCCAGGCCTGCAGCCTTGAAAAATGGTGTCAGTGGATAATATTTATGTTTTTTCAAGTGTTAAATGATTTCAGTCCAGTCCAATACCCCAAAACTGATACCTTTACTGTAGGTTCTTTTGAAGGACACTGATGAGGCACTTCCATGCTGCAGTTGAAGAGATGGTTAGATCCAAATGTCAAATATGTAGAGGTTTTGTTGGTATACTTCAATCTTTTAACTGCTTTACAATAAAACAATATCTGAATGACCGGACTAAAGGCTAAAGTGTTACATTCTGATAAAATTAGACTGAAATAAGATGAACAAGTAAACAACCTGCAGTCTTTTATTACCTACAACCATCTTCATCCTCAATGTCTGAGAGCAGGAGAGTAGACAAAGGTTTTGACAGGACTTCATTCTGTTCTTTCTGAAAAACAACAGATTTTTATGGAGCAAGTTTCAGAAAAAAAAATAGAAAAATAAAAGAGAGTATTTTTTCCAAGTAATTCATTTAAACAAAGTGATAAATTACCATAAGTTGTTCTGCCTCTTTCAACAGATCTGCGTTTTTGCCTTCCAGCTCTGCATTGAGGCGTCTAAAAATGGAGAAATTTAACATCAAATGGCATTTTTCTATTTAAAGGGAATTTTTAGTTACTAGACAAACACATCTACTACATTTCATAGAAATATCTATTCAGGAATTTCATGTTATTTACTGGAAATGAACACAAAAAAGCTAAAGCAAAGAAAAGATACAGATCGAAATAGAGTATACAGTTTGTATTACCTGTTTTATTTATTTCCCAATATGTGGTCTTACATGTATTGCTCTTCTTTGGCAAAGAGGTCATCTGTTTGCTGCTTAGTCGGACCAGGGGCAGATTTGACCCGAGGTCTTTCTTCAATCACTTTGGAGATCTCAGCCTTACAGGTCGAGGATGGGCGTCTCTTTGACTTAAATAAAAAATAAAAAACAAACAAACACCGTTTATTAAATCTTCCTTTTCTCAAAGCTTGACTTGCAGGAGTTGGTAGGACTATACTGGCTACTTCAGAAATATTTTCATGTTTATGTAAATTGAGACGTAGCATTAGTAGGTTTTATTATAGGCCCAACCGATTGCCCATCGTGGTGCTCCTAGAGGTGCTAAGACGTCCAATTGTACAAAAGAGATGTTTGCTTCTGTAAGGGTGAATAAAGGACATTAACGCTTTAAAACGGTATTGGTAAAACTGATATGAAAAGTAAAACCAGATTGTGAGGTTGAAGCAAAATGACAAGTACATACCAGTTTTACACATTTTTAACCACCCATTTTGCCTTCGTTCTACTCTATCCTTTGAATTTCCTTACTTTTACACAACAAAACATTTAGTACAACAGGCCAGGCGGTGAATTAACATCAGTAGTCTGTTAAAAGAAGTTAGCCTGTTCACCTGTTGAACTAAAGTCAAACTGAATCGTTTTCCAGTCGTACACAGACACACACTTCTTTAAGTCTTTGAGAGTCGAATATGAAAACAACCTTTGAGACGACAGGCCGGGAAGAAGGGACCTTTTTATCACAGTTTTTTCCAGCCATCCTCATTCGAAGAAGTAACCGACCCTGGTCGCATGGCAACTGATTCCAAAACACTCATTTGGTACGGAAGCCCTATGGGGACATTTAAAGGCAAAATTTAAGCGAAACGCCATCCCTATACTGTTTATTGATTCGCGGTGGAGAAGACCTAATAGATTCAGTTGAAAACAAGGTACTTTGTATTTTGTTATCTGGTACCATATATTTTGTAAAAAAGTAACTCTTGATTTTAGTTTATGTAAAAAAAATCCAGTGGATAGCCCACTTTTTTCATATCTTACTTTTATCTCTTAGGGTGTTTAGTATATTTAGTCTGTATTTCTGTATTTATTGTATATATTTAGTATATTTAGTCTGTATTGTACATACTTCTTCTTATATTTAATTTTATTTTGTGTTTTTATTGCTGCTGTAACATGAGAATTTCCCAGTTTGGGATCAATAAAGTCTATCTATCTATCTATCTATCTATCTATCTATCTATCTATCTATCTATCTATCTATCTATCTATCTATCTATCTAGCATATTACTTACACAAGGCTGTAAAGTCATTGGTTGCACCCTCACCTTATTAGTTTGGTGATTTTTGTATTTCCATTTTATGTCTTTTTTTTTTTCATTCAAGTTTATTGTTGTTGGATGAGTCAGTTATAGTTCTGTCTCTTATGTATTTGTTTCCACCCTGGTGCAAGTGTATTAAGTAATAAACCAAATTCTCTGCATCATGGGCTTTCTGGGACCCACTCGGGAAACATAGACAGCAGGTAATCCATTATAAAATAAATAAATAATACATTGGTGAGACTGAAAATATCAAAAGTTCGATTGTTCTTTGAAAATATTTATTTTTGTTTTCCAATAATGTAAAAAATATCATATGTAGTGACGCGGACAAGATCAGCCAGGTCCTTCGCTTACATGTTGTTTTTAACGCTGGGGGTCTTAATGCGCATGCGTTTAGCCAACAGCTACTACTCAACATGCACATGCACAAAATCCCATAACGTGAGGGGCTCAGCGCGCTGCAGGGACGGGCTAGTTGTTTTTAGCTGTCTGTGTACTGGTTACACCCGTATTTATATCTATGCATCACCTGGCGTCTGAGGGCGGCCCGTAGTTTTCTTACACAGCCTCTTTAATTCATCAAGTGTCCGGACTTAAAGCGAGCGATGTCGGAGGAGGACTGGGCGGCAACAACAACAACAACAGGGCGCGCTGCTGCTGCTGCTGCTGTCCCATTAGCATCGCAACGTCCTCTGGTCCATGTCGCTTAACACTGCAGGGAGAGTTCACCCGTCCACGCCTCCCATCCAGTCCACTCCAGTGCAGTCCGGTCCCAAAGCCCCCCCGGTATGGCCGAAGAGGACCCCCAGCCGCAGCCGGACCAAGGGGCGACGAGGAGCCTGCCCGGCCTGCTCCTCCCCGGGCTGCAGGGCGCTGAGGCCAGTGCCCTGCAGCTCCGGATCAAGAACTCCATCTGGTGAGGAGTCGTTCATCTACTGCTGTGTGCAGCATTTGACACTGCTAGAGCACTGTACATTACATGTAATGCAGTGAGCAGGTAGATTATTAAATCACTGCTGAAAGGGTTACATAGTTCAGTACAGGAATATGCAATACATGCATCCCAGTAGTCCCGCATGCAAACGACGTTTTAAACAAAATATTAAATCATCATGAACAAGTATAGGAGACTAACCGGCTGTGGTTGGCCACTGTTTAAGCAGGAGTTGTGTAGTGAAGGCAGTGAACTGCAATTTTAAGTGGCTAAAATCACGGTGCAGAGAATGATCAGTAGGCTGAGTAATCTGGCAGATTACTTGTATTTTGAAGTAGACCAATACACTAATAATAATAACCATTAAAGATGGCTGGACAGAAATACAGAAGCCCTTAATGGCAATATTGTAATGAGCTGATATCAAGAAAGGTTAATATTAATTAAATTTGTTCAAGGTCTGTGATTTTGTTTATTATTTTTTTTAATTATCATTGAATTGTTGTATTATATCAAATAAAAATAGACAATAACGCAGTGATACCAGCATTATATAATAGGTATTGGCCTACCTGCTTTCTAGTTAAGGATATAAGCGATTGAAAACTGGCATTTGCTATTATTGTTAGGCAGATGTCAGGTAAACGTAATTGAGTAAAAGCGCTATCTCCTTCACCAATATTATGTTTAACTATCAAAGAGTAGTTCATGGAGGTACTTGGCCAATAGTGTCTAATTACAGTCCTGACTCACAAACATTTCACCAGAAAATATCACTTTAGATATTTATATTTTATCTATTTATTTGTACCATGTTGCCTAGCAAGGAGTCCAGAGCATAAACACTTTGTCTGATGATGTCTTCAGCTGGTTTGTCATTTTCCATTCAGGCTGAGGGGTGAAGGAATGGCACTGAGGGGAAGTGCAGCACATAGGTGGTGAACATAGGTGAACTGATGTATCATGAATGTGTAGAGCTGGGCTGGCTTTGCTGACTAAGCTGTCTTTAGTTTTCCTTGATTAATCTTATTGATCAGCTCCGTCTTTTTAAGATGTTGACAGTCCTGAGGTACTTGTGCTTGACTTTCAAAGCTTTTCAAAAGCACGAGTGACCGCCACTCTTATCCAAATGTATTTTATTTTACTATATGAGTAAAGTTACAGTCTCAAAATGCTGTTCAGGTAAATATTTGAACTAGAAAAACAACACAAGTCTAAATATAAATGAACCCCTAATATTAATCTGGTCTTTAGTTACAGTAATTTATGCCTAATAGGTCTGTCAGATCTGCCTCTTAATGTCTTTTCATGAATAGTTATTGGTTTAAGGCACCATGACAGTAAAACCACATTCACTCTTTCTGACTGCTTTCACTCAAAGTTCCCTCTATTTCTATTGACTAAACACTCTAATTATGAATGAACCAGCTGTACTCAGTGACTGGACAATTGACTTGACTTCTCATGCCAAATGAAACTGTGATATTATTCTGTTTACCCAGATTACTCTCATTTCATTAAGTAAAAAAAAGAGTTTACTTCACTCAGATGCCTTTAATTACTCTTAAATATTTATTTTCTTTTGCTTCTGGATAAACCAACAAGCTTTTTTACTGACATAATCAAAGCTAAATGTTTTTGGTTTGTAATCATACTTGGCTACAAATGAATAGAGCACATGAAATTATCAGCTTTTGATAAAGAAGACAAGTATCAGTGTTAAATTTATGGAATAAAAACGTAAAATTGAGTCAAATAAGTAAAATGCAAGGACTGCTGGAAGAGTGTTTGAGAGTCAAGATCAACGGTATGAGAAAATGACAATTTCTTAAACAACAGTTGTGTACCCTGTCCTTTGTTTATGTTATTTAAGGCCATGAAAGTATCAGGTATCAAGAATCAGAAAAAACACCATTACTTTTACAACAGACAGCAAAGAAATAGCTGAACAACTAGAGAGCATATCAGTTTAGAACTGAATTTTATTCAATCGAAACCTCAACATCAAATTTCTCCTCATTATGTTGGGATATTGACTTTGTCCCTGAGAGCATAGTGATGTCTCGTCATCAGTGCTGAGACACAGGTGAGCACTTTCTGTCTAAATCAACAGGGGGTAACACCTAAAAAAAAGCTTTTTTATGACCAACAAATTGATTTAATATTGATAGTTTGCTTGATAATCAGTGGGGACGGTTTGATCCTCTGCCCAAAATATTGGGCGGCATGTTCCTACCAGTCATGTGGATGTGCACACCTACGTCCGTGGTTAGTCCTGTCCCCAATATCTTTAACCCTTAAGAGGATTAGATCATGAATGTTGACGTTCACCTTAATGACCTGTTTCTGAGACGATGGTTACAGCGTGAGACAGTCTGAGGGGTTAAGATGTCCATAATCATAACTTGAAAACAAGTGATATTGAAGAGGGAGCTGATTTTCATTTAATGAAAGGCTGAATTTCCTGAGTATATAAATCCCACAAGGTGATAACAGCATCTCAGTCTTTCTTACGTTTTCCAATCTCAGTTTCAGGTGTTGTTGAGTTTACCTGGCTCCCAGATCTGCTCAGAAACAGATTAATGACGGCCTTTCCTGGACTGGGAAATCCCCAGCCCCCCCTGGTAACAGTGAATTACAGGGAACTTTTCCTGTCATGGGCTTAGAGCGTCCCCTGATTCTGACCTGTCTAAATTCAACCTGCCTTCTGTCTTACAGTCAACAACAACTTGACTTGTCTGCCACTTAAGACCCAAACAGGCTTGAATAGGTGTTGTGTGTATCCGGTGTGACTCATTGTGGCTCTTTCATTCATTTGCATCAGTCTGGAGATTTTGAATGAGTCTCCTCTCTTCATGCTTTTTGGCCTTGTATTGCACATGACATTAATTGGGTTAGATTAGTTAGTTTACACCTTGTCAGAATTTCATTTGTGCACACTACCTATAAAGAATGGGTGTGAAAAGCCCTCTAAATAATGTTAGTTGTGTTGTATTATGTATGTTGTTAATTGTCTAATGGCTTTAGCATAGATGAATGGTACAAATTTTCCACTTGTGGGACAATTAAGTTTATCTTATATTATCTTATCTTACAAACTTGAGGAGACAGGAGTTTTTGCATATCTACAAATATGTTGCCATGAAAACAAAATCTTAAAGTAATTGAGTGAAATAATTCTGCCAAAATCTGCTATCTAGATCCAATTAAAACAGTGTCAGAAAAGATGTGGAGTAGATTTACTGTTTGCCTGCTCATGAAAACTCTGTCCTCTGTAATAAAAGTCCATCTGTCAAAGACAATGTTACCACACTGTCTCTCTCCCTCCCTCTGTTTTTACATATGACAACATATGTTCCTGGCGTGGGATATATGACCTGAGAGATGCTGCAGGGAGGGTTGACACATACCAAACATTCCTCCGCTTTATAAATAAATACACTTTAGACACAAGTCCTCATGTTACACCAGCTTCATACTAATTTATACTTTGTCTCTGTTTTTTCAGCAAATCCGTTCAGTCAAAGGTGGAAAACATTTTGGTGAGTATTCTTGACATGTTTTTCCCCCCTAATACAAGAATTTTAATTGAACTTTTTTTTGGCTGTTCTTAACATATAAGTTTGATTTGTAAATAATTTGTCGTCCCATCGTGTAAGAATGAAATGCTATTGTTTCATGATTGACTTGTGTGTTTTTGGTAATATCTTAAAGTAAGGGGCACATCAATCTGAAGCAGATTACAAGCATCAGCCTTTAAGGAGTTTTGCTAGTGGAGTCATTTGGCACATTCAAGACTCAAAAAGTCTTTGGGGTTTCTTTACTCACAGAGTGTTCGTTTTTGTTTATGTATATTTTTCTGAAACAGAGATGGTTTAAGACTTGTTAAGATCTCCCAAAATGGATTAAACTTAGAAATCACAGTACGTAAGCTCAGTGTGAAGTCTGTGAGAGGGACCGGTGAATTCAAGGACACAGATACTGATGTGTAGTGGGTCTCCATGAATGATGATGAGGGATTAACCTCTGACGGCAGAGTCAAGAATAGGTCAGATATTCTTTCAGTAAACCAGGGTCATATAGTCGTCTTTCCTATCAATGGAGTACAAATCAGAGTAAGGCAACTTGAATTACCCCCAGAGAGAATACCCATCTCAGAAGACTCCTCATAGTGAGAAAATCTTTGACAGAAGATATCATGGCAAGCTTATTTGCTGATGATAGATCAGAGCTTTTAAGATACAGTTGAATCCACGAGATCACAAAATTAAGAGTTATCAGTTAAGTCACCATTCTTTACAATAAAAACAAGCTGCTCTCGCATAGTTAGCTGAAACCAGAATCACAAGGTGTTTGTGGCTGAAAATTCACTGCAGTAATTAGTAAGCAAACAAACTAGCAGGACATAATTGTTGAAATAAAGTTTGATTTGATTTGATAATTAATGCCCCAGTTGTTGAGGTCAGATATTCTTTCAGTAAACCAGGGTCATCTAGTCAAATGTTAACTACCCTTTCTATTCTTGTAGTGATGAATAATAGCACTTCTCAAGGGCATCAATCTGAGTCATGCACTGATGAAATAATGATTCACTTTTATAAATGTGAATCAGTCTGCTTCATGGAAGGCTTTGCATTGATTGATAATAAACAGAGGGCTCAGACTGGTTGGCTACATTACAGTGACAGTAAAACTCAAGTTATAGCATCCAACCATTACACTACTTGGAGCAAAAATGAATAGCATATGAATGAATGAGCTTTACAAGCTTGTGAAACAGCCCTGTGGGCTTGAAGGAAACGTCCTCTTCGTTTCCTGTGTATTTTCTCACATGTGGCAGAAATTGACGATAAAAAGCTTGAATCTTACAAGGGTTGATAGTGGATTTTGTTACCTTCTGTGCCAAAGCCAAGCTCCCTCTTTTGTCTTATTCTTCTAGCTAAATATGCTAAACGAAGCTAAGCTAACCATCAGCTGATTCCAGTTTTGTTTTCAACAGATTGAAATGAAAGTAGTATTTTGCACTCTATGTTACATGTCCCTGGACTGCATTTCATTTCAGCCCCGAATCCTTCACAGACCTGTAGTGGTCTACTGTTGTTTATCGACACCTTTGGCTGTATCGTGATTGATGATCGTGAAGGACAAGTTCTAGAGCCTCATACCTTCTCTGGTGTCTCATTTAAAATGATTAGAGTGCATGACAGCAGTGACATCAGATAACCCATAAAACAAAATAAAAATTTTGTGTGACAATTTATTGATCGGAACAAAACTACTTTTATTAAGTAATTTATAAAATTATGCCAGTAAGATACTTGTGATGTGCTTATATTGGCAAATGGTATCTTAAATGATAGAATATCACTTATTCTGTATATGAACTGCATCTTCACAACAATGGGATGAAACAAACCCTGTCTTAACCCAGTGCATGTAGTATAAGGGTATGCCAACCTCTAGTTGTACAATGCACCGCCTCATCGTTGATATTTAGTGACTGAAATGATCTCTGCATGAAGTTTGTGTTCAGATTATCACAATTTCCTGTATCAAGGTTAAGTGAGTTGACTATGTAGAGCTGATGACACATTTGCATACAATCAACGGTAGCCCCAAGTAGTGAGTCGCACTGAAGAGACCAAGTTTCAGCAGGACTCCATTTGAAAGACAGTCCTCCGAAGAGACTGACTCTGAGAGTTTACAAGCCTTATGCATAGAGTTTACTTGAACTTACATATAGTCCTTATGGTGGCTTGGTGTCTGTGTTAGCTGCGGTTCCCTAACAACCAAGTAGTTAAAGAGAGAAGACACAGAGGACAGCATTTATTCTTAGGAGCCAATTGAGAGAGTGAATATTTCTGAGTGAAGACATGTGTCTGCACACTCACAGTGCAGCGAGCTGTCTCGGCAGAAAGGCTAACAGCAGAGGATTTTAGTTCACCTTACACGCTCCCTGCTCTGTCTCCTATGTGTCTGTCTGTCTGCAGACACTCTATGTGTTTGCATGCTTGTGTGTCTACACCGTCTAAATCAATCCAGTATTTTTATGTCTCATACTCATATACACTGTCAGGCTTCCAAATGCCCCACGTTGTCCTGCTTTTCTCTCTTTATTTAAGAGATGGTTTGGTTATGAACTTTGGTGCTAATGCTAACACCAAACATGACCCTCTTAACCTGAAACCAAATTTGGTGGAAAGATACGATGCCCAGCAATGCCGTGGTACAGTTTTGGGCTTATGATGGACATTTTTTATTCAGGAATTAATGCAGCAGCAAAAGGGAGACTGTTTTTATTCATTGTTATTCCTTGTTACAGCCTTGGGGGTTATGCTAGCAGATGCTAATGTAGCCCCAAGCAGAACCGAAGAGTGGATCAGAGAGGTCCACTGAACTAAAACTTTTTACTCCATTTTACTTTCCATTTGTAATGCTGACCATGGCTGAAGTGAAACCCCTCTAAAATTTAGATCTTTAGCTCACTTCAGGAGTGAGCTAAAGTTCGGGCAGTAACAGCGCTCCCTCACTGATGTGTAGTAGGAACAGTATTTACAATGGTCAGCAGTTTGGCATGGTGGCACATCAGCATTCTCACGTTTGCTTAAAATATACAGGTGCAGCTTAAAAAACTACAATGTCCTAAAAAGTTAATTTTCCCCATCATTTAATTCAAAAAGTAAAACGTAAAAATAAAAAAAGAAATGACAAAACTACTGCATCAGTGCAATATTTACAAGGGGGCAATCACTCTGTGGCTCTGCTGGGGTGTTATCGAAGCCCGGGTTGTTTTGATAGCACATTCAGCTCATAAATGTTGTTGACTCTGTGTCTCTCATCTTTCTCCTGACGCTACTCCAGAGAGTCTCTATGGGGTTCAGGTCAGGCCAGTAGTCTGGCCGATCAGGCACAGAAGTACCGCGGTCAGCAAACCAGTTTAGGTAGTTTTTTATCTGCTGTAGGCAGGTGCCAGGCTCTTTTGGAAAAGGAAGTCTGTGTCTTCACAAAGCTTCTCAGCAGATGGAGGCATAACATACTCTTAAATGTCCTAGAAGAATTCGAGCTGCCTTAAATCTTGACTTGATATGACACAATAGACTGATACCAGTAGATAGCATGGCTCTCTAAATCATCTCAGACTGTAAGACTTCCCGCAGGATTTCACCTTGGATTATGTGCTTCACCAATCTTCCTCCAGACTCTGAGACCCTGATTTCCAAGTAAGATGTAGATTCATCAGACTACAGGATTTTGGACCCCTAAGCGGTTGTTCAGTTAGCCCATCTCTGGTTTAGGAGTGGCTTGACAGTAGCAACACAACACCTGTAGCCAATTTCCTGGACACATCTGTGTAGCGGCCCCTGATGCACTCACTCAAGCCTCAGTCCACTCCAAGGTCTTCAATCTGCAGTCATCTTTGTTGCCTGCGCACCTTTTCCTCCCACACTTTTCACATCATCCAACTTTTATTAATTTGCTTTGATACGGCACTCTGTGAACAGCCATCCTATTCAGCATTGACCTTGTGTGGCTTACGCTCCTTGTGTAGGGTGTCAATGATCGTCAAGTGTCAAGTCAGCAGTGCCCCCCATGATTGTGGTTGTGTGTACTGAACCAGAGTGAAAGAAGAAATGTACAAGAAACTTTTGTGTGTGTTTAGTTTATTAGCTATTCAGAGCTTCTTTTTTCAGGACTGAAGGAACTGAAACTGGACTTTTCCACAATATACTAATGTTTTGAGATAGTAGATCTTTTATTTTCATGAACCGTAAGCAGGAATCATCAAGATTCGAGCAGAAAAGTCTTAAAGTATTTCCTTTGTATGTGATGTATCTAAATTATATGGTAGTTTCACTTTTTGGAATAAAATTAAGTGAAAAATGAGCTTTTTCAGGACATTTAAATTTTTTTAGCAGCACCTGTTTACTACAGCTTCTGCAGCAAATAATGAAATGCCAGGATATTACTGCTGTCTAGGCTGAAGATGACATAATATGAGAAGGATAGACATGCATCAAAGGGTCAAGATAGGTTTTGAACCATGGGTGATGTGTTGAGGACTGTGGCCTCTTTATATAAAATGCTTTCACTACCAGACAAACTAGCACCCTAAATGAAATAATCTGCATTATTTTCTTCTCTGTTGCAAACTTTCTGATAACACTCATGGTATTGTTCTTGCACTTCAGCTGTTACAGGATTACCTTTATGAGGAATACTTCTTTGTTTCAATGATTGACAAAGGCCAAATGTTAAACGTTTTTTTCTGTTGTTGTTTTTACAGCAAGATGTTGAGAAGTTCTCAGACATCGAAAAACTCTACCTCTATCTCAAGTTGCCTTCTGGTCCCAGCAGCAGCAGCAGCACTGAAAAAAGGTCAGAATACAGCTGCTGATGACAAATAAATGACTAATATAGAAAATTAGCTACAATCATACACACCTACACATAGATAAAACACACAGGAATAGTCTAGTCAAGGATAAGAGGCCAGAGTTGTTTTACTGTTGGTGCTTTTGTGTTTTGTTGAATTACTCAACAATCAATATCCTTTCAGTGACCAGAGCACCCTGTCCTCCAGCCGCACGCAGCAGATGCATGCCTTCAGTTGGATCCGCAATCATTTAGAGGAATATCCTGAGACGTCTCTTCCAAAACAGGAAGTTTACGATGAATACAAGTAAGTTCAAACTGGGTAACATATTTGCTACCGCACACACATTAATGTAGTAACCAATCACTTTCAAGCTGAGACTTTAATGTTACTCTCCAAACACAAACACAAGCTCATTTTTCCCCATTACTTCAGTATAAACTACATTTTGTACCTTTATTTAAATATTCTTCATCAGAGTTGGACCTTTGAATGGATAACAGCTTCTGATGTGTGAGATTCTTGCTCTGGTGGCAGGAGCATCAGTATAAATAGACACAGCCGGCATGGGAATCACTGAGAGCAACATGTGTTGGTAATATTAGAATGGAAAGTCTGAGACAGCCATTGAAATGTTCTGTCAACGTTATGTAACTGTCTTTTTAACTCTAGCAGATCAAAAATACAGAGGCCTCCAGAAATATTGGCGCCTTTCAGATAGACAGGTGAAAAGGCTTTAAGTAGATGATACGTGCTTCAACAAAACATTGTGTTATGTGAAGTAACACTTTAAAAAGAGACCAACAAAAACTTTTTTCAAACCTTTTTACATACAAAATGTTTGAAAACTCAACAGGAAAGATCCTGTGAACTTTTATAAAGTCTTTTGTCGTATATGACAGCTGATACTAACACATTACAGAACTACTAAGCACTTTCTGTTTAATGGGAATGTCTGATATGTGTGTCACTCAGAGTACTTTGCATGTTCTCATTTACAAAAGTGTCAAACTGTGAGCCACCATTAAACTAAAGTGTTACAATTCCACCCCCATAACTTGACTTATTAGACACTGAAACCTGCAGGAGCTGAGTTTCCTGACCACTCAAGACATCAATACAACACAGACATTTTTCCCTGTTATGAGTTATTATTTACTTGCAAATTCATCCAGCAGTTGTAGAACAACACTTTTGTTCACTTGTTTAAGCGCTCTCATTTAGCTCAGTTTATATACAGTATATGTATATACACATAGATAGATAGATAGATAGATAGATAGATAGATAGATAGATAGATAGATAGATAGATGTATCTATATCTATATCTATAGATAGATAGATAGATAGATAGACAGATAGATAGATCTATATCTATATATCTATATCTATAGATAGATAGTTGTTTTTCACAGATTTTTTTCTCTGACTGAGAAAAACTTCTGCAATGGAACATTTATGATAAGTTTTTAAAAACCAAAACAGTAATCTGAAGAACACGAGAGCCGATAAATCACAAAAAAAGTTGCCATAAACATCAGGAAACAAGTGGTGGTGATTAAATACTTACATGGCCTCACGCTGGACAGCGGTGCAAATTAATCAGTGAAGTCAGTTTGGTTATGTGGTTTGAGGATTCAGCGCATTAAGTATAGGTTAATTTAAAACTGTGAAGTTTGTTTTTCTTTCTTACATTTCATCTGTTTTTGAATGCATTTCAGGAGCTTCTGTGACAATCTGAACTACCATCCGCTGAGTGCTGCAGACTTTGGAAAAATGATGAAAAATGTCTTTCCCAACATGAAAGCGCGTCGACTTGGCATGAGAGGGAAATCTAAATATCCTTTACTGGAATGGGTTTAAACTGTCTGGCCTCTGTCTCTGGTCACAGACCATCTGCTGTGGCAGTTCATAAGCTCTCTAAATATAGATGTGAAATGAAATAAAGTCCCCTCCGCCTCAGAAGCACAAGCATAATACAGTGAGGCCCCTCAGGGGGAGTCTGCGATTTTGACCTTCATGATGCGATTGTGTCCTTTTTTTGCCCTTTTTGCCCTTTTGACATTTGGCAAATGAAAGTAGCATGATGTTAGGTTGGATCACGAGCCATAAACGTCTGTGCTATGATGTAAAAAACTTGAAATGTTGGCTGACAATGGAATTGGCTGTATTTAGACTCAACTCAGAAATAACCAAGTATGAGAAGTAAATACAGTGTGTAGACTGAGGTGTCTGCCTGTTATCACTGAATCACATAAACAGATTCCTTTCATACCACATCACTTCATCAATGATATGAAGCATACTGTAGTTCAAGATTACTGCAGTTTTGAAAGCATTCAGAAAGTAAGGAGACTGTTGTTTGGTAAATTTAATTAGGAGGCTTCAGTCACAGTTGGAAAAACTCATGATACCAGAGTGTTTTTAAAAAGATCCATTTAAATTTACCTAGGATAACACATTTTTTTGTCACTAATGTGAGATGTGTTACAAAGTTCACCCTTTGAATCATTTGAGGCAGCAAATATTTAATGACCTGAGATGCCTGAGAAGCCATTCAGTCTTATTATCCATGGCCTCAGTCAACACTTTGATTCACTGCAAAACCTGCCCTGGTTGTGTTTTCTCTCTTCAAAATGATTAACTTTGGAGAAAGAGTAAAAGGCAAAGCACAAAACCACAATAAAACACTGAAAAGTTTTAGTGCTGTTTGAAGGAGCAGATTGTGGTACAACAAAAGAACCTGGATTATAACACTTGTTGTTTCAGACTTAATTCAAGATACCGCTAAGAGTGTCTTAATCATGCTGTCATGACATTATTTTTATGGTTGTTACTATTATGTCTTGTTTTCCTGGATTTGTCATGTTTTGGGTCTTAACACCAGTTTACATATTGCTATAGTGGACTAAGAAAGAGGCCTTTTGTTCACATGCCATCCTTACCCACCCTGGATATCCACAAAACAGGAGATGCAGTAAGCATTTACATTCTCTTAATGATGTTTCATTACATTTCTTTTTCATTTTGATATGCTTTTTTTGCCTCATCACCCTCACAACTGCCTCTTGTAGCTTCTCTTATATATTTAACCTCGTATGTCATATGTGTAGCTCCAGTGTGATCTCCTGGAGTCAGTTGGGCAGCTGAGCAACATAAAGGAGGAGGTGCGATTTGCAGCGTGTGATCTGGTGTGTGAATGGGCCCAGAAGGTGCTGAAACGCCAGTTTGACGCAGTTGAGGACCTGGCCCGCTTCCTGATTGACAGCCATTACATCAGCAACAAGTCTTTGGCAGCTCTCACCATTACAACAGGCACGGCAACAGGTAAGTCTCAGGCCATGTCTGAGTCATGCCTCCAGTGTGTAGACACACAGTGACCTCTGGTGGAAAAAGGCTGTTACTGCTCATTTATCTAGGCAGCCGCTCCCTTGAGGATAGTTAAAATTTGTGGTTCAAGTGTCTGAAACCTTTGCTTTTTTGTAGTTTGCTGGTAAAATATATATATGTAAAATTTTTAGTATAGAAGGAGAAACCTAGTTATTCTTACAGCCACTTCATTTACAGAGAGTCTCTGCAAATCGATGGGTGAGGTACAAAACTGTATCAGAAATTCAACAAGTGCTCTTACATTTTATAAACAGGACCAAAAACAAATGTTTTCTTTTTTTTATTTTGTCTAATTTTTAATAGGTTGCCTGATTGTAAACTCTCATTTATCTAGCTGTATTTCTTGTACTTCTTGGTTCCCATTTGTCAGCTATTTTCAGTGCTTAAACCATTTTTCTTACATGTGATCATTTTTGCCCGTCGCTGATATTATTGAAAATTTTATGTTCGTAGTTTGTTTCTTTAGGCTCTTTCCAGACACTTATTTTGCTTCACATTCATATTTAATGATTTAGATTTTTTTCAGATCTCAACACATTTTAGTTGTATGCAGTGGTTTTGGATTGATTTGTTAAAATTCAGTGAAATAACATTTGAAGGTGCTATATCAATTGATCAAATTGTATCATTCATGTAACCCCAGTTTACAAAGATAACTTAAGACGTTTTGATGAATTTTTAATATTTGATTATCAACATACATAAATTACTCCTCTCCTTTCTGCAGAGGTCCAGACTCCTCCAGCAGTCTCAGCATTTGTCCCCACTGCCGAGGCACACACCTTTCAACCTCATTTGACGACGCTGTCCTCACCTTCTATCGATGCAAAGCAGCAGCTTCAGAGAAAAATACAGAGGAAACAACAGGAGCAGAAGCTGCAGTCACCTTCACCTGGAGAGGGACAAGCCAAGAAGGCAGACGATGGATTACCTTGTGCTAGTCCCGCCCCATCATCACCCCAGCAAACCATCGGGATTGTGGTTGCTGCTGTACCGAGCCCTATCACGGTGAGAAAGCAGGAGTCCTCTTAGCTACACATTGTATTTAGTTAACAAAGAGAAAACTGAAATAGATTTAAGTAAATCAAAAGCATGTAAAGAGTAAACCTTCATCTTTTACTTTTAGATGACTATAATGTTACTTCATAGACTACTTTTAAAAAGGCTGATAAAATGAGTCTGTTGTATTTGCTACGTCAAAATGCTCTGACATGTCAGTGACTCATTTTGTTCAGAAATAATTGTGACTTATTTATTATTTCAAGATAATCTCAGAAATCTTTAAACATAAGAAGTCATAAAATGATTCATTAGGGTTTAGTTATCATAGCTTAAATAAAAAATGTGTCTGTCATTTGCACTTAACAGTAAATCAGGCTCAAGAAAGTTTTGAAAAGCCAAAATATTCATAGATGATATGAAAATGGTCCTTTTTCATTTTTTTGCTCTTAAAATATCCATGATTTTATAATAGTGCTATTCCCGAAAGCTGTCATGCTGTTTGAATGTCAGATTTTCTCTCTCTCTTTGTTGAGTGCTTCCTACCTCAACATTTTTGTACCTGTTGTGTGACAAATGATGATATGACTGAATATCCAAGACTTTCCTAAAAATGATTTATGAGTCATCTTTCTAACTAAGGATTTAATTTTAATAATTTATTAATGCTACAAAATTCTTACCATGTTATAGTATGATACTAACCTGAAAAATACTGTTTTTAAGTTGACAGGTCAAAGAAATTATCCAACATGTCGTCATGTTCTTTTGTTCTTTTCTCATATTTATTGGTTTTCTTCCTTTACCCTGTAGGCTCAACGAGGGCGGCAGCTGATGTCTCCCAGTCCAATGGGATCAATTGAGAACAAAATGTTGCCCATCAACTTCCAAATGGTTACCCAGCCAGTTCAAGCAGTGAAGCAGAGTCCAAAAACCCCACAAAATATCCTTACAAGTCCTGCTGGAGAACGCTCTGCTCGGCAACGCTATGCACAAATCCTGCCCAAACCTTCACCTGCTATCGCTTTGCGTTCGTCCTCCACCATGATCATTGGCAACAGTCCCATAAAGACTGTGATGACCACTTGTCATGTCAGCCCAGTCAGTTTGGTGAAGATGACAGCCATATCGCTCACACCTAACAGCTGCAGCACCACTTCCCTCACAGACAGTATTCTGCGGCCAGCATCAGCAGGCATAAGCAGCACTTCACTTACAGAGGATAGCAGCTTCAATCAAAGCCTGAGGAGTGTCTCTGCAGTCCCAACTCTGGCCCCGGTGGCCAGACCTGGACCGACCACTGACACTTCTACCATTGATGTAGAAATGGAAGTAGAAGCTATACATAAAATCAGCCAAATGCAAAATCCTAGCAGTGTAGTTTTGACTCAAGGTGCAGTGGCAAACAGAGCTGGAGGGTCGATACAGAGGGCTGCAAGTGTGCCTATACCTCAGACTAAAGGCTTCCTTGGTCTGGAGGAAACATCAAACACCACTGAATGCAATTCAAAGTCCTCCTCAAGTGCGATCACTGTGGCAGCTGCAGAAAGCAGCAGAAATAGCTCTAATGCTAATAATATGCACTTCATCCCTTCGTCTCAAAACACCAGAACAGCTTCTTTACTGAACACCAGCAGAGCTTCATCCTTTGGGGAAAGCACTAGTGTAACATCAGCAAAGGAAGTTTTATTGGCCACTAAAAGCCTCAGGAAGCGCTCAGGCCTCAGTCCTGACCTTTCCCCAGTCAAAAGGGCTTTCATGCCCCAGCAGCCAGCTGAGGGGACCGCAGGTCCTGCATATGGGACTAGAAACACGTTTGTTAACATTCTCAGGCCTGGAGCTTCAACTAGACCCGAAAGTGCACCTGCAACCAGGGAAGTAGAAATGAACTCTTCCTCCAAGGACCACGGGCTGTGCACTTCCACTTTTAGAGCCAGTGGCTTTTACTCTGTTGCCAAAACAGCAAGCTTGATGCCGAGGAAAAACACTTCCATTGTTGTGGAAACTAGCACCACAGTCAGTCAGGCATTAACACAGCAACAGCAGGGGCACACAGTGGCCATCCATAACAACCACGGCTTCCAAAAACAACCAGGTATGAATGACATTGCTTTAAGCTCCAACCAACAACAACAACAACAGCAACCACAGCAACAGAGCTACATGCAGTCTCACCCTGCTACTGAAGCCTTAGATTTCTTCAACCAAGCTGCACCATCGAGCCAGCTGTCTATGCAGACCGACATGGACTACTTTTCTTTCGAAGACGACGTGACTCAGGACAGTATAGTTGAGGAGCTGGTGCAGATGGAGGAGCAGATGAAGCTCAATAACATGCAGGGGTTTGGAGATTGTGTCACACTACAGGGACAACAGGCTGTGATGTCAGACAATAACATATCTGCCAATCAGACCATGACTACGTTTTATCATGCTGCAAACAGCAGCAGCGGCAGCAGCAGCAACCCGATTAAAACTCCAACACCCACACCCACATCAGAAATTATGGGAGGAGCCCCAGGCCTCACTGGAGAGAGCCCCTGCTCCCACATCGCCTCCACCACCCCAGTGGACAGCGCACTGGGAAGCAGCCGTCACACCCCAGTCGGTACTCCTCACTCTAACTGCAGCAGCAATGTGCCTCCTAGTCCAGTGGAGTGCAGAAACCCATTTGCATTCACACCCATCAACTCCAGCATCACTGGTTTCCATGACGGCAGCACTGTCTCGAGCAGCCCCGTCAAACCCATGCAGAGACCGATGGCCACCCATCCAGACAAAACCAGGCTGGAGTGGATGAACAACAGTTACAACAGCAACAGCAGCGGTAGCTTAAATAAGTCAAACAGCGGTGTGGGAATCCTCCCTAGCTATCAAGGCCTGATAGGTGACCAGTTTCAAAAACCTCATGCCTTTGCAGTCCCTCATGCAAGGCACCATGACAATCACTTTGGCCGCTTGACTCCCATCTCTCCTGTGCAGCAGCAGGTGGCCAGCATGGCAAAGCAGGAAGGATTTGCAGTGCCAGCCCCTCTGGATAATAAGACCAATTCACCTGCTTTTCGATGTCGAAGTGTGAGCCCTGCTGTGCATCAGAGGAACTTTACAGGAATCACAGGAAACCTTCCACATATCCCTCGCTCAGTCGTGTCTCCCTTTAACTCTCCCGTGACACCTGAAGTGTTGAATATCTTTGCTAACAGTCAGCCTAATCTCGGGGTAAGCAGCATGGCCCAGAGGAGTCACTCTGTGCCACTCAATGTCATGATGCAGACAGAGGTCCTGCCTGCTCCAGGTCAGCAATGCAGCAGCAAAAACATCACCAGTGTCCTTCTGAGCAAGCTGGATGGAGGACATGATGACACTGTGCGGGGTTTGGGCATTAATAATTTAACATCTGGCTACACAGCACGCATGAACCTTACCCAGATCCTTGAGTCTGATAACCATCTTACTTGCAGTGACAATCACCTCAGCATGATGAACTCAGACTCCAGTGGCGCATGCAAGCTACAGAGGCCAAATTACCTCATGGAAAATGCTATTAATGAACAGATGAGTGATAGTAGAGGCCAAACAGTCTCTGGAGATCAGCAAGGACAACAGGCACAGTCTGTGATGCTACCGCTGAGCTCACAGCAGCATCAAGAAGATCACCAGCAGCATCAGCGGTGTGATTTCAGCAGCTCAGTGAAAGACCTCCTGACAGACAGCAGCCTGGCTGCTGGCAGTCAGCTCATGGAACAGGTGTCCGAGCTAACGTCAGGCGGGGCAGATTTCCCATGTGAAATCAGAATGACATCGGAGCTCTCCAGCACCATCAATGACCTTAATGCACTGGATACAAATCTTCTGTTTGACCCCAACCAACAGCAAGGGCAATATCAAAGCACTGCCGGGGAGGAGGAGGAGTTTGTGAATGATCCACTGTTTCAGCATATAACCAGCGAGACAGCACATTCAAGTGGGTTGGACTGGCTGGAAAGCAAAGATCATCCAACTGTTGGGTTAATGGGTTAAGAGAAACACTTTTTTTTTAGTTGTGTATGATAACGTTAATCAATATTTGCTGTTGCTGTTTTATTTATTTGTACTCTACAATGTACCTCTGGATACATTGATGTTTGTCCAGTATAAGTGCCAGGCTGAACTGCAATTATGCTGCAAAGCTCTGATTAAAATGCTGGTCATTTCCCTCTAATCAGAGAACACCACCTCACCTTGTTAGATCACAGGCACTACAACACATAACAAAGATGACCGTGAAAGTCCTGAGACAGCTTTCTGTACGTTGTGTTTGATATGCCATTTACACCATGAGTCATACATTTCTAATTGGTAAAGCACTGTGGAAAATCATGATGGCAACAGCAACCGTAACCTGTTTAAAGCATAAAACACAACCCAGCAAATTATATTTACTGTGATCTTTCAGTATGCTGTGATTTAAACATGCGCGCAACAATAAGGACAAATGTAAGTATCAGTAGTGTGGGGAGTGAAGAATTTTGCCCTCTGTGTATGTGCTAGTTTGTGTAGGATATTTGCATCAGTCTGGTTGAAGTGCATTTGCCTCTGTACTGCAAAAAGATTCAATAAGAAGATATGTATACAAGTATGCACTGTTTGTAGAGCTATCATGAAGTGTTTAACCAAATTCATCCTTGTAAATGCATTTAATATGGCCCCATGATCAGATGTCACCAGTAACTAATAATGGTAATAACCGTATTAACATGATGTATGTTAATCCCATCCGGTGATATAATTGATCCTCTTTTGCACTTTTCTAAAGCCACATTTTGTAACATTGTTGTATTATCACCATTCTACAAAACTGCTTTCCTTTTAATTACATACACAAAATGTCTTTGTTAACTGTTCGATCCACATACTTAGTGACAGCTACGTGCTACATGTAAACAAAGGCAAAAGATTCTTAGTGTTTTTTTGTGGATCCGTTTTAAAGAACGGTAAATGCTTTACTGCAATGATACCCCAACGTTGATGTCTGATGTTTGGTGGGACCCTTGACTAAAGCTTTATTTCTTGCACTGAGTATTTAAATTTCAATGACAGTGATGTCATGCCATCCTCATGCATTGTGAGGAATTGTGGGATAAATTGTTACGTGTATGTGAAAGGTAAACATCATAAAGGCAGCAAAAATCATAACCATTGGATAAAAGGGAAACTTGATCATTTAAATGTCTAACCTAAGATCAAACCCAATCCCTTTGATTGGGAGGGTTCTGCACTTTGAAAGTATAAACACAGAACAGTGAAGAAGTAATTAGTAAGAACAAAAGCCATTTATACACTAAGCAAATATGTTATTTGTAATATGGGCAAATTGCACCTTACAGTTACAGTTGGACGTCTTCTTTTGGAAACTGCATAATGCACTAGGTAGATGATTTAGCAGAAATTATCACTTTATCTGTGAAAGCTTGAAATCTTTGGTTCCCAATGTAGCACTAGAAAGACTGCTCTGACAATCCAAAAAATGTGTTACTTTACATAAATGCACTGAGTTTAGTTTGAAGTAACCTTTTTTCGTGCACTGAAGTTCAACAGATAATCACTGATCAAAAGTTGAAGTCGTTCTTTACACTGATGACGGTACGTGATAAGATGACCCAATGGGTTCTAGTTTCTGGACCTAAAGTCCATACCAAAGACCTGATTATCAAACTAAATGTGACCTGAAATAACATGCATTTATATCTTAGGAATCCAATACTATGTAGATTTTCATTGTGAAGGGAATACTACATTACGTTATTATTGAAAAAGCTATTAAAAAAATACATAATACAAAAAAAATGGTAAGGAATTAGTGATGTAAAATCATTACTTTATATCTTTATAATAACAACTTCAGAGCAATACTAAGGATTTCATTTACTACTGTTGAAGCTTTTACAAATCCACCAGTGAAATACTGTTTTAATGAAGGGAAAAAACAGCACTGTAATTTAATCACAAACTTTTTTTTGTTTGTTTGTTCTGTATTGGCGTTGGACCCCAGAGTGCATTTTTATTATTGGTCACACCTGATTTGTGTTGTTGTACAGATTGTCTTTTGTGTTTTTATTTCACTTCTTTTTACGAAAAGTGTGTTGTTTGTACAGAGGATCTAACCCTGAAAACCATATAACCTTGTGTATTCACAGTAATCTCTCTTGCATTTTTATGTTTTGTAGCATACTTTAAGTGTCATAGGATACATTTATGTACCATATACAGTCCTTTTTATCAACAGACAACAGATGACCCCACAACATTGTTGCATTACGCTTGATTTTTATTTATCTGAAAATGTTCAGAATTTCATTTTGACAAAAAAAATGCCCCAGCAAATTTTTGCCCACATTTGGAACTGTGAGATTAACTGCGATAAGGGGGCATGGTAAGATCCTTATATAATGTAAATGCATTCAAATGAGTCTATTTCAGTATATCGATAAACTGAGAGGGTCAATTATTTTGAACTTTTCTGCAAAAGCAGAGTATGCCATTGTAATATATGATCTAATTTTGATAATTGTTTGGCATCAGACTTTTCTTAATACTGTTCAGTTACTATTATTATATTATTAATCTTATTATTATTAATTTTTTTCTCAGTTTATACGGTCATCTTTACTGTGTCTGTAAAAAGGTTTCCATTAATCGGTTTTAGCACTGATGTTTGTTTTTGATGAAGACTTTACCCTTCCTCCTGTTGAAATTGGTTCAGAGCTGTAAAACTGCCCTCCACTGTTCTTGCTTTCAGTTAGTGGACTGGGATTTTTTTATTTTTTATTTTATTTTCCTTTTTGCATTTTAGCAAGTGCTTTTATAAGAGGAAGAGCTTGTTATTAATCCTGGTTTGTTGAAACTTTTTCAAACTAATAAACATTTTTATGTAAGTTGTGGAGTTGGTGTTTTTAATACCAGAATAAAAGAAAAAAGCAAACAACTTTCCTGAGAGCGGATTTCTGTGCAGTTGTCTTCAGATGTTTTATTTGCTGTCATAAGACAAAAGACCAAAAGTTACAGATTGATTATTCTCATATATCTCCATCAGTGAAAAGAAAAATGACAGCTGTTCCTATAAATTTAACAAAACCCTGCATTGAAGTAAAACACCCAGCTGTCCCAAACTTTCTTTTTCCACCAGATTTTTATTTATCAGAAAGAAAACATGAGCTTTATTGGCAAGAGGATGATTTGATTTAGGGTTTGCATACTTCTACACTTTGAAGGAGACGTGACAGACAATGTAATAAATGTTTGCATATGAAAATCAATTTTGAGAAAATAATCACAGGTAATACAAAATTCTGACAATCAGATGTGAAATTGCTGTCAGCCAAAAAGCTATCTCTCTGTCGATCTGTAACCTGTCTTCTGAAGAAACTAAAAAAAAAAAGGTGTGGTTGTGAAAAACCTCTCAGGGTGACAGCTCTCTCATACTTACTGTATTGTTATCCAGTGTAAGCGTACAAGAACCTGATTCAACATGATATTTTCACTTAGTTTGAAACACTGCACCAGGCCTAAAGGGTATTTTAAGATTTCAAGTGGTCAATTTTGCAGCTTAAACATTGGTGAGTGATGTAATTTTTAGGCTTTTTGTTTGTCTATAAGAAACTTCGGTTGAGCTTTATACCATTAAAGGAGAAAATTTACTCTGTAACCCTCTGACCGTAGCTGTAATGCACTTGAACTTGAACTCCCTTGTTGTTTGGCACCCAAACAAAACCCAAGCAAACTGACTGTTTAACTCATGACAACTCAAAGCATCTCTGACATTTTCCACCCAGCTACTTTTTAGCTTCCCCAGACTTCTGCGTTAGAGCCTGTAGTGTGGCTGCACACAATACAGAAGCATCTTTTCAGGCAGAGTAAGGTCTTAACCCGGGAAACTGTTTAATAAAAAGAAGTTTCTTTACTTTCCTGACAGCTTTTCCTATCCTTTTTTGACTCAAGGCAACCATAGCTTTAGATGCTGTTTTAGATAGTGGTTTAATAACTTTTATATTTATCAGATTTCTGAAGAAAAAAAAACGTTTTGGCTTATGAATCTGGGCTGTAGATAATTTCAAATGGATAATATCAAGGAACGTCAGATACCAATGAGAGATGTTAGGCGTGCACGGTGGTTTCCATCTTACTGCAATTATCTTTTTTGCTGCGGTTAAGCCAGCAAGTAGTATTCGTTTTTGACACTGTAGTAAATTGATTGTGGATAGATTATTTAATATTAGGGTTTGAGGATTTGCTGGTATATTTTGTGCTGTTACAGAAGACAACTAAAAGTTTTCGTATTCTCACAATAGGATACATACATAGAGCACACAACTGCATCTCACTCAGATATTAAAATTTTCAGTGACAAAAAAAAGAATTAGACTTTTCATAAAAATCATATTGGAAGATTTAACAGCCTACATTCAAACATAGTCTTCTCTGGTACAGTTTTGGAGAAGATAAGTTGTTTTCTCAACAAGTGTGCCATGAAATTTCTACACAACATCATTCAGGAGTCAGTGTTGTCCTATACTTCATATCATTTAACCCACTTCAAAGTAGATAACACAAAAAGCCAAACTATTTCTTTCTAAATACATTTTTGGCTGAAATGGGATAAACTTTAAGATAAGAAACAGATTACATAACAATCCTAAACTTGTGATAAATGATTTTCAGCCCATTTATTTGCCAAGACCGTTTCAGCTCTTACAGGTGTCATTTACTTTTCATTTCTTTTCTTTTAGTGTCTTGTAATTCTTTGAACATTGGTGGTGCCTTCAGGTACCCTCTCACAGGTGTATCTGTAATTTTCCTTCTGCCATTGAGGTGACAGTACGAGGAAACAAGAGGATGTAGATGAGGAGGAGGGGAAAGGGGGGAGGAGGAGGAGGAAGAAGAAAAAAAGGAGGAGGAGGAGGATGGATACAGTGAGTGACGACGGTGTAAGAACTGCACTCTAGGTCAGGTTCACGGTATTTGCTAGCGTAAACACGCAGAAGAGGCATAATAGAGGCAGAGTACTAACCAAACATCTCCGAAGCCCTCTGCTGAACGGACCACTGTTTTCTCTTGTTGTCGTCGCTTTCTGGGAGGAAGAAGGGCGAGGATATTATGGCTGCACTTTCTCCACAGATTCGAGGACTTCAGGCAGACGAGGTAATGTCACACTAACCCTCCTTTCTTCTCCTCTTTGCCCACATTTAACGCGGCAGCTCATGTGATAATAACGTCGTCAGCCAGCTGGCTAACGAGTTGACGCTAACTGTTGCTAACTAAGTAAACTGGAATTTTCCGGAAATTAATTGAGAAGCTAACGCGCTCACAAGCTGGGCAACTTGTAATACCTCTGCGAGTTGGAGTTTCTAATGAGTTTAAACGAGTTAACGTCAATCATTGATAGAAAATCGATACTACTAACGGTTAACATGTACACTTATCTCGATTTCGACTTGTTTAGTCCTCAAAACTGGTCACTCATTCAACTACGAAAGCCAAAAAGGCTCCGGAGCAGTAAATGTTTGTCAGCGGTGGTTTCCTGTCCTCAAACACACGCTTGTCTGAGCTCGACCAAACTCTTTTAGGCTTTTGGATGAACATTCATGCGGTCAGAGCCTCGTGTATTGATAACAGGGCCTTAAAGTAGGGTATTGTGTGATAAGACAGTAACAAGGATTGCGACATCCCCTCATGATTCACCGAATTCACAGTAAAACCATGTGGGGTTATGATGGGAAGTGTGCATAATTGCCAAGAATTATCAGGATGTTACATCATCCTGGAGGAGCGATCTCTGATTGTCCAGGGGGTGTGAACAGCACGAATGTGACAACAGTTCACATCAAGAGGAAGAAGCATTTATATCATTCATCAACATGGTCAGTGTTATGATCCATTGCCATTCTGCAATATGCAATAACAGCTGTGGAAAATCCCCGAAAGCAGATGTGAAAGATTTCATAACAAGTGTGCATAACTTTTATTGTTTTAGGTGCCATCCCTTTTATACCCAAGGAAGTGTATGCTCCCTGTAATTTTCCTTTGTCTCCTCTTTACATTTTCTGTACAATTTTATTTATTCTGATCTATCCCTTTTTATACTTTATATCAGTGGTTTTCAACTGGTGGGTCCCCAACCCACAAGTGGGTCGCGGACACCTTCTGGATGGTCATGAACAGTTGGTCAAAAAAGTAAATATTTAATGCGATATTTATCAGAGATTTGCTATTTTATGTATAAGCAACTTCAGTAGTTGTCATCCTCATGTTGTCCCTTTCCAGTGCTCTGAAATGCACTGGAAAGGGACAACATTTCCCGTGTACCTGCACTGTCCCATACATATCCAGATGGCAAGACTCGATTCTATTCTATTCTATTCTGCTTTTTGTTGTATCAGTTATCTGGATGGTAGTGAAGCGCCTTTTCTAGCTCAGTTGACCCACCTAACTGGACAGAGGACAAGTGCCAACTTACTGTCACAGTGTAACCATAGATTTTTGGCTCCTGGGTAAATGAGCTGTAACACATGGATCGAGGCCAAACTTTCGCTAAATTTAAAAACTTCCTAACAAGATGGAGTGATGATACTGATTCAAGCTCTGATTGGGTCAAATGCTGGAGGTAGCTGGATGTGAACCAAAGATAATGGTAACCACGAAGGTATTTGTAAAACAGGATAACCTCAGTGTGATGTTGCTATGCATGTGATACAAAAAGAAAAAAGCAACAGCATATTAATTTTTGTCAACAAAACCATTTACATGAATGTTGACACAAACAGTTTCACATTGGACTGTCACTGGTTTCTGTTTGCCTACATGCAACTACAATCCGGCTGCTTAGTAATTTAGTAACTTGTTGGTGTGTGATACGTTGGCAGTTGGAGTTACCATCTTTACTCAGACATTCCTCTAGATATACAATGTAACCATCCCTTTTGTCTGAGAGAACTACATGCCACATGAGTACCACCTTATTTATTCTTTCTTCTCACATTTTGATGAGATGGATCAAAAATTATTTTAGGTTTTTGTATATGTCTAGAATTTGAGCACACTCATGAACCTCTAAAAAATGTTGTACTGCTCTATACTGTATCACATCAATACAAGAGATAACATAAAGTATATATGAAGTATTTTTTGATTAATTATGATAACTAAGAGTGTCCAACTACTACAGGTTTTTGAAGGTGTTTCTATTCTTTTACAAATAAAATGAAGCCAATAAATTGATTTAAACTCTAAATTAAGTTATATTTTTAGGCCTACCCCTTTTTAGAAAATAGGATGTGAGCATAAACGGTTGAATAGATTGACACAGTTTAAGATGTATTTATATGTGAATACTTAATTCTCTTGGGGTTTAGGGGAATATTTCACTTCTGTCTGTGCTGTATTTCACAAGTAAAAATCTCATTACCCTTTTTGTTATTATTTCAGGAGGAATCCAGAATCCTCAAAGTGAAAGTCATCGCTGGAATTGGCCTGGCTAAAAAAGATATACTGGGAGCCAGGTAAGTTGTAGCTCGATTGTTCTGACTGCTACTTGTTGAGTAGGACTGCAACTAACTCTGCAAACAGTAGTTTCAGCAAACAAAAAAGTAGTTTCATCTTTACTTCCCATTTACTTTTTTAGTAAATGGGAAGTAAAGCTGAAACTACTTTTTTAATTAGCGTATTCTATCATTACCAAGTATCTTGCATCTTATAATTAACATCTTAATACCTCAAAATGATCAAAAAGAATCAAAGAATATTCTTTAAACCAGTGTTAACTGTCAAGCCTGTATATGATTTTTTTGTAGTCATCTGTACACATAGGAAAAAAGATGTCACAAATTCTCACCTCCCTCTATGACTTCCAAAATATCCTCTTCTGGAAAAGCAACAGTCTTCAAACTTAAGTATACTTATCTTTGACTGATAAACCAGAGAGACAAATAACAGACCCACATACCCATAGCCCCTGAGTATGTGTTGATTTTGGCACCCACATGGATATTATGGTTTCTCTTATCTCTCTGCTGATATTTTGCTTTACATGTGTAAGAGGGATTGTTCTCGTATAGTTTCAGTGAATGGAAAAGAGGAGGACATAGATGCTCTGAATGAATGTCTGCCATAGAAAAAGATTAGGGAATCCTTGTTTTACATTTTATGCAACAGAATGCGTCATCAACCACAACAGGAAACTGAATCTAGAGCAAACAGATACGAAGCAAGTTTTGTGCACCTCCTCTGAAAGCATGAGCAAATACTGAGTGTGTTGAGGTTAGTCTTCAGCATAGTGTCATGTTAAATTTCCTGCTTTAGAAAATAAACACAATAACCCTCCAAATTCAGAACATTTTATTAAATGCCTGTTAGCAAGCATGTCAAACTTGTATTTTGTTACTTTGAAATTCCTTATAAATTGAAAAGATTTTGTTTATCCCACCAATGACCTCTGAAAACAATCCAACAATATCAAATCAAGTGTTTTTGAAACGAGGGGTTTCCTCCAAAACAACATACTTTGTTGTTGATGTAATAATCAAAACTGATGTTTGAGTATCACTCTGATCCAACACTAGCCACTCAGTACATTACTGATGAGAAATCATTGCTGTGGGTCTAAAGTGGCTGTTATATAAGATAATGGGTTGTGTCATGAAAAAGATTCCTGTGGTTTCAATGCACTTAAAGTTGGTCACACATTAAAGATCAAATATTATACTCAACTTTGTGATGAGCATAGAGTAGCTGTAGCTATCATATTGACGTTTCAGGGTTCTGAATGCACTCTCTGATCTAATAAAATGAAGGTTTTAAGTGTTTTGCTTTTTTTAAAAATCACTTAGCAAAGTGATAAAAACGGTTTGGATCTGTACAGAAAGATGTTGACATCCTAGCTTGAGCTAAAAATGTGTGTCCTTTTTCTAACAGTGATCCGTATACAAGACTGTCTCTCTATGACCCTATTAATGGAGAGATCACTAGTCTTCAGACTAAAACCATTAAAAAGGTGAGTTAGTGAAACTATACTTGTGCAAATCTTGTTTAACTTTAACTTTAAATTTAACTTAAAACTTGATATTTCAATTAAAAATGTCCTTCACCTTTCCTTTAAGACACTGGACCCAAACTGGAATGAAGAATTCTTTTTCAGAGTAAGTGAAGCTTCTTTACTTTGTTTGACCGTTGAAAGTTAATGTTTTTTTTTCAATGAGGGCTTATTTTCTATTAAATTTATTGTCAGCTTTTGTTTTCCATAATAAATCACTTAAAGTTATGCAGTTGGCTTTGTTGACCATGATTCTGTGTTGAATCAAATCTATTTCATGTTCCAGGTTGATCCCAGGCAGCATCGTTTGCTGTTGGAGGTGTTTGATGAGAATCGTCTGGTAAGTAATTCAGTTAGCTTCATTCTGTCAACAGATTTAATACAACTGACAAAAAGTTTGTAGCTTGAAGTGTTTGGTAAATGTTTATCTTAGATTTCTCTAAATCAGTTTTTTAATTATTTTAAATCTAATGAAATAAACTACAGTGAATGCTTGTAGATAATAACAAAACTCTCCCTTATGTTATATAAGAAGTGGCCTGGAGCCCAAGAATAGATTCAGTGTAAGCATTAGAAAAGACATGACAGCTTTTAATATTTACTATCACATTAGACAAAATAAAGCAGCAAATCTGGAAAAAAAGGTTTTCTACTGTTGCATGAAGCGCCACAAAGTGCTTGAATTCAGTCTAAAAGTTGTAAACCAGTAACCAAAAAAAGTTAATTTTCTCATTGAAAACTAATTATTGCAGCTGACCATATACGTCAATTTCCTGATATGAAAAATATATTCCAGTCTGAACTTTACACAAACACACACCTCTTTTGTTCATTTAGCACAAATTACACAGAGAAATAACTGCCCATCTCCAAGCCCACAATTCTTTTTAAGATAGACATTTTGCTGTACATGGCTGTTGAGGATTTAAAGGAACTACGGAGCTATTTTGGTTGAGAAGCAACGTCCTTTCTCGTGAGCTAATGTGTGTTTCTTATAAAACAAAGCAGTTGCCATATGCCACATTTTATTACTGAGGGCTGATCTATTAAGTGCAGGGTTAACTTTGGTTCATCTACCTGATTGGTCCGCCTGTATTTTGCCATGGTCTGTGTGATATTGTTCTAAACTGAGATACATGACTAGCTTGACCTGTAAATAAGGGCATGCCAGTATCTGTTGCTGAAAGTGTTGATGGAAATCATAGGAGTAACATATCACATCAGGTGTTTGGTATCATTTTAATGATGAAGAAATCGTGTGTATGGGTAACAGGTTAATGTTATTACATAAGTGCATTGGATTCTTTAATGTGTTTGCAGCTTTGTGAGAATAAGGTGTTAGTATTAACCTTGTATCTGTAGATCGAGTAAGTAGGTAAGTGTATTTTGACCTCGTATTGATCCTACAGTAAGTGCACAGCTATGTTGGAGCTTTCTGAAGCGGCAGGTTGTAGCATGATATCAGTAGAGCTGCTGACCCAGTTTCACGTTGATCTGATACACAGCAGGTTCAGGGACACCTGAGCAGGCACACCACAGTGCTGTTTGAGACTGTATGATCTGTATGTAACGTAAACATGGCCAAGAAGCCTGACACATGAGCAGTCCTAAGTTGATATTATCTCACACCTCTGAAAGAAAGGTGATCCTAAAACAGGTGATCGTGTTTTTGATCGGGAGGCAGAAGTGTGTAACTGTGCAAAAATCAGTTCTCAAGCTAATTTTGTTAACTTTTTTAGTGAAATGTAATACTGAGAACGTGTTTTAGTCATTGAGATGGCACCAGCTGTATCAGTAAATCTGTTGTCCTCGCTGAATTGAAGAACAGTGAGTTGTGATATTTCTTTTCCTCACTTCTCTCTTAGCTGCTTTAACAACCTGTTTGAACTAGTTAAGGTGTTATATAACAGACTAGATATGGAGAAAAATACAGTCAGTGGTCATTTGCTTGTCAGAAATTGTCTGTAAAGCTTCACGGGCAGACTGAACTTAAAATTTGGCGTGAACAAAATAAAATAATGCAGTTCTTGCCTCCCACTCTCCCTGTTATGTTTTTGATCACTGTGACGCTCTAGTAGTTTATTCATTTCTCATTTGGATTTAGCTGTTGTCTTTGGAAAGCCTCACAAGATTGGGCACATTTACGTAGCTGCTGTTTGTTGTTTTGTTTGTTGTTTGGCTGAAAGTTTCTGGAACATGTTGTTATGTCACAAGTTTACAGTCACATGATCCAGGAAAAAATCTGGGTGTGATTGACTAAAGACTGCCTTGTCATGTTTCAAGTAGATTTTGTGCAAATCTGGAGGGTGTGTCAGCACTGGGAATGTGAATCTGAGCATGTGTGTCACTGCTGCTTTAACGCACACAGGCATGGGCAGAGAGTGCGGGAAACTTGTTGAAACTGGGTTGGTTGGTCTGCGTCCAATATGAAATGAGTAGTTGTAGAACTTCATTGATAAGCAGATTTTGTAATCTGTAGTTTTACCTTTCATCTCTTATTGTTGTTACTGTACTTTAATGCAGTTTTCAGTGCATGTATTACTCTGTTGTATATTACCAATATCATCTTTTTGTGAAGTTAATCTTTTCATTCAAATTGCAGCAGCAGTAAACCCTCAAACTCAGAAATGAGCGAGCTGCTGGCCATTGCATTTTTTCCAGTTTTTGGTTGAATGGGACTTTGTACTTTTGCCAAAACGCGATGAATGAGATACTTGATCAACAAGAGGAAAGACATTTTCATGTTTTACCCTGAAATAAGAAAAAATCACGTCATTTTCACTGTTTTATTGGAACAGTGAACAAAACAAACTTCCCTGAAAACCTCATGACTTTTTCTGTCGTTTCTTCATTCGCAAAAAAAATTGTCAAATTATGCCCTATTCTCACCAGAGGTTAAAAACTCTATTTTTTGAACACACGTATAGTGATACACAGAGCATTGAAAACATTAATGAGTCTAATAAAATTTCCAGATTCTGACCATTTATTTTTCATTGCTTGAAATTTAATATCTAAATCTATTTCATGCTGAGCTCAGCACTTTTTTCTACCTGCTGAGCAGGAAAAGCTTTTTGGTAGAGGAGTGCTTCAAGCAAGTTTTATCTCCAGAAGACTCATGAAAAAATGATTGAGTTCTCTCAAGAGGTTCCCCTTTAGGAATAATGAATATAGAGATGATTAGAATAATAGAATGTCTTTAAGACAAAGAAAAAAAGAGGCTATAACCTGTTCTTGGTGGTCCTCACATATTTACTTAGAGGCATCTTCTTCATTTTAAGGATATTTAAATATTTCTAACTCTTCTATGACTATATTTGCACAGCTATACAGGAACTGAACACATCTCAAATGTAGTTTGCAGGCAGGTGTTGGCCTTTAAGTTTTTTACCAGAATGTGAAGTTGGAAAAAATGTTGAAAAATAAAACAGTAACAATGACGAAAATGAATATAAAATGGCTTAGCAAAAGAGTATCAGTATTGGCATTAGCTTTTTGGGAAGTGTTTAAGAAAAAAGATCATCACAGAAGTACAGCATAGCAGTAATATTGCAAACATACAGGTGGAGTGGGTTTATCTACACTCTGGTATCCTGGTTACATCCAGGTTTTATGAGTTTTCCTGTTTTGTGTTTTGTGTGTGTGTTAAAACCATTACCCAGTTCCCAGAAATCTAAATGAACCTCTTCCTGTATTTTACAATCCAGATATGCTCTCTGGAGTGCTTCCATCTTACTGCAGCATGTTGGTGACTGAGATAGTGGGAAGTTAAGATATATCTGCATCTGCAAACAAATGATCCGCAGCCTGGTTACCGTCATAAACATGCGTACAACTCAGCTACAAGGCATATACAGTGCAGCAATATTTTCTGCAACTGAACCAACTGTTGGTGGCAGTATTTGTACAGTGCAAAGAAATATTACATTTATTGCCTGTCCACTATTGTATTATTATCTGTTAATGGGCATTTGATTGGCTGTAGACAGCAGATTATTTGTGTGTGTGTGCGTGCGTGTGTGTGTGAGGTATGATGGTTGCATGAAAGCTGTAGCAGCTCATCATGTTAACTCATTACAGCTGCCCCTGTTGATTGACAGAGCCATCCTCTGCCTCGTGTCCAGCCTCGCCCTGACCCGCCCCACTGACACAGTTTATAATGACGTTATTGTGAGCGTTTATTAAATATAGCTTGTCCTTCAGTGCTGGGCGGCCGCATTGTTCGTTCTGGTGACACATTCATTTGTATATTACGGGTGGTTTTTCTTTATTATTGGCCTATTACAGCATAGTCTCATGACTTGGCATAATTGGGTCGTGTGCGTGCGTCACACACCTTATCAGCTGGCTGGGCGAGTGATTAATAGCCGATCACAAGGTTTCCCGGTAGCTTGTAATGTTGGTTAAAAAAATAGGCGATGAGTTCTCCTGTAGTCCTCCAGTGAATCATGTCTTTATCCTGGATGTGTCTCCTACTATTAAAGCATATACAGGAACTGTTTTGGATGCAGCGTAATGTCCTGAAATAGACCATTCTGGCACACAATAGTTTGCTTTTAATAAATAGGACTGTCAACAGCCACGGGAAGGAAATAAAACCGGCGCTGACTGTTACATGAAGTGTCATATAACAGGTGTCATGTCACCACGGAGGCTATCCCAGTTCTATCTGGTTTTTATCCCAAATATATTTGCATTCATACAGGTTACATGTCAGATTTACACCTCTGCTGTGACACATCTTTGGCTCCTTTGCAAAGAAAACATCTTTTCCTGTAAGTGTTTTGGTTCTAAGTATGTTTTTTCATGGAGTGAATTTGCCTTTTACAATTTTCAGTCACTTCCCCACCCTTTCCCTCAGGTTTTAGTAGTTTGACTGTGTGCTTGTGAGATTTTGTGAGCCCACTCTTTAGTTTGTTGCAGAATTACGTTGAAAGTCATTCTCTTTGATTTCTGTAACTCAATAGCAGTGGGTAAAAATATTTGTGGGGGCACAGAGCAGGAGAAACATTAGAGGCATAGCTGCTGCAGGAAGTAGAGTCTTAAGTGAGTGGCCTGGGGCAGATGTAACAGTTTACCAGCACTTCAGTCTAAGATGCAGCATAGACGGCTCTCTTGTTGTTGTTTTCTTGAGAAGGCGCACACGGGAGTGAGGCGACTGGAAAAGACACAAGGGCTTTGATATCGGGTTTGACCTCAGGAGGCACTGTGAACGAGCAGCCAAGCTAAGCTAAGGTTATAAAACAGGTCAGCTGTGTGGTCTCTGTACTTTAAGTTCTTGGGTCATTTTGTTTTTCTGAAAGTGTTCAAGCTCTCTACAAGGGAGCGGGGTTTGCTCTCGTTTCAAAGGTCGTATGTTTGGGTCATGTCTCCAAACGGAACCACTGACCTCCTCTGACTAAAAGCTGAGATCAGCCTGAAGAGGAATGTAGGTTGTCACCAGAGCTATTTTGGCAATGTACTGCTGCTAATGATTGTGATCACAGAGCAGCGCTTGGAGCAGTTGCTTTCCTTTTTTCCTACCAGCAAGTTTGATCATGCAGCTCTCACCAGCACTTCAGGGATTAGAGAGTTAAACGAATGGCACGTAGGCTGCGCTTGCATTTCGCGTCAAGACGAAGCAACACGGACCCTCTGTCAGAGAGCCTCAGCAGCCATGGTGAGGAGAGCGGAGTCAGTGTGCCAGCTCGTAGCCCCGCAGAGATTCTGGCGCACAGTTCTGTCCACTTAAAGGTGACTCCTCTGTCACCAGACTATGCTAATTTACAGCGGTACTCTTCAGTTCTCGTACCCAGGGTTAATACTGGAGCATGTAACAGGAAGAGCATTCTGCAGATCTCGCTGCAGCCCTATGGAAAGCCCAATGGAGAGGTGGATGGCTGTATAGAGGATGGAGACCCAGCGGGAAGTGAAGGGGGAGCAGGCAGTGGCTCTGAAGGAGGCTCATGCAGCAGTAGCATGGCCAGCGATCCTGGGTATTGTAGTAGTAACAGCATCTTTGAACCAGAGGCTTCAGAAAAACCCAGGACTACTCAGGAACGATGTCTGCACTGCTGCAAATCCAAGGTCCCTCTGAGACGGTGCTCCTCCTTGGTTATATTCCCAAAGAGTCCCTGTAACACTCCACCTGCATCCCCAGTCAGTCCAGTGGCTCTCCCTGCTCTCCCACCAACGAAGGGCTTTCATCAGTCATCTTTTCAGACTTTTCAGCCATGCTCACAAGATGATGAGGAAGTGACTTGCAAAGGGTCCACCACCACGGCAGTAAGTGGCCACTGTCTCCCAAAAGGAAGCTGTTCAGCTGAATTCAGGGATACCAAACACATGGTGCAATTTAATATTCCTTTAAAGGATGAACCAAAATGCAGAATGGAAGACGGGAGTAAAACAGTGGAACTGTCCTCAACTCTAGACAGAGTGAATCGACACTCTAGCAGCGTGCTGCTGCACTTTGCCCACCATCGACCAATGATACTAGGGGATGGAGCTACAACTATGGCAACAGTTAATGTGGGAAATCCTGGGGACCCTCATCCAGCCCCACATCCTGAGGGTGAACTTGACCCTCGCAAAAAACTTTATCGCAGTACTTCTGCATGTTTGTTCTCCTCAACGAGACCAAGTGATAAAAATCAGAAGGTCTGTTTGTCAGGAAAAGGCCAGGAAAGGCCTGAGGGAAACCATTGTCATCGCGCTATACAGAGAAGCTTTTCCCTGGAAGTTCCCTACGCTAACACTGGAATTTCTTGTCATGTTTCGAATCCAAAACTCAGTAGCCCTTGCTCTCCTCATGTGCACATTCATTTGTCTCCTTGCTGCCCTGCTAAGCTGCCTAGCTCTGTAACGGATGTAAACACAAGCCACAAAGGGGATAGTACACCAAAGAGTCCAGGTCAAAAACACAAGGTGAGTTTTGAGTTACCATCCCTATAAACCTTACAATGAAGAGAGGCAAACTGGTCTTGAATAATCATTGCCTCAAGAGACCTCGTGTGTTGTAAATCCCTTTTTAAAGGAGCCCTGTGCAGAGCTCTGTAATGTTGTTAAACCCGTTCAAGTGGATTCCACAAGCTTTGAATCGACTCTTTCAGTGACGTTACATTGACTTGTGCTTTCTCGTTTGGACATTCATGAATACTGCTTTTAACAAACGCATATATGTCAGCTTGGCTCTTCTATCTAACTGAAGCTGGGGAAAAGTTTGATGTTTGTGTACAGTTGATAATGCATTTTAATACAGAACGTTATTCCTCTAACAAAGCTGTTCTTCTTCACTCCGGTTGCCATTCAAACCCCTTTAAACTTTTTGTACTCAGCCAGTAGACTGACCACAAGCTAGAGCGAAATTCAGTAACCGAGAGGATTGCTACAGCTAAGTCATGCAATTAACAAGCCCAATGTGGACAAACATTCAGAGGTATTGGGTTACATTACAGTAAATCCATTTGCATATTGGTTTCCAAGAATTGCAAGAACATTAAGTTAAAGTAGCCCATCTGACATCTTTATGCCTGTTTGATAATTTGTATGAGCCAAGATATGCTCAAATTTAGAATAGTACTCCTATTTTATTATTCTGTTAGCACTATGAGTAATCGACATAAGTATTTACCCGGGCTAATTTTAGTGGTGGGAAAAGCAGTGCCCCTTGCTGATATAAATAAAGTTCCTCTGAAATATTCCCCCTGACTCCAGATAGTCTGGTGGTCTGTAGCACTGCCCAGTCCCGTGGATTCAAATTTAACAGCATGATACTAGAGCAGTGCACAGTCATGCCAGCCATCTGTGGACATGGTGTGTGGGTCTGTGTGGTGGGGGTATGCAATGTAGGCAGGACGGGAGTGTGAGCCCTTCCCAGTACAGGGTGGTGAGTCCCTTCCCTATGGGTCCCCCTGCCATGCAGTGTTTGTGAAGTATCAGGTGTCAGCCTCCCCCCTGCATTTAGCAGCTTGTCAAGTAAGAAGATTTCCTTCAGTAATTAACCAGCCCGCTTACTTAAAAGACTGAAAGTTGATTTTCTTTAATGGCATTTAACTTCAGTTTTAATGTCCATAATCCTTTTTTGTTCGATTGGTACAGAGTTACACATGTTTTTCAGAGGAGTCGGTCAGAAGTATTGCACATCTTTGTTGACATTCTCACCATAAACAACCACAACAGGGCAACAACTGTGTTAATCACACTCTTTAAGGTTACATATCTATCAGAAGGTCTATCTTCATTATGATTGCACAGAAACACTAGTCAAAGAAGTAAAACATGCATCCAAGTGTATTTTTAATTTCTCTCCACAGAAATTGAAATATGTGTTTTTCGTGATCAAAGTATGGGTTATTGTCATAGGGACTCAATTTGGATGATGACTGTTTGACTCAGAAATTACAGCAATGGTATAAACAGTCACCTAGCACTTAAAACAGAACAGAAAGAATAAAAATACAGCAATTACAAAGATCTAAAAAGGAAAAAAAAGGTTTCGATTCAACTTAATTGTCAAGTATTATTATATTCCATGCCCTTTTTGCACTACAGACACAATGATTTTCTCCAATATATTCACCATTTTTTCAAGAATGGCTATAAATACTATGAAATCAGCAAATTTTCAATGCATTCATTTTGATGAAGTTTGCTCCAGAGTTTGCAAAAATCCCTCAGCAGAATATTTCAGGTCTTTTTCTTATCTGCAGTGCCCTCACAACCCCACATGCCTCATCTCATGAGTTAATGAATAACCACGAGTGACCTCATTACACAAGTTGGATCCAAACTTAAATCAGAAATCTCTCTGCTCTATTATAACTTCTGTGATCATTTTTTAGTCATGCATTGGTTCGGTTTGCTGTAGACCACATAGATTCACATGATAGTTTTTGTGTGGTTGTGTTTTCTGGTTTGAGGCGGATTCCTTCATTTGTTGTAACACGTGGTTTATAGACACCACACACCAAACAGTCCAGCCCATATAACGCTTATCTTTTAGACCGTAACTATTTTACAACTGAAATAGCGCTGGCATCCAGGAAGACTCTGACCTCTTTCTTCTTTCTTCTCTAAGAGTTAAAAACTTATTCAAAAGAGAGGGGGGAAAAAATCACTCTTGGTGTTGTTGTCCCCTATCTCATTTCTCTGATGTGTTTGCATATTCTTTAACAGGATGGCCCATCATCAGACACTTTTTGCCCGCTCTGATAACATTATCTGAGTTGGTCTTTGGAAGTTTAGGTTTCACAAGCTGCAGTCCACCTGTTAAAGAAGTTTGTCGTTGCCAAGCTATGATGGATATCACTGAGCTTGCTCCACAGATTCAAAACCATGTGCGTGCTGCTGATTGCCACAACCTTATGCAGTATGCGGTCAGCACTGCTTACTGCCACATGCTAAACTGAGTCGTATTTAGTGTTACATGAACCTTTGGGGATGCTCTGAATGTACATTTATCTGTGCTTGACTCTTATGTTATGGACAGTCTTGTGATGGTTCCAAAGCGTTCACCAGCTATTTGTCAAGTTTGGCCTTACCTCACCTGACAGCACCAGGAAGTTTTCCTGGAAAATCACCCACACACGTTTGTTAACTAATTTAGAAATGACTTTCTTAACGTTTCAAATCAGCTGAGACAGTGAGTCACTGATACTTGCCTGTATTTTTTTTTATATTCTGTTCCCGATATACCGAGGTGAGTTTTAATTTGACAGAGGGATCAGTTGTGTGTTAGTTTTGTCCGTGGTAATGAGTTATAAATGATTGGACTGAGATAAAGAATGTTGTATTTTTTGTTTTGTGAATTTAAAGGTCATATTTTTTATGGATAGTTGAAGTAAACAGGACTTTTAAAATCTTTACACATATATGTGTATTTGTTTATTAAATCTTCATACGATTGCCAGCATTGGATCTCAAAAGCTTTAAGTAAAAGCATCTCAAAGATATACTTGATTTACTTATTTCTAAGAATATCTAAGACAGAGTAAGTGTTTTGAGTGTTTTCTCGTGGACACTTGGCAGGAAATAAGGTTTAGAAATGGTTGTCAACTTTACATATACTCCAGTCTGTCTTGGTTTGTAGAGCCTTTTGTCTCCGAAACTCTGGAAACTTCCTTCTTTCTCCTCACTTACTGCTGAAAACGAACCTCTCAGAGTGAGGCACACAGAGTTCACAGGGTGATCTACATGACTGTTTTTAAAGACGGTTCACGGATAAAGAAATGTCCTAAATCTGAATTCCCTCTTGTCTGATAGTGTGGAGTGTGAATGAATTTGACTGTCAAAAACAGCACTGAGAATTTATTTCAACTTTGAACTAAAGAGACCATACTGTGAAGAAACTGCAGTGTGAAGGGCTTTTTCAGTATGCTCTGCCACATGTCCCAGGATAGGATGAGTGGTAGATTGATTCAAGGCAGCATAGTTACCAAATATGATTGATGTTTCAAAGCTTGAAAGAGTTAGATTCACTACTAATTTGCTAGTACTTCTATGGTACACTGGACATTTTCAGCTTTTGTGGCACTTTGGGAACTTTTTAAATGACAAAATAGCTGATTAATGATGTTGCCAATAGATTTTGTTGAATTTTTTCACATTGTGTTGGTAAATAATCAGGATGATTGATTAACTGATAAAAAATCACCTGTTAATAAACATTCTTTGCCTCTGCAGTAATCTGACCTTTACAGTTTCCATTTTAGTCATCAGTTCAGTGACCCACAGTCAGTGCTAACATTAAGGTAGCTTAAACTCTGAAACCAAAAATTTATTTTTGCTTTAAATTTTCTCATTAAGTGTTTTTCTATCAACTTTATCATCAGTACTATCCTCAAAAGTTCATGCAAAACCAATAACAAGTTGAACACATTTTGACAAAATTAAAACAGACTGCTTGAAGTCTTGGATGATATTCTTGAGAAAGTTAAAATATCTTAGTAGTTGTTATTGGTCATTGCTGGGGTCCACATTGCCTCTTTTTAAAACTGTTCTTTAAACTGCTTTTCTTGGCTTCACTATTCAAAGCACATGGGCAGGATGGAAGGGGCCTCCATCTAAATCTGTTCATGTAAACACTCTTTACCTCCTTTGGGCAGTTTGACCTGCTGTAGGTGTTAATTTGGTCGCAAAGCTGACTCCCACTGTGAAGTGTATGTTTGCATTTAGTGCCCATGTCTTCAACACTGTAACGACAGAGATAAGTGCACATGAATGAGTGATGTGCTCTCAGAAACTCATAACGCTATGTCATTTATTTCTCAAGAAGTAACAGTGCAGCCAGTCATTGTGATCTATAAAATCCTTGAGATCAGAACAATCACTTTCATTGTTTGAAGCTGTAATATTATGCAATGTTTGAGTTGAGGAGCAGATTTTCTTAATCACTGATTATCGATTGATGTAAAGGAACTGGTGTATGAAGAAATAAATGTGGCAATTTTATAAGAAAGCTTTAACCCAAGATGAAATAGCTCCAAAATTACACTCTACAGGCCCCTATGGGGTTATCACTGAGGTTATTAATTCTACAAAGAAGTAACTTAACATGTTCAGGCCAGTCCTGTGTGTGTATATGTGTGTGTGTCTCTCTGTGTGTGTGTGTGTGTGTGTGTGTGTGTGTGTGTGTGTGTGTGTGTGTGTGTGTGTGTGTGTGTGTGTGTGTGTACATGTCTGTGTGTTTAGGAGAAGATAATATTGTCATGATCCTGACTTCTGTATGTGACACTCCCTACCCCCTCTCTTTCTGTCAGACACGTGATGACTTTCTGGGACAGGTGGACATCCCCTTAAATCAGATACCGGTGAGTCCTTGGTTGGTTGCATGAGATACTTGTTCTTTGTATATTGACACCTTTGACTTGCTTAAGTTCATGTGAGTTGAGTGTATTTAGTTTTTACTGTAACATTTACTGTACAAGTGCTCAACCTCAATCTCAAACCATGTTCCCGTGTAAATATGAACACGTGTGCCCTTATTCTAGTGTCTGTTCCACATCATTGTCCACAGTTTTGTAAACACAGCCCGTCATGTTTATGTTACCTTTCTGCTTTGTTTCATTACAAATACAACACCCACAAATTAGCTCCCATTGTTCAGTGTCACCATTGTTTCATTTAAATGTATCCTTAACTATATTCTGGTTTAACACCATGGAGTATTTATGAATATGACTGTGAAGAGTGTTTGTAGACTTAAAGATTTTCTTTCTATTGTTTTCTCAGACAGAAAATCCTAACACAGAAAGGCCATACACATTCAAGGATTTTCTGCTTCACCCTCGAAGGTTGGCATGATTTCATGTTGATTGAGTCTTCTTGTGTTTCCTTTCTGTATACATTTCATTTTTTATGTTTATTTCCAGGATAAATAATAGACCACAGGTCATTGTTGACTAAATGAATGACTCGTGTAAATTACCGAGTGAGACTTGATGGTTTGTTTTCATAACACTGTCTTTAAATAACTCTTATTAATCATGCAGCCACAAGTCCAGAGTTAAAGGTCACCTGCGTCTCAAAATGACCTACCTACCAAAAAACCCAGGTTCAGAGGAGGAGGCAGCAGATCAGACTGAAGACACTAATGTGAGTCTCGCCAGTGTTTCTATAGCCTGGTTGTTTTTTGGGGTATTTGAAACTACTCAATCGCTAAAGTCTTGTCCTAAATATAATGTTACTGAGTCCAGCTTACTGTTGCTTTTCCTTGATTATAATAAAAACTGGCTTATGATTTCTTCACAGTATCTGTAATTCACTCGAGTCTGTCATTTTCATTTTCCCTGCTGTATACAGTTAAACAGCTGACATTAGGATATTGCCTCCATCCTTCTTGTGCATCTGCTTAAACTCTTGATTTATGTTGTGCAGACTGAGTGGGAGTTACCAGAGGGCCAGGACATGTCAGGTCCTCGACAAAGCCAGCTCCTGCCCGCTCTGCCCCCTGGCTGGGAGGAGCGGCAGGACAACCTGGGAAGGACCTACTTTGTCAATCATGAGAGCAGAACCACACAGTGGCAAAGGCCCACCATGCAGTAAGAATGCCCCACCCCATCTCAAGACGAAGAAATTTAGGTCCTTTTCAGCCCTGATGGACAGTATGTATTTATGTGTGTGTGTGTGTCTTTAACAGGGACAGTGTTGTTGGAATGGAAAGAAGACCCAACAACAATATGGAGGAGCATGCTTTTATAACACGCAGACAGATCTCAGACCACGATGAGAACTCCACTCGAGAGTCCCCTGAGGTAACATTAGCAAAGCATTTTCATTGGCATTTTGCTCTGTAATGTGCCCTGCTTGTCTTGTTTTACTGTTCAGATGTACCTGCACTTTTTTATACTGTTTACAAAGAACAGATGAGGTTAATCAAAAGACTCTTAGGTTTTCACTTTCAAAGGAACAATACAGAGCAGCTGTAAATCCCTGCACGTCAAGTTAGAGGGTGAACATGTTGGATAATTGCTACTCTGTTTTTGTGAAAACTTCATTCTCAAATGGTCTCTCTACTCAACAGGCAAGTGGGCAAGTGGTTGAGCATTGATAGTCGAACAAGCTGGAGAATGAGATAAGAGAGGGAGTACTTTTTTTTTCTGTTTTTTTTTCTTCACATTGTGAACTTCCCAAAGCACAAAAAACATTGCTGCACCTTCATAGGGAAGAAGCTTGTTGGACTACATGTACATCCCAACAAGAGCAATAATTGCTACTCTGTTTTTGTGAAAACTTCATTCTCAAATGGTCTCTCTACTCAACAGGCAAGTGGGCAAGTGGTTGAGCATTGATAGTCAAACAAGTTGGAGAATGAGATAAGAGAGGGAGTATGTTTTTTTTTTCTGTTTTTTTTTCACATTGTGAATTTCCCAGAACACAAAAACATTGCTGCAACTTCATGGGGAAGAAGAGTATTGGACTTCATGTGCATCCCAACAACAGCAGAGCTTCACGTTGTCCTGTTTGGTGTATTTATGTATCAGAGAGGCAAGAGACAGGGACAGATGTGTCTCCTGGTTGACGTGTTTTTTCATTTCTATCTCAGCTAGCACCCTGCTAGTTGCTGGGGGTTAAAAACAAATACCCATAAGTTAAATCCCAGAACTGTCGTCTAAAAGGCAAGATAATGAGAAATGCTTTTCAGGATGGATTTCATGCCTAAGTGTTGCAATTGACAACAAGGACTTAAAGGAACTGAGTGTCTTTTGTCTTGTGTAATATTCTAGCCTAGGGTTTATTGTTTTATCTATTTGTTTTGGTTTACTCCAACTGACTCATTTGTGGTTGCAGCAGGCATCTATTTTCTGCAAAAAAAATAATAATTAAATTAAATTACACAAGAAAATAGACATTTCTGAGAGCCCAGCAGATCCCAGCTGCTCACCAGGTAGTGTGTGTTGTTAATGTAGTTGAGTATTTGCCTGCTAAAGACCCGGGTATGTCTCTCAAAGAGGATAAGAGATTTTAGCAACAAGTCAAAGACAAGTCAAATCAGTATTTATTCGCTAGTAAGTTCAATTTAAGAAATGACTTTGGTATCTCAGTAATGCTCACTGCGTGCTCCCATTTGCTGAATTTGGCCCAAAAAAAGCAAATGAAGGTTTAAGAAAAACACTGTCCAAATACTGGACACTGATAAGTGTTTTAAAATACAAGAAAAACTGAACGGTTTAGGGATCCTGTGTGGAAGCTGAGTAATGCAGTAGCAGCAGTTCTGGCATGTCCTCTATGTCTGGAGAGCTTTAATATTGGCATAAACACAAACAAACCGTCTCACGGGTTTACTGAATGGCTTAGTGTTTTCTTTTTTTTTCTTTTTTACTGAACTGCTGTTTCTCACATTGGCTCATTCCTTCTCCATGCCTTCTTATGTCTCTCTTATCCTTAAGAGCTGGGAAATTATCACTGAGGACGACTCCACTTTGTACCACAGCAGTAACCAGGTTTCATCACCTCCACCCCGCACACCTGTCCCTGAGTTCCTTGCTTTTGCAGATGAGCTGAGAAACATTCACATTTCAGGGCCCACAGCTGGCACCTCCCAGACAGTGAGTCATTTTTTTGTTCAGCTAAAGGTTCTTGTTTCCGGAAGTCTGAGGAAAAGATACTCATAATAAGATTCACTGAATATAATCCACAAGCTTTTAGTGAGAGAAGTGGGAAGGAAATTACCTCAAATGACCCCAGTGAGCACTATTGTCTTTCATTTCCTTCTCCCTGCTGTAGAATCATGCTAGTAATTCAAGCCATTCCAGTATCAGAAGAAGCTCCCAGACTTCAACAGGGGAGGAACATCCCGTTAATCCTGTGGTAAGTGTTTGACTCTCTGTTGAAATCACTCCCTTCTACATTTTACCAAACCTGTCTTGCCCCACAGCATTTAAGTATGAGTATTCAAGGCTCACAGGTATCTCCTTTAGTCATAGCTTCTTTTTTGTTACTTTAAAATGTTTCTGAAGTCAGGACTTGATTAAATGATTTCAATATATTTTCTAGATTTGTTTTCTGTTGATCAATAAGCTTTAGATTTTCAGTTTTGATCACTTTGTTTTTTTCAATGTCATCAAATAGCTACTTCCAACCTCAGTTGGACTCCCTCCAGGCTGGGAGGAGAAGCGGGACAGTAAAGGCAGACGCTACTTTGTCAACCACAACACCAGAACCACTTCATGGACACGACCCTTTGTTCAGGTACAGAACAGGCTTACTCATGGACTTGTGCAAATGTATACGCACACTGTCACCATTCAGTATAATTTCAAAACCTTCTTCTTAATCCCAAAGTTTTCCATTTTTGTGAGTAGTTGGTAACTTTAGGTAACACCTAAACCTCTCCAAGTTGATTTTTTGTGTGTGTGTGTGTTTGACAGAGAACCTCAGAGGCAGTAGCTGCACCGAGTGCTGCAAGTATACCTCAGAGCCCCACTCCACCTCCTCAACAGCCTGCACCCCCTGAGGAGTCTCCTCAGCACACCCCCAGCCCTGAGAACATGCATGAGTTTGGCTCCATGCCAGCTGGCTGGGAGGTTCGCAGCGCTCCCAATGGCAGACCCTTTTTTATTGACCACAACACAAAGACTACAACCTGGGTGAGAGGGCAGGAGTTTCATGTTTAGGAAGCTCATGTTAAAATGGTTACCACACTTCAGGGGGTTTGGTTTGTTAGATGGCCACTAGGGGCAGACTCCAAGTAAACATTAAGAAATGGTCACAATAGCTAAGTAAGCTTCTTTTAATGTGGTTGTCACTTGAATAAAGTTGAGGAGTAGAGTCCTTATGCCTCATTAGTGTCTCAAACAAACTTTCCTGCGTACAGTTTTCCTTTTTTGAACCAAACCATGTTTATTGTCCTTTGAACAGACCGACCCCAGGCTGAAGGTTCCCGTGCAGATGAGGAGAAGAGCCTCACTCGACCCGTCTGATCTTGGCCCTCTGCCAGTAAGTTCATTTGATAAACAAGATTAGTAAAAAAAAAAAAAAAGATAAAAGACATTCATCAAATTTTACTTACAGATCCCAGGCACTAAAAAGCATATGGGGTCTAAATTTACACGCTCTGTGCTCTTGTATTCATATTATTTTGATAGTTAATAGTTTATTTAAAAGACGATATGTTATTTTCTTCTTTCCTAGCCTGGTTGGGAGGAGAGGGTCCACAGTGATGGGAGGATATTCTACATTGATCACAGTAAGGATCAAATTTCATAAATGAAATACATCTTGGTCTTATATTCAGTGATGACAAAGCTCCAGTATTTATAAATGGCCTCTTATGTCTAATTTTTCACAGACACCAAGACCACACAGTGGGATGATCCCAGATTACAGAACTCGGCTATAACTGGACCAGTAAGTTTGGACTGTTGTTCACAGATCATTTTTTGGTGACATTATATAAGGAGACTGAAAAAAAAGTTTTTATTTGTAGATAAGAGGTTTACTGTTCATGAGCTTTATTGACTGCTGTGTGGACTTTAAGGTGGAGATTGATGAGTTGTCACTGAGTGCTGTTCTTTGTTGGTTACAGGCAGTGCCTTATTCCAGAGATTACAAACAGAAGTACGACTACTTCCGAAAGAAGCTTAAGAAACCGGTGAGTGTCCTCACAGATGAACCGCTATCATTTTTATTATTCTGTATTTTACAAATAGAAATTTGTGATAAAAATGGACATAGTAATTTTCAAAATCAGTATAAACATCACCACTTATCTGATACTAGTTTTCCAGTCATGCTTCCACATGTGTAGAGATTCTTGATCACTTTCCTAAATGATGAAGCACTTTTTTCTTAAGTATGCAAATATGCTTGTATGTAGGCAGACATCCCAAACCGATTTGAGATGAAGCTCAGACGAAATGCTGTGCTGGAGGATTCGTACAGGCGCATCCTCTCAGTGAAGAGGGCAGACCTGCTGAAGGCACGGCTTTGGGTGGAGTTTGAGGGAGAAAAAGGTCTGGACTATGGCGGTGTTGCCAGAGAGTGGTTCTTCCTCATGTCGAAGGAGATGTTTAACCCATACTATGGGTTGTTTGAGTATTCTGCCACGTAAGTGCAAACACAAACACCGTTTCCAACTATACAAGTGCTCAGGCTTCTAAAATTCTATCTCAGAGGCATAAACATGATCAGTAATTGTTGAACTTGTGTTTCATGTTTTGTCAGGGAGCAGGTAACCTAACTGAGGATTTTTTTTAATGTTCTCTTCTATGTTTTTGTTATGCCTCCCAGGGACAACTATACCCTGCAGATTAATCCAAACTCTGGTTTGTGTAACGAGGACCACATTACCTACTTCAAGTTTATCGGCCGGGTAGCAGGCATGGCTGTGTATCATGGCAAACTGCTTGATGGTGAGTGCGTACCTGTTTTGTTTGTGTGCCACATATTTGCATATTTTCATACTGATACCAGTGTGAGTAGGCTCATTAATAAGCTCTATGCCTTACTGTGTGGAAGAGACTAGGGTCATAGTTTGAGGTGAAAAGCTACTCCAGACGTGAATTACTCCAGCTTCACATTAGATGCATGACCGTTGTAGAACAGCTCAGTTTTGATTTCAGCATGCATGTTTGCAGATTAGACCTTTTACACGGCCAGCTAAGCAGTGCACTTCATGTCTGTTTCACACATCAAAAATCAAGGGAATAGAAGCTGTAAGAATCAGTTCTTTTGTTGACTGCTCAAGGACAACCAGAGAAGTCTTCAGGTCTCAGATAAACCTTTTATTATGGCCACAGGTAGAGTAATACAGCACTGAACTCAGAATGACAGAGCTCCTTGGATTTCCGTCACAACGGGGTAGTCATTTCGGGGTTGCCCTTAATAGAGGCTGGACATATATTGGACGGAGTGTCATTGGTCTGCTATCTCTGATGTGAACAGGCCATCCGCTGTTCATGTAGTCTTACTAAAATGTGCTATGAAACGTGTGTGTGTTGACCTTGAGGCCTGTAACTACTGTAGCAGACCTGTCCGGCAGAATAAAGAGAGCTTTGTGGTTCATCAGGTTGCTGCTTATCAAGGCCTCACACTGTTCTGATTAAATGAAAACAACCAGTGAGTTACATGGAAACACTCATTAAGTTGCATTAGTTCAGTGGGAAAGTGTAAATCTGAATCTGAAATAAACAGACACCAAGTTACAGGAGTTCAGTAAAAAAGTACAAATCTAACATTAGCAAAGTAAAACACAATTATAAAAAAGGCTTGATGGTTTTTTGTCAAGCTGCACTTTGATGTCTGCAAAAAGTACAGAAAAAAGATATTTTGAGTGCTGTATTGTCTCTGTATCAGCTCATGAACTTTGTTAAAAAATGATCCTGATGACTTACATAAAGCCAAGATATTTTGATAACAGTAGTTTATGATCTTATTTTGGGTGAAATGTAGGGGAAATGAAAACCTTGGAGCAGAAACACCCACAGCCATCATGTATCCAGTGTAAAGTTGGCTCTAAACTCTTCTCTCCTAACTTTGTGAATCCAAATGAAACTTGCACACAGCTGTAGAACCTGTTGGTATAAAAAAGAGCAGAATTCTTCCTAACAGCTGACATATGACTGTGCTGGGTAAATAGCTACCAGGTGTGTTGCTGACACCTTACATGGTAGACAAAGACGTGGAAGTAGGTCAAGTTAAAAAGATTTAAAGCAGATAAAATAGACACTGGAACAAATCTGGTATTAGTTTGCCTTTCTGCGATGTATCTTGTGGTATCGAAAAATACAGGAATTATATCAGATAAATGCAGTGTATTTTATGTTTTTATAAAAAAAATTAACTTTCAAAAATACAGTTGTGCTATTTGTGGTTTGTCTCATTCAGTCTATATTCTACTTTCAATTCAATTACTACTTTGTCCAGCTTTCTGACAGCAGCTCTGACACTTTCATTGAGAAATTAAGAGAGGAGGAAGAACAGGCGGGGAAACAAGTTACACCATAAACTTTCCCAATAAACATAGTGGCCTTGGATTACTTACACAGTGTCTGTAATTTCTGAAGGTTTTTAAAATGATGTTTGATTCATGTCACCAGCCCACCGTGATAGTACCCTCTAATTAAACAAAAACTCACCGTGTTTTTCTGCTTACTGGTTTCTCAAGTGTACATTGTAAGTAAGGATGCCTAAAGTAAACACCATGTGGTCACATGAGTGGTCTGTATGTGTCAAGGAGCACCAACACAAGCAGGAAATCTGCCTACCTTAACCAAGCCACAGCAGGGGTTTCAGTGGCTGCAGCAGCGATTTGATTTCACAGCCATGTGACACAGATACAGACAACATGTTCAAAACAAAGATGGCATAGAGTGATATCAGAGAGACATTTGCTGTAGATTACTCCAGGACAATGTGAATGTTACATATGCAATGATGTATCTCTTAGCTTAGCAATTAAAAAAAAAAACTAATTTTGCTGTGTTCCTCAAAGCTTTCTTCATCCGGCCTTTCTACAAGATGATGCTGCAGAAGCCCATCACTCTGCAGGACATGGAGTCTGTTGTAAGTGTCCTCATCTTATGATTTACTGCTCAAGTTATAGATCTTTTAAAGGAAGCTGAAAGATATTTACTTTTTGTCTTTGTTGACTTTTAGGACAGCGAGTACTTCAACTCTCTGATGTGGATTCTGGAGAACGACCCTACAGACCTGGATTTGATGTTCACCATTGATGAGGATCTCTTTGGACAGGTTTGGCTACTGTGCTGTCTGCCTCAACTCTTTTAATTTACATTTTCTGTGTGAGTTATATTATTTACATGCCTCACTCGTCCTGCACAGACTCAACAGCATGAACTGACACCAGGCGGCGCAGAGATAGTCGTCACAAACGACAACAAGAAGGAATACATCCAGTAAGCAGCAGAACTTCTAATTAAAGAAATACTTAATCTTTTCGATGAAGTTATGGTTTATTTGTAATTTGTGGTTTGTGTTCGACAGTCTGGTGATGCAGTGGAGGTTTGTGAACAGGATACAGAAGCAGATGACGGCTTTCAAAGACGTGAGAACTTATTTGATTCATTTTTTTTAAATAAAGAAGATATGATTACACGGTATAAAGACAATAAATGATTGTAATCTCCATGTGTTTGTGGTTTCAGGGATTCTTTGAGTTGATACCTCAGGATCTGATCAAGATCTTTGATGAGAATGAGCTGGAGGTGAGTTTTTGTGTCTGTTTTATCAGTTGAAATAAAAAAAAATGAATTCCAGAAACATGAATTTCTCTCTCTCTCTTTTCTCTTGGTCTCTCTCTTCCTTTTTCTCTTTCTCTCTTTGTCCACCTGCACCCTTGTCCTTCTCAGCTGCTCATGTGTGGTCTTGGAGATGTGGATGTGAATGACTGGAGGGAGAATACCAAGTACAAGAACAGCTACTGCGCCAACCATGCCGTCATCCAGTGGTTTTGGAAGGTGAGACATCTTTCCATGCCTGGAGCTGACAAGCTCAGCTTTGAACCTTTACGGAGCTTTTTCTCCTAACTGTCATAAAATGTGTTTGTGTTGTTACAGACGGTCCTGTTGATGGATGCAGAAAAGCGAATCCGCCTCTTGCAGTTTGTGACAGGAACTTCAAGGGTCCCAATGAATGGCTTTTCTGAGCTCTATGGTGAGATATCCACTACATTTCACAAGTACCTGCTGTGAAGCGTCAGGCTTGATGATGCTTTTTCTGTTTCTATTCAAAACTTTCTCTCTAGCATCACATCTTTCCCCTCAATATTGTTTCCTCTTGTATTTAATTCAGAGGTGGCTTGAACATTTGTGTTCTGTTTCTTGTGTCTGAACAACAAAAAAAAAAAACATGCTGAATGTGTTTATCTCATCTTTGATGTTTGTTATTTTCCAGGGTCTAACGGACCACAGCTGTTCACCATCGAGCAGTGGGGAACACGTGATAAACTCCCCCGAGCCCACACGTGGTAAGCATTGCACCATAATGTATTACTATCCTAACACTCTTAGGAAGATGTTATATATTATTTATTTGTATATTTGTATTTGCATTTAAAGCTACTCTGAAGAACCTGAAACTTGTGCCTTGAACTAGGCAGCGTGTTTTATTTCTTTTCTGATCTGTGCAATACATTTGTGAGAAATGTTTTCTGATGAAAACCTCATCCTGCTTACTTTAGACTCTCTAAGGTATCATCAATTGTAAAACTTTTCCTAGAAATTTCAAACAAAGAAACTTAGAGTCTGCAAGCTGTAAATCTCATGACACAAACATGGTGGCAGCAGACACTTAGATAGAAATAATAAGTGGTCAACAGATGTCAGTTTTTGTTCATCAGCCAATTTGGATAATTAGAGGGGAGTTGGTTAGTTAATTTTTTATTTGCATTTGATAAAATTACCATGATAAAACCCATGACACCATGTTCTATACTATCTAATATACTTGGTTATCTCTGCCAGGAACATATTCTAGATGGGTTTTCATGAAATAGAGAAATACATCTCACTCAGAATTAGAATAACTTATTTAATCCCTGAAGGGAAATTCAATTGTCTGTATTCTCAGTTGTCATGTCTCAAAAAGTAATCTACTAAATCATCTACATCATTATGCTATGAGTTTTTAGAACATGGCAGATACTTAAGACAGAAGCAACACCAATCTGCATTGTCCATTACACCATGACTAGGTTGTCTGCAGTGTCTGAAAACTTTTTTTTTTGTTGTTTAACTAGCCTCATTAGCACAGGCGTGGTTGATGCTGACGATTTCAAAATACCAGACCAATTGATCAGTCTGTCGCTCGAAGTAATGGCCTGATTTGATTTTATAGGCCATAAAGAGGCATCAATATCAAAATCTGAGCTCCAAGGAACACAAACATTTCACAAACATTTTCATTTTACTGTAATGCATCTGCACAGGGCCTTCAATGTCTCTTGAAAATCTACAATTGTTCGCCTGAAGTTTACAGGATCAGAATCATGATCAAGTTAAGATATCAAAGAAATAATACAGCAGTAATACCTCAAGTTTAATCATCAGCTCTATATTACTCATGATTTTTTTTTTACTGTCTTTCTGTTGACATTGGAGTTGGTGAGCCTATGAATTAATAAATAAAATAAAGAAAACCTATAGATGAAATGTGAGTATAGTGGGTTGAAGCCCTCTGGTGGCTTGATGCTGTCATAGCGCCCATCTTGCTGAATACTATCATTTGGTTCAGTGAGAGCCTGTTTACAGGGAAAATGTCACTGATTTACTATGTTTCGGTCAATTTTCTGTCAATGCAAAAGTTTATATTTAGTGGCTTTATGGAGCAGTAGGATCCAGGGTTTTCTTTAAAGCTTGAGGTGCATCAAAGACTTGCGGTCAGCCCATCTTTGCTATGCTGCACCTTACTGATTAATCAGTCTCTTACTGGAAAGTTCCTTAGCTTTATCCTTTTTGCAGTATTTGATGTGAATTTTACTTTATTCTCTAACTGACTTCTCTTTTGATTCTCAAAGCTTCAATCGGCTGGACCTGCCTCCATATGAGTCCTTTGAGGAGCTCAGAGAGAAACTTAACATCGCCATTGAGAATGCACAAGGCTTTGACGGGGTGGATTAGTGCTCCTGCTGTCAGCGAGGTGAACTACTGCCATCAGTATAAAGCCAAGAAGTGGGACATTTAAACTTTGATGAAAGAAACAAGCTGTGCTTCGTACGCGGGTCTGTGCCAGCTGTGTGACAGATGAAGGAAAGTCGCACAATTTCAACCAGCATGAGGAGAAAGGACCCTAAATCTGGAGTGCTGGAGGGTTTTTAATCACTCTACATGTTCTCAAGTTTACAAACAAGAATGCAAAGATACATACTGTACATACAAAACATCTGACTTTGTAAAACATTTGTTCCGTTTTTGGCTGAACAGCACAAAGCTTGGTGCTCTGATTCTCACAGCAGGTATTTGTGAGAACAGGTTATATATATATATATAACACGTCTCCTGTCAAACATGGCTTAACTCAAAAGCTGAGTAAAAAGAACAAGTTCACAAAGAAGAAATGCAGATGTGATTTAGGCTTTAAAGATTAAAATACAAAGGCAACACAATGAAACATCATTGTACCAATTAGACATGAAAACATTGTCACATCCCAAATAAATTGACAATTTAGCCAATGTGAAACAGACCCTAAGGATGTCTTTGACTTCACCATATTAAACTTGTCTTTCTATGAATATAGTTTAATTCATCAGACCAGAAATACTGATAACAAACACTCAAACATACATTTGTAGCAGAAAACCTTTTTTATACAAGTTTGAGCAACTGTGCTTGAAGAGAGTGTTTCATTTAACCATTATAGTTGTGAAGTATCAATAACAGGACCAGTAAAAACAGATAAACCTGCAGTTTGTGTCTGTGTTGTCCACAGATCCAAAAATGTGACTAGGTTGTTCATGTCAGTGTTAGATTGTGCTGTAATACTATGCATAACTGTAAATATTGACTTAAGATAGTTAAGTATCACTTTGGTCACCAAAATACATTATTGTACATATATAGACAACTTTGCCTTTAAAAAATGATAAAAATTTGTATTATATAAATAAATATATAGATTTAAACTGTTAAATAACCCTGTGAGCTGTTAAATTCCCATATAATAGTAATCAGTGCACACTTCATTCTGTATCATATTTCATTCAAGACTAGTACCCACTTAAGTTGAAGTTTAAACACTGACTGTCTGCATTGTCAGAGGTGTAGAATAGTGTACACACATTTTATCTCCTGGCCAGTAGAAACATTATCTTTACATTAAACATTATCATACAGTTTTCATACAGTGTGTTAAATATAATGTTTTGTTTTCCTATGCTCATCATGGGTGTCTGATCACAAGCACAGTGCTCTATTTTTAAGAGTACAACTTTAAAAAAAAAAAAAAAGAGATTTGTTGGTTGTGAAAATATGTACAGATTATTTTCTGTTTATAAGATAAGTGATCACTTGTAATACATTTATAGAAGAATAACTGTACTTAAGCAGTAGTTTTAAAATTTTCTGAATGGTTAAACATGTGTTTACACTACCTGCCATGTTTACAGGATGGTGATAAAGAAAGTTATCGAGGGCTGGTTCTTGTTTCTGACTACAGTTTTATACTTATGCTTTTATAAAGTGAAGCACTTTGTTCATATCAATGAGTCTTACTTCTGATCTGTCTGAATCTTTGCCAATCTGTCATCTGCAGACTGCCTAAATCCCTCTTTGATATAATGATCCTATGCTTAAGTGCACATGTGTTTAAATGTTTACATGTGAGCATTGCTGAAATAAGCACATTCTCTTCTTGCAATGATATTTAAATTTAAATACAGAGGCCTTTGTAATGTATAGTAGAATTTGATTGGTTATTGATGTTTTTATCTCCAAATGGAAGTACTGTTATATATGTTTTGATTTCCACTGAGTATTAATGAATGCTAAACTTTCATTTGTAATATAATAATTTGTTATCAAAGAATTAAAAAAAAAAAACACCTATAAGTGCATTACAACGACATGCATGCAGCATATATACAGCATTTAAAAGGGTGGAATGAATAGTAGCTGTTTAATCCTAATTTGAGGACCTATATCAAACCAAATTCAATATATTTGAAAATAAAGAAATACATAAAATTATCCGGTGTCTGACTTACAGATTTATTTAGGTGTGAAGTGGCATTTCTCTTTTAAAATTTCTTTGTTTTTATGACCTAATCTCCATTGATTGGATACTGTGAATGTATGTACAGGCTCAACTGTCCAAACTCAAATGGATTACCTTTGTTTTATATAATTTCTGACTTTTTTCATACAGTTTCATACAACATAATCCAAACACTGAAGAAACAGTTGATGTCTCATTACCACTTTGAAACTAAATAGGATTGTTGTACTTAGCATCAAGTCCTGTTTAATCCAGCTGTAAAGCAGCTGCAAGTTTAGATTTGTGATTTGGTGCAGTAAGTTGGTTGTTGCTCTTCATCTTGACCATGATGGTTTCCTGTAGTTGCAATATGACTTTTTAAATTTTGTGGTTTCAATGAGCGTAAGAAAACTTCAAGTATACCTTGTGGAGAAGTCTTTCTTCAGTGCCTCTAAATACAAAACTACTTGTCTAAAAGACTTTTTTTTTGCCGAATTAATGGTGTGAATATGATTTGTCAAAATCCAGGAATGAAATATTAATCAATGAAATAATACCACCATGCTGTTCCTCAGTTTATAGTCCAACTGGTGACATAAATAGACACTAAAATACCAATAAGTTTGTGCATTTCTATCCAACATGCTTTCTGGGTTTTAAATTGGTCGATCCTGTAGCTGTATTTTAGTGCAGTGAGCTAGAAATCTGTTCGACTTATATGAATTTATCTGTAATTAGATATTAACCTGTGATCTTTGAGCATGTCATCCTCATGTAACGCTAGGTGTAAACAGGAGTGGGCGCTGTGGGAAGAGGTCATCTCTGCAGTCCGTGCCTTTTGTGTGATTTCTCCACAACCCCCAGTGGCACTAAAAACCCCCTTCCAACCACAGGGGTCAATAGAAAGGTCAGGAAGGATTCAGGCCGGCCATTTGGACACTTCTAGGGTCAGTGGGGATGGGCATGGGTGATAGCAGGAGGACCCTCACTGACCAATAGGAGCAGGTCCCATTTACCCACCACCCTACCCGACATTCATAACCTGATAATGACTTTTACTCCATCGATCAGGCCTCAGAGCTCAACCCGGGTTCAGATTCAGGTTGACCATCACTCCATCCACGAGCTCTGCTGTATTGACAGGTGCCGAAACGGAGGTTTTGATTAATTAAACACCCCAGGGAAAGCCTAGCAGAGCAGGACTTAGGCCATGTGTTCACTTTCTCACGTTATGTAAGAGGAGAATACATCCTATACTAAGGCTGTGGACAAGTAGTTTTTTCTGTCAGAGTACAAGTACAAGCCTTCCTGTAAAGAGAGGCTTTAAAGTATGTAAAGGATAGAGTGGCTAAATGAGCGCTTGACATAGTTTGAAAACTCAAAAAACATCTTATTATAATGGTAAGGTAATTCAAGAAAATACTAAAAACTGAACATTCTTTTATTCCAGTAAATATAGATAAATAGACATAGATTAGACAAATTTGTTTTTATTTTTCAATTTTGTTACCTTGACAAAGTCAAATTACCTTGTTTAACTTATCTCTGTTTTCTTTCCCATTTTGGAAAAAAGAATTTCTATATTCTATTTATTTATTTAAGGGCAGGGGCACAAGAATCTTCCTTTACAAATCAAGTTTAATAATTTTTTTCCTCTAAAATATGAGACATGAGATACAGAAGGAAAATATGAGATATATGATATAGATGAAATTTAGCAACTGTGCTAACTCCAACATATTTACTCTGATGCTTTAGCTGGTTGATCAATGAGCACCGTCCTAATCAAACAAATAAATAAATATGTCTTATCCAAGTCCAGATCATTTTCAATAAAGTGTAGATAAATACTGTTAGAGGCTCAGCATAAAGAAGTAACATTTTTGTGTGTTTATCAACTTGATTGGATTTTCATTTTCCTGCTCAGCACTTTTCCTTTTTTTTGTGATCATGCAGATATCACAGCTGGGCCATGGCCCTGCTGCTGAATAAAGGTTCACAGGGGGAGGGGTGAGGACCGTGGGAGGAAAGGGGTTTGATCACTCCCCACAATAAGTGATGGACATCGGATCAATATCGACATTGACGCAGCAGCTGTCCTGCTCCTATCGATGCTTCTTTGTAATTGCAGGGCCTGGTCTGAAAGGACAAGGGACAAACTCATTTCCATTAACATCTTGTTTTTAGTCAGCTGAGAACATTTGGTGTGCAGTTGGTCTCAGATACGTGGGGGGATCAGCTCTCATCAATACATCTGAACACATGTATTGATAAAGCAAAACAGAAACACTTAAAAACTGAAAGCTTTGCTGGACTGCTCTTTAAGTTACTGATACAAAGCATGCAGTTTAATGTAGATGAATTGATCATGTCACCAGTATAGAGGTGGTTACACTAAGGATTATTGTTGAACTCACTTTATGTGGAGTTAATAGGCTTCAATCAGGGTAAATGTATAGTTTTAAACAGTCCATGCTTGCCCAGTCATTATTAAAGAAGACAGAGGCATTCCTTCAAAATCAACATTAATTTTTAAGGGATTAACAGCTACAGGAGAGGCTACACAGTACAGTATATTCAGGCCTGTCAAAAAGCAATTCATGGTTGAAAAACTTATCTTCAGGATCTGTTATGTGGACACTTCACATTGTCTGATCTACCCATCTAGAAAAAGTGAATTTAGAAATGCAAGTGGCTTATTTTTACATAGTAGTTTCTGTTAAAACTGTGTCTGCACTGGTTAGTTTAATGATCAGTTGATTAATTTTAGTAATATTTCTTGCAAAACTCTTAATACATGGATCAAGTTTGTTAAATGAAAGGGTTTTACACTATTTTAAAACTCTATCACTTAGTCGGCTGTGATTTTAGTTTTCTTCAAATGTTGATCAGACTCAAAAAGGCAGCTTGAAAATGCCTGTTTGACTTTTAGGGATGCCTAGTAAGACATAGTACTGAAACATGTTACACCAAAGTCAAACATACCATACTGTAACAAGTTTATCAACGCCCAAAGTTCTCTCTACTCACATTGGTTTGTCATGCTGTTTATTTTTCAGCTTTCATCCTTGAATAAAACTTTTCCTTTTTGTTTTGATATAAACAAATCATATATGTGCAGTCCCAATAATTAAAGTCTATCACTCTTCTCTTACTTACATATCAAACCCATGGGTTGTAAACAGACCACAACACAGCTGATAAGGGGTCATTTGTACCATCTGTGCGCTATTACATCTACCGCTAGATGGCGCTTGACTAAACTCTCCATTGAAGATCCACAGACGTGATCAATTGACTGATGTCCATCCCACAGGAGGGAAACTCCACTTGTGCGGCTCACACAGCGGCTCATCTCTTCAGTAGCAGCGCAGTCGTTCATGTGGAGGAGACAACGATGAGAGAGTAGCTAGCATGCTCGGACAATTCATGTAAATGGCGCCCGTCAAAAGGAAATTATACCAGCGCTTGCTGTTCCTTCTCGTTTTTCTTCCAATCTCAGGTAAGCAGCGTTTTTAAACACGGTGTTGTTTGAGAGTTAAAGCGGTGTTTGGTGCATCACTGTGGCTGTCCGTGACCTGTGTGTTGGACGGTGGACCCTGAACAGGAGCTGAGGACAGAGTTTAAAGCTCTCCTGTGAAACTTTACCGCGTTAACGGTCAACCAACGAGTATTACCGTAAAGTTTAGAGCCGCTCACCTCTGAAGATGAATAAATTAGTTTCTTTTCTGGTTTGGATCACCTGTGAGTCGTCTTAAGTTGTGTTTAAGGTACAGTTATTCATTTTAAACCTCACGAAATGTTATTATCGGAATAAGAATTTAAACCCACTTCTACTAATGGTTTCTGTTATTGTTGCTCCTGAGTTTAATCTTACCCTGACCAACTAATTAGTAGTCTACGAAAGGCATGCGTAAAAAAAGATGGATATCTAAAGATTTGTGAGGTATTTTGTAATATCTAACAGTCATATCAATGCTTTAATTGTGGAGCTAAGTGACAAAATGAAAAAGATTCTGGAAGTATTGAAGTAGAAGTTAGCAACAGTGTGGGCTAAGAGTTTCTCACTGAGGACTGAGGTCTCAACAGTAGTGTCAGTCCATCATAAAAGTGTGTGGCCTACAGTACTGATACAAGTTCAATACACCTCCTATCAAAATTAAAGATGGTATAGGCCATCCATTTTTATCCAGTTGTATTTTCAGGAAGCAACTTTTAATACCTGGAACTCCAGCACATCACCATCAACCAATATAACTTAGTTTAAAGAACATTTTTCACCTCTTTGACCATGCCAACAAAAACTAAAAATGTTCTAGCTTCTCAAAAGTAGATTTTGTGGTATAGCTGTGGCATTGGGATGCATTCGTTCTCATATCACTTGTGTGTTTGTATCTGATGTATCTACTCTGAATGAAAGTAAGAGCCTTCCAACAATGTGTACTATAAATTCAAAAGATAGATAGATAGATAGATAGATAGATAGATAGATAGATAGATAGATAGATAGATAGATAGATAGATAGAAAGATATGTATGTTAAGGCCATATAGGATTAAAACACTGTTTCGAAGCTCACTTTAATGCAACATTATGTAAGAGCTCATGCCGAGGAATCAGTAATAGGTTTCTGTACACACTAAAGGGACTAATAGGATCAACTGTTTCACCTTCAGCCAGTGACTTTATGAGCCATAAGTAATTGGATTAAAGGGGAGCAGAAAGACTCTATGACTCTACAATGTGATTACTGTACAGGACATTAGACTTCATGCTGGCGGGCCTCCAACCCTCTCAAATGTGATTATTTAGCTTTTTAATCTTTGTCACACATGAATTCATCTGAATCTACAGCCTCCAGTAAGTGTAACCAGTGCGATATACAGTAGATCACACATTCAGGCAGATATAAGATTCACCTCAGAAGACAGATGGTAGATCAGAGTGGAAATTCTTCAGAAGTTTGTGAATGCCTGTTTGTGTCTTTCTCTGCCCTTACTGATGACCCCATGCTGATAACCACCCTCTTCTCCTTTTTCTCTCACAGGTGTTTTATGCTTTAGTGAGTTATTTTTCATCAAGGAGCCTCATGATGTCACTGTCATGCGGAAAGAAGCTGTTATTTTGGACTGTCAGGCACATGGAGAGTCACCAATCGATGTCAGATGGTTGAAAAATGGAGTAAAAGTCGTGGAGAATGAACGGGTGTACCTGCTCGCCAATGGCTCACTTTTTATTTCAGAGGTGGAGAGCAGAAGAGGAGACAAATCAGATGAGGGGCTCTATCAGTGCCTTGCTCAGAACAAGTTTGGAGCAATCCTGAGCCAGAAAGCCCGTCTTACAATCGCAAGTGAGTATCATGCTGGAGTCATACTGGGAAAGTCAACAGTGTGGTGTGTTATGTTCATGCTGCTTGCTACCTTTAACTTGCAAAACTCACAATGCTGGCTTCAGTTCTCCCTGCATGAGTCATTCATGGAAATGCAAACTTTTAAACATTTTTCATTCATAGATTTATAAACATGTAGCTGTGTCTTGTTGCATTTAGACCATCTTTGGTTGTGGCGTGGAGGAAGAGGGACAAAGCCTTCAAAGTAAAAGCCCAAAAGATTGGGTTTTGGAGAGGAATATGCCCATTGGTGTGTTAATGAAGGAGTAGCAGATCTGAAAGGTTAGGAGCTGTCCAGGATACTGGCGCTCCAAAGCTAAAGAGCAGATGACCCCTATTCACAGGCTGAGGCTTTCATGTTATTGCACTCTGATCGCTTGAGGAATTGTTCTTTTGGAATGCTTTCTCCTCCCGTGCCGTGCAAGTTGGCCTCATATTTTAAAGGGGGGAGGTAGAGAAGCTCCAGGCAGAGTTGGTCTTTTGGGACCTTATATCCCCTCCTCCCACACCACAGGCCATGCATCTTGCTGTGCCACTTTTACAGAATGTATGTTGATCCTTTATCAGAACTGCCATCTGTCCTTAAACATGCATCTTTAACATTCCAGGGGAGATGCTGAAATTAAATTTCCTGGGGAATTTGAGGACACTTTTGTGCATGTTTTTGATGGAATAGTAATTCATGTTTCCATGTAGTTCCCAAACAAAGTTGTTTACTTGGAGGTCCATTCATCTTAAGTGATAGATGTCATCATAGATCACTAGGGGTAACTTTTTAGGAGTTTCTTTCTGTAAATGAATGAAAATAAATGTAAATGCTGTATTAATATACATGCTGAAGCTGTCTCCTCTGAGACAGGTATTCCTCATCTTTGAGGAGCAATAGAAGCTTGGAACACTTTCAGCACTGGGCATTTTTTTTGGCTAATGAAACTTTATGGCCAAATCAAGTGAAGCTGTTGGGAGTCACAGGGCGGTTTTCAGAGCAACATAATTTGTTATGAGGCTGCATTCGTAGTGCTCTCTGGTAGAGGTGTCAGTTGTAAAACAGATATTGTCTGAAACTTGACTCATATAAATAGTTTTATTAATTAATAGAGTAGTTTATCTGCTTTATAGTTTGAGGTTAAAAAGGTGGTAAAGGCTGCCAGTAAGCTTTACTAGTTTGTTTTAAAATGGCACTTAGACCTGCTCGAGGGTCTATCTGGAAGCTCATAAAGTTTGCACATACCTGAGAAATGCTCAGTTGAAGGACACAGTGGTAGCAGTGGGGGTTGTTGCGAGTGTGTGCACACACACGTACGCACACACACACAAATGTGAATTACTGTTTCCCAGTACCACTGCCTTTACCCTGAGTGTCTAAATGACCAAACTTTATTGCAGCCCTCACCAGGTCAGTAGGGGCTGGAGGCTTCGCACACAATTGCTTTCTGCCTCACTACTCTGGTGAAAGGGTGAAAAGCTTTTCACTCTGGCTGTCCATATTAACCACCCTGCTTGCAAAAGAAAAGGCTTTGTTTGGGGGCAATTGTTTTCATGGTATCAGTGGACAGAACAGCTGGACCTGTTCAACTCTGCAAGGCTAATTAAATTCATTTTATAAGGTAGAGACCAGAGTTTGATTGTAAGTTTACATTGTAAAAAAAAAGGTCCTGTTCAACAGCATGTGTCACTTATGTTCCATGCTATGTCATTTGAAGCAGTATTTTAGCTTGAGAAAAAGTGCACATGAAATATTATTATTTATTACAAACATTTTGACCTGCATTTCACATGGTTCTGAGGCCTTCACACATATTTCTTATAAGCTGAAAGATGGATTGTGCAACCTGCACCTTTAATGGTCTTTTTAATCCCACATGGCCATATGTTGAAGCTGTGGACTTACTGATTGCTCTTTAAGGAATGTGATCGCAATGATGGAGAGCAACTTTAAACATTGTCTTGTTGAAGCACAAAGGTGAGAGGGGATTTGGCCATGATGAAACGGAATGTGACACATGAGCCTCACCATGTGACTTTTGTCAATAGACTCCAGATTGATGGGGATTTCAGTGTGGAGATTACCCCCCTGAGATGACTTCCTTTTTTTAGTTTTTTGAACATAGTGTTTCTGGGTACAAACTTAGGAAAATTCTAGTTCTAATAAACATTTTTGTTAGTGCTTTGGCCTCATATTGGATCCCAACATTTTAATAGTCGATAAAATGTGCAACTTCAATTCTGGACACTTATAAAGTCAAGTCAGCTGAAGAGGAAGTGCTGTAGATACTTGGGCTTGGTGTTTGACAATCACCCACCACTGGCTTTGTATACATCTGTGTGATGTGTCCCATTTACTGATGCAGCTCACGGTTAAAGCTCTTCACTTGTTCATGACTGTGTTTTCTGAGTATGATGAGAGTATAGAGCTTATAACTACAATAGATATGCCATGGTGTTCTACATGGCAGCTTTAGTCTGCTTTTTTGTCACTCTGATAGTAGTTGGAGTCTTAAAGGAGGTATAAGAGCTGATGCTGCTTCGTAACCAAATCTGACCAAATCTAACCTACTCTTGGGCTCTAGGATAGCTCCACGGCTTTATCTCAGGTTGCTAAGATAGAGGGCCCGACTTGCACCAGCTAAGCACAATTAGAAACCCCAATAAGACGAAAGTAAACGTTGCACAGTGTGAACCGTGTTGTGAATGAAAGAAATGGCCCTAAGTGAGACAACTCAAAGCCTGGGATCTTATTTTTCTCCTCTGCTGGACACGAAAGGTTACCATGGTTCCCCTGAACGGCAGGCCCTGAGGTCAAAGGTCCTTTTAAATTGTTCAATAGATGGAGGGGCAGTGAGACAGAGCACAGGACTTAAACCTTTCCTACAAAAATACTGGATTTTCATCTAGATTTATCAGTTGATGCATCTCTCATCAAACTGTCTTGATTTTGCTCTGATAATCGTCTCTCTTATCTATTGATTTTAATTGTATTTCTCCAACAGATTTTTTTGTAATTCTCCATGAAAAACTAGATTTCTATTAAAAAATAATAATTACAAACAGAATTTGTCTTTTTCCAGATTGACTTCCTTTCCTTCGTGTGCTGATATGGAGATTAAAGACAATGAAGCCACTGTGTGTGCTGAGTGAAGGGTCACTGTTGAATGATTGGAAAACTTTGTGGCAGAGATAAGGGATGGGAGGAGGGGGCTAAACACTTCTTCTTCCAACACTACTCCCCCACTGCCCGGGCAGTGCTTTGAGAGGTCACGCCGCTCATGGGAATAGTTCTTTGTTTAGCCAGGCCAGTGGTCACTTGACTGTCCTGCAGCCTGAGAGCAGCAGCAGCACATCTGCCAGCCAGCTCATGATTGATTTGTGAGCTTTTTTTAAGCTCTGCATTCTTCTGCTGCTTGCTTATCAGCCGTCTTTTTTCTTAAAGCTTTTATTTATGTTCAGTGGGGGTCATCAAGCATTGTTGACTAGCCATTACTCATTAGATAATGCTTTTTTCTGTCATGATGAGAATTAAAACTATCTTCTTTGGCATAACCATGCTGTGCACCATGGGTCAGTTCAGGGAAAAGGCCTGCAAGATGGATGTAGGTTAAACTTTGGAAAATTGTTTCACCGATTCTGTGGCGTTTTTTTCATCGGTCTCCTGGTGCTGAGGCCATCAGTTGAGTATGTAGCCTGCAGAATCAGGAGAGGATGATCAATTTTAATGTCTTCCCTAAAAGATTAGACCCTGGGGGAAGGGTGGGTTGTGTTGGGGATGGTTAGGGGCATCATACCATTCAAGAGGCTCCATGTCGGCCAGAAAAAGCTTGGCAGTAAATACAACTGATAACAAACTGCTGCTGTCAACTAAGCAAGGTTGAAATCAGTGTCAGTTGCCAAATACATTTATGCCCATTTTTTATGTGTTTTTAAAAGATAATGTCTGTGTTTGAAATGAGGTACAGATGTACATGTTTTGGAGAAAGAGTTAGACAACATTTTAGAGTGAAGAGCTAAATGGACTTTCAAGGTGCATGTTGGCTAAGAAACCGAGCAGAGGCGAGAAGGCTGAACTAATTCCTGGTATTTTTAAGGGAATCTTTGTTTTGGCCTGACCTGTCCACTGACCTTCAGTTTGTTGAGCTCCTAGCATCAGGAGGCCCATCTGTTGCGAGCTAAAGTGAGCCAAATAGTTTTAATCTTTCGGTATAATTTTGCCCGTAGGTTGATCAGAATGTTAAAAGAAGATTTCTTCTATTTTTAAGTTTGAATTTGAACTCAGAAAATCACTAAATTTACACTGAGCTATTGCTTTAATTCAACATGCCACATCACTTGTAGTAAAATTATGCTGAGGCTTTTCTTACCTTAAAAGAGAGCTGTGCTGGAAATAAACGCTGTAAGTTATTATCCTGCAATCATTTCAAACTGTAATTTAATGCCCTGCAGCTGCCGGACCTCATGTTGTGTTCTAGTTGTTGAATCACAATCAAATGTCAGAAACTATTGATAATTCAGAATAGCACATAATGACTAAAGCTTCCGGCATGAACAGAGGGATTTCTAGGCAGTTTGCAGGCCAGCAGTAAGTCACCGCGCCTCTGGTTTCAGGTAATCATGCAGTTGGGTGATCACCCAAGTTGGGTGCTAACCAGGATTTGTGGGGGTCAAAGGTGAGAGGTGGAACTGCTGGAAAGAGCAGATTGTTGGAAATTTTCCTTGCGCTTTTGGGGAATAGGCCGAAGAATTCATTCTGATAGAGTTGGCTGATATCGCAAAATAGACACAAGGCTTTGTGTTTGGTATTATTGTGAAAAAATGGAAAAGACACAAACTTTTTATTTTATTTTAGTCCTAACACACCAAAAAATATAACAGATGTTACAGATGATTTTAGGATAAAGTAAAGGTGGGACACAGCGTCATGGTAGCCTCGATCATATATTCTACACAACATTAGACCCCCCCACTGTAAACATAATTGCTCAAAGAAGGTCAGACTCCTAGACCAACACTCCACAAGAGCAAGCAGATATAGATTTTCCTCCTTGTCTTAGTAGTTTATCAATAATCAATGATTATCCTGCTGCTTGTCAGTCCAGCACCATTTGGCTGAATGTAAAGACAAAGCAGTGAGGCAGAGGGTGAGTGCAGCTCAGCTCCCATGCCCTGCAGTCATATCACTTCAGCACCTTGATGGCACTTTTGTAAGAGCTTGCGTAAACACAGGGGGGTGGTAGAGGGTGGGCATGTGAACATGAGTGAAGCAGTGGTTAGGAGTGCCTCTCTCACTTCTGTCATCCCATGAAACAAACACATTGGAGCTCAGAGGGGTAACAACTTTAGACTGATTTTAAGAAAGAGCTGGATAGTACTGACTTTTGACCTGTGCTCAAAAATGAATGTTATTATGCACATACACAAGTTCTTCCTCAGAGTATGTAAAAAAAATTAACCTAATTACATCTATAATCAGTGTCTTTTCAACCCACTAGTCCACTCTATTGTCTTTTAAGTAAATCTGGTTGTGTGGAAACTAAAAGGAGCCAACAGCAATCATTACAAACTCTTTGTTTTTTCCCTCTTAGAACTTGTCAGTGGATGTATCGAGGATCAATACAACAATCAGCAGCAGAAATCCCAGTTTATACTTACTTTTAGTCTATACTTTTATTAGAGCAACTGGAACTATCTCATTTGCTCTGGTTGTGTAGATATATCAGATTGATTCAGAGGCGAGATGCTGTAACTTGTGTAAAAGTTATTAGTCACCGAGTCAGAGCTCTCCTGCTGTTTGACACTACAACACCTGGCAACACTGTTTACACACAGCCGTCTATCACGGCCTTTATAGACAACACAGCGTGTTTATAACTCAGGGGATATTTTTGTAAAGGTAGAGTGAATCGTGGGATTTTGTAGGACATCTCTTCAGAAAATAATGTTGAAAAACAGGATGGATTCTTACGTACAAACCTTTTGGGTGCAAAGCTAAATTATATCTTTTTACCTTTTGTGCATTGTATTTCTTTTAATATTGTATCAAGTATCTCTCTTAGTTTTTTATTCAATGGCACTCAACAGGTTGTGATAAAAAAAAAAGTATTTGGGATGTTTTTACATTGAATTCTGGACAATCAAAGATTTGAGTTTGTCAAAAACCTGGTTAACGAGCACAGCAGTGTGTTTATCACTTACTATAGATGTGATTGTTTCATCCTTGAGCTTGCAGAAAGACTCAAAACAGACACACCAAACTAGAAAAAAGTAATTTGGCTTAATATAGAGTTGTAAAAATGCATTTTTTTTATCCACTGGATAAAATAATTGATCTGTTGATTTGGCTGTATTGCTCACATAGATTTTATGAGTTATTGATAATAATGGATTACAGTTTAGCTCATTGAAACGTTGACTGTTTTTTTTAAACCTCAGAATTGGCTTTCTACCACAGTGCAATTGATTTCCTGTATTTATTTATTGACTTCAGTCTTGACCAGCTTTTTGGACACAGAGGGGATAGTACATCTAAGAGTGAAGTAAATGGCTCTCAGAACTGATGTGGCCAAGGGGGAACGGCTTTCAAGAGAACTTAAAAAAACACAACATCAATTAAAAGCATACATAGACTGCTGCTGTTTGCTCCACTATAGAAGGCCTCATTGTGATTCACTTTGGGCCTCTTCTGCTTGCTGCTCAGCTGGTGGCTGACAACAGCTCAGTTTCAGGGAAACTCTATCCATGCAGGATGTAGCTGTCTCACTCCAGTCATCACTTTCTGCTGCACTCAGCATGCCTGTTGCTTTGTAGGTAATCTCTTTTTTTGTCATCTTCTCGATCTAAAGGAGATGGCTGAAGGTCTAAAACACAAAAACAATTTTAACCATGAGTCCAAAGTAAGGGATTGATCGTATGTTAATTTTGGTCAGTACAGGTGTTTCAACAGGCTCTGATTTAGATTGAGATAAAGATTAGACCTCTTTTGTGTCTTAGTTTTATGTCCTAGGGAGTTTTGTAGGGGGTCACAGAGTGAAAAACAGCACCAGTTTTCACTACAAGTAAAGACCTCAAGGCAAAGGCGTCTCCTTTGACTTCACCTTTCAAGGAAAGTGCACAAGAGATTAAGACTTGAATGCTACTCCTGGTTATATGTAGGGACTCAACTATACAAGGCACATTGAGCTTTGTGTGTTGTTTAAAGCTGTGCTAATTCTTCTATGACTGCCTTTGGCAAATAAACCACTTTACCTTGGGACTGGGGAAATTAATACATTTGACAGTTTTTTACTTCAACAGTCATTATTAATCATATGAAGTAATTGTTTTCTGTTAAATAGTCATAATGTGGTTTAATTTCATATAACCACCAGGTAACTATTCTGTAAACTGTCCATAACTCAGCTCCCAACTAAATATACAAACAAGCAGACACTTAGAGTAAAGACACTTAGTATAAATGATTTTATCAATGTTAACATGATTTACTGATACAGCTAAAAAAAAAACAGTCCCTCAGTTTGGATGGTTGACGGTACCATGGCAACAGGATTCCTATCAGCTTTTTTAATGTGTGAAATGAACATTGAACTTAAGATTTACATTGACAGTAAAGTCAAAGCATCAGTGTGTTTCCGCTGGCATTTACACCAGATCAGCACCCATATGAGGTCATTTTCCCCTGAACTTTTCAGTAAGCATTTTCTTCTCACTTAACCAGTTCTGCAACACAACCAAAGTCCAGACTGTGATGCAGTTCGTGGTTGCTATGACTCAGCTTTGTGTATTTTAGCATCCCTTGCTAAATTTCTGTGCTGTTTTGTCACTTGTTGTGTTCGTTTCTCTGACTGGTCACCCACTAAAGACAAATCTATTGTTTTTGCATTAGAGTAATAATAAAAAGTTCTGCCTTCTTGTCTTTTCTATCAGTGCTGTTTGAAAAGAGACATTTTTTTAATAGTCAGTAGGACAAAGTGATATCACAAACAGTTCACTGGCTGTTCTGTAACTCCTGTCTTTTATCCAATCAGAATCATGTAATCCACACAACTGGGCGATTAGTGAGAAAGCCATGAAATAATCTAGAAGAAACGTATTTCAAATCCAGTTTGACAGGAGTCATATAGAACATTTGCTGTCTGTTCATGTGTGGTGTTTGTGAAAAGTAATCTCTTGTTGTTCTGTTCTGCTCCAGGTATCTCTACTTTTACAATCCAGCCAAAGTCAATAGTGGTGACTCAAGGCTCAGTTGCTAGGTTTTCCTGCAAAATCAGTGCTCACCCTCCTCCAATCATCACCTGGGAGTTCAATCGTGTCACATTACCTCTCACCACTGAAAGGTATGGACTCTGCTGTTTTCTGTTTTCCTTTAAATGATCTGTATTATCCTGTGGGTTACCATTGCCCTTCATTAGTGTTTATTTACATGGTAGAATGCTGATTTTTTTGTGCTTCTTACTGTTCTCCAGAATCACAGTCCTGCCCAGTGGTGTTATTCAGATCCATGATGTTCAGCGCTCAGATGCTGGAAATTACCGCTGCATTGCTACTAATATTGCCAGCCGTCGTCGAAGCATGGAGGCCACCCTCACTGTCACCCCAGGTGTGTCACAAGAACTACGATCTAACCACATTTACATGATGGCTTAATTGTTTCTCAGAAGGCTTATTTTTTGAAGAAGAGCACAAATGGAATATGTACATATGGGCGATAATACTCTGCAAAACTACATGCACTAAAGCTGTCTTTCACTGCAGCTCCCACGCCGCAGCTTCCCCAGAGGCCTCGCATCATTGCTGGGCCACAGAACGTTTCAGTGTCACTGCACCAGACTGCCATCCTGGAATGCATGGCCACAGGAAATCCCAGACCCATCATCTCCTGGAGCCGTGCAGACAGCAAGTCTATTGACGTTTACAACACTAAAGTTCTTGGAAATGGTAACCTCATCATCTCAGACATCAAACCACAGCATGGAGGTGTCTACATGTGCAGAGCCACCACTCCTGGCACGCGAAACTACACTGTCGCTGCAGCCAATGTCACAGTGCTCGGTAAAGATATACATCACATGAAAGTTTGTGCTTAAAATAATTCCAGTGATTACCTGGAAGCTTTCATTATAACCACCCTATTTGATGTTGTTCTTCTTAAGCACCACCTTCTTTGGTTGAGTGGCCAGAGAGCCTGACTCGTCCACGTGCTGGCACGGCCCGCTTTGTGTGCCAAGCTGAAGGAGTTCCAACGCCAGTAATCTCTTGGCTCAAAAATGGAGAGAAAGTTCACTCCAACGGCCGGATTAAGATGTATAACAGGTAACCTTCTCTCCCTTCTAGAGATACCATGACCTGCTCTACTTAAATGTCAAATGTAGTTATGTCCTTATGCGCAGAGATCCTAGAAACAGGAACCTGTGCTCCTTTAAGTTTAAAATACTCATTTAGCAGACTTTGTGGGCCAATTTGGAACAATTTAAATAAATAATTCACAGTTGTCCTTACAGTAAAAAGGAAACTGAATTATTTACAGTACTGCAAATAGGTTGCCGTCATTCTACCTTTAAGTTGCTCTCACTCCTTATTCAAGTGTCAGTGCTTGTAAAATTAATTATAGGATGAGTCCACCCTGGTGATGAGCCTTTGCCATCTGGGTGCATGTTCTTCATCAGCCTGTGTGTGTGTGTGTGTCCCTGTCCCATAGCAAACTGGTCATCAACCAGATCATCCCAGAGGACGATGCCATCTATCAGTGCCAGGCAGAGAACGAGCAGGGATCAGTCCTCTCCATGGCCAGGCTCATCGTGGTGATGTCTGAGGATCGGCCCAGTGCACCGAGAAATATCAGAGCTGACACTGTTTCGAGCTCCGCCATCCTTCTGGCTTGGGAGAGGCCTCTGTATAACTCGGATAAAGTTATTGCATACTCAGTGCACTATGTGAAGGCTGAAGGTGAGTGACATGTATGCGACAAAACAACAGAACAAGTTTAAGAATTATACTTTTACTGTTTTGGTAAAACAGGGATATAATCTCCAGTTAAAGGAAACTATTAATAGGTTGAGATTTCATGTTTATGGCCTTTGAAAGAGTAGTCTGTTCTTTCAGGCTTGTAATATTTCTGCTGATCCAGGCAGCAGCTGATAGAAAAAGCTCAACCCCCAAATTTATTTTAGTTTTCAAACTTGGTGTTAGTCTGAAACCAGGGATAGCTGACTCTTGAGACTTCACAAGGCTGATAATCAGATTTCACACTATTTCTTCTTGAGGGTTTAAACATCCATTTCACATCTAAAGAAGTCAGTCTTACACTTGTAAAGTATGTGGAAATTACTCCTCAAAGTCTAAGAAAACAACAGCGTGGTTACTTAAATGCTGACAGGAATTACAAATTAGCCTTGGCTAGAAACTTGTATGTGTGACATCTACTTTGTCTACACTATGAAGCAATGTCCCATGCATTTGTCCCTGTCAAGTTAACAATAAAGGAGATTAATATTGGCTCACTGTGTGTTATCAGTGCTATATTGGTGGTCATGAGTTCATTAAAAAAAGGAAGTCTTCTCAAAAATAAGAGGAAAAACACAAAAAGTCCTTCTTAGAGCATTGCCACAGGGAGTTTTAAGGTGGAGGTCCCTTCTCTGATAAAATGCAGGATACAAACAAAACTGTTCACAAAAAGCACAAGGGTTGTAGTGTGGCAGCAAAAAAAAAGCCTTTCAGCTTTCCTGGGAACTCTTACCGCGAAGAGTCACATTCAAACAATACAACATTTGAAAGAAAAACTCAGCTTTTTAATTCAAGCAGTGCACTTCATTATAATGCCACTGACTTTCATTGGGGATGTGAAAAGTACAGAATTCAGCTGAGAAGAAAGGAACACCTGCTCAATTTTGTTTAGGATAAGGGGTCAAAATAAAAAAAAAAACACCCTGACAAATTCTCTGCTTTATCCCTGAATAACTGGATTTGGAAAGGGTCTTTTTTCGTGCACTTAAGTTAGATTTAGTGACACAATTCCTTAGAAAGGTCCATGCTGAAAAGCTTTCAGTTTGACATTGACAGAGTATCAGTCAGTTGCTCTGCACCTGAAGCCTGGCACTACATGAGGCTCTAATGAAAAGAGGAACTAATTAGTTTGTGTGGTAGAGGGCCCAAAAGTGTGTATTCTGCAAGAGCCGTGGGGGGTTGTGAATTGGACAGGAGGGGAGACTTTGTTACACTTTTCAGTGAGGTCCACTGAAGCATAGAGAGCAAAGAAAGAGCTCTCTTGTTTACTGCATAAGTACCTTGTTTACCAGGTCAGAAATCAAGCAAGCTGAGTCTTTGTCCTGGGCGAAAGTGTAACTTTTCAGTGATTGTGCCTGTCTTAACTAATGATACATCAATACACACAAGGAATATTTGTGTGTGTTTTACTGATTTTTGTGGGTTTTGAATTCCTTGGTGGTTGGTTGGTGAACTTTCATGGTGCAAAGCCTTCAATCCTGTAAAATGCTACCATTACTACCATAACCAATAGATTTTAACCTGCCCCGTCTACAATGTGTTGTAACTATTCCAGGATTAAACAATGAGGAATATCAAGTGGTCATTGGCAATGATACAACTCGCTACATTATTGACGACCTGGAGCCAGCTCGCAACTACACCTTCTACGTGGTGGCCTACATGCCCATGGGAGCTAGTCGAATGTCAGACCACGTGTTCCAGCACACACTCGAGGATGGTAAGGCATACATGAACAATCATTCCCACAGTGAACACAACTTCAAACCAGCTTGTGTATGAGAGTCAGGGGGGAATAGAAAAGGGAGTGCCATAATCACTGCTCAATCAGACTGAGAGACTAAGTTTAAGGTTAGGATGACTTTTATTATTTAACGCAAGACAAGTGTTTCTGTTCTACATGACTGAAAATATTAAATGATATTTCATTGCCCAAACAGGCTTCTTACACCACCTTTTTCTTCCCTCGCGAAAGTGTCAGAGTAGAGGGGCCCAACCCAAATAGGCTTTTGCCCTTGCTCTGTCTCTCCTCTTTCTCCTCATAAAAATAGAAGAGTAGGGGGAGGTAGAGCGTACAGCCTAACCCAGGGTGAGTCGCAGCCGAAACAGACTGCCTTCCCTGTCCTCTACAGACTCTTCCCTTGTTTTCTCTCTCATCCCTTACTCATCCCTTAGAGTTGGGGGAGGTGGAGCGTACAGTCTAACCCACACTGGCACGATACCTTGGCTCTACCCTCCTTGTCCTCTTACTTATACCTTACTTAAGCCTCCTTTAAGTGTTGTTGGCCAACCAGTGAAGGGAGGTACCCACTTGAAAACAGTGGTGATGTACAGGTTCTCACTGTCAAACTAACTACGACTTTTCTCATGACTGAGTTGGGGGGACATTAAAATTTATGCGGTAGGTTATGTAACTTCTCAATAGAGCATACATGCTATAATGAGGGCATAATAGGTTTGGTTTCCCCAAAGAGTGCTTCTCTTTTTCTATAAGAGTACCTTGTTTATTTCCAGGTCAGATAAAATCAGAGGAAGAAGCTATGAATGTTAATTTGGATTTGTTCAAAGCTAAGTTTTCTCTGTCTGTCTTTCTTGTTCGTTCTCAGTGCCCCTTCGAGCCCCCGAGCTTAGCCTCACTAGCAACAGTCCCATGGATATCCAGGTGTCGTGGCAGCCCCTTCCAGACAAGCTGAGCCGTGGCAGAGTGTCTGCGTACCGTTTATCCTACCGCACCAGTGCTGAGAATACAGTCTCACAGGTGGAGCTGCCAGGAGACAAAACTCAGCATTTCCTGGAAAACTTAAAACCTGACACCATCTACCTGCTCCGGATTGCTGCTGCTACCAGTGTAGGGTGGGGAGAGCAATCTGCCTGGACATCCCACCGCACTCCAAAGACATCCAGCGCTCGAGGTACAACATTTGGGAGAGTTGCCGTGAAAACTTTTGAAAAACAAGTGCAAATTGTTTGAATAGTAAGAATTTTTAATTTTACTGAAATATTAAAAAACCCTGTCCTGGAGGGAATTTGACCAAAACGCTTAAATGTGTTAATATTTCTTATCTTTATATTTTATGTTTGAACCATGAGGCGGAACGAAGAGAGGAGCTTCCTCTAATAATCTTGTTAAGGCGTTGGGTTTGTTACTCTCTGACCTTTGCCCTGCACTGTCAGTAACATTGGAAGGGTTTCAGTCATGGGTCATAAAGGGAGCAACTCAGGCCTCTGGGTGGGAAAGAGTATATGGCTGCTTAGAGCCACATCTGAAGCTCTGGGGAGGGGGAGGGGAAGATTTGTTTTTTTCTTGCCCATCTCTTTGGCCTCCTGTCTTCACTTTAAACAGGAGCAGGATTTGTCATTGAGGAACTTTTATTTTTTTCATCTTTTAAACAAAAATGTGTTAAACTCCTCACTTGGCTGCTGGTGAAGTTTCCCTTGGTCTGCGCTGAGTGTGAAACAGCTGCTGAGGCATCAGGTGATAGTTTCACTTTCAAAGAAAACCCCAGCTTGTGAACCTCCTCCGTCCAACACATAAATATTTCAGACAGCATGTCCGAAAGATTACGATTTTTCTAAGAACAAGATCCTGTTTTCTCAGAAACGTCATTCATTACGTTTACTAAGAATTTAGGGAATAATTCGATACTTAATGGTGGTACAGTTGGCAGACTTTTTATGGGAACTATCTTTCTGTGACATTATTACTATAAAATTCTTAATATTGGTTCTGGCTTTTTTTCTTCATTAGTTCCTCTGGCTCCAGACCTCCATTTGGAACCTCTTAACTGCACCACTATACTGGTGCGCTGGCAGCTAGCACCCAGGAACTCGGCCAGTGTGCAAGGATACAGACTCTTCTACCATGAGGAGAGCCAGTCAGAGAATGCCCCCCTTCAACTGCGTGCCTCAGATAACACACACACTATAGGAGGCCTTGGTAAGTTTTGTCATAAATCATAAAAGTTACCTTCTACTGCCTCATGATACTTGATGAGCAGATGATGTGACGTTACGGGATTTTAGTTGGATTCACTGGCTTAACGCACTTTTGAATCCATTGGTATGTTCTTAGGCAGCTGAAGAACTCCTGTTTAAATGTTTCAGTAAATGAAGAAAGGAAAAAGAAACAAACACAACAACATAGAGATTTGATTTTCAGCCATAGGGGCAGTATACTCTGGAAGTGAAGATTGTAATCTCAGGTATACTGTACTCCTGGTTCAATAAAGAAAAATAATGAACCATAAAAATAATCAATTGAAAGTTTCATGTCTGAAAGTCATGCTAAGTGCTTGAGCTGTTATTGGCCTCAGTAAAATAGTTCGTGTAAGATCAATTTGCTTAAAACCAGAAGCAGCTTGTATTGACAGCAGGGCTTATACGTGATTAATTAGCTTAGGGCTTGTCATGTGTGGAGCATCACAGAACAGCTCCACATCCCACGTCCGTGACCTCCCAACCTTTGCTCGAGATTTCAGAGTGTGTGTCTTTTCAGCAGCTGCTGGATGGTGTTTGGGGCAAATCGCAGCTCTTCTAGCCATAGGGTCACATTCATTTTGGCCTTTTTTTTGTTTGAGAGAGGAAAGGGGATCAGGCCAATGCAGTGGACAACTGACCATCTGTGGCCAGAGGGGGTCAACCAGGTGGTCAGCAGCTGACTTGTAAATCAGACTGGTCAGTGCTAGAATGAGATCAGAAAAAGAGAAGGATGAGGAGGCACTATAAATTACTTTAGGCGTTAACTCTTCACTGCTGCAGGCATGCAGCCAGTTAGAGATTTGGTTTAATGACTTTAACACAGCTAAAGTTAGTGCCAGTGCTACAAAACAACAACACGAGTTCGACTCTGGTTCTTTTGACTGTGATGAAAAACTAATTTTCTGTGTTAGTTTAATCAACTTTAAGTTTTAACAATATCTTTAGATGGTGGAAAAATACACTTGGTACAAAAAAACAATGCACTTGTGTATTTTATTCTGTTTGCATTAAATTTATCATCACATGTACATGGGGCCTGCAGTTCTTAGAAGCTGCCATTCAGTGCAGCTCTTTTTATTGCCTCATCAGACTGATAAATGTCCCGGTAGGAAATCTACAGCTGCAGCTGCTGATGGGAATTAATCCAATCAGTAAAATTAACAACATCTAAAATAAAGCTTTAGCGGCATTTGAAGAAGAATCATCTTATTGTTCCTCTCTGATAAAGGAGCTTTGCATTGCTGTGTTTCTAAGAGAGAGGAGCTGTTTTGTGGAGGCAGATTTATTATGTGTTTTATGACTGCTTTGAGCAGTGTTGCTGGAGGAGCATTGACATCAAAGACCCTCATTGTGTTTGGCTTTGAGAGCCACAAAGATGGTTTATTAGCCAAGACCCAAAGGAAACGCAACCTCTCACCAACTGAGCTGTAGGTAGAACAATGAGCATGGCCTGTGAGCTCACTATCTTGCAGTTTGAGATTTCTTTCTCATGAATTAGCTGCAGCACTGTTCACAAAGAGGAAGAGGTGTAAAATGCTGCTTCTGACCTCTTGTGTGTCAACACATCCTGCATCAGAGAGAAAACCCTGCTGTGAGGGATTCAGATGGCTTTTATGCATTTCATCAATTATTACTTCCTTCTATTAGACATTACTCTTCTCTGTTAGTATAGCTGCACCATTTCCTAAAGGACTGATAAAATTGTCAAAATCTTTGATAAAACATGAAGATTTGAAACAGGATGGAAAGCAGGATTTTAGATCTAGATACTCGGCACTTGAAACAGATATGCAGAAATTTAGAGTCACTTGAAACCATGTGTTTGACTTTTACTCAGTTTGTGTCTTCAAGGCCACCAAATGCTAAATGCTGATTATCTTCTGGGGCAAATTATACTGTATGTGCTTTTACTGGTAGTGGCATTTTTGTAGGTGTGTGTGATGTGTCAGATGTGTTGGTAAACGTGAGCTGTTCCTGGTGGGATTCATAAAAGTACTTTATTCCAACCATTGAGTGCAAGCTGTAACTTAGCAGTATTAGTAGGGCGGCAAATCTTTTGGAGTTTCCCCTCTCTCTCTCTCCTAGTGCCTCTTACCCCGCTGACAACACATCCAGAAAACTCTCATCTAGGAGATGGAGGCACCAATGAAGTATTATATTAAAGTGTGCACTGAAACACAGGGCAGCTCACACCTAAGATGGAGCGTAGAAAAGCAGACCGATAGATCAGAGTGATATATGTTTGTCTGCTTCTGTTACTATAAAACAGGATAAAACTACGAACATCTTCTTCTACACTTTACTCCTCAGTGCAGGATTAAAAATCAAGCGTTGTCTTCCTTACCCTTCCTCACTGAATACACCAGACATTGTACATTATCCATTTTTTTAAATATATATATATATATTTGGTACAGCCAGCTTTAATGTCTTTCTATAGGATTCTTGTCGAGCCCACATTTTTGTTGATTTGAGCTCTGTTCCAGTTGAGGGTCTTTGACAACAAGTCCACAGTGAGAGGATCCACCACGACATTACTTTTTATTTGCTAGTAGCTTATAAGTGCAGACAGCCTAGATCAAAATAAAAAGTTTGCTCACTGTTACTTGACTGTGATTTCCCCCATTTTTTAATCATTATACTAGTGTAATTTAGTTCAATATAATATCATACAGTGATCTAGAGGAGATTTCAGAATAACAATAGCCTGAATCATTATAATATGAGCTGCATTGCTCAGCACAACATTTCCTATAACCCCACCAATGATCAGCAAAGGAGCCACCCCCTTTTTTTGCCAATTGTATTGATTTTTTTGAGCTACCAGCTGTGATAAAACTAGATTCTGCTGATTCAGCACTCTGTGTACATCTGCAGAGGAACATACTCTTCAGCTCCCAGTTAAATTATCACTTGTGATGATCCAGATGATTGACAACACACTCTGAGACACAGGAATGCGTTCGGGAGGCTCCAGCTGGGTATATAAGACGTAGTGATGTGACCTTTCCTCGCATGTGTTTTCTCTGCTCGGCCCACGAGAAGAACATGTAGAAGAAGATGAAGCTTGAATACCTCTCATACCTGTTGGCACCAGGCGCTGTGTGTGCTGAACTGTAGATTTATCTTACTGCTGCAGGCCACACTTACCGCTTTTTCCCCCCACCCTTTTATCAAACGCACGATGCAAAACCTAGGTGTGCACCCTGACTGTCAGTGGAAAAGGCTGTTTCACACTTAACATGTGCGTGTGTCAGTATGTGGCTGTGTGTTGATTTGTGTGAGTAAGGGGCAAAAGACAGAGGGAGAAAAGGGGGAGGACAGAGAGAGAGAGAGAGAGAGATGATAGATGCTGGTGTGAGGGTTCATGCGGGAGTTGACATTTATGGCCCCTGTTCAGGCCTGGCTTGCAGCGGCCTGGGGGGCCTTTCGCAGGCCAGAACAAAACCTCAGGGGCCAACAGGATCAGCATTTTGGCTGTAAAAAAAGGGGGTGACCACAAATGGCTCAAATATGCCCTTTAATACAAACAGCATAAATTATGGGAGTGAGGAATGTGAGATTTATCTCAGTGTGACGGACAAGAAATGGCAACTCAAGAGGAACTAAGCTTTCTAAGAATAGGAAAGACACTGGTGCAGACACATTTTGCATTTGTTTTTATTTTATTATTTAGGGATCAGTGGAAAGAAAGAGGTGATTTTCTACTTTTGGTTGGCAACAGTTGTGATTATTCGTCACAGTTTCTTAAAATCTAACAATCATGCCTGTTGAAAGCTTTCCTCCTCTGAAAATGTGAGTCTGTGATCTTTCTTTTCTGTGATCTCTGAATGTCCTCATATCAGGAACACTGTGTCATCACCTATGAAGTGGCATTTTATTTTCGACTCTTGATGTTTCCCTGTTTTTCCACTCACTTCCTCTGCTTGACCCTCCCCCTTCAGAGAGAGCCCTATAACCCCTCCTTTTGCAGGATTTAGCTTGCCCAGATTCCGTGTCAAAGGTCGTGGCCCAGATGTCACAGCTTCCCCCCTCGCGGAGCTACTCTTTCGCATAATTATGGCAGGCCCATTGTATCGTGGGGCTGGGTAGAGGTGAATGCTATGTGCCGGCTCATCTTCAGAGGTGGACATTGAAGCAGAACAAACTGGGCAAAAGCTCTGAACTAAAAAGATGTTGAAAAGGCATCAAGCTTCTGTGTTTGATACACTGCAAAATCACAGGATGAACTTTTGTCTCCTCTTTGCTCAGTCTCGGCTTCTTCCTGTGATTCATTTTGTAGTTAGGAAGAGTTATCAGTACATTTTTTTCTCTGAATTGTCTTGGCAAACAGTCCTGAAGTTGTGGACATGGAGGATCTCTGAACAGAAGAGGCTCTTCTCATATTGCAAACCCGTGACCTCAGATTCTTTCAGAGTTTAATCTCGGCCTGACCTGCTGGCCCTGGTCTGGCTCCAGTGAAACTCCTCAGGGCTGCATGGGGTGCACGCATCTCCACCCCTCCTAAACTACCATGGATCAAATTCATTCCTCGTGCCCTCTCTCTCTTTGTTAGAAAACTAAAATATCTCCAACAGCAGCTCAGTTTGTGTTTTTGTAATGTAGAACAGACAGGACTAGAATGATCATACATCAAATCAGAGTTAGAATATCTCTTACAAAACAAACACAACAGCTTTAAAGAAGCTTTCGAGATATCTTAGAGGTCAGTTTGCATTTGTTTCACTCTCTGTAAAAGTAAGATACAGAGTGGACTTTGAGCATCAATCATCTTATGCAACATTCAGATGAGATTGTTCTTTTTTTGGGTAACAGGGACATTTGGTCAGATGGCTTTTGTTCAGTCCAGGGTCCTTGGGGTCACTTCGGCCTACAACTGCTGTTGACCGTCAGCGGTGTCCCTCCCGGGGGAGTTTGTCCTTCGATTTAACCCCCCAGATTTTGGACCTGAATAGGAGTGGCTGCTGACCACTGACCGGCAGGTCGGAGAAATGGTCTTAGTATTTGTGCTCAAAAGGCTGAGGGTGACAGGGGTGATGGATGTTGTAGCTCTTCTGCTCTGCTGCAGAAACTGACCAAAGGACTCACGGCACCAAGCATCTGTCACACTGCCTCACCTCTTTTTCCCACCACACCAGAAACCCTCACTGACCCCACACCCACACAGTCCAGGCCTCTTTCATGTAGCACCTCTGCTTCCTGTTAGCTCCAGGAGTCACCACGTCATCTGCCTTGGTGTTGATGGTGAAGTGAGTGTTGGTGAAAATGAATCTTAGAGGGTTGTTTACTGATTTACCAGATCTGAGACCAAAGAAAGACCGGCTTTTAGCTGTTCCTCTCATTTGTAGGATGTTATTTAATTTTGCTCTCTTGTGTCTTTTTTTTCTCTCGATGCAGACCCGAGGAAGAAGTACCATGTTAAGCTTCTGGCGTATAATTTTATTGGCGATGGTTACCAGGCCGACCAAACTATCAGCACTCCTGGATGTGTTTGTGAGTCCCTCATTATTTTGAATTAGATGTGTGTTTTTTCAGTGCATTTGAGGTGTAAAGGGATTAACACTGATGTTCTTGTTTCTCAGCTGTTCGAGATCGCCTTGTGCCCCCTCCACCTCCTCCTCATAATGTGTACGCCAGGACTAACAGTTCCACCGCCATATTTCTGAACTGGGGTCGACCAGCCTTTACCTCCAGCCATGCAGTGAATTACACTGTTCGCTGCAACCCAGTGGGCCTGCAGAACGCTTCTCTGGTGCTTTACCTGCAGACGTAAGAACATTTTCAATTATGTAACTTTTAGCCATCGAGCGAAGCATCACACACTTGACTCATCATGACTGTACAATTTATTGTGGTCATTATGAACCATGTGGTAGTTCAGTGCAGTTGTTACAGTAGTGTTTTATTAACTGATAGTTCACCATGAGTTTATTGTCACAGCACCAGCTACATGACCTTTTACTTCAGCTATTTAGGTTTTTAAAGTTTTAAGGTCACAAGAACTGTGACATTTCTACTGCACACTGCTGGCACAGCTCTCTGTCACCACCTGCTGGCGGGACGGAGCAAGCAGATTTTTATTAAACAACCACTGGGCAAACAAAATCTAATTTAACATCTGCAGATTGTCAGACCAAATTGAGAGATTTTATTTTTGAAAGTCAAAGCCTTTGAGAGATGTTGGATGATTTTTTAAAAACTTTGTAGATCATCGAACACAACTGAGTTCATTTTAAAGAGGTCCAGTAATCAGCAAATCACATGAAACAGATTTGTACGACTGATGTCTGTCTTATTGTAAAAATAGGTTTTGTTAACTGGCCTTTTAACACCTGTAATGTCCCTTTTCTACAGAAATGAGCAGAGTCTTTTGGTGCGAGACCTGGAGCCAAACACAAAGTATGAGTTTGCCATTCGCCTGCACATCGACCAGCTCTCCAGCCCCTGGAGCCCTGTGGTGTATCAGAGCACGCTCCCTGATGGTGAGTTCAGAATGATCAAACATTTTAGTTTGATCTATCATATTAAAATTAAATTATTATTATTAAATATGTGATGTTGCATAGGTATCACAAGTGACAGGTAATCAGGAGGTCTCTAGAACATTTCTTGTCCACCAACGTTTTTTCTCACAATTGTTTGAAAAGAAAAAGTTAAAATAAGAATTATTAAATTACCAAATGTTTATTCGTTTTGTGAGTCATGTAGAAAAGTTTCCTCAATGGACATTAAATAAAGATACCTTACATCCTCTTGTGATGTTTAAAGTCATGTATTTGATCTTATTCTTGTCGTCCTTTCCCTCTCAGCTCCTACTCTGTCCCCGTCTAATGTGAAAGTGACTCTGATTGAGGAGGACACAGCGCTGGTTTCATGGAAACCCCCAGAGGAAGCTAATGTAGCTGTGACACATTACACCATCCTGTACGCCTCCAGACACGCCTGGATAGCCGGGGAATGGCAAGTGCTGCAAAGAGAAGGTGAGGAGACTCGCGCAGAATGAGGTTACACAGGTGTAGAGGAGCGGGGCGACACACAAAGGCCCCTTCCAGCTCCACACAAAAGGACCATTGGAAATCAGTAACTCATTTCACCCTCCAATCTAAAGCTCTGCTCATGGTGCCAGGGCGGGTTGAGCTCACTGCTTTTGCTTTGCTGATAAAATCACCTTTGCAGGTTTAATTTCATTAAAACAAAGACTTTGATTTTCTCCTGTATTGGCATTTCTAAAACAAAGAACCCTTTTGTCCTGCCTCTGTGTAAAGAACTGAGCACATCTGGGGATGGGATGTGTCTAAACAGCACGAACATTTCACAGATTCCCATTTAAAGTGCAGCAGTTATCTATCAATGGTTGTTGTGTTGGGTCTTGTGTTTGTCATAGAAAACAGTCGCCACAGTCACTGTAAACTCTTGAACAGAAAAGGTGAAAAAGGGTTTGGATGTTTTTGTTTGCTGTGTATTTCTGTGACACTCATGATTCTCTGTCTCTGTGGATTCGATTTAATATTAGTATTTCATAATGTTGCATCAAAAGCTGCCTCATTACAACAGTTTATACTGACTTAGCTTTTTTAAGTTGAAGAGTTAGAGAAGTTGAAGTTAAGTTAGAGAAGATTGTAGAAACAGAAATTTTGATCAGGCGATACAGGTTTTCTTTAATCATAGAGTGACTCTTAAGTTGACAAGCTGACACAAATGTAAGTGTTTGATAAATTAACTGGATTTAAGGAAATGATACGTGTTTTCTGTGGTGTAGGCAGTATGTTATTTTCAACAGTCATTGAAATCAACATACAAGTATAGCCTTATTGAGCCACCCTCACCCAAAGGCGGTCGTCCCTATAAAGCTGTTTTTGTTGCTGGTTTGTGAGGCAGTGTAGGTGTTTTTAGGATCACATGACCCCAGGAAACACACAAAAAAGACACACAATTCCCCATTGCCCCTGGTGAAGGGGTCAAAAGTGAAGCCTCTCACAAAGGCCCTCCAGCTTAGCCCAGCCCCCATCACCTCAAACTGAACAACCACCCCCCTCTCCCTACTGGGACCCTTGTGGTGTGTATACTGGGTGGTACAGGACAAGGGAATGTGTACAGCTCTGATCCCCTGACCCCCTGCTCTTCCCCTCAGAAGCTCCCCTCAAACATCCCTTTCAGCCGTGAGGATTGTTTTATGTTTGTCTTTCTCTGCATCACAAGGTCCTGCTTCTTTGAGGTCAGCTCTTTGAAAGTAGCAACATATTGCAGATACAGATGTGTTTTTTTCAAGATAACCTCTAATGTCACCGTGCTTTAAGATATTTCTGCATCAAGGGAAAAGTTTAGGAGGAAAATTCAAACAGCTTTCTTCCTTTGCAGTGATTTGTCTTCAACGATTGGTTTTCAGTTTGGGTAACACAGAGCCAAACTTCTTGTTTCCCTCTCTTACCACTCTGTGCTCGGCCTGTTGCTCAGTTATGACGGAGCCGTTCATCTTCGTTAAACTCATTTAAAAGACTCTCAGTGTTCAGTTAAACACCAGGGTTGTTCTTTTTTGACCAACAGGCAGCATCACCATGGCTCTGCTGGAGAACCTGAAGCCCAACCAGGTTTACTTGGTGAAAGTTTCTGCATCCAACAGCATGGGAGATGGTCCGTTCTCTCAAACAGTGGAGCTGGTGGTGCGAGCAGATCTCTCCTCCAGCCACGATTCAAGGCTTTCCCGCGGATCCTCACACTCTACAGGTAAGTGACATCATCCCACATTTGTGCTACTTTTCAGCAAGAGTTGAATCTTTCTGAGGCTATGTTTTAGCATGTGATTGACAGTGTTACTATCTTTCACAGGCTTTTCGGATGGCTTCTACCACCTGGATCAAAAGTCAATGACAGGCATCACCGTGGGAGTTTGCATTGCTCTCATCTGCATTATCATCTGTGCTTTCATCATCGTCTGCAGAGGGAAAAACAGGTAATTCATGCCTGCATTAGAAACAGAGCCAAACACAGATGAGCTATGGTTGATTTCCCTGAGTGTTTTTTCTATCTATAATGGTGCCATATTTGTGTCACTGCAGGAAATTTTCAGCTGTAAAAATATACGGTGAAGGAGTGGGCACATCTGCCTCATCTGCAGGACATCTGAGCTCTGAGGGACAAGCTGAAAACGCTGATGTGACCGTGCCGATGATGAGCCAAAACCACTTTATTGATACCAAGGTACAGGCCCAGTGTACAGCATGTAACACATTTACAATAGTCAAAAAAACAACAACTTTGGAGTCACTTATTAAAACACTGAAGATGAGATTTTACCCACATCACATAAGTACAGCTTGGTTAAATATTCAGTAATTTAGGATACTAATACAGCAAAGAAGGTTCGCACCTATTAGGATGTAGCAGAAAAGATAAATGTTGAGTATGAATGTGAAACGACACCCAGTGTTGTTGCTCTCTGTTTTTTCATCAGAACTGGATTTGGCTCAGGCTTTTCATTCTTTAAAATGTGTTTTCTGAACTGCAGGGTGGAACAAACCTCATCATCAATTCCCTGGGCCCTGTTCAACCCGGCACTGAGAAGAAAGAGAAATGGTTTTCCTTCAGCAGTCACATGAAAAAGGACAATAAGGCAGCACAGGTGAGATCTAGATTTGTGAGTGTTCTCTGTTAAGTGTCACCAGCAATTTGTCGGTGTCGTTACCAGAACCTCTATAAAGTGGGTAACTTGTGACATAGTTTGATGTTTGAGTGGACTTGGTTATTTCTTTTGTCTTAGTGACTATAAGCTTTATTCACCATCACAAGCTCAAGTTTTTTCTGTCTCACTTTATTTGTTCTTTGAAAATGTCCAAAGTCTGAGGCAGATTATTATTATACACCTTTGTCCTCCAATCAGTGAATGCCAGGCTCTTGTGATTTGGAAACTTGTTAGTTGTTTTTAAATTAGGTTTTAATTAGTTCATTCTGATATGTATCTATTAGTTTTTAATGAATTACCCAAGTTTGTGGACTCTGAGCACACAGAAAGAAGAAGCTGAGTGAATCTAAGAAAATCCAAATTAGATCTAAAATGGTTTGCATCTTACCTTGAAACAAATTTCAGGTTAAAAAGATCTTCTCTGAGTTACAGTATCTTCTTTAAAAAAGAGGGTTTGGAAATAATATTGTGTAGCTGTGTAGGATTATTTTTTCTTAAATTTGAGTGTTACATCCAAACCAGGAAATCTTTCAGAATCAAGAGAGGTTGCGATCGTCTGCAATCTCACATGTATAACATGAAGAAAATTCCTTTGTATTGCAGAACATGAGACAAGGCACGGCCTCCTACCAACCCGGTACCACAGTGTTGACATTTGAGGAGGAGCTGTCTCCAGACCAGCCCACCGCCCTGCAAGGTCTGCTCTGGAGCCCCGGAGACACTGAGGGCTCCTCGAACAGTGACGGCAGCCACGCAACCGGTGATTCAGGTCGCTACTCTCACGATGAGACCGAAATGACCAACCTCTCGTCTGGAGACAGCAGCCGCCCTCCGTCTCTCACAGCAGAGGACACTGGGGACTCAGACTGCAGCGGCCCTGCTGAGGAGCTGCTGGAGGTGTCTGAGCAGAGTCAGACTGAGAGGAAATTAACAGAGTCCGTTCAGAGCAACTGCTGTCAACACGAGGCACAGAGCAGCTCTCAGTCTGGACTTTCTCTCCATGTACACGGGCGTGTACCTGAGTGTGTGTGAGACAGCGTATGTGTGTGTTTGAATGTCTGATAGCGTGTGTGAGTGTGTGTGTGTGAGTGTGTGTGTGCATGGAGGCTGGAAAACTTGCAAAATCTGGACTGAAGTGTAAAAGTAGCTGAGCATGTCACAGACTTGTCTGTGTGCTTGAAATATATTTACACTTCAGATGAAATTAAAGAAATAGTTCAACATTTTTTCAGAAATAGTAGCATTACTTGATTTGGAATGATTAAGGTAGATGCCGTAGTTGTATCTGTTCTGTCTGTTATACAGTTACTCTATCTGCCTGTTAGCTTAGCTCAGCACAATGATAGGAAACAAGACAAACAGTGTGTGGGTCTGTCTTCAACTTATGGTTGAGCACATGATATTTTCTCTGTTTGATCTCTACAAAAACTGATGGGTTAAAAACACAAAGCTGAGGTTGTAGGTCATTTGCTGCATGTTTGCTCGGACCAGAAGCTTCCTCGAGTCCCTTCTTGGTGATTTGATGTTTTTACCCTTCAGTTTTTGGAGACATTGTTTCCTGCTATTGTACTGAGCTAAGGTAACTGGCTCCAGATGAAAGCATCATACATACCGCGCAGACATAACAGTGGTATCAATCTTCTAATCTTAAATTTGCAAAGAAAGGCAATACTGTGCTTCCCTAAAATGCTGAAGTATCTAGTCATCCGTGAGTTTCCACCTCAAACATGAGGAATAGAAAATACTATAGTGTTATTTCCATTGCAAGTGTTCTTCTGGCCTGAATGTAAGTATGAGAGAGAGAGATGTGAAGAACCAAGTGAGAAACCTTCATTTTTACCCCTTTTCCTCTCGGTTCAACACACAGCAGTCAGGAAGCCGACAAAGGCCTCTTGTTGGCAGGTGCTGGATGTTTGATTTTTCTTTAACTTCTCTGTTTCATTCGATAAATTTCTGTTTCTTTTTAGTTTTTTTTTTTATCTGTGTGTGTCTGTTTATGAAAAAAAATCTCACCCACCATGAATGTTTGAAAAGACTGTCAAAAATGTGACAAAATGTCACATCTCTGGCATTATTTAAGAAAGTTTATCACTGGAGCAAAAAGGGAAGCGTGAGTCCTTTTTGCTGATTATCTACCTCGGTTTACCTGTGGGGTAAACTTCTCCTGTATATTTAAAAACTACTTATACCTACGTTGTGTGATGAGCTGCTTAAGTTACATTACATCCAATACTTCCTGATGACTTTTCTACTGATTGTCATCCATTTTTATGTTTTCCTCTTAACTTTGTTCTAATTTGTGGGTGGTACGGGCGCTGCGGGTTTCTCTTGCTCCACTTGTGTTGATTGCAGAAAACACACATACAGTTCTTATTTATCCTCTCAGATGTCACTGAGGTGCTGAGCCAGTATTAATAATATTTTATCCTCATTTGGTCCATTATTGAGTAATGGAGTGAAAAGAAAAAGAATGTCTGTATTTGTTTTGTATTTTTTGTGCAGCAGCCCCTACCATTCCTGTTTTATACTACCTCCTTTAAGAATTTATTTTGTTGTCTTGTCATTTTCCTAAACTCAGGGAACAAGGTTTAGTACATTTGAAAAGTCATGTAGTGTTACATGCTGATCTGACAGGGTATGTTCTCAGTACTAAACTATTGCAGTGTGTTATTGCCTAGAAAATGCGATGAATGTATCTCTCACATTGTGTGCCAGGAGCTCAGATGTTGTTGCTGTCCTCCTCACAGATGGAAACCTCCTCTGTAGTTTCTCCTCAGGTCCTGTGACGTCTGTTTTTGCAACAGGCTCTTTTGTTTATTCGTGTAAAGAATCACACCTGAAGTGCTTGCAGTGGCATGTCGGTACAGAAAAGCTTTAAGATGAATGTGGGAAGCTTCCCTCAGAGGCTGAAATGTAATCTGGGGGAAGCTCCACGTGAGGATGCAACACATGAAGAAGAATGATTGTAGTAAAAAGCAATGGAAGTGTTTAATCAGAGATGAAAGTGAAGAATTGAATGAACACCATAAGACATTTTTAAAATCTATATTTTTGTTAGAAGATAATGTACTACTGAGTACACAATGTAGTTACTTTTGTTCCAAGTAGTTTTTGTTGTTTTGCTGTAGAGTAGATAAAGATTAGCACTTGTCTGCCCAGTAGTTTTGTATTTTAGGCCAACGTGCAGCGGTGACTGTGACGCTTTAACCCAAAGAATTGTTTGCTATCTGAGTTTATTTTAGTCTCTCAACTAATCTCTGGCAGAGGGTTACTGAGGAATATGAAATAATCAACACTGATTAGACCAAAGATGAGAAAACAGCCTTTGAGATGAGTTGAGGCGCTGCTCCTCACACAAAGCCTTGCACATTAGTGGCCTTGACCTGCGACTGAAACAGCGAAGAGAGCTGCAGGTTAAAACTCTGAGGAAGTGCCAGCAGGATACACTGACACTTCATGACAACAGAGTGACAATTAATAATCAGATATATGCACAGAAGCCAAATGATCCTGTCGCAGAGTTCCTTGAAAAACGTTGCAAACAGAAGTCTGTACATTGTAGAGGAAAATTATTAAATACAGTATATTATATTGATTAGCGGTCTGTGATGCAACGGTGCAGTTGTGTGTAAATGTGCACCCACTAATGTTTCACCTTGATACACAGATACATATAAGAAAGAAATGACGAAGAAGTTTGTATCTTGGAAGATCCTTACATGTGAAAACTTCTTGAAATACTCCAAATCGATTCCATATTGAATTATTTAACACTAGAAAGGTCAGTGGGTGTACAAACATTCAAATATTTCTGCATTTCTAATCAGAGGACTCTGCTGAGGATTCAATCATGGGAAATATTTTGGGATGAGAAGTGACACAATCAGTTTAACTTTATTTTTTAAAAAGCAAACAATATAAACCAAAGAAGGTCACCGCTGCATATTGGCAAGAGATCAGTTTATATGCATCCTCTTTTTGTGTGAAATGTCATTTTCAGTGTTCTCATACCATTTAAATGACTTTATAACGTGTTGTACTATGATTAACGCAGGAAGAAAATGTTACGTTTCATTATCAACATGTTTCCAAAATAATCAACTTATCCTTATTTTGTTATTTTTAACAGTTATTTTTGTTTATTCTGCTTATGATGAGTTAAAGTGGGATTCACATTTCTATAAGTTATTCAGATGAGCCGTGTTGTTAACGCTTTTAAGGGCTCAGATCTTAAATCTGAAATCAACAGTCTTTAAAAATATATCAGTTAGCATGTGACGGGATAAATACCTTTTATACATCTTTACCAGCTGTTACAATTTAAACAGAAAACTACTGGAGTCCCTCAGGTTCTGAATTAAGCCCTGTATTGTTCATACAGATACACCTCAGGTTTTTCACTTGCTTATTTTGACAGTGCAGATGCAATATTCCTGGGTCATTGCTGTGTGTGAGAATAAAAATGACAAGATATATCTTCGTCAATCAAGGGACACACCATGTTTTTCTGCCGTCTGTCATCTCATGCGTATGAACTTGGATTTATATTCCTGTCTCGTCATGTGAATTCAAAAGGGATAAAAACACTGAGTTGTTCTTTCTTTTTGCAGTAAAGTTGTGTTTGAATAATGTTCGGGTGGAGCACTTTGGGTCATTATTGTTAAACTCAGGGGAACCTACAGCTGCTCCACCTTAAAGAGAAAGCAGGCTAAAGTCTTGAAAATTGAATGTACCTTTTTGTAATTGCTCTATGTTTTCTGTTGTTCTGTTTATGTTTTATTTTGTTTGTCAAGAAAATCACTCAAAAGTTGTTTTTTGCCAAAAATGTTTAGTTAGGAGATTTTAGACGTAATTAATAATGAAAAGTCTGATTCTCTGTTTAAATAAAAGTACAAAATATGTAACTTCTATGCTGTTTTTTTTTTTTCCTTTATGCACTCTCAGTTCTGGTCATGTTCAAAATATTATAGATGGACAAAAACACAATTTTGAGTCAAGGTTTGTGTAACTACTAAGAGTTCATTTTTTGACCATTTTACACAGTTAAATGTGTCACTTTTAACTCCAAATGTTCTTCAAGATAGGAATACATTTAAAAATCAACTAACTATGAAACTATTATAACATTAAAGCTCAGTCTCAAAAATCCTTAATAATCCTTAAAAGATTGTTTGTATTCAATGATCATATTTGTTCTCATAGATAAAACTTTAACTTGCTTCTAGGAGACATTGCTCAGTGGATCATTAAAATGTTTTGTCTGCGCATTTGTTTAAGGCCTAAACTTAAGCTACTGCAACATATATACATTAAAAAAACAACACCTAAATATTAAACTGCTACTTTATATGATGTTATACAGGCTGAATTGAACATTCGAAGTTTTAACTAACATACTTTTTGCATGTTAGTTCGATTATTTCCATACAAGAACATTTTTCTTATTTGCTACAATGATCATTTTTACTAAATGGGTCAAACTAGGGTTAAAATTGTCATGTATAATGTTTCCTCTATATCTTTAATGAGCTTAAATTGGTCTTAAAGAAGTTTTCTGAAGTGATGTATGTGTAAGGTAGGCTGCAACTGGAAATTACATTTCTAGTCAATTATCCTGTAAGTTAATTAGCTATTTAGTCCATCTAACCACCCACCTACCTACCCATCACATCTTGTAAAAGCTCTGCAGTTCACAAAAAAAGGTTCATACTATTTGATGATAAATAACAAAAAAAAGAGGACATTAACAGGACAACACTGACCCCTATCTGAGGCATTTCAGTCAACAACACATCAGTGTACTTTTCCATGAGTTATGTTCTCACTAAAGTACAGAGACGCAGATTGGCTGAATGTTTATCTTGAGGTCAAAATTACGAACCGTCTTGTAAACACATGTAGGACATAAATGCAACTTACTAGTTTATAAAGCTCTACATAGCCTGGCACCAGAATACTTTACAACGATGATTTTAATTTATGAACTAGGGCGGCCTCTCAGACTTCTTTTAGTCGTTCCACAGAGCAGAACAAAAAGATTTGGTGATGGTTCTTTTAGCTGCTACACTCCAACACTATGGAGCAAACATCCAGAGGGTCTGAGACAAACTGGAAATATAAAAATCTTTAAATGTAATCTTAAAACTCATCTATTTAGCCTGGCTTTTATGTAAAGCTTTATTGTTTTATTTACTCTTATAATTTATTCATTTTTTAGTATCACTTTTTACCTTATTTATTAATGAATTCAAGTTTACATTTTATTGTCTGTTTTAGTCTATTTTAATAACTTTTATTTGTCTTGTCCTGATGTACTTTGTACTTTGAGCTGCAATTTCATTTGTGTGAACAGTGCTATAAAAATAAACTTTGATTAATTGAATTCAAGGCAATCAGATGTAAAAATTTGTAGATTTTTTTAAACAAATTGCCATTTTGTTTAACATTTGAAATATAATTAAATCACTGCAAGCAATTTGAAGTGATTTGAGTTCATCTTAGTTTATAGCAGTTGCTGAGCAGCGTCAGTGGTTGTACATGGAGCTTTTAAAATGGTTGTTAGACTCTGCTGACCGGTTTGGCGACATGTCTTAAAACTTTGAACTAAAGTCTGCTGAGGACAAACTAACAACACCAGCACGTGCTCTTTGCTCGATGGTTAAACTTTCCAACACTAACGCAGTGAGAGTTAGAGACAAACCTCTGCTACCACTGACACAATACAGTGAAAAACGCTCCCAAAATACTACTATTTATTTGGTCTGGCCGTCGAAGCCAGTCTTGTCACGCTTCCTTGTTTATGTTTTTTTAGAGCCGCAAAGGTTTGTTTCCAGACTGTTGCTCCACCCACATAAAGCTAGTTTATACACCGCGCTGACTATTGGGAAATGTAGTCCTAGAAGCTGGGAGAAGCGTTCTGTTGGAAGTGCAAGTGTGCCATCTGGAACTACATTTCCCACTTAATCATGGACTTGTAGTGTTGTTAACGGATAACCCGAGGGCTGAGACATACTGCAACAACTCTGCAGCTTCTGTAAACAGCTGCTTCGTCGTTGGGCGCTAAACAGAGGTGAGTTTTTCACGTGTTGTTGATGTTATTTAATCGATTGTGATAGGGAGCTTCTTAAGACAACAGCTATGCTAAATAAAGCTTTAAACCATGAGCTCTGACGATGCTGCGAGGGTAGATGTTTATAACAAGTCTGTTAAGTAGGTAAAATAGATGCGAACTGACCTCTAAATTACAAAATGCCATGTTTTCATGCGAGATAGTAACTGTTGTCATCTGCTGTTTTCGTTGTTGTCTTTGTAGTTAAGACAAACACAGGCTGTTGTTATTGTCAGGCCTCAGGAGCTGGCATCTTTGACTAGTACAGTAATCTGTCGCCACTGCAGGTCGCTGTTTTTTTTCCTGTTTGTTTCCTGTGTGAAGACAGTCTGAAGTTCATGACCAGACTACAGTAAAAGAAAATATCTATCTATACAGTGTAACATGCATATGTGCTGGATTAAAATTATAATATAGCTTTTAACCAAACCAACAAGATTTCACTTTCTTCAATATGGCCTCTATTTTCTACTCCTCAGTCCTTTTTTGCTTTTATAGATGTGCAAAAATGATTGCTCTTCATATATTCCTTTTATGAGTGAGCTTAAAAAAGACAGGTAGTGTGAGGAGTAGAAAAGAGGGAAGACATGCAGCAGAAGATCAGGTTTGTGAACCCTGCCCTCAGAAAAGAGGAGTGTAGGTGTGAGTCAAATTAAATGTTGGTGCTGTCAGGGCAAGCAGGTCTGAATCACACCGTGAATCCTTTCATTTTCATCAAGTTAACATGGGAAAGAAGTGATAGATTTCTATATCTGTCTGCTTCTTAAAATACCTTTCCAGCACTAACACTTTACTCTGACATTACTGAGCAGTAATTCATCCCAAGATTAGACACAGCAGGTGGCTTTTTGGCACACCTTTTACCTTTATCTTTTTGCTGAAACTATTCCTAAATATGTACAGTACAGGCCAAAAGTTTGGACACACCTTCTCATTCAATGTCTTTTATTTTTTATATGACTATTTACATTACAGATTATCGCTGAAAGCATCAAAACTATGAATGAACGCATGTGGAATTTTGTACTTCTAAAAAAAGTGTGAAATAACTGAAAACGTGTTTTATATTCTAGTTTCTTTAAAATAGCCACCTTTTGCTCTTGATGACAGAAGTAACCCTGACAAGGCACACCTGTGAAGTAAAAACCATTTCAGGTGACTTCCTCATGAAACTCATTGAGAGAACAGCAAAAGTTTGCAGCGCTATCAAAAAAGCAAAGGGTGGCTACTTTGGGGAATCTAAAATAAAAAACATGTTTTCAGTTATTTCACACTTTTTTCTTAAGCACATAATTCCACATGTGCTCATTCATAGTTTTGATGCCCTCAGTGAGAATCTACAATTTAAATAGTAATGAGAATAAAGAAAATGCATTGAATGGGAAGGTGTGTCAAAACTTTCAGCCTGTACTGTATATATATGATCAGATACAGCTGTTACGTAGCAGAACTTTTCCTCATGTTTATTCAGAACATAATCATGTGAAAAAAGTAAGAGGGAGGTCATTATCATGACACACTGACCTATCTTATCTTTTTAACTGTGACATACTGTTGGGTTTTTTGTTTTTTCTTTATCTCCTGTAGGTTCCTGTTTATTGCTGACAAAACAACAGCTATGTCAGAAACTTCGAGTGATGCAGAGTCATCCTGTGGCTGGACCATCATTAGTAATGAGGTAGAAAGCCTTTTCTTTACTTGAACCCTGACAATTGTTATTACAAACACATTACAATTACAATACAGTTGCATCACACAGTCTTGTCTAATCAAAAAGTGTCGTGGGTGAGACATTAGATCAAACAGACTGGTACAAGAAAAGAAAATAGATCCAGGGGAAAGACACGCTGACTGCAGAGCCACAGTGACACACTTTTGAATTAATTGATTAACTTTATTGGTTAACTTTATTTATTTTATCTGTGAAATATCAAGCAAATACAGATAATTGTCAAAGTATAGGCACTGATAATCAGGCACTGTGGATAACCGCTAATATAGACAGTATGTGTAGGATGAACTGGTTACTTGATTTGACACTGATTTGACATCTCAATCTGGCAATAAACCTGTCTTTAACCACACCAACTTGTACTCAGATATGCTCTTTTATTACTAGAGTCTTTTTAGAGTTTTAGCAAGGGCGTTTTTTCACCTTAATTACTCATTTAACTCTAAGAATTGTGGATTGCACAAAAGTGAATTTTTGCCACATTTGAAAAAAATCCTGCAGGTGTGACAAAAATTATGTCTCTCATTTTCTGTTTTTGTTTTTCCACCATGCATCAGTGAAACCTTGACTCTGTAACTCTGTATTTTCAGCATCATGCCGACTGGTATTTGTTTTGTTACAGTCTCCAATGTGTTTCATCTTGTACTTTTCTAGCCTTGTTATCTATGTGATTAATAAGTTCTCACTGAAGGATTATCTTCCATTGAAATACAGGACACAAATTTTTACTTCTTCATATTTGCCAAGAACGTCTCTCAGTATGAATCTAAATCAATAAAGATTTCATATTTTTCCCTCTTTTGCATGTACAGGGTTCAGACATCGAGACACTGGGCTCGGAGGCTGTGGCGGAGTATGGGGCAGAGCTGTTAGAGCACCCTCAAGTGGAGACAGCAGAGCCGCAGGAAGATCAAGTGCCTCTGCTGGCTGGTAAGTATCCTCATTACACTTTTTATGGCACTGATCCAGCAACAGAGCGCAAGTCAGTGCTATCACGACTCATTGTGTTGTTAGTAAGACATCTCGAAAATAAAAACACCCCTTTTTTAGGGTGGGATGTCACTTCTTTGTGTGCACACAGGACAATCACATTGGAACATCTGAAAGTCACTAAGAAGTTTACAACTCTTAAATAGACATTTCTGATCTTGAATCTATATGCTTGCTTTGTCCTGGATCATAAATCACAGCCTGGGTGCCAACACCATGATAAATACTATATTTAATTTTTCAGCTGGTTGTGCTGAAGAGGGAGTTGCTGATTCACTTGATGACACTCTGGGAGAGAAAACTCTGGATGAGACTCTGTATGCCTCTGAGGTAAGAGCAAGAAAAGCGTTACTTTCTATGATTTTTTTAAAAATAACCCAGGGTTTCTTCATTGCTGCTCTCTCTGCCATCTGTTTCTTACATATTGTATCCTTCCAGGCCAGAGACAACACCACAGAGAAAGTGCATGTGACTGTGCTGTCCTCCAGCGATCACTCAGACATCGTGACTCTGCAAGACTTGAAGGAGGATGAGCACGCTGAGGTGGAGGAGGTGGCAGCAGCCAGTGGGGAGCTCTACATGGGGACCTCCTGCAGCAGCCAGTACGCCTTTACTGCCACAGAGACTGGTAGGGCTGCAGCACCACCCACCAACTGGCACAATAGACTGTTTTTAGGCTCTAGAGACATGTTTAGATCATGACCAAAAAGTCAAACAAGAGTAAACAAGACTTTTTTTCTCTCTACTTGTTTCTTACATCTTGAAAGCAGGTTTGAAGTTGAGTCACTGGAAAGTTCCACAGAGCCTCCAGAAGCTAGGTTTCTATTTGAGAAGTCAGCTCACTGGAGGTCGATCTCTTCCAGGTGGCCAAATTGAATCTGGAGTGAAGCTAATATGATACTAAGCTTGTTTAGCAGTGTACAGACCTAACTTGTCTGTGACTTGGCATGTTGATGAGAGCCAGCTGGGCCTTTTATAAAAGCATGTTTCACCAGAAATCTACCGCATGATTTAGTTTTACCCCGTGTATGTTTGTCAGTGTGCTTGTACATCTGACCTTAGAAAAGAAAAGGTCATAGAAAAGGTCTGATTTACAGTGCTGTGAAATTGGGGCTGGGCAATATAGCCTTTAACTGATACCATCATATTTTTAAGTTATATCACAATATACAATATTTACAGTATAGCTTGATATTTTGAAAAGTCTTTTGAATCACCATATCAATGTTAAAGTCGTCTTTTTAAACATGTTTGCAAAAAAGGGAGAATCAAAATCAAGTGGAACAGAACAAACTTTCTGTTTTGAGCTGCACATTAGCTTTCAGCTGATTAAAATAAATACTAGCCCAGTTGGCCCTCCTACTGTGGACTCGAAGTCCCTTAACTAAAACAGAGCTCACATCAACAAAAAAGCCCATTCAACATCAGAAAGACTTTTATAAATGATATAAAAGTACATTTAAGTGATTTGTTTTTCTGCTTGATCGTGTTTGTAACAACAGATCATTTAAAAAATTGTATGTTAACCACAGGAGCAGAGGTCCAGGCTGTAATCAATAACAGTATTATCAGAGGAGGACTGGAGGCATGTTTGTGTGCGTGTCGCTAGCAGAGTTTGTAATAACACAGAAAACTGGAGTTTTTTTAATCATGACTGACCTCCCGCTGAGAGGAATAATGAGTGACACAAGTGACTCTGGTGTGAGATTGACATTGATCCTGTAATCTATCTGACCCACAAAAAAGAAACCAGAGATTTTTTGTGAAGAGAATATTTTGGTTAAAACTCTTCATTGTTCCAAAAGCATGTTATAAGAGAATATGTTCAGTTATCATTTTGCATTAATAGATGATAATCTGCATGACTAACCTCACCTGTGAGTGAGTGCTTGTCCTTTTTTTCTTGGTAAATCTTCCTGGTAAACTTTCTTCACGATACACTCTGTAACCAAACTTGTGTTTCTGTAGTTTTCCCAGCGCAGCAGCCTGCAGTGACAAACTCCAGCAGCAGTGAAGATGAAGCAGAAAGAAGCCCAAGTACTGTAGTCAGAAGACGAAGGTTGAGAAAGAGTATTGCAAGCATCCCAACTGAGCCTGAGGAGGAGGGTGTGCAGGAATCTGGCCACAGTGAGGAGGAGGAGGAAGAGGAGGTCAAAAGACAGGAGGAGCAGACAGAAGTTTGTCCTGCTGCTGCTCCGGTTGTGAGAATGAAAAAACATGGAAGCAGCATCCTCAACAAGTGTATCCTGATTGCCCTCGTTGTCGCCATCAGCATGGGCTTCGGCCATTTCTATGGTAAGAAGTTCACCATTGAAGCAAAAGATTTCTAAAGTAGTTTTTGACTATTTTAGAGTATTAAAGGAGGAAAAGAAATTTACAGATTACCACTGTGGTGGCAGATGAAGTGGATTTTTACACAAACACGCACAAATACAAAGATCTAGCAATATTAAAGCTTTGTTTCAGTCTAGAGTTAATCTTTTTTTCTGTGAAATGTAAACTGTCTTTGTCCATGAGTGGATTTCGACTGAAGATATTCAAATTAGATCTGTAGGAGTGTCAGATTGAGTACCTGTCAGTAATTCTCTGATTGCAGTTTACATTAATGTAGTTGAAAATTCTCTGTGTCCCTAACAAGGGTTGTTTTTGACCCGCCTCCTCACTTAAGCAATAACAGCAGGTGCATGAGTTATCTCGGGAGACTCTTATCTCAACGTTACGCTGACTTAGTCGAGTTTGTAGGTTTTGTACCTGTCCCACTTTTGCTCCTCTTTGTTTTCTCTTTAGATGTTTGCAGGTATCACAGACCACTGCAGAAGACTGTGTCGCTTTTAAGTTGTAATAAGTTTCACATGTTATGAATCTTCCAGGCACTGTCCAGATTCAAGAAAGACAAAAAACTGTGGAGAAAACCAGAGTGAATGAGTTTGATGGAGTGAGAGATCTGCTTCACCAACACATGAAGGAACAACCTTTAACAAACCAGGTCAGTACCAGGCCATGACTCAACAATGGTAACACAACTACTGCTGCAGGACATCCATAAAAATCACCTTTAGTCATTGTTGACCATACTTTAGAGTTTAAAAGAGCTTCTTTGATGCAAAATACACGTTTCCAGGTGAATATTCAGTCTTTAGAAACCCTTTAAAGAGCCAATTCAGCAGAAATGAAATGTGAAATGTCACTCTTACTTAGAGTTGTTGGTTCTACCCCGGTCTTTAAGAATTCTCATTAATTATCATGTGTTTTAGTGTTAAATATCTAGTATTTAATACAATTTAATGATATCATTTCACCATCAACAGTTATGACAAGTATAACAGAAAATAATGGTCAATTTTATCTTCCTTTCATCGCTCAGCTACAGAGGGATGACTTCAGCCTGGACGACCTCGATGAGCACAAAGTGATTACGCTGCTTACAGAGGTGATCGAGAAAATCAAGAAAGAGAACCAGGAGCTCAGCGACAAACAGGCACAGACTCAGGTAGTTTGAAGCAGCTGCAAGGAGCTCACATTTTGATAAGATTTCTGCAGTGTCCCTGTTTGGACGTGCGAGATAAGATACGTCGAACTATGTAATATAAACAACATTTGAACTTGAACACCTGCTCAGAAGAAGAGGAAAGTTTCCGGTCCCTTTTTAAATTCTCAGAATTTGCTAAATGCTAAATGACCAAGTTGTTGAGCCAGTTCTTTGCTCTTTGTCTCGTTGCTGATTCAATTTTGTAACGTATGAATCTCCTGCGTCATTTTTATTGGCAAAGTGCCAAACTTTTCAAGCGATAATGGAAAAACAAGCTCTTCTGGTAGAGAGGTGTAAATCTTCCTTTCAGAGCCCATAACACTTTTGTCTTGTAAAGGTCTTATAAAGGCGTCAGTGTCATTCTGAGATGGTTTCATACGGGTTGTAGCTTTTTTTATAAACAAGAAAAACAGTAAAGAAAAATGTTGTAGATAATGAAAGCTTAGAGGTTGGATATCTTAAAGTAAAAAAAAAAAAAAAAGATTTATCTACTTGCGTTTTATTGTGATATATAAAGGCTGAATAGTTTGTGTGAACCTTGTGATCATCCCATTTTTAACAACAGAACTTTTCTTCTTATTTCCCTCTTTTCTCTTGAAGCTCCAGAGGAAAGACCTGGAAACGCTGCTAAAACAGAAGACCAATGAGAGAAGTAACATCTTGACTCAGCAGCAGAGGTTGACAGCTGAGAACCAGCTGCTGAAAAGCTCCCTGGAACGAGAAGAGAAGTCCTTATCCACCTTACAGGAGGAGCTGAGAAACCTGCGCACTAAGATCAGAGAGCGGGAGGTGACAGGAGCTGTAGCAGACTCGCTGCTGACAGAAAACCAGAGACTGAAAGACCAGCTGGAGGAAGGGAAACGGATGATCCGTAATCAGAGGGAAGACATGATGGTTGAAGCACAGAGACTTAGGAAGAAGCTTGAAAAGGAGAAGAAGGTGACCGATGAGCTAAGACGAGAGTTAAACCTGCTGAGAAGTCACGTCTCTGAAACCGAAAAAGACGGAGGTTCAGAGTCAGAGGAGCTGCAGTCACGTCTGATGGACTTGGAGAAGAGATTAAGCTTTGAGCAGCAGCGCTCTGACCTGTGGGAGAGGCTGTATGTGGAAACCAAAGAAGACAGAGCCAAAGGAGACACAGAGTCTAAGGTGAAAAAAACAAAGGAAGGCATGGCAGGCAAAGTGAAAGAGACATTTGACGCTGTGAAGAACTCCACCAAAGAGTTTGTCCATCACCACAAAGAGCAGATAAAGAAAGCAAAAGAAGCTGTAAAGGAGAACCTGAGGAAGTTTTCAGATTCTGTCAAACTAACTTTCCGACACTTCAAGGACTCGGCCTCAACCTTCATCAACAAAGCCCGAGGTTTCTATGAAAAGAGACGTGGAGAGAAGTATTCGAAGGAGCAGTACAGGTTCAAGCCTCATCACAGACACTCGCACAAATTCGACGACTCCTTCCACAGCGATCACAACACTCGTAAACCAGGAGACAAATTTCACCAAGACCAACAACCTAACACCAACAAGGCCACCTACAAAGGGTGCTCAGGGGTGTTTGACTGCGCCTACCAGGAGTCCATGAGTCTCTTTAACAAAGCCACAGAGCCAATCAGAGCAGATGAATTTTATCAGCTGATGCAGAGCTACCTGCAGCAAGAGGTCGACCACTTCCACCACTGGAAAGAGCTGGAGAAGTTCATCAACAGCTTCTTCCGAAACGGGGTGTTCATCCATGACCGCATGCTATTCACAGACTTTGTCAGCGGTGTGGAGGGCTATCTGACCGACATGCACGAGTATCACGGCCTTGATGACAATGTGTTTGAAGATCTGGATGATTACGTTTACCGGCACTTCTTTGGAGAGGCTTACACTAAAAGTTATGGACCTAAGTAAGTCTCCAAAGGTACACAGTACATTACTAAAATGATTCTTTTATTGGAAACTTCTGCATAATAATCTAGAAGTTATTTGTAAATAACGATTTTTGAGGAGACTTCATTGAATATGTACACTTGGCCTTACCTGGTGTCTTTAAGTGACTAGTGGTCATGCTCTTTTCATCAAATACACTTTTTGCCAAACTCAGGATTTGAAAAGACCCCTCTGCTTCACGCCTCGGTCCCCCTCAGGGTTCCTATCCTTCTAACAACCTGCTCACTATCCTTTATCTTTAGAGTTGCTCTCAGCTCAGTCAGCTACAACATTATTTGTTTTGTGGTTATAATGTCTGTCATTATGCTGCAGTAGACTGTATTGTATCATTCAAACGACCCAATGTTCATGTTGTTTCTGCTTTGTGTTTAAATCTCACAGTGGGCCGTTTGAGAGGCCTGACGACTCAAAGGACTCCTCCAGAGCAAAGCATCACCAGAGAAAGCACCAGCGAGCCAAATCTCGTTCACACAGCGAGCGCAAGTGGAGCCGATCAGGGAGAAATGCAGACAGACACATGGCTGATGTCAAAATAGAACTGGGTCCGATGCCGTTTGACCCCAAATACTGAAAAAACACTTTAAATGATTTATTGTTGTAATTGGAAGCTGTTTCAGGATGTATCTAGTAGCTGTTTTTTTGTAAGTTTGCACATTGTTAATTTTTAAATGCTACTGAATGTCCTGATTTGTTGTGTTAAGTGAAATTTTTGTCACTTGGTTTGCATGAAAGATGAGGTTTTAAAATCATCTACAAATTTCCAACACAAGAGGCCCGATTTTATTTTTAAAGGTTGGATTAAGTTTTGGACTGTAAATGACGTCCCCAGAGAATATTAATCTTTACAGCCCCATCAGTAAACTTCATCAATGAGAGCACATGTGTCAAATACACATACAAGGATTCGGCTGGTGTTGATTGGGAGCAGAAACACTGGCCAGTAAAAATGAATTGAAGATTATGTAAATGTTTTAATTTGCTGCTTCAAACACAAGTTTCTCATGATGTGCTTTTTCAAACATTCCACCTCAAGCTGGTTTGAACTGGACCTGATAGTTTGTATTTAAAAGACTGGAAAATAAAAGTCACTAAGTTTGGATAAGTGAATAGAAAACAACCCCTCACACATTTGGAGTGACACTTTGAGAATATTAAAAATATTTATTTCAGTAGCAAGTTCCTGTCCTTTCGATGGAAAGATTTTGTTCCAATGGTTTTCAGTGCCTTTCATAAATAAAGACGCTTCCTCCAACTCTTCCCTCAGAAAAATGGGTGTGAAATATCTCTGCTGTTCTTGTGTAGTTGTTCCCGTTCAAAAACACAGCGATCTCCTGCAATAACAGAAAATTAGATTATAAAGCTACTGAGTTTCATTTATGATGGAATATGATCAGTGCAAGACTTACCGCCTCTAAAACATTAAACAAAACCAGGTGTGTTGGTAGAGAAGATTTATATGGAAATGACGTTCTGAGCCAGTGAAGAGGGTCGTCATAGAAACTGTCAGCTTCATCGATATAACCCTCTTCTCCTAGATCTGGAGGACACTCGAGGAACCTCATGTTTATGGGGCAGTGGACATGGCTACAGAGAACCAGAGAACCAGCACAACACAAGGCAGAAAGTTACATAGTTCAAAAATGTACATCTGAAAAACATTGTAGCCTCTTGGTCCTTTCAACATCTACCCTGGAGCGAACGTTATCACCAGTGCCATGTTACATATGAAGTGATCAAGAGCTTTCAAAACAGCCACCGAATGGACCTGAGGTGATTCTACCAGGTGATTCGTTCAGACGAACAAATGGATTAAGATGCTTTCTTACTCATGTTTGGTCACATTATTTCATGATAAATCTTTATTCTTTATAATAAAAGATGATAGTGCTAACAATTACTATCACAATAGTTTAACTAATTCTTTCCTCAAACCTGAACCTTTAATATCAGAGAACTGGCACAAAAATTAGGGAACCAAAGCTACCATTCATTAATTTATCATTCTGAAGACCTAAAATGTATCCAGATTTGGTTGACAAAATACACAGCTCTTTTTGTCTTCTGTCTTCCTCAGGTGTGAACCGTACCTGTAAAAAGGCGTTGAGTGGCAGGGCATGAGGAAGAGGACATCTGGAGGACTGGGGGAGCTGCCAGCGTCACAGAGCACCTGAATGTGACTCATGACATCAAGAGTTCCTCGCTGATGGACCAGGCCGGTGTAGAGAGCGGCGGACAGGTTACTCACCAATAAGACAAACACAGCAGCTGGTCTCCATGCTTTCAGGTAAGACAGGGAGACCCCTGCAGAACCAAAGTATTTCAATATTTAAACATGCATGAGGAAGGTCTTTATCACAGATAAAATTGTTGATATCAGATATAAAAACTCACCACAGAAGAGCATGCAGAATGGGAGCACCGGGTAGATGAATCTGAACTCTTTGTGAGGAAGCAAACTAGAGGAGAGAGATCAAAGAGTTTTACTTTGTCTTAAGAGCTTAAAAATATCATGACTGACTAAAAGCAATATTTATAAAACTCCTCTAAGTGCCATTCTATTAAGTTTATATAGCAGAGATGAAGCAACAACAGTGAAAAAGGTTAAACACGTCACAGCACTTTTTTAAAGTTATCAAAAAGTGTAGCTCTAAAAATGTTTTGATGAAGTGATTTTTAGCTGACTTGTTAGCCTAAAACAAAGAAGTTTTACCTGTAAACCATGATGGTCCACACAACTGAAGCCAGGAGAATCTTGTACTTTTTGAAGGCGAGGCCACACCCATGTAGAAAAAGAGGAAGATGAGGGCCGATCACTACAGGGAACCCCTGAGTGAGGTACCAGTGCCAGGGGTGAGAGCCGTAAAAATCAGCCACACCTCTGAAAACGTTGAACTTCAGGAAATTGAACTGCACCAAGGTCAGCTGAAGAACAGACAGAAAGCAGCTCTCTGAACACCTGACTTTATGAACAACAGCTGGAGGAATATAGAAACCACACTGGTGTAAAATGTTACCTCTTCATAAAAAATACTGTCGATCACTGTTGAAATCACAACAGCCACAGCTCTACAAATGAGAGGAGGGGTATCAGCAAAGACATGAGGATGAAAACAGAAAACAGTCAACTCAAATCAAAATGACAAACCCTATCGGAATGTAGTTATGAGTGATGAGCCTCAGCTTGTTCTCCTCCCGGCAGAAATGGTACATCAGCAGAGGAAACCAAACAATCAGAGCGGTTGGCCGGAAAATGACAGCCAAGGCGACTATGCTCAAATACTTTTTGCTGAAAAAACATCAACAAACATCTGTGAAAATCATCTGCATTTTTCTAAATATTAGAAATTAATTAAAAAAGGGAGTAAGCCAAAAGATACAACGAGGTGAGACCTGCTGTGTGTTTTTGATCCAGGTAGAGGGAAATAAAACAGAGCCAGGCAGGTGAGGGTGGTCTCCATACTGTTGGTCAGTGTCCTGGTGCAGCAGAACCATGAGAACCACGAGCACAGATGGCAGAAAAACTATGGGAAAGGAGAATAAGTTAAGTCAGAGCTGTTACACAAAGAGAACTTCATAAGGGTCCTTACATGTCATTTTTTGTATAACGGTTATCATTTTGCAAATACAGAGCTGAAAAAAGTGTAATTTGCAGAAGCAGTCAATCACACTTATTTTACCGTCCATTTTGCGACATCTGGGCTCTGCAACGTTTGAACGAGGAAGAAGAATTTTACATCGGCAAACGCAGCCAGCAGCGCTTGAAATATTCTTGGCAGCCATATCTACAAAATCAAACAGACAAGGGTTATTAGAATGACTAAATAATTTATTATGTAATACTATGCTGATGTGAGAATGTGTTAAATTGAAAAAAGTGCTCTTACTAGGAGAAGAACAGAGTCATAGTTGATGAGGTTTAATATCTTGAATATAGCTGCAAAGAGGAGAGGATAAGAAAATCCTCTTATGCCTTCTTTCCATTCCCAGGTCAGAAACCCATAAGTCACTCTGTTAAGTCAACACTTGATAACATGAGAAAAAGATCAAAATGATCTCAATATCAAATACAAAACTGAACTCCAATTTAAAAAACAAACAAACATATATTTACAAAAATAGTATTTGCAAATGGTATCCACTTAAGTCCTGAGGAATCATGGATCAAAAGGATATTTGAAGACCATACGATGTGACACCTCCACAGACTGCCAGTACTCATCAGGGACAAAACTTGTCTGAACCAGGAAGCAGTTGATGAGTCTGAACAGCAAACAGAAACCAACAACTCTGACTCTCAGCACACCTGTAAGATGAAGAGAAATAAGTTTAATAAAGACATATAATCTTACTCTCAGAGCAGATAAATGTTTGTTAAGTTTGACTTTAATATAATGTTTCTTGTTAATAGATTATCACGTTTAAGGGCCTCACCGTTATTAAGAGGTGAATCAGTTTCTCTTGAGTACAGGTGAGATTGACGTTTTCTCAGTTTCACATCTTCCACCTTATTCCCAAATTTCAGGCGTGATCGGAGGGTCTCCATCAGGACATTCTGTCTCTTTACCTGTCGGTACAACACGCTGCTGTCAACATCACACCTGTCAGGACGTAACTCAGGTGTGCGAGGTCAGTTCTCAACACAAGTAAAACAAAATTAAACACGCTTTAATAAGAATTATATAAATATCTCCAGGTGTTTTAGAAGTACGTGAAAGAATTATCCGGCTGCCACAGTACAAAAATATTATTAAACATAACAATGAAACAAAAATCACTGGTTCTGCCCAACTTTCATTTGGCACTGGGAGAGTGGTGATCTGTAATACTGCGCTTCCGCATGCATGTCAATTTCCGGTCAATTCTTGTTCACTTCCTTCAAAATAAAAGTCTGTTGCTGCTTCTTTTACGTTAGCGATAATGATCAAGTACAAATTCAGTAGATGGCTTAATTTTTAACCCGTCAAAGTAAAAAAAAAAAGTTCACCGAAAAACTGTTATGAGTCGTATCTGGATACATTTTGGTTTTATAAAATATTACTGTGAATTCAAGAGTACACCTATCATTTAATTGCTGCTAGATACATCAACCTCAAGAATGAAAATGAGAACCAGTAAACTGCTGCACCAGTCTGAACTTATTTGACTTATTCTTTACAAGTGCATCTCAATTTGATTACCACTGAAACTTCAATTTCTCTAAATACCAGGAAACCCTTTGTACTATTACCCCCACCACTTTTGTCAGCTAACATAAGAAACTTCGGTAACAACTTTCCTATGTAGAAACTTTGGCGTGCAAGACATACAAGCCAACCGGAGATATTTTGATAAGCGATTTTTAAATCTAAGAACATTGTATGTGTCTTACTCAACAGCTTTTCCCCCCCGTCAACTACTTTATTTCCTCATCATCAGGGTTTTTTAAAAAGTTTTATTCAGTTCAATTTCTTAATGAATTTATCCCTGCTTTCAATTAACAGTTAATTGCATTACTCACCGTCAATCTTTGCACCGGAAAATAAAGAATTCTGTCCTTTTTGCAGCGTGCAGTTCATCACTTCGCACTTCACCATCTACCCTCTGAAGGCATTTCCAAGTGTTATTACATGTATTGTCCGGTAGGTGGCGGACTACATCTCAGTGAGATTCTTCCTGATTCCGCTGCAGAAGAAGAATGTCGTCCTGTTCGGTCTTCGAGGTCCTTTAACAAATATCTTGTGTTTTGACCTCTGTGGTCTTCAGTCGATTTGTTTCAGGTGATAAAAGAAACCTTGACTAAAGCCGCTTCCTTGGTGAGTTAACAGTGTGGCAGAGTTTCGCCTCTATTTCAGTAAAACTGTCATATTAGTGTTGCATTTAGTAACGCGACGATAAATCCATCAAGCCTGTGAATGCGACCTATTTGTTTCCGGTTTGAACTTTTCAGCATAAACCTGGGCAGGTATTAAAAGACCTGTCCGAAGTTCTTTTGATGATGACCAAAATGGCCATTTAATATTTAAGTAAGAACTTAGTGTCAAGCAACAACCCATATTTAGTAAAATCCTGTAACGTTTTTTATTAGGGGATTAATATGTCAGAGTTAAAATCCCCAAATTTCTTAAATTTGTGAATGACAAGGCTTCTACAACCCTGATGTAATGATGCCATCAATGGTAATCTAAAGGGGTTTTCTAATGAGCATCTTTCCAGATCAGTGGGTTAAAGACACACTGTCATTAAGCTTCTGCAGGAACAATACTAGTGTACAAATGTATGCCAGAGTGTGAGAGTGATCAGCCACTGTTCTGTTTTTAGCTCTGTACCTTCTTAGGCCTTCGTGATATGAGACTTGGACTGTGTTCAGGACTTTCTGACAGTGTCTGTGGGAGTGATAGTTCATTGAAATGTTCCCCACTATTACATTTTTGTGAAAAAAAAATGCAGTGACTCTGTATAGTTTGATTAAAATGCAGCAACACAAGGAAATATTTCTTTTATTCTTTTAGAAGTTAATGTTGAAATTCAAATGAAATAACTTTGAGGATGTTCTGGTTATGTTTTTAAACCAACAGTATTGATCTAGTTAAGCCAAAAACACTGCTTTTAATTATCCTGCGTTGTGTGCATGTTCATTAACAAAATCATTGCAGTCAGATGTTTTGCTTGAATTTTAACAAGAACATTAAAAATTAAACAGATCTCATGATGTGCCAAATATAACAAGGACTTCAATGACAAACTTTTTGGTAACATTATTACCTCTTGTTTCAGGATCTCCTTGTGTCCTATCAGTGGCATTTCACACTGACTGAAGACATGTTTCGTAGAAGAATACCTTTCACACAGATGGCCTTTGCTACGTTGCTTGGAGTGGCTGGTGGTGTTTATATCTACAGACCTTTTTTCGAGCCACTACTGAAGAGCCCAGGACAGGAAAACCAGGATAAGCCAAAGAAACATGAACAAGCAGACTGAAATAATCTATCACTCTGGCAAAGATACCTCACGGACAGAAAAACAACAGCTGGACTGCCAGAACCAAGGGTGAAACATGGACAGTTCCACCGTGGACCTGGTTATACTTCTTTGGGGGTTCTTGTTGATGTTCAAAATAAAACATTAAATTATGTGTTATTATGTCTTCCATCTTCAGAAAGATGTGTCTAAATTTCATCCATAAATATATAACCTGTTCTGGTTTAATTTTCAAAGCTTACAGATGAAAAAAGTTTTTTAAAATATGGTCATCTTCTCTTTTCGTCTCAATATCACTCAAAGTGCTGTCCTTAAAATGAAATAGCCACTAAAAATAGCAGAAAAAATACATTTTTATCAAATACTATCATGTGTCTTTAAGCAGCAAACATATCTTTTTGTCAAAATGGTGTGTTGTAAAAAGTATAATATTACCATCTTTGCAAAAATCAGGTCAATTTTGTCACAAAAAGGAACAGGATAAGTAATCCTTGCATTTCTAGCCTCTGGCCTGGATTATTAGAATTCCTATCAGACCGCTCTAATAAGTTTAAACCCCTTTCAGCTGTTCCTAAAATCTGCTACTTGTGTACAGACAAGAACCGAGAACTGGATACCTATTTTCCACATATTGGCCCTTCTGCTGTCAGTAACTGTAATTTAAAGGAAAAGAAAATTCAAATTCTTCTCATACACAAAGACTTTACAATCAGGTGTTACCACAAGAACCATTTCTGTCAAGAACTTTTGCACTCTTGTGGTACCTGAAGTATCCAAAAGTAGTATTGGAGGCAGAGGTTTCTATCAAGCCCCTCTCCTCTAAGGGAGGCTGACTCTCCCCCATTTTAAATTACGGTAACACTCCTTTCTTGAAGCCTACCAAAGGCTGCATTGAACGTGCCAAATTACTCTTTGTCCAGTGCTAAAATTTCCATGATATATTTTGCAGTGGTGGGGCTACATTTTTATGAATAGTGTGGTGGAGCTGGGGCACAGACTTGAGTAGAGGTAGCCAGGTGTGGTAAACATTACAGGCTCACTCCAAACCTGTTATCTTCACAGATCAGGTATATTCTTGTTTGTGTTTTTCAACTTTAAAGCTCCTGTGAGGAGTTTTTAGCTGGTGGAGAAATAGACTGATACTAGTGCCTCTGTATGACCTTTAAAGGCAGATAAGACCATCAGCAACAAGTCTGATAATTTCACTGTAGTTATTTTTGATGCTTAAAAACACTGTAAGGGGGTTAATAGCTTACCAGGTCATTGACAGCAGGACGAAAAATCTTTTTAAAAACTTTTTACATGGTCAATACTTATACAAAGTGATAGATTATGATAATGTTTTTGTCTGAAAACAACTTTCAGATGTACAGATTAAGAGGTTTTGTCCACAGGGTGGTACAAACCAAAAGTTTCTCACAGCAGCTTTAAAGTTTAACTCAGCAGAGTAGCAATGTTTAAATCAGCTGAACTCGGATCTTAAAGGGTTTTAAAATGTGCATAGTCATCACTTAAACCACCAACAACAGAAAATGTCCCAAACCAAAATACAAAGAAGCTAACAGTTTGCTGAAAAACAACCAAATAGATGATTTCACAGAAGTGGCTCTGATAATGCAAGCGGACAATCGTGGTTTGGGATTTTAGGGACAGCCATGGCCACCCACTGGCCACTCCTGGTTTCACCACTGACATTTGTTGTGTTATCGGTGTAATTGTAAAAACAAACAAACAAACAAACAAACAAAACTAAAAAATGTTTGTCTCTGAAATCAGTGAAGTCTAGTGTAACAAAGCTGTCATTCTCAAGTAAAGTATCATGCTGAAAAGTCTACAGGAGTATATCCTTAACTTCACTTCAGTCCACTTGTTACCTAGCTTGTTATCTAGCTGTCAAATGCTCTGTGAAGGTTAGCAGTAACACTTTAATCGCTTCTCGACTGTTTTTTTTACCCAATGCTGTCAGCTCTGAGTTTAGCACTCCTCTCTGCTCCGTGGGGAGGAGCTGTTTCTGTTCAGCTCGACACCCACATACAGAGTAAGGTGGTGTTCAGTGTTACAGAGGCTGTTCTCATGTCAGCTAATGGCTCAGAGGCGACGAAGAAAGTAAGGCATTTACTTATTCACCTTTCGGAAAGACTTAAGCGGTCACCTCCAGCTTACTATTTCAACACAAAGACACAGCGCACTACAGCTACGCCCGGGGGCTGGTAAGTAGTTTGTTAAGAGTGTTTCCAGGAAATGTCAGTCGAAGAAACGAGTCTGTAGCATCTGTTAGGAGAAAGCGACAGGTTGACAACTTTTCTTACAACATAGGGTTGGTTCTCTCGGTTGTTTACTTTGTTTACAGGTTGAGCGCTCACAAACAGTGGATAAAATCACAACTAAAGGCAGCAGGGAAACATTTTAACACCTTTTTAAAACTCTCTTCAGAGTCGTACACTTTCTTCAAACTTGCTCAATAACTCTTACAGACTAACATCTCTGTCTAACTATTCCGAAAAAGTCATTTTCCAAGGAGGACTTGAAGTTATTCATATTTATCAGAGTGCCCAGGCATGTTTAGACTCATGCATGCTTCAATATGTCTGACAGAGGAAGCTGGGAAGTTGGCATCCAACTTCGCCAACTTGGCAGGATCCACATGAAGTGAAAGGTTTATTCCATGAAAACATCTACATAAGGATCAGCTGAGATTATCTTTTTTTAAAAGTTTGTTTCAGTGAACTGATTTGCTGCTGTATCTGTATGTGTCTGGTATGGTCATGTCTCATGCTGTCAAATCCTCTCTTGGTATTTTAATGATTAAATAGTTGACATCATTGGCAGCCAGAATATTTCAGGATGCATGATGCCCTTATCTGATCACTCAATTTGATCTAGAGTTATGTAATGATGTTCTCATTAGTGTCCCAATTGTTGTACACCCTTTCAAGTTTGAGGCATGTGAGTATCCGGACTTTCCCGAGGAGCTGCTGGCCGCTGTGTTGGACTGCTGCCCAGGGTGGGTCCTCCACTTCTCTCTGACAAATGATTAAAGCTCCTTTTTGTTTGCTGGTCCACATGGGTGGTAGTCCTTGTCTGGCAAACACAGCTACTCCCACTCAAGGAGGAAATGCCAACACATTTTAAGAGACAGCTCAGAGTTTGTGACGGACTGTACTTTATTTTTAATTGTTCCTTTGATAGAAATCCTCACTGAGATCACATTTATCTATCAATGTACTTATGGCCAAAGAAAGGAGAAGTGACATATCACATGTGAAAAAGTTGTCGAAAAATTTAAATAATACAAACACACTTTATAAATAGATATGACATTTTTTATTTATTCTATTCAGTACACGTAAACTGCATAAAATGAAGTTACATGCTCAGCCGAACCAAAGAGGGCAGGTGTTGAGTTGAGCAAGAGCATCAGAAAAAGATCGCTCATGTGACTGTGATCAGGTGTACTTACGAAGGTGCTGCACAGTACAAGGTTAGTTTAATGAAGAGCAAGTCTGAGTAAAGTGTCATGACCCTGTGGCATTAGATTATCTGGAATATAGGAGCCCTGCAGTGTTTAAGACATTTCCTCTCTGCTCTGTGATAAACCAAAACAGCACCATGAACTGTCGCAGTGGCCGTGAGAAATGTGGTTAAGCTTTGTACCTAAATTAAGTCAGTCTGCAAAGTGTCGTACAAAATGTAATCTTGAAGACAATATCAATATCAAGTAACTTTTTTATACTCATATCAGCCAGTATGAGGGAGGAAGGGTTACAAAAATATTCCACTAAAGGAAAAGTACAGTTAATTTAATGACATTTAACTTGAAGTAAAAATTACAAGTCTGTAATTTATTTATGTAAAAGTAGAAAGTAATTTACTTTTAACCTGTAGAGATGGGGAGAATAAGATTTTCTCCCATTTATGTCAAAGCACTGTATGTTTTCTCTCAAACTAGTTGATGTAATATAACCGTGGATTGTATATAGGATATACAGTCTTCATACAGCATGTTTTGTCATCTTTACACTTTTTGATGGTTAATTTAAGTCATTGCTGGCTAGAAATATGGACTTAGTTGTAATGAGTAAAGACGGCTGAAAATGGAGCCTACAGAAATGTCTTGATAAGTTTCTTGAAACAGGATATCGTGGTTATTTCAAGAACCTGGTCAAGTAAAATTTGGCTCAAAATATCTTGAAATAAGGTTCAAAATCAGACTTGTTAGGCTAATGTGGCTCAAGTTGTTCTGAGGTGGTGGACCTGTTGGTGATAGGGGTTGCACCAATTGGTTACACAGATCTTCTTTGGCAGAATAATGATCTCAATGTGGGAATCTGGCAGTAGTCAGATGTGACTGACCCATGCTTGTTTGTGGTATTTCACCCCTTATCTCATCATTTTAGGTTTATGTAGCTGTTGAGCAGCAAGACAATACATTTTCTGTTGTTAGAAGTGATCAAATTTGACTAAATGTAGTTTTGCTATGTTTTATGTTCCTTTAATTAAATTTTATGGTAAATATTGTCTTTCAAAGAAATAATTGTTGACTGTATCGTATCACTGGTTGTTACAGCTGAGACTTGAACAAATGTGGCTGAGTAGTCTGATCAGCCTACTGAATCTTCATCAACAAGATCTTTTACACTCACATTTTGTGGTGCTATTCTTACTCTAGCAGCAATATAACAAACTTAAATGTAAGCAAAGTTTAGAAATCAAAGCTCAAGCAGCTTCATGTTCTTTTGAGCGGCAAACTAAGTTAGATAACAGATCATGTAAGGACTAGTTTTGTAGCCATGACACACAGAAACAGAGAAGCAGCTTCCCTCTCAGCAGTATTTTTTGGTTATTAATAATCAGAAGGTAAAAAATGCACAACTAATTTCAGTAGAAATTTGTGTCAACTTGGTTTTAGATGGCTTTTTAACAGCCTCCTGTGAGGGCTTTCCTTCTGTAAAGCTGCTGTGTTCAGGGGCGGAGCCAGACTACTGTGGCTGGGGTGGTGAAACTGGGGCACCGACTTTTGCAAGGGTGGCAACAAGAATGTGTGCACATGTGAAAGGCTTTTAATCACCCGTCTATCAGAACCTACTAAACTTTTGACATGATAGTGTCCAAAATATGTTGAACTTCTTTCTGGTTCTCTTAATAAAGTAACACAACATGGTGACAAAACTTAAATCTTCAGAGATAAGATCTTTAAGGACTAAGCAAAAGATTCTTATCAAAAATCGCAATTTTAATTTTGTCAATTTTAAGTTTTGACAAAGAAAAACAAGGGGAATCGAAATGCATAGAAAATAGCTGATCATTTTGAGGATTTTGGGATGGCTGATCAGATTTTAAGGGAGTCAGTTGCCACATCTGGGCCTCTCAGACCACCCCTGGCTCTGCCCTTAATTGTCTTCTCCATCTTATTGTATAACAGGTTTGTTGTCCATTAAAAATTTAGAGGGTAATATCATGTAAGATTGCCAGTCATTGTTCATCTCTTTCAACTCTTAAGAATATCATGAGCTGCCAGTATAGTTAGTTGGCATCCTTTCAGCTGTATCAAGACTTAAGTTTAAGCAAATGATCATAAAGTTTTAGATTCTAACAGCTTTGTGTAAACATACAGATGAAAGTTTTTCTCCTAGCTTTTTATCTGTTAATCAATTCTCACACCTTTAAACGAGATTGTATTTCTTGATTATAATGAGGGCACGATAAGATGTTCTCTGGTTTGTCTGATAATAGTCTGCAGAATTTTGCTGACACATTTCCAGCGGTGTGGTTATGCTGATTCACTTCTGTGACCTCTTTTCACCAACACAGAAATCTAATACAGATCCATACATCTAATAGATCTATACATCAGGAATTCAAACACATTGTCAGTGGCAAAAAGAGTTGACCAAGCATATATTACAGATCTTTTATTTAACATCCACAGAAAATATCACAAGTTATTTCATTATACCATGTCAAAATCTCTTCAGTAACCACCTGGGACAAGAAAATCCTTGTTTATTTAGGAACATGAAGTGAAAACTACATATGACATTCAATGCCTACCCTAAGGGTCATTGACAAGATTATTGCTGCCAAACCTGTGCATGTTTCTGTTCGTGGTCAGAACACTTTGAACCAATTAGGTTTCGTTAAGATTTGGTCATAGCAGTGGGCACCAAAACTACAAAGAGCTCCAAAATGTACATACACTTGAATGAAAACCACTCGTCAAAACTTCTTAAGCTTCAGTAGGGTTAAACAGGTTGCCATCCACGTGTGTATGTCCGCATTAGTCATAGCTAAGTGTACCTGAAGGGTGTGTAGCTCAGTGTTTATGTGTCAGTCACTATTTTGACTGGGAGTCAAGAGGAAATTTGTTTAATGAAAGTGACAGGGAGTTGTGACTTTTCTGTTAAGCTGTCTTGTTTGGTGATTGTATGAGGTGAGTCGTGTGGATTTTACTGATGAGCTAACGAATGGTTCTTTATCTTTGGCTATTCACTCTGTTCACATTGAGACTGTTTTTGAGTGATCAAGCCATGCTGAGCTTCAGAAGCTCAAATAACTTCTGCCTTTTTCTAGGTTTGCAAAAAGTCAAAATCCAGGGAATCAGAAAGATAGAGACAGTTTAACTGGTTGAAAAGACATGAAAGGTATCTAAAGAGGCATCAGGATATATTTGAGTTAAAACTGCACATGTAATAACTTATAAGCCTCACTAAGAAAACAGTACTATTTAACAGCTTCTTTGCAAACAGTTTTTTTAGATAGTTATACATGAGTCATCAGGAAATGAAAAGCATACATTTCCTCTGCTGAATTCATTGTTCTGGTATTAATGTGCCGGTAGTAGTGATCATTAGCTAAGAACAAGGTTGCTGCCAAAAAATAAACTATTTACAGACAAAAGAACATGATTCATAAGCATCGATCATTATAGTTTGAGGAGAAAGTTTGAAGTTATGCCAAGTAATTGCTAGCTGTTCAAACCTACATTCGCTCTCTTTCCATGAGTGTGTTTAAAAGTTATAAATAAAATCTGTTTTATAACTTTTGACTCACCTAGGCCAGAACAAGCCAGCCAACAGGAATGTAGACCTCGTACTGTTGGGGGGGCTCAGTGGTCTTTGCTGACCGTTTATGGCCAAATCAGTGCATGTTGCAGCCATTTCCATCACAGAGTATTTTTCATGCGTCTTGATTTTGCACGAGACCTTAAGCTGCTTACAGCTTCAGATGAAAGGTTCAGTGTGGGTAACAGGAAAAGAATGTAAGACTTGTCTGAATACTTTTTGCACTGGTCATATGATATATCTGCTCTCTCTTTTTTTATTGTTTTGACCAAGCCAACCATAGTAAGAGAAAATGTTCATTTAGTGGATATCATGCTTGCTTTTCATTCTCACTGTGTAGTTAAACTTTGTACTGTAAGCTATAGTTTTTAATTAAAATCAGGTCAACTTTTATTCAAGCTATTAATCTGTAGACAGAAACGGCAACTTTTCACTTTCAAGACTGATTATTAGTAAAACCTTGACTGTTGTTGGGGCAGGACTTTAAAACGCCTTCTGTCATTTCCTGTCACTGTGTCAGCAGGATGAAACACTTCTTACGTTACACACATTAGCCCACAGTGCCATGAACCAAACAAGTCTACTTCTGTGGTCTTGCGTAACATTGAACAAAGTGTCAAAGATGTCTAATTCTCACTCCAGAGCTCTGACCGCACTGTTGGCTAAATATGCCTCAAAGCAGTTCATCTGAGGTTCTTTTCATTACTTTTAGAGAAACAGTTAGCAGTTTTTGTTTTTGGTAAATGTGAGAATGGTATTTTTCATGAGGGTTATGAAACCACTGGAATTAGCTATTGTGTTGTTGGTGAGTTTAGAGGGGAGTCATGGGGCAGCTGTCCTTACGAGATTACTCCACTAAATCCTCACTGGCCCTAAATAGGTGTTGGAGAGAGTTTGTTTGTTTTGACCTTTTTTCCCATGACTAACTTACCGATGAAAACTGAATTAACTACAGTTGATTATTTTGTATAAATCTTCAAATTACAGATTAATATTTGTCAGTTTAATTTCAGCTTTCATGACTGATTGGTAAAGTCCCCTACATCTTGTATTTGCATACTCACATTACGGGACCTAATGTAGGTAGATGAATCTAAATGTTGGCATGTATGTCTGGTCATGGCATTCGTCATGTAACTCTACATCATGAGACTATATGTTCTCAGTTGACCTGCATCTGAGTGAGGGCAGAATTCATGTAAAGCTGATAGTGAGTACCTTAATTAAATGCTCATTGTGTTCTGTTGAATCACCCAGTCAAACTGGAATGACAACAATTAAGAAAGCAGACTAAACACAATAAAACTAATCGTAGGTTGAATGAACTACTTGAGTACACTGAGAGAATCAGTCCCTCCAAACTTTGTCGCTGTCACCCTGCAGAGAGACCCAGCACCAAAATCCTATTGTTTATTCAGTTAGATATAAGCTGTTTTGCCTAATTCAATCTGGGAATTTGAGAATAAAGAACTCAAAGCCCCTTCACAGCCGTAGTCCAGCGACACATTTGTTTTTTGTTGGTTTATCCTGATCAGACCTTATTTCAGCGAGTAGTGTGTGCACTGTTCAAGCTTTTCTCTCTGTTGGATCTGTTGTACCTGTTATCTGAACAGCCAGCTATCCTTTTATAGACTTTTATAACATTACATCATTTCAATTGGAGCACCACCCTATTTCAACATTACTTCATGTTTAATCTCTCAGAGTGATGGGAAACTCCTGTGAGTGTGTGAAGCCATTTAAGCTCAATAAAGGTGTACGAACAACACCTGTCGACTTTTCCCTAATGCCAAGACAACCTGAGGGGTCAAACTTGACTTAATCGGTGCTTTTCTTATGGTAGACTAATCTCGTGAAAAGATAAACAATCTGTTCGTCTTTTTTTTGTAGGTGGATGATGCTACATCTGGTTTTGGCTCCACATCTTACCTTCTTGGAAAAATTAAATGTTGTTTTGATTTTAAAAGATTTTAGCTGGAAGTTATAGCAAATTTTTAAAAGCCACTGCTTATCCTTTTAAAAATAAGAGGCTTGTGTCTGTTTTGGATTCTTTCATGTCTGAGTGGTAGGATGAATGTCTGTTTTAAAAACAGATTTTTATCTAATGAGATTTATTCATCTGCCAAACAGTTTGACTGCTGCTCTATTGAGATGTTTTGTTTGTGTTTTTCAGAAACCAAGCTCTCACTATGTCTGATGGGGACTACGATTACCTCATCAAATTCCTAGCCCTCGGTGACTCGGGTGTGGGAAAAACTAGCTTTCTCTACCAATACACAGATAGCAAGTTCAACTCCAAGTTCATCACTACAGTTGGAATAGACTTTAGAGAAAAAAGAGTGGTAAGTCCAGTCCTTTTGGATAAAATGGTAAAGTTTCCCATAATGTCTACATTGGTTATGCTGGGATTTCCCTTCAGTCATACGTCAATTGAAGCACACACGGATTTTACTCTCTGCACCTAAAAGGTAACATTTTCTTACCTCCATGTGTGCGCTACAAGGATTTACAGCTTCCTAATCAGAGGCTTAAACACATTCCCACGCCATTAAGTCTCGTAACAAAAGACTACTTATGAAAGTTGCAACAACAGTCCAAGCAATGACTAATGTTGGGGAGCAACAGGCAGCACCCTCCTTAAGAATAAACACCACATACCGTTGGCAAACAGCTGAGCAATGTTCATATTTACACAGTATGCAGTCTATTGCTGTTGACATGGTACTACAAGAGTTTAGACTGGGCAGCAGTTTTATCATAACTAAACTGGACAGTCAATTACAGTGCACTAACAGTACGGATAACACTGAGAGTCCATCATTAACGTCTTTATTTAGTGGTTCTTATCCTGTCTAACAAGGAAATGAAAAAGCAGGAAGTTAAGAATGTGTAAGGAAACTTGCCACCTTAAAACATTAGATGACAGAGCACATATCTCATCTCTTCATCATGGTTAGAGCACAATAAGTTATTATCATAAGTCCTCGAACAACCCAGAGCTGTGCTTCCTGTGTCTGAATCCATTAAGTGTGAGATATCAAACACCACATATTCTTGATTTTTCCTGCTTCATGAAACAACTTCAGGGTTTCAGTCCCACTTTTCATCTCACTGGCTATCCCATAGCTCCACATAAAGTGAAGAAACCAAGTCAGCCTTAAATATCTTTCATGTTATTCATTCATTCATTTATTGATGTGACCAAAAACACTGTGTCTCCTCCTTCCACTTAGTTGCAGCTGAAAAATCTGTGGCCATCACCATTAGTTTTAGCTTTGTTGTTGTTCTCCCCACAGATAAGTGAGACAGATTTACCATACCTTCTAAGATCTTGTTTTCATGAGGTGAAGTAGCTGCATTCATGTTGCGAAGGGGGCAGGTGTGCAGCTAGTCTGATATTTTTTTCTTGATCATCGTTTAGTTTTATCTTCGTTTTCATAGCTGCTCATCTCAGATCAAATAAAAGTAAGCTAAGGTCATATGTACAGTTTAACCTCTTTTTTTTTTCTTTGTTGTCTCTTAGGTTTACAAATCAACAGGTCCTGATGGATCTTCGGGTAAAGGACAGAAGATTCACATGCAACTGTGGGACACTGCTGGACAGGAAAGGTACATGACACCCACCCAGACAGAAGCTTCTCTATTTTGGATTGTTATTCTTTTCTTTAATCACAATTCTCTCGTCAGGTTTCGTAGTTTGACGACTGCATTCTTCAGAGATGCGATGGGTTTCCTCCTGCTGTTCGACCTCACGAATGAACAAAGCTTCCTCAACGTCAGAAACTGGATGAGTATGTTTTTCTCACATAAAGCAACCCTGAGTTTCTTCAGTTTAGACAGATTCAAAAACACAGTGTTTTTTTCTCCCCAGAGAACCTAAACTACTTTTGGTGAATGATAAAGAAAACATCCTTTTGTGTCTGAGTCCTGCAGAATCACACCAGGCTGTTGTTGCACAAAAATATTATGTGATTAGACATTAGATTTTCCAGTTGCGGATAAGTCCTTCTCCGCAAACCTGAGCTAATGCTGAACTTGTGCCAAATCTTATTTTTTCCAGTCATTATAGTGTGTTATCAGTGTCTTGATATCTTCATGAAAAGTAAAAGGCATTTCACATTGAAACAGGTCTTGAGACATGACGGCATGTTTGTATCTTTCAGGTCAGTTACAGGTTCATGCGTACTGCGAAAGCCCGGATGTTGTCCTGTGTGGAAATAAATGTGACCTGACAGATCAGAGAGCAGTGAACGAAGAAGAGCCCCGTGAGCTGGCAGAGAAGTACGGGTATGTCTCAGCTTTGATCCGTGTGTACATGAACCTCTCCCTCCGTTGTTTGTCAAGAAGGCTGGGGCTACACTGTGTGCCAAAGTCTGTGCAGCAGAATGTCAGACAAAACTCATCCTCCTCGAAAAACAAATATTTGTGCACATGCGTAAAATATCCTGCTCTCACCCTACTGGACACACCTTTTCTAAAAACAGAGATGTTATAAAAGATTCAATGTTTTAATTCACTGTAAAAGCAGAAGAGATACTGGTATTACGTCAAGCATTTTACTTCAAGCAGACTCCTGTGGATCAGCAACTGTGAGCTTCTGTAAATTCTTTAGCCTATTTGCAGCTGTGCACTGACTTGATCCAGGTGAGGTCAGGTTAGGACATGTTAAAAATAAGACGAATTATTGTTCATCTAAAGATACCCATGAGATAACATTTCAAGGCAAGCACTATTTAGGCTGTTTTTAATTGTGTCAAATGTTTGAAAAGGAAATTAAAAGACATTTATGCTAAAAGAATATCATGATTTGTCATTGGTGCCCAAACACGGATGAAAAACTAATGAAGGAGCTACACTGCCATATCCACGTATTATCTCCTTTTATTAAAATGTATATGAGCTCAGAAGGTTTTTTTCTTTAACAGATCACACATACAGCTCTAACTGATACTATAAATGCTGACTAAAGCAGTACATTTTTACTTACTGCTGAATATTCAAGTATACAAAAACTGAATGTCGTCCTTTATAAACCACAGCCTTTTAAGAGTCGAGTTCTTCAAACACTGAAAGGACTCATATATAGGGTATGTTAAGATGTGCTTTTATAGATTTTACATATAGAAGAATTATATGAGGTGAGGCTTCATCAATAAAAAGGCTAAAGTTTTGGTTTCTTTTTATCCTTTTAAGGCAAATCTTAAAAATTTCAGAAATCCTCACCTTTTCTGAAAGGCCCTTTTTTATAACTCAAAACACAAACATTTGTGCTACATGGTTGCTCTTATGCTGCTGTGTTTTTACAGCGCCTGTATTTCTTTGAATGCAGAATCCCATATTTTGAGACGAGTGCTGCAAACGGGCAGAATGTCAACCAGGCTGTGGACGTCCTGCTGGATCTCATCATGAAGAGGATGGAAAGATGTGTTGACAAGTCTTGGATCCCTGATGGGACCGTACGGGCTAATGGACCCACCAACCCAGACCTCACAGAGGCCCCTGATAGGAGCAAATGTGCATGCTAGAATGATGGATGAGCCAGTCTGGGGGTGAACCTGTGCTCAAAATAGTGGTGAAAAAAATAGGAATTCATCCAAGTCAACCAGTGGGGGTATATATATATTTATATAAATATATTATATGCTGTATGTATTGTATTCTATGAAAGGTGAGATGTGATATTATTTGTTTCTTGTACCCCACAAACTGGTGCATTTCTGATCAAATTCACATTGAGATGCTGTGTTATTTTTTCAGGATTAGATGCCTTTTAATGGGGGCATTTCATTTCATTTGTATTCACACGATCAGTTTTGTGGAAAGAAAGATCTTACTGGAGAGTGGGATATTTATTTCTTATAATGTCTAGATTAAAAATCCGACTTGAGTCATCAGCTGTTGATGCTGATCATATTTACAGGAATAAACTTTCTGCTTAGGTAGCAGTAAAGTGAGCTTCCCTGCCAGATGTGCTTTAAATGTACTCATGAATTTTCTTTTACTTGCTGTAAAGTTTGCATAAAATCACACTATAATTACGACGATGAGTTAGAAAGGGGGCACTGCTATTCTGCTTTTAAATTAAGTCTGTGATATCTGCTGTCATCTTTGTTGGGATGTACTTTTAGGAGCCTTTGTATCGCTGGTTATGTACTACTGATGCTTTTCTGAATGTTCAATAGATCATCTGTGCCACAGCCAAAATGATTTACATCGGTCATTTAACAATGGCCGGGTGTTTATTACAACTCATGTATCTTTTGAGGGCTTGTGCCTTTTTCCTTCAAAAAAAGAGAAATAGGGAATTCACTCTGACTAAGTCACCTACACATAAGTATGAACAGCAGCGGGTTTGGCCAATGCAACAAAAGAAATACTTGTGTCATAATTATCATGAGAAATAATGAGCAGTAATTCTGGGGGACATGCAATTCACTCTGCTCAAAGACTATTTAAAAATATGTAACTATCAAATTTGTGAGACAAACTCGTGAGGGTGGGGGTGGGGTTGTAATTACAAAAGCTCACTGTTTCTGTTGTCTGTAGATTAACCTTCAGCACAATAATATCAGTTTAATATGAACAAAATTATTTATAAATGATCCAGTGATTCAGTCAGCTACCAAACTAGATTATCGATACCACCCAAATGAGCTCATCTGAGTGTAACCAAGTATTGTCTCATTATTACTTGATACAAGACTGTGAATATGAAGAACTGTGTTAAGTCTTTAAATAGTTCCTCATATTCTCTGGGTCAGTGTTTTAAAAAAGAGCATTGTCACTTATCTGAAAAGACTACAATTCTGCCACAAACTATTGAACTTTAGAGTAAACTAGTGGAGTGGGTTTTTTTTTTCAAACAGCAAATGCCATATTTCAAATTTTGTATACTACTAATGTAATTATTATAAGATTGCATCATAACCTGTAAAAACTGCAGCCTCTGCTTAGAAAGACTTCTGATAGAAATGCTGTATTCAGTGATTAGTGAAAAGAAATTTAAATTAAAGAGAGGTATTAATGTTGTAGATTTTTTTCTTTAAGTTTAGATAATTATCACAAATATTTTATTGGCAAGTTTTTGGAGTAATATATTAAGATTCTAAGGCTTTCCCTGTCACATCAATTTATAGCACCATTGATTTATATTTCACAAAAAGGGTATTTAGACTCAGTAAAAACACAGATTCTTTTGTACGTTTAACACTTTCCATCACCAGGCAACATAATTTGTACTACAGTCATTCTCTCTGTACACATGGTGAATGTGATGTTTTACATAAGAAACATGATTATATTTGTCCATTGACTCCTCCACTTCACAGATGTGAAAAGCTCTCTCTCTAGAACTAATCTGATGACGTGAGCGATTAAAAACAGAAAATATTTCTCAAGTGTGCCATAAAGTTTCATATGAAAAATATGTTATTGATGTCCAAAAATAAACATTTTTATTTATGTATTCATTGTCATTTTATTATATCAATAGTTAATGTTGTCAATGTCAACTTGCTGTTTTAAAGCTCAATTTTCTGGTTAATGATTAAGACGCTTCCCCGTAATCAGAGAAACCATTTATGGCTGGAAACCAAGTTCACTGCATTTTGTAGAAGTGACAGCTTTGTATAGGCCTCTTTTTGATGACAGTGCTGCTGTCTTTCACGTTATGAATGTGTGAAGAAGCATCACGGGTTGTGGTTAAGGATCTGTTATGAAAGAGGCTGTAGTTACCCTTCGGTCCTGACGGGGGCGCCTTGTCTTCTGCACTGCAGCAACCACGAGAGCATTTATACTCCATGAAGAAGAAAGTTCACGATCCCCCTGACCAAAAACAGCGTCCTAGGAGCATCTCTGAAGGTATCGACACACTTTCGACGTTAGATTGCAGTTTATAACAAAGTACCGAGAACAGGAGTTAGTTTATTTAAGAACAAGGCTGAAAATCGAGAACAAGAGAGTAACTCCGCTTGAAAATGTTGTGTTTTGGCTTGCCGGAAGTTTTGCTTCACATAGGAAGATGATGTCGAAATGCTACCTGGTCGTTGCTTTCTTCAATATTCACATGACTCTTGGTAGAAACAGACATTTATCTTCAGGTCTCATGGTTCATTTCAATGTCAAGTCATGACTTGTGTTTATTCCTCATTCATTCCTGTTGAGCTCACGTAACAACAACCAGTCTGCTGTTAGGGTGGCTCCAGGATTTCTCTCTTTATAATCACAACAACCCAGCCTCTATGCCTAACAGTCCATGTGGATGTTTTCATGTTATCTAGGAAGACAATCCTTGATAAGAGACAGTTAGCCATAAAATAAGCATGTATCACCATGACAACTAACATCATTTTACCACCTGACCCCGGATGTCCCCTGGAGGAGACACAAATAATTCAGTCTCCATCAACAACAACAAAGCTGTTCATAAGCCCTTTTTGTCTTGGTTATGACAGTCAAAGCTCTTTTAAGGAGTGTTTTTAATTGTCTGAAATGTATAGTATTGATGTATGTAAACGCTAATGAGACCAGCAAAAGATGATGTTTTTCTTTTTATTCTAATTTTTAACACCTAAAATTAGTGTGAGGGGGTAAGTATTAGCTGAAGAAGCAGTCCCACCACCTGCAGCATTCACAGAAACTGTAACATCAGGCAGTCAAAATTCAGCAGAATGAGATTTTTCTGTCCGAAGTCACTACTCAAGCATGTAGAAGATGAGATAAGCAAAGACTGGAGCTAAATTGGTACAAAAAAAGGAGTTCTTTACAGGAGCTTTAAATTCACAAAATGACTGTAAAGCATCCACGTTTACTAGTTCATGAAAAATATCTTTTTGATCTGTTGCAAATGGGGCACCAATCTACACTATAGTTTAGAGGTTAGATAATAAAATTTCAGAATGACCTCTTGCCGAATTTCAAGAGCATCCCATTTGGTCAAACCAAAATTCAACTTCCCCAACACAGTTTTGTACTCAAATAACTAACAGGTAAAAGATTTTAATCCTTACATTTGAGTAAACCTTGCAGATCCTTTAGCTGATTTCACTTACCTGTGGAATACCAATCTAAAGAAGTCTAAGGGTTCATCTAAACACAGCAATAACTTCAGAGAAAGTACATCTATGAGGATAGATATTAACCAATATGTTTGCTTTCCTCTTGCAGAATGCCTTTTCACTTCTGTCCCCAGTGTGGGACAAAGTTGCAGCCTGGTTTTAAATTTTGTCCATCTTGTGGAGAACAGCTTCCCTCTTCATCTGATGAACCGGGACCTGTGAGCTCAACAGTCTTTTTAAGTTGCTCTCCAACCAAACAGACTAAGGCAGCGTCACCAGTAGTTAAAACAAGCCTTACTTCAAGCACTAGTTCAGCACCCACAGCGAGTCAAGGTAAAGATCTTGGCAGAGTTTTAAAGGGACTTATATTGTGTTATCCAATGATATCGAAAATGTAGATTTTTTTTTTCTTTCAGCCCCTGAATGTACTCAGTCAACCTCAGTTACAACTCGTCCTGCACTGCGGAAATCCTTTAACTCATTACGGCTGGAGAAAGAAGTATCATTCTCTTTCAAAGATGCTGCTCCACCGGTGGTGCCTGACCCTAAACCTGACACAAGCATCAGGACTGAGGGTATTAAACATGGAGTTTTGAAAAGAAAAAACAACAATTTTGGGGTCAACTTGTAATTTTTTCATTTTGATTGCAAATTCATTAGCTTATGCATTTCTTTGGCTTTTATTTGCATCAACAGATAATGATAGGTTGGTGAGAACTCCTACAAAGCAGCAGACTGTCTCTTGTAAACTCAACACAGAGGTAGAGCCATCTTTAGAGTCGTCCCCCTCTTCTCTTGTGAAGTCTCCTCGAGCTGGTGAGTTGAAACACAGAACACATGAGACAGTCTTTATGATAAATTGAGTTTTTCCTCAATGTTTTGTGTTATGATCTTTTCTCTCATCCATATGGTTTGTAACTGACCCACATGAAGTCAGGGGAAAGGCAAAACACACTAGCCCTGCAGTGAAGCAGGCAGAAGATAAAACTGGAAGTAAAGCAGTGAAACGAACAGGAGATGGCTCCCCTAAGTCTGTGTCATCACCAGTCTCCAAATCTCCTTCAAAATCTCCTTCAAAAGGTCAACCACACAACTTAAAACACTGATATTTATCAAGTTAAAGGTTCAATTTCCCAGTGAAGACAGAAAAGGTTTAACTGTTTTTTTCCATGTGAAAAACTGTAAATATTTCCATATAAATACAACAGCAGGTAGAGGTAAAGCCAAGAAGACAAAACAAGCATGTGCTGTGGAGCCGCTGCAGGAAGGCGAGGAGGTGACAGACACAACAGGAAAAAAATGGACGCTGATAAAACTGCTCAGTCAGAGCACAACAGAAGTCTTCTACGAAGGTGAGACTGTCTTCATTTCATTTGATATTCTGGCGAGTGTAGACTGAACATAACTGGTGAAAGTAACCCAGCCAACACAGTTACTGTTCAAGACGGCAAGGTCCACTTTACAGTCAATTCTGACGAGACTTAAAGAGATATTCTTGCGCAAATTTAAGTTATGGTCAAACACAAGATAACACTGAGTTAGACACCCCCTCGAGAGATGATTGTTGCCGACCGCTTGCTTCTCTAGTTATACCAACATTAGCAACAACTGCATGATAGCAATACACAGCGCTACGAGGTCTCCCCGCGCAAACCTCGAGCAAAAAACCACTCATAAATAATGCTCAGAACAGCATCTAACTTCATCAACAGTACATAAAGGGTCCCAGCCACAGCAACAGCCATCAAACATCTTTTTAGCTTTGCCTGATTTCTTTAGCAAAGAGACTAAAAACAACTCACCCACTCTCCTCCAGCAGCCGCTTGTTTGTAGGGGAGCCACGAATCTGCAACATTCATCTCTCGGGGGGTTTGTCTAACTCTGTGTTGCTGTGTGTTTGACCATTACTTAAATTTACACCGCGGTATCCCTTTAAGAGCACATAGAGCATTGGTTTACTGTGTCTCTTTGCACAACCAAAATACAAAAATTCTTTTTAGTTTTTATACTCTCTGTTTTTTGTTTCATGTGTTTTAATCGAATAATGAGTTCAGTATCTCTGCGATCCAGTTAATGTCATTACAGCAGCAAAAAAGGCTGACGAAGTTAAGTGGATGCAATTGTGTTCAGCAGCAGATGACTGTGACGTAAAATGTGAATCAACTCTGTTACATGGTTTTATAATCTTTTTTAATTTCTGCGAACAGTTTCATCGTCAAAGTCCAAGGAATCAAATCACACCCTCAAACTGGTCAGTAAGATCCCATGATTCAAATTTTGATTTGGAGTTCTCTGTAAAAACTGGATATGTACTTTGACACCATGGGCTTTTATTTTTTCTGTACTGCCTGTTACAAATACTTCTTAATATCTTCAGTCACTCTAAGTAGCATCAGTAATGTGGATTTTCTCTCTGTTGTCATGTTAGGGAGCCAAGGATGGAAGACTCTTCAATGAGCAGAATTTTCTGCAGAGAGCAGCTAAACCTACATCTGGTGAGGTTTTTTTTTTGTTCTTCTTTTATGTTATCATAAATTCTGCATTCATAACTTGACTAATAATGGTTAAAAAACAGCAAGAGAACAAATGAAACAGAAATCAAATAGAAACAAAATAATTTAGATGTTAAGAGTGAAACAGAGAAAGACTGATTGACGGGAGCATCATCAGACCTATTTTGAGGACAAAATAACTGAAACCCTCGTAAGTTCTGGTTTGTCTGGAGTGTATCCATTCATGAGCATCTCACATTAACCTTCCTGCTAATACCTGATGTCTCTGCAGTGGAAAAATGGATCAAACAACGTAAGATGGATTTTCTGGGGATTCCCTCCTGTGTTGGCTTTGGTCCTCATGCAGATTCCTACAGGTGTGGAAAACAATTTAATAATGGATTTCCTCACACGAAACAAGACAAATTCTCATTAATTTGAAGCTCTGTTTTATGTTTTGTCAACAGGTTTCTAATTTTCCCAAACATGGGCCAGTGTCTTTGGTCTGTCATGGAGGAAGGAGAAAAGCTTCTGTCTGAGAAAACTGTTCTTCAGCTCGCCTGTAGATTAGTGAGTGTATCGTGAGGACAGACCTTCAGTCTGAATAATAACTGTGATTCCTCCATTCACTTAATAAAGCCAACATATTTCCATTTTTGCAGTTAGATGTGTTGCAGTATATCCATTCAAATGAGTATGTCCATGCTGATATCACTGCAGAAAACATCGTCATCTCACCGGATCAGAAATCTCAGGTAACGTGTTTTGCGGTTAAAAAAAACAAAACAGTAAACTGTGAAAGCTGTACTCTGTCTGTAGTTGAATTTACATGCACTTGCGTGTGTTGGTAGGTACACCTGGTAGGATACTGCTATGCTTTCAGGTATTGTCCAGGCGGACAACATGTTGAATATCGGGAGGCCAGCAGGACACCACATGAGGGCACCACAGAGTTTATCAGTCTGGACGCACATAAGGGAGCAGGTGCGTCATGAATAACTTGTTTCACTAATATCAACAAATCTGAATTCCTTTTTCTCTGGAAGCTGCTGTGTAAAACATGAGAAGACACCTGCACACCTCCCACAGTCCATCTGTCTGCGGCGCCACCTCCCACACACGCTTCACATGATAAGACTGATTAGACTGTCTTTTGAAGCGGGTTGTGGTTATGTAATAAAGTTCTTTCCATGTCTGACTAATTTAAAAACAAAGTCAGAGCCATAACTGGATTATATTTGTATCATCTGAGGTTTATTTCTTAATGTTCATGTGTATCAGAGGAAAGCTCTAAGAACAAGCACGTGTTGTGCTCACAATATATCATGTTTTCTGCTTCAGCTCCATCTCGCCGCAGCGACCTGCAGTCACTGGGTTACTGCATGCTGCGCTGGCATACAGGCTCCCTGCCCTGGACTGAAGTCAGTGATTTAGATCAGATCACCACACAGAAACAGAGGTGAGATGATTCAACTTCACCTCTTTGAAACACCATTAAAAAACACTGAGTTTGGTCACATTTCTGCTGAATAACATAAAACTTTAAAGTTGAATGTCCATTGGAAAAAAAAAACAACATGTTACTCAAAACTTCTCTAATGATAGATACATGGACGATGTTCCTGCTCTGTTGAATCAGTGCTTTGGGAAGAAAAGAGTTTCCAGTAAGTTCCAGTATTTTATTGACTCATATGAAGTTCTTAATTATGTGACTTTCCTTGAGATATTTGGTGAATCTGTGCGTTTTTTGGTGTAGGTGCGTTCAGAGTCTACCTGACTTCAGTGATGGCTCTGCAGTACTCAGAGGAGCCGGATTATTCAGCTCTGAAGGACGCACTGAGAGATGCTCTGCAGCTGTTGGGGGGGTCGCTGGATCAGCCGCTTAGTTTTTAGATCAAAACACCCAGCAGGTCAGAAACAAGTATTCACACATGTTAAGAGGTTTGTCCAATTGGCTGTGTGTCCTTGTTTCACATCGGAATTTTTCCTGCGAGTTAAAGATTACTGAGCTTTTATTCCATTTGCACTTGTTGTGTTGCAAACTCAAAGTTGAAAGCAGCTGTGTTTTCACCAGATAGAGATGATGGAAGTGGTGCAATGTTTTCAACAGTGAAAGTACTTAAGAAAACACTGGATGTATAAATTTTAAAATAGGTGGAAGTTTAACCTCAAACAAACTCAATTTTAGATTGAGGTCAATGAGCAGAGCTACCCCAAGTTTACTTATTTTAACTGGATCATCATTTCAAGCACTCAGTCGGTCACATTTCTCACAAATTGCACTGCAGAGTATCCACATGTCAGGGTCAGCTTGGGGGATGCAATTTCTCGAAGGGTTCATTTACTGGTCTGAGTGAAATTTACACTGAATTAGTTCAAAGTGTCACAGGTGTTGTGTTACATTTAAGTTTTGGGTATTTAGTTTAAACTGTTGTCTGTTTTGATGAAGTGTTTTAGTGAAATTTTAATTGCATGTAGTTTGTTTTCCTTTTTCATTTAAAAAGGGGAAAGTGCAGAAAGGGCGGACATTTTTCTCCCTCCATTTTAAAGCAAAGCATTACATTTTCTAAATCTGTGAACTAAAGGGATGAATAATGTAAGCAGGGTTTCTACATTTCTTATTGTTAAATTGTGCCTTAGTGTCCTTTGACGTTCAGTTATTTTACCGAAAAACAATAAAGCATCAGAATTCATCCCACCAAAAATGTGTTTCTATCTTTGCCGATGGTTGTTTTTGTATTGTTGTTGTGATGTTTGTGCTACACGAGAGTACACATGATGAAAGAGTCAACACAGCAGCATAAACATTTGTTTTAAAGAAACCTTTATAAAGTTTAAACATTTCTGAACATAAACATTTTGACATTTCAAGACATATACAATTCTTTATATGAAACAGTAAATATCTCTTATTGTGCACACTCTTAAAGTAGTTCAGAAAATAAACACTGATACCTTTTGCCTTATCTCTCCTTTCGTGGCATTTTAAACCTTACATCTCTGAGGCACTTTCCGAATGACGAGGCTTTTGAGTAACAACATAGAGCATGATACTGACGGACTATAGCGCCCCCGTGAGGTAGCTTTTAAACACAGTTGAGGACTGGATGGCTTCCTCACAGGGACTGAGCTTACACACACAGACTGATCATTTGAGCTTTTATACAGACATGCTGGCAGTGTGAGGCAGCGACACATGCAGGTTTAAATATAGGCTTACACTGATTGTAAAACAAGACCAAAATGAGCATGACTCCAACCCTTCACGTGGTCCATTCATTCCTAATGTAACTTGTGTTCCTTGTGTTGATTTGAAGATAGAATGTAACGTCTGGATTTCTAAATGTTTTCATCCACTGTCACCAAAAACACTGTGGTTTTCAGAGTGCAGCCCTGATTTGCAAATTCAAGTCCACAGCATGTTGATAAAAATCTTCAGACAAACATCACATGCTCATGAACTCTTTTCCCTCTCCCACTACGAGAGAGGAGCTCCGCGCTGAACACGGATTTAACACTGAAAAATCAAAACCTCCATGGTTTTTTTATATCCACAAATACTGTTACTTTTTGAACATTTTAGATGCAGCTCCGTGATTATTAACCTCTTTTCAGATCGAAGAAGTCAGTCGACTTGAACTCATCAAACTTTTACAAATTATTGGATCATGTATTAAACACACCGTGATAAAACAAAAAAAAAACAAGGCCGCTTTTCGCTGTTTCTGAAATGCTCTGGACATTAAATGTTCACATGACAGAAACAGTTTTTCCAAGTGTAAACAAATGGCGTCCCACTTAAACCCAGGCAATGTGATGGAGTGTGTGTTGAAAGAGAGGGGACTTTCTTTGTGGGTGGGGTAGGGGACTTTTAAGTCATGGCTGAGGTGAAGAAACCTCATGGTTTATCGTTCTTGGTCAGAACAAGGCAAATATGTGCACAGACTCTGCCGTAACAGGAGGGCCTGTTTGTCTGAGCAGTTAGTGGACCATCCTTGAGGCCTCCGGCCCCACAGAGTGAGAGGGGGATCAGAGCATGAGAAACGGTTTAGCTTTGGTTCCACTGTGTCATTAAAAGACAGTAGTGGCCAAATGGCTGGGGGTATGGGGACGCTCCTCCTGATCATGTGATGCCTCCTCCTCTGAAAGATTAAAAAAAGGGGCAAATTAAAAAACCTCTGCAGTCACATGAACAACGGCAGACTTTGTCTTCAGCTCTCACCATTCTGTTCATCTCCCTTTTCCTCGCTCTGCTCCTCCACAGCCTCGGATCTTTCTATCCGACGCAACCAATCTTGTACATCCTCCACGCTTGACTCCTTTTTAAAAATGTTTTTTTTTTTTCCTTTTTAGTTGATTTGAAAACATACTCCATGACTACAATTCTGCACTTTAACTGATTACCTGTGAGTCTGAGAAATGGTCTTCGTCTGAGTTTCTAAATCCTTCTGGGGCTTCCATGAGGATCTCCAGTTCCTCTCCCTCCTCTCCACTGCAACTGAAGAGACAAAATGGACGGTCACAGAGATTACAACCTAGAAGTAAAACCACTAAACTAGATGGTGACTCAACCAAACGAAATATTAAAACCTGCAACACTGTGAAACACAGGAAAAGAAAGAAATCAATGTTTATCCCAGTAAAATTCTGCTGGCTTGTTTTTATTTGTTGCCAAATCACTGCGAATTCTGAAAACCCCAAAAGAGGCTAATACGGGCTTTGTCAGGGTAACTGCAGTGTGCTCTGACTGGAATGTGTTAAAACTGCTAAGTCTAAGTGACATGAGGTCTGCCAGTGCTTAATATTCAGTCAACACCGAATCAAGAATATTCACAGGGCAGGGAATAAAACAAGAAAGTTTATGAATGTGAGGAGACATTTACTCATCAATAAAAAGGTCTGACACAAAAGCCAAACCTGAAAACTAAAACACTGACCTTCCTCCAGAGTAAACGTCCTCCTCTTCATCTTCTTTTCCCACAGCTTCATCTTCCACTTGGTTTTGGTTTGTTTCATCTTCTTTCTTTTCTTCTTCCTCAACAATCTCCTCCTTAGTGTCATTTTGGGGCTCTGTCTGCTCATCCTCCTCCTCCTCTTTTATTTGTTCCTCCGCTCTCTTGTCCTCTGTTTCCTCTCGGATGTCTTCATCACACCCATCATCATCTTCTTTATCTGTTTTCTGCACCGTCTCCTCCTCAGTTTTGTTTGATGTCTCTGCGTGTCTTCCATCCTCCTCTTCTTTGTCTTCCTCCTTCGTTGTCTTGTCTTTTATTTCACTTAGGTTCTCTTGATTTTTCCCCTCGTCTTCTTCTTGTTCTTTTTCTTCTACTGTCTCTTCCTCTATGTTATGTTGGTCCTCATCTTGCCCCTCCTTCTCCTCCTCCTCCTCTTTTTCCTCTTCATCCACTGTCTTTTGCTCTATTTTGTTTTGGTTTTTTTCATCTTTCCTTTCATCGTCTTCCTTTCTTTTTTCCTCTACTGTCTCGTCCTCCACGCTGTGTTGTTTTTTTTCATCTTCCTCATCATCGCCGTCTTTTTCTACCTCTGGCTGTTGGTTTAATGTCTCATCCATCAATTTGTGCTGGTCTTCTTTATCTTTCCCCTCATCATCCTCCTTCTTTTTCTCCTCATCTTCTTGATGTTGTTCCTCATCCTCCTCATCTTCAAGGTCCGAACAGTTGAGAAAGTCAAAACTTTCAAGGGCAGTCTCGAGCTCCTGAGTGAAACTGGAAGAAATAGGGAAGGGAACCTGGGAAGAAAACGAAGGCAGGTTTTTGAATATAACTGTTTTTCCATTGTACGAAATCAGAATATATGAATAATGGTTCTCACCGCTGGAGCGTCCTGCAGTTTTTGTGACTCCTGGTTAGCTGGATGTGGCTCATAGTGTGCCTGTGATGTTTCTATCTGCTGTCCCTCTCCCGCTGCTTTAGGGATGTGCTCCTCTGCTTCAGTCTGTTGAGCTGGTTTTGTCAAATCCTCAGGTGCATCATCCTTTACTTCCACCACTGGAACACTCACCTGTGAAACTCCACATTGAGTCACATGTGTCGTATCCACTCGTGTCACAGGAGCAACAGAGGAAACCTTAGAGCCCAAGCAGCTCAGATCTGCTAAGGTATCAGAGGCGTCAGCTGATTGGACGGACGCTCTTTTAGTCACAGTACAGTCTGCACTCCTCTGCTGCTCTGTGTGAGGCTGCAGGTGGCCGTTTGGCACAGCCTCTGTCTGAGTGAAAACCTCCCCGCTCTCTGTCTCATCCTCTTCCTGGTTTGAGGAAAGGGACGGCGTCGATGCACTGGACTTGTGCGGCGTTAGCGACAGCTGGGAGGCTAGAGTGGTGGGCAGCATGTTGGAGGCAGCGAGTCTCTGAGCATGGTGAGCCAGGGCGGGACTGGAAGAGTCATCGGAGGATTCAGAAGAGTTGGACCAGACCGTCCCGTTCTCCATTTCTCCCTGTCGCCTCAGCAGAGACTGGACAGGAAACAAGACACAGAGAAGCAACAGGTTATTCATATTTATGGCTGTCATGTCCACAAAAATCAAACCACAGCTACAAGATTTACGCACATGTCAGCGTGGATGTAAACTCAATATATTTAAGGGATGTATTATTTATTTAGTGGTTCTCAAACTGGGTTATAGGGGCGCTGGAAGGTGGGTAACCAAGTACAAAATATATGAAGTGGAACTAAAGACAAACTGACCAATCTCATCTTGGTCTGAGAAAATGTTTAGAGTGATTTGATGCTTTAAATGTCAATCTCAGCCACATGGAGCAGGAACTTCACAAACAACATGGGTCAGTATCGATGCAGAATCAGACCAATGTTTATTGCTAAATATTCCTGTATCTACACTTAACCTTCAAGATCTTTCAACTCTTTATTCTGTATTTAAACAAAAAGATGAAGCAGGATGATATAAAGTTTGAGAACCACTGGATTAGTAAAACAAGTCTTTATGTCAAGATGTACGACTTAATTTCAGTGATTCATTCATGGAGCTTTTCACAGAGATCAGAGTGTTGGCTGAATCACAATATGAACTGAATATGTTGACTTCAAGCCTTTAAATAGACAGTAATATGAGAGCTGATCTGTGATTAGCTGTTACTCTGATGATGTTCAAATCTGAAGATCAACTACTGTCATTTTCTTGATTTGATAAACACACTTCACAGTTCTAAAATATAGGGAAAAAAAAGGATCATCTAAACCCACTGACTATCCAGATATATTTACAGAACTATGTGGCCCAAGAGGAGGAGCTAAAATGTGTGATTTTCAAATCAACAATTGAAGTTTTATGAAAACACAGTATACTCATTAAGTCAAAAAGCCTGTTAATGCTTCTCCTCTATTCAGAATCAGCCTTCTTCTCTTATGATCCTGGTTTGATGGATATGGATAGATAACCTGTTCAATTTAGAGAATTTTTAAAACATACTTCCAATTATTGATTGACTTTGATTAATCTTGGATTAATCTTTGATGAATCAATCTCTTTTTTTATTCTACTCTTTGATTTCTTGCTAAACTACAGCTACATCTACGTCCCAACACACCGACTGCAAAGAGGTGAATCGGGGTGTCGTGTGGCTGAACTCAAAACGTGAGGATGCCATCCTTTCCGTCATGATGTTGAGGAAAGTCTCCATCAGCGGCCGGCTGTGTCTGGGCACGACACGAGGCATGCTCTTCACGTGTGATGAGGAAGAGGAGGGACATATTGGAGTTCTACTCAACAACTATTAAACAGCTACAAGGACCACAACTCCGTTCATACATGCTGCTATCACACGCCCCGCTACCGCTATCATTCATTCTCTGTGCATTAAGCACGCCACTCCTACGACCACATGACCTCACACACAACGCACTGTGAATATCCTCACACGCATCACTGCTACCACAACACACCAAGCACTTGGGGAGCAGCTGAAATAGAACAAGCCAGTAAAGTGACAGTAATAATACCCATGAGTAAATTAAATAGCAAACAGAATGTTTATGTGAGGAATAAATCAAGATTTAAAAAACCCTTCAAATACAAACATGTGACTGAACAGAGCAGGTGGACTTTTTGAGAGGGTTTCTATTTTAACGTGACTCACATAAAACACCTGCTCCCGCATAGAGGGCGTGTCAGGAGGGCTCTGATTGGACAGCAGCCGTTTGGAAACCGTACTGCTGGATGATGTCTGGTCATCTTTATCGAATGGACTAAAAACAAAAGGATAAAGTGAGAAAAAGGGCAAGAACACAAGTGAATTAACATTATAAATGTGTGAAAATACAAAGATGCTGTAAGCTGCGTGTTTATGTACCTCCAGGTCACCTCCAAGTTCAGCTTCACCGTCCCCAGATCATTTATATCCACAGCAAGCGTCTGGGGTAGTGGACAGAACAAATCGAGCATTTCACAGGACACACTGCCCACCACCACGTGATTAGCCAGGCTCTTCAGCTCAGTTACCTTGACAACCAAAGCAAGTAAACCCCGGAGACATGAGACTATTAGAATATAACATAGAGAGAATGTAAGCTTAAGCAGGCATGGTTAAGGGATTATGTATAATAAGTTCAAGGATAATAAGACTGTCCAAGAAATACATTTTTCTTATTGTGAACTATAGAAAGACCCATCACACAACATTTAAAATGTCGTCTTTGTCCAAAGTCTGATTGAGCTTTAATCAAGTTTGATTTGTGTATGTATAACCCCCCAAAAGTCTCTTTTCATTAAAAGAATGGGACTGTTTGTCTAAGGTGTAGAATTGAATGTTAAACTTGTGTCTCAGGTTTGCAGTTTTCCTTTACACAATTTTCTTCTTACACATGTTTTCAGTTGATATTTCAACAGTTTTATGATCATATAAATCATTTAACATTATGTGTCATACATGACAACATTCAAACCGGATACAAAATACGTCTCTTGGCAACAAACATGATTATTCCTTCTAAAATAGGGCCTGTGCTGGTCAGCTGAGGTTACCGAACATGCTTCCTTTTATGAACAGAGGAACTGCGATTTATTCTTGTTGCTCATACATACAGGGTCCTGTTCTCATAAATATTCAGCAAAGCTACAAATATTTATCAAAGCACAGCTAAAATATACTCTACGACAAATCATATTTTGCTTTGAGTTACATTTGCTCTGATTATCCTGCCGTCTTGGAAAATTCTTTAGCCTTGTGACCTATTTTTTAAAGATTAACACTTTCAGCCAGAGCTAGTTGGTTTGAAACTGGGTGCCACAAAGAGTTGGAGAAAGTTTCACAGTATTTTCAGGTTTAATCATCTGAGTTAGTTATGAACAGAAGGATCAAAAGCTTTCATTACCTTGATTGACAGCAGTTCTGTGACGAGAGGCAAGAAGATGTATTCTTCACTGTCCCATATCTGCTTGTTGCTGACTTCCACGCGCCCCCGTAGCCTCCAGCGTTGCCTCCCATATCGCATTAAGACCTAATGGGGCCAAAAATAGCTGATGAAAGGCAGAAAACACAAAGACTATCAATATCTGTGCTGACAAAGTTGTATATGCGTCTCGCACCTCATACTGGTCACCTGCACACAGCCGGGCAAAGCCAGCCAGGCCTGAAACATTGAAGAGGAACAAGAAAAATGAGAACCGGACTGACACAGAAAGGAACCAATGAGGAGTCATAGGAGTGTACAAAATGACTCACCCTTCATCTTGACGTGAAATTCTCCCATCTGGCTTTCTATTTCACTCTCAATAGAGCACATGTGCTGCAGTAAGAGATAGTATGAAGGTTTATGTAATGTTAAAGTGGTTGTTTATGCTGTTACAATATACTGTATGCACTTTGAAGTCTAAAATCTTGTTTTTAATACAAAAATAATGTCTAACACAGATCAACCAAACGAACAGCCAGACCTTCAGGTCTATCACTTGCCTCTGTACATTCTCTGTAGCCCTTGTTGGCTTCACTCAGGCTCTCTCTGGCCTCCTTACTGCCAGTGGCAGAATTGAAAGCTGCCACCATCTTGCTGGCTCCATCCCGCAGTCTGCGCTGTATACAATAAGCATCATATAGCTCCTCGACCTGGAAGACACAGTATAGTACAGCCTTTAACACAACAGACTGTGACCTAATGAAAGAATTTAATAACACATCATAATTTTTACCTATTGAAGTTTTGTTTGTCAGATTTTTGTATTACATAGTAAACACAATAACAGTCAAAGAGGGTTTCATTTAGCTACTCAATTCCCATCTACCCTGAATGCTGCAACAGTGAAAGGTATCACAGACAATGCTTTCTCCCTCAGCATGCAAACATGATGGTGGTTTTAGGGAAGCCTGACTAAAACAGCCATGCATTCACGTTAATCTGTTGCAGCCAGATGAAGCTCAAGCTAGCTAGCGGCTATCCTCAGATTAATTGGTGCCAATTTAGAGAAAAAATAAATAAAATTTAAATAATTTTAAAATGATTTCCCAGAAACAGGAGGGGATGTTGCGAACAAAGAATTAAGTTTTAAAAAATGGCAATGAATTTTTGAATGAAACCTTAAGGGATCTTTGTTTTTTTATTTATTCATCATGTTTCTCATCCTTAATGTAATACTGAATTATACAAACACAAATCCCAGATTTCTACCATATCATGCAGGCTTAGTTTAGCTTATCTACACATCCAACAAACAAGAAGCAGATATGGCACTCAAATTGATCCCTGAATTATTTTATCTCTCTGTCTCTCCTCATATCCGTTTTGTCCTTCATCAACACCACAAAAAATGTCTGTAAAAATTCCCCTTAAATTGCCATAATCCCACCAGTCTACAACAGTCAACCCACAGTCTGATGAACAATACTTTTTAACTTAGTAACCTGAACAGCTGTCTGCTTCATCTAAAACCACGTTCTGTGAGAGTAAACAACTACTGATTGTCCATTTTCATACAAACCTTGCTGAGGTGGAATTCCAACCGTCTCATAAACCTCTCTATGGCTTTTACTTGCTGCAAATTAAAATAAACAAATCATTCAACTTGAAAAACTTAAAGAAAATGGTTAAATCTTCTGTCAGGTGTGAATGAAACTCACCTTGTCCTGTTCATACAAAGAACCCTGAAAAGGAAACAACATGAAAACATTTTAGCATATCAAAGTGTCAAATTAACAACCTGTATGAGAACTGGAAACGACAACACTGGCCCAGAACAGACTAACAGATGAGGTGGGTGTGACTGGTTTCTGTTAAAATAAGCTCTCACCAAACGACCATTCCTCTTGTTTTCTCTGATCTGCTGACCCAGACTGTCCAGCTCCAGCTGGTGGACCTGCAGGTATGACCTGACAGGAAGAAACAAACACTCATTTAAACAAATTTCCTTCATTTGAAGACTTTAAGGCAGTCTTTTCCTGCGTCATCAATGATATGTCACCTGGCAGCCATCCACGATCATAAATGCAAACAGACCCTGAGATGTGTTTACTCACTGTAAGCCTCTGCGTAAGGCTGCATACACTTCATCCAGCCGCTCGGGCTGGGGGGTTTTAGTGGGTGGCAGTTTTGTAGAGCCCGTGAACATCCTGCTTCCTTACAAGGCACGTTTTTCTTGGATCAAACGGGGCTGAGGGAGGGAGAGGCAGGGAGAGATACAGAGCATGGGATCATTTCTGATAAGGCTTCCATGAATGCTACTTTTGGCGTAAGGAAACAGACAGAGAGCCGGGCTTACAGGGCTCAGCTCACCTGCTAAGTAGGAGCAAGGTTTCACTGCTGTAGCATGCTTGGCAAGTTGAGTGTTGTGTTGCGGTTCTAACAAACCAAAGGACATGTCCTGTAATCATACAAAAGAGAGACATCAGAGACAAATATTTCCCTGCCCACCTCTTACCTCACTGTAACTGATAGGATTTTTGCTCTTGCTCTGTGATTATAAAGGATTTCTGTAAGAGCAGAGGGTACTGAAGGATAAACTCTGGGGACAGAGAGCCGGAAGATAAAATCCACTCTTTCACTTCCCTGGTCTGGTCACTTTGCTTTGTTTCAAGTCTGATACAGAGAGCGACATGCATGCAAAAGCAACGGAGGTTGACACTCAGTACAGTCTGCTTTTGCTTCTCTTCCCCTTCCTTCCCTACTTCTCCACCCCCTCCAAACCCAACACCAGAGTACAGGAAGTCTCATGGCTGACTCTACACAGGAAATTCTACATCCAAGTTTGGCCCAAGAATAAAAACTATTCTTCCAGCATGTGCAGGGGTGTAAAAATTGACTCCTTTTTCACTTCAAATTTAATGTAAAGATTAGACAGAATACAGGGAAACTGTAGGAAGAGCGGGTCGTGCCCTGGCTAATCTAGCCACAAAAGAGATTATAGACTTAAACCACACTAAATCTGTCAAGCAGGAGCCAAACCCATATTAACACATGGGATATGTGAATGAGCCCTGCACGAAGCAGAGCAACTGGTGACATCTGCTCTCCATTGTCTGTCACTAAAATCTGAACCAGGACAGAAATTCCTCTGATTGGGACTCATGAAACACTTGTTGCTGGAATTGAAAGAAACAAGATTATGTTTTTTGTATAGTCAGAAACTTACTGGGACTAACACTTATGACATCAGAATGTATACCCTGCTTTCTCCATATGCTCTTACCACACAGCATGGACTTGGGCTTGCAAGGGGAAACCAGGTCGGGGGTCCAGATAAACCACTAATCTTAGCAACGAACTGGGAGGATTAACTGGAGTTGGTCAGAGTTTGGACAAAAAAAGGTGCCATACCGGCGAGTCTTTAAGGATAAAACACTCAACCACCAGACAACTTTTGCCAAACATGGCAAAGGAACACAAGCTGGATTCAGAACCGTTCCTTGAGGTGATCACAGCTATGAAAGTTTACAATCATCATAAACTAAATACAAATGCATACAGAAGGTCGGACCCTCAATATCTTGTAAACAGTTCTACCTGTAGCCTACACAAACGCTCAGAAGACTCAAAAACATCATTGATAATTCCGAGTGAATGTCAACCTGTTTTCTCCCTGTCAGATGTGCTGTTACTGCTTTCCTTACATTAGAGGTCATTAGCTGGATTAATTCTCTCCACCAGAGCACAGCGAACAAAGAGGACACTGTTTCCAATCACCTCACAAGACTAGAGTTTTGTGTAAAAAAAAAAAAAAAAAAAAAAAAAAGCCTTTCATGCACCCACTGCATGCACAAGCACTTGTAGTCTTCATCAGACATTAGCTCAGGCCTTGAGAAATATCTGACTCACTTATTCATCACAACACATTTATCAATAATTTATTATGCGAGATAGATTGCACTGCTACTAAGGTTTACTTTCATTACCAGCTTTTATTTATACAATATTAATTGACTGTTTAGCCTACACAAGAGATTTTCATAAACATAAACATATCCATAAAGATATAAATGGGAAAGAAGAATATGTTGGGCTCCATATTAGAGTAAGCTACTATGACTGATTGGAGCTTTTTAATTAGATAAATGATCTAAATAACTGAAACTGACGGTAGTTAACTTTATGCTTGGGGACTAATCGATTAATTGATAGGTCGTTTCAGTTGTTAAACTGCGTTATGAAATTTCAGCTGGACATCACATACACATCACAGCCAAATATGATTTCTTGAAGTTATTTACAATGTGACCCACTGCTAAACAACAATTTTACCGAATGTTATACAACTGTAATAAATTTAGGGAACTTAAAGTCATGTTAGAGAACCTCAAGGATGAATCATAATCATGACTGGAAGTGCTTAGTCGGTTAACCGTTTCGCACGTAACATTTTTCATTGGTTTTGTTAATAATTCTGAAATTACAAGAGACATGAATAGCTATGTGGCTAACACCCCAATAGACCATCTGTACTTTGTGGGTCCCAGAGTGTGCCGGAGGAAGAGGAAGGAGCAGCAGGAGGAGGATGAGAGGTAATGGTGTTATAGCGAAATGCAACTACCTCTATTCCAGATTACTGGATTAACCTAACCTAGAAGGAGCAGGCCGATGAGCCGGACAAAGAGGCTCCAACAACAAAGTCGGACTCGTTGAGACACTTCAAGTCGAGGCGACAATGACGGAGCTCTAACAGCAAACTTAACGAACGGTGTCGTGCCTTGTTTTGTATACCATCCATATCCCAACCCCAGGCAGACCCCGGAGCCCATCACAGGCCACAAAAAAGTCCGCTCCGGTCCACAACAGCACCACAACCGCCCTCCTCCTCCTTGAAAATAACCGTCCTCACTTCTCATAACACCGAAAATCTCAGCTGGGGGAACACATAAGTCAGCCACAGACTGCTGGAGGATATAATGTCGTCAACATCACGGGAAAGCAACTTCGCTTCGGACGGACTCATGTAGGGAAAATTTTTTAACAGGCTTCTTGTTGTGACCTTGGCGGTGTAAGGAGCGACCTCATACCTGTGTTTAAACGTCCGACAGCCCGGGGGTAATGTTCCTAGTCCCATTTCCAACACGATGCTCCACGCAGTTAGCTGGGGTTTACAGTTATTCTGGGCGCTGTCCCTCTCCTTGATTTCGCAGTTTTTTGTCTACAATCAAACTAGCAGCAGCTACTTGACGGTTTCCGGTTGAAACGTTTCAAAATAAAAGTTGGAGCGATGACGTCAAATTGAAATCATTGTCAAGCTATGTTTACGAAAATTATGGTTTAAGCTATATTAAACTATTCCATTACGCTAGTGCAGAAAGTGAAAGCCCATTGTGGACATGCGATTATATTTGTTATTAACAGGTTTGAGAATTATTCTTAAATGAGTCGGCTCTGCATCTTACACTGGAGTGGTCTTTAGTGGTTCTGAAAGATCTCAGTTTATTTTTGTCATTGCCTCTCAGTGACAAACCAATTTTTAGCATTATCACATAAAATAAGCTTAAAAAAATAGTAAAATAAGTGTAATTTTCCAGACATCAACTGATATTAACTCACTATAATGGTGAAACTAATATTACCTCTAGATTAGGATAAAAGAAATTGCAGCAATGACAAAACAACTGAAAATACAGGACACTACTTGATGCCCTTGACTGAAGGTAGCCTATGCTACCACATCATAAAAAGAGAGACAGGGATGTAGATCAGTCAAAACTTGTTAATGTATCTCAAAATCAAAAAAAAAAAAAGAAAAAAACATAGGCAAGTCTAAGGAAGACATGCTAGAAAGACTTTCTTATCCATAGACAAACAACACATTAAGACAGACATGTATAGATCCATTTCATACTGAGTAACAATTTGTTCACTATGAAGCAAAGATTAGGTATCAAGTATCGGCCTACAGTTACATGTGAGATAGAAAGAGGAATAGACTCCTAGTTTACAATTCTATAGTTTATAAACTACCAAGAATAAGATATCATCTTCAGTCATCATGTCCTGTTTGGGTGACATAAAATGCTCCCTAAATGTAGATATGTTTTACTTAATCTTAGTCATCCATCCAAGAAATAATGTCTCGATAGAATCATAAATAATCATAAATAATATACTGTGTGAAGACATTGACACGAGTGTAAGACGATTAATTCATGTAAATTCCATGTTAAAATGACATTAAAATGTGTTTTAAAAGTAACAAAGGTCTTCATCAATTTCTGGGGGAAACAGCCACAATAAATCATATGTATTGGGCAGTTTTAAAATGTGTTGACTTCATTACTTATACACACAACCAACAAATACATCTTTACTACAACGCATGTGGTTGCCCTTTCATTTCTGAAACGGAAAGCCTGGAAACAGACTAACTTGGTTTGCTGTTTTGGAATACAATTAGCAATGTGTGTGAATGGGTGTACGAGTTAAGCCGTCAGCAAATTTATTTTGAAAGTCCCCCCTCAAAGCCGGAAATGGAGCTCTGTGTAGTTGCTGTGGCAACAAGGATGTCCCTGGGTCTGTCACTATTTTCTCCGTCGCTGCTTGTGCTTCGCTGGCGACGCGGCGGTGAATCTAGCGGAAAAAGGCAGACACGAGGAGAAGAGGAGGGAGGAGATGGAAAAAAGTTATACGGTCACCCACAAACAGAGCAGACCCATGGGCGCCACAAGACAGCGTGAAGGTTCAGTTTGTGCCGTGAAAGTGTTTCAGGTGTGGAGTTAGTTCACTAACTGAGTGAGCCGGCGACAGGGCGGTCAGGCAGGATGAGTGACCGCGTGTGAGCGTCGGGTTTTCCTTTAGACCTGTCCAGGGCAAGACGAGGTCTGCTTCAGGTGTCTCTTAACCTATCTGGATTGCGACTCGTTCACGTTTAAAGTGATTTTTGCAGTTAAAAGTCTAAGGTTTGCTAAACTTCAGAAACCACCAAAAACTTTTTAAGAAAGTGCCTTCTTGCTCAAGGAAAGCCAGGTTTACCGAGAATCACGCCTGTTTTCGAGCAAGGTGTTACCTTTGGTCCCATGTCTTTAAATACACGAAAGTTGAAGTGGTTTTCTCTTCGGTGAGTTGAGCTAGCGGGAAAGTCAAAGCGTACCATACAAAAGTGTTGCCAGAACCATGAGAACAGCACGACCCGAGCCGAGGCCAAAGTGTCACGGTTTTAAACGTGATGATTTTGGAAAATGTAACGTTAACCTTAGCAGCAAACTTTGTAGTATTTAAATTTTGTTTAATCATAAATGTTTTTCCTTGAGCTGCGTCACCCCGCAGCAGTCCGTAATGGACTGGTCTGAGGTCTCTCTACAAACAAGCGGTTGCTGGAAGAGAGTAAGTGAGTTGTGTTTAGTCTCTTTGCTAAAGAAATCAGGCAAAGCTAAAAAGATGTTGGTGGCTAGGACCCTATATGTGCTGTTGATTAAGTTAGGTGCCGTTCTGAGCATTATTTGTGGCTAAAGAGTGGCGTTTTGGTTGAGGTTTGTTTATGGCTCAGGTCGCTGTGTATTGCTATCGTGCAGTCGTTACTAAAGTTGGGATAACTAGAGAAGCAAGCAGTTGGCAACATTAATGTCTTGAGGGAGTGTCTAACTTGGTGTTGTGGTGTGTTTGACCCTAAATCAATTTTGTTGAATATCCCTTTAATATCATTAATTGTATGTGATGCTGCTTCCATCTTTGAAGCGTTGTAATTACACCAACCTACAACCTATCACAGAAAAAAAACGAGTTACAATTGTAATATCGAGGCTTACATTTAATAAAATATATTTGCAAGCAAAATACAATGACATTTGTGTGGAGCTCTTTTCTCAGCTATATAAGATAACCAATGATTTGAAAAATTATCTTTCTGTATGTACCACTATCATGCTAACTTGTCATTCAAACCATACAAATTTAATTGATCCGTAAGACTATGGGCACAAAACTGTCAGCATCAGTCTATTTTTTTATTGGTTGTACAGTCATACAGCTTCTAGTCACACAGTTAAAACGTCATTCAAGGTATGAAGCATTGTATAGACAATAGTACAAAAAAGAAAATATAAACCCAAGGTGGAATGGCAACACAAGGGAATAAACTTAAGTTTTTCCCTTGCACTTGACAAGACCATGTTAAGTTAATGAGCATCATCACCTAGGTGTTACTGAAGCAAGAGACAAGCATAAAATAAGCAACACATCTACTTAAAACTAAAATATGCTTAAAAAGGGATTCACTAACACCATTAAAAGGAACCAAAATATAAAGATATTCAAAATATTTTTTCTTAAAAAATATTGGAAGTGGCTGTGATTAATGGCAGTTTTTGCCTCTCTTATCTGTAAGCTTTGACATTAAATGACCTGATTTGGTCAACATATAATTTATACTCCTCCCTTTAACTTCTGCTGCTTTAAAGAGCTTATGTTTCCAGACTGAGAGGTAAGGGATACTCTTCAGTGAGGATATCACACATTAACAGTAATCATGGCAAAAAAGAAAGCTACAAATATCTAGTCACAGATTTAACAAAGCACATAGAATGGCATAAATAGAACGGGCTTTGGAAAATGAGTTTAGAAACATAACTGGGATTCTTTCAATGACACATGCACTACTTAGATTCAGGGCATACTCAGTCTAACATGACACATTTAGCTGACTATTTTGCAGAAATCTTGCCAGAAGAAATTTACCCTGAAGTTATTGAGGGGAGCTGTTTGTGACCATAACAAAAAAGGTCAACAACAACCGAGGCAACAATTAAGAGCCAAAGATCCTGCAGTCAATTACAGCCACCCCACACTCTGATATACTAAATTGCGTTTTCAATATACTAAATAGCTTTCTTTTGGTAGGAAAAATCATCTTGTGTCTTTTTTCAATCATTGAACTCTTTATCATGACATGATTAAAAATCAAATCTTAAATTACACGAGTGATGTTTTTTTTCTGTTGTGGACTGAAGGTGTTAGTTATCCTAAATGTTAAGAATTAAAAATGACATCAAGGGTCTCATGTGTTTTTACAGGTTTGACTCGGTCTTCTATCACCGGTCCATCATGCTGAGGATCATCTCAGGGGTCAGGTCTCCATTGGGTGGGGCGTCAGATAGCTGCTCTCCCTGTGCTGTCTCCTCTTCTGGCAAATCCTCCATTTGAATAGTGGTCTTCCCTTCACCAACTATCACTTCTTCAGCCTCCTGGTCATCTGGTTCAGCTCCCACTTCTTTTTTCACAATTATGTCATCCACCTCTCCGGTGGCCTCGTCCTCCACACGGATGATGACAGCAGCTGTAAAGAGATTCAGGTCAGAGTCTTGTAAGGCCTTGCTTTACTTGGTTCACACAAACATCAAGAAATGGAAACACAGGATTCTGAGTTTCAGCTCTGTAGTTGAAGCTACTTCAATATGCCCATAAATTTCACAGTTTAACACTTACTATCTGGTTTGCTCTTGGGTGGCCGTCCACGTTTCCTCTTGACTGGTGGCTCCACAGGGGCTGGAATTGGGACCACAGATGGGGCCTGTTCAACCTCGATCTCATCCAAAAGGTCCTCTTCCTCTTCTGGATCTTCCACTTCAGGTTCTGGACATAAATTAAAATAAATTTCATTTTATAAAATTTTCACCTGTTGGCTAATTTTTCTCCAGTATTCTTATCATCAGTACTTAGTTCTTTATCGTGTCTTAGGGACAGCAGTCTTTGAGTCCCAGTTTTGAATGAAAGGAGAAGTGATGGTGACTCCATGGTAAAACCTGTCTGAGTCTGCGCTGACAGACACTTGGTCATCACTGCAAAACAGCCCTCAATTCTTCTGCACTTACTCATACATTTTTCCACTCTCATAATCGATGACCGTTGGGATACTGGCTTGTATTTTGTTTCAAAAAGATCACTTGCCATGAATACTCATTGCAAATTTAGTAGGAAATATTTTTGCTAGTGATGAACATGCCAATTACAAACCGTTTGAGGTTGAGATGAGTTTTGATGCAAAGGTCCAACTTTTACCATAATTCCCCAGAACCTGTTTTTTCTTTCGCCATGCAGTCTTTACCAACCATCACACCATAAAAATCATCCTGCTAGACATTTTGACACATGTGACAATCAAAATAAAACCTAACATTTTCAGTAGATGTTCTGCTTCAGTAGTGTTCTGATGTAAAGTGAGGGGCAATTGCAAAAGAACGGCTGATAAAGCACAATGACACACAACAACAGCTAGTGTATACCATACCTGTGTCATCATCACCATCGTCCCGCCTTGACTGCATCTTCCTCTTCCTGCCACGGCGACCCTTTTTGGGTGTGGGAGAACCATTCTCCTCTCCGACAGCTTCACCCGTGCAGTTTTCAGCATGACGCAGCATCGTGTTCTATTTAGCACACACAGATCACCATAAAGTCACAGGATTTAAAAAAAAACAAAAACAAAAAAAAAAAAAACAGAATAAATGGAAGTTGTGCTAGAATTCAGAGCTTGATCCTACCCTGCGGGTGAATGTCCTGGTACACTTGTTGCAGACAAATGCAGTGGGGACAAAGTTTGGATCATGGTAGCGTTTGAAGTGCATGTCCAGTAGCTGTTTCTGACGGAAGGTTTTATCACATTGGCTGCAAGCGAATGGCTTCTCCCCTGTGTGTGTGCGCTTATGCATTATCATGTGGCGCTCCTGGAGGGAAATATGTCAGAGAAAGATTCTTATTCAGCATGAAACTAAAAAGGAGGGGAGATCAACTCCAATGGTTCATATTTTACTTGAAACAAACCTGTCTGCAGCAGTAGTCACACTGCTCGCATTTAAAGCGCTTCTCATTCTTGTGAGTCTTCTGGTGTTGGATGAGAGCATATCTCTCATGAAACACAGCATCACAGTAACGACATTTCTTTCCCTTCTCGATGAATGAGTGCTGCTTTCGCAAATGAACACCTGGAAAACAAACGTACATGTTTGAATTCAGAATTTTACAAAAGAGGCCTCTTTAGCACATCATCTTCTTTTTGCGCTTAGCAGAAAAAGCTACACTAAACTTACCAAGGTCACTTTTACGTGCGATGACAGTATCACAGTGAGGGCAGTGGAACTTGGCCACATTCTCTGTGTGTTTTTGCAGGATATGCATCTTCATGGTGCCACTCTGCGTGAAACGGGCATGGCAGATGTAGCACTCATATGGCTTCTCACCTGCAGCAACAAAAATATGGTAATGGGTTAGATTCTCATCTTTTCATGAACTTCTAGCTTCATTGAAGGCTGCTTAATATGACATCTGGTAGGTAACCTGAGTGTGTCCTCATGTGCCTCTTCAGCTTGTACGTGTCTCTGCTGGCATAGCTGCACAGGCTGCACTGGAAGGGTCGCTCTCCTGTATGCGAGCGGATGTGCCTCTTCAGCTTACTCACCTAAAGATAAGAAAGATTTTAAATAAACGTTTGCAGGATACGAGAAAAGCATTGCAGATGAGATACCTTTAAAAAACAAACACATTAATACAAAGAGACTTGCCTCGACACTGCAGTAATCACACATAGAACACTTGAAGGGCTTCTCATGTGTATGTTTGTAACGGCGATGGCGCACCAATTCACCACTGGTTACAAATGCCATATCACAATCTGTGCATTTATGTGGCCGAGTACCTGGGAACAGAAAAAAAGTGAAAATAATGAACAAAACAGAAGCACATTAAACAAAAACATCTAAGTGTCAAAAAAACAAAGCAAGTTACAGTCAACCATTACCCATTAAGGAGTCAGAAGTGGTCAATTACTTAATCCAATATGATTGTTAAAAAGGTCTAAAGTGGTAAAAAGATCAGTTAAAAATCAGACACCTGCATATCCACTGACATATTTTATGTAGTTTTTGTGCAGTGCAGTGGATATGTAGTTTTGAATAAAATAATTTCAAAATAATTATGTACTAATAATTTAATACTATTTTAGTTTGCCAGTTAGATGCCATTCTGGAAATGTGCCCATTTAAACCATATTTAATGAGTCTTCTTAAATGAAGCAAAACAAAGAGAGACAATAAAGCTGCAGAGTAATAGACACAGCATGAGTTTAGTAACCCACTGTCACCAGTCTGTGTGCAAAGGAGAGAAGTTGTGCTGCTGCCAACTGTGTATACTCTGTTCATCGAGTACAGAACTGAGAGGGTCTAACTAAAAACCAGCAACCGGGGCACAGTCATTATCCTCAGTAATCATTCAGTCACATGAATCAATTCTAGTCATAGATCTGGAACTACAAATTATCCGAATATAAGACTGACAACCAGAAAGCGTAAAAAAATCCACAAAAAAGGATCAGGTTTAACATTACCGGTGTGTGTGTTCAGGTGGTTTCTTAGCAGTGTAACTGTTCGGAAGGCTCGCCCACACAAGTGACACTTATGTGGTCTCTCGTCTGTGTGGCTCTTCATGTGTCTGTCCAGGTTGGAGCGTCTGGGACAGGTGTAGCTACACAGCTCACACTGAAACGTCTTCTTTACACCTGAGCACCAAGGGGAGATGATTGGATGATTCAATGTTATGCAAATGTAAAATTATACAGGATAGAGAGGAGTCTCACATAGCCACTTTTACACATATCTTGATTAAAAGGGGCACTTTGTTAGTCTCACCTTTTTTCTTGATCTTGGTGGGCTTTGGTGGCTTCATGTTGCCCACAACTTTCTCAGCATTCACCTCTGACAACAGCCCTTCCTGTTGCTCCTCTTCAAAGTCATACACAGAAACATCCATGTCACGATCCCCCTCCCCGTAGCGCAGGCGGCTTTTCTTTCCCTTTTTTGCTTTGCGGACAGCGGTGATGGGCTGGTAGTCTGGGTCCTTGGTCCATTCTGGGTCTTCTGGCTGAGGTTCGGCAGTTTCAATTGCCTCTTCTTCCCCCTCCTCACCCCTCGTTCCCTGGAGCTCCTCATGGGCTGTCTGAAGCTCCTCCTGCTCCACAGTCTCTACTTCACCATTGGCACCCACTTTCACCACCTAAAATATCAGATTTGCATTTGAAGCTGACAAGACTGGTATCAACAATGAAGGACAAACATATCTGCACAGCAGGCCAGAGGTTTTTCTTACCTGAAAGCCCTCTGGCAAAGGGAGAGTGTGACAGATAACCGGCTCTGCATCCTTGTTAGCTGTTGCATCAACATAGGTTGCCTGCAGGCCCTCTACAGTTCCTGTTGTTACAGGTACCTGCACTAACTGGAGCTGACCAAGACCCAATGCGGCCCCAGCCTGCTCCTCCATATTTACAACCTGCACAAAGAAAAGAAACCTTTCAACTCCAGCAAATGATGAAAATGTCAACATGTGATGACAGAAGCAATGACTTGTTAACAATCATGCTGAAGACATACCTGCAGTGTGATGATCTGACCCTCATCTCCACCTGTAACCGTCACCGTGCTTGCGCCCTCCAACACCTCAGTCTTCATTTGTAGCAGAGCGGGATCAAGAGCATCCATCACCATCATCTCCATGTTACCCGCCACTTCTCCTTGAGGAGCTATGGTAACCCCCTGAATCATGGCCTCTCCACCCTCAGGCAGGACCTTACCATCAGCAGCCTGGGTAGCATCCATGGAAACAGCCTCGCCCTCCATGGCGACAGGCCAACTGACACCCGACACACAAAATTACAGAAAAATTTTATTTAATCTAAAAGGATTATGAATTTCAGTTTAATTTATCAAGAGTGTTGACAATAGAAGTGCAGGAAGTTTTTAGCCCTCTGGTGTCAGGACACCAGACAATCAAGTTCACAATCCTCACAGATACTAACTTCTGCCTATGTTTTGGCATTCAATCCTTGATTCATGTTCTGCGCCGCTAGCTCTGAAACAGCACAGACAGGGTTAATATTACATCTAATGTAACACTTCATGGGTCTGCTTTCAATGCAAACACAAATATTTGCCATATAATGTTGATTTTTGCTGACTTCTCTTTTTCCCTAAACTGCTTAAAAGGCTGGTAAAGATGGCATTTGTTGAATCAAAAGTGAGCTCATGTCAAACCGTGATGCAGACTTCCAAAATTAATGTCAATGAAGTTATAGGTGTTTTCCTGACGACTATGGACAAAATATGAGCGAAAATAGTGTTATGTCGATAATGGTTGTATTACCTTGAGTGACAAGCCTATCTGTAAAAATATTTGAACTGCTGTGAAATTTGGTGAAACTACCTTTCTTTCCACGTCTGTTAGTAGTCCTCAATAGTGCTCAGTACGGCCATAGCTCATGAATGAACCAATGGGGTCACGGGGAGTGTAACTGATGTGTTTAAGTGTCTTAGTGAAGTGCCTGGATATGCCTGATTGGCAAGTCTGCTAATACTCACCAGTATCACCAGTATACTACTTACACTTTGGGTGTTTTAAGTGGTCTTCACAGAAATATAAACATGATCCTTTGACGTGTGGCTTTTTGTTATCGTCTGTGAACGTTTATTATTCAATAGGTCGTTGTAAGTCACAAAAAAAAGGTCACTTGGCTAACTTGGTAACAATATTTTTTTCCACAACACTTTACAGAGTTCAGTAAGAGTGAGAAAAGCCGTCACCATACGTTAGTAAAAATCAGGAACATTATGTTTAAGTAGTTTATCCACTGCCGACTTCGTCTCTAAAGAGCGGCAGTTAACGACTTCCTGTCCTCAACTTAGTTTCTAAAGCATAAAAAAACAATTTATAATTCTCACTCACACGGCCGACTGTTATGCACTCATATACGTTTAAATCTTTAATACACAAAAACAAAACTTGTGTAAAACGAGTAAAACTACTGCGACGTCAACTCGTGTTAGTTAGTGAGTGAACTCCGGAGGCGCGAGGACGTCTGAAAACAGGAAACAAAGGGCACGAGAAGATGGACGACAGGCCTAACTAACTTTTATCAGAAACAAAGCCCATCTCTAACATTCTTCTGCAGCTGCACACAAAACATCCACCGAAAATCACCAAACGCTCAACTGGGACTAAGAGTTGGAGTTTATAGACAGATTTAGTAAATTTTAGATAACGATAGAGGGAGACAAACACCCCCCGCCAGCCGCCTGGCCGGTAAGCCCTACCGTGACACCTAGAGGCCGACGGCAGCTCCTACAAAAACGTTTCCGTGTTTGGGGGCAAAGAAGCTGCTTCACTTACTCTTGGTTGCTTGTTTTTTCGCTTGTATTCGTCCTGGTGCTCACAAGCTGTGGCCGATCTCCTCTGTCCTGCAGTACGCGTCCGTGCGTGATGATCGCCGCGCTAATAATTTTCTCCCGCTTTGGGAGAGTGGGCCTAACACAAAATGGCGGTATTTAACAGCCTCTGCGGCTGCGCAAACAAGAAACCCGAGGGAGTAGGAGGCGTGGTCGGACTGTGGTCGAAGGGCGCCAGATTTGAATTCAGGCGTAGGCGTGGCATCCCAAAACATGACGGCCGTGAGCTATAACTACCAGATTATTTGTTTGTTTTTTGAGGGTAAATGAAAAGATTATTTGTAGTTTGACGCATTGAGTCTTAAAGCTATTTGAAACGTTAAATTAGATTTTACTAACTCACTAACTTCTTTTAAAAGTAGTTCAATGAAACAACCACAAGAGGGCAGTGTCAGTGATGTCGAAGCAGGGTAAGCCTCACACAGAATCCTGTAGTTAATGTCAAAAAGACTTATGCTCAAGACTCAGTTCATGGTGATTCAATGCTACGACGCCATTAATAGTTATGCCAAAGTGAGGTTAAAATATACTTTGTCTATGAAACGTCCATCTTAACTCATGATAATGAGTTACACATTAACCCCCCTGGAAGGAATATCAGCCCGAGTCAACTCTCTCTTTGTGTGAATTGGTAATTACTCACTCTCATTTTACATGTTGAATTGTGATTATTAGAGCATCGAAGATAAAAACAAAATGCATTTAAAAACGGATAGCTATTTTAAAGTCCCAAAAGAAAATAACATTCTGTCTAAGACCTGTTGCATTTAATAATTAAACAAGCAATATTACTCATGAAATAATGACTTTTACATTGGTTTATATACAGTCAAGTAACTCGTATGTTGTAAACACTGCACATTGGTCAGAAACAAAACACTCTTAAAATAATTTCCCTAAAATGTATTATCGCTTTTACTCTTGGGAACACAGTAAAAAAAGAAACTGTATTCTCTCACAGAAATGTGCAGGTGTAAATCAACTATACAATCTGAAACTGTTCTAAAAGAGGAAAATAGATACCTAGTCCTTTAATGCCTTTGTATCATATTTGATACATACTTTTATGATATTTCTTTCAAATCAACATGATCAACAAATTACTAAAAAGAAAAACTGAATACAATCCGATAAAATGTCCTATTGTGGTTTATCCACTTCCAAAAACATCTAATGTATCAAACAAGATAAATATATATATTTGTTCAATTGTAAGGACATTTAGATTTTTTTTGGTTTTCAGTAGTAAGTGAAATAAACATTTCAGCTCCAAAATTTTTTGATTTTTCTGGCCATAATTTGTGGTTTCAGGCATTAAAGGGCTAATTTTGTAGTCAAATTAATCAAATCAGGGAATATCCTGACCACGAAACTTCCAATATGTCCTCAGTGGAGTTATCAGTTAAGGCACAATACAAAATACCTCAGTTTTGCTTTCTGCTGTTTTTTTTTTTTTTGAACAGTTTTTTTTATCTTTTATTTCAGTCCATTTTGGGGGGGTTGAATGACCCCTTCCCAACTGTTGACAGTTATCTCTTAGGTGATGTCTAGAAATCTTATTTTAACAAAACAAGATTGAATTTTTACACTGTTTAAGTGATAAAAGAACTTAACAGGTCAACCTGTCACTGAAAGCATTTCAGAGCATATTTTCCGCATAAAAAATAAATTATTAATTTGTTATGTAACCAACAGAACATTTTGTCCATTTTAGCTATTTCCATTGCAGTATATAGTATTCATTCAGATGTGATTGTCACACACTTGTATGAATGGATCAAACAAAAAGCAGTGTTGTCACTTATTTCCTCCCTCACCCTGTCTCTTCTTGTTTTATCCTTATCTATTTCTCATGGTTTTGCTCTCAGAGAGGAGGGGGCAAAGAAAGGCGAGGCTCTGTTGTCAGATCTGTCCGTCTCGCCGGCCTGGCCCCTCCTACCTCAGTGGAGGCATTACATACTGCTGCTGCTCACGCTCTTAGCAACCGTGCCTCAGCAACAGAGCCACGGCAACAGAGCTCCACGGCAACAGCGTGCCGTGTCTCCCCAATGGAGCTGCCATTGGGCGGACCAGCGCTCAGGCACTACACCCAGAGCAGACCGAGACCTCACCGACAAAAACTGAACTACCGTCCTTGCAGACCACAGGTACTGTGAAGCAGGAGAGGTTTTTGAAAAATGGAGTGTGAAGAAAAGGTGGTGTGTGTGAGGAGAGAAAATGGGAGGGAGAGGCGAGAGAGAGATGCAAACGGGTACAGAGGGGAGAGGCAGGGGGAAGGGAAGGACAGAGGAGGGGTGCTCTAAAAGATGCCTGGTCCCTGTTCAAAAGAGACAGTGTCTTTCTGCCGGTCACAGGCTCTTTGAAGAAGCCACACTCAAATCTTTGTGTGAATGTGTTGTCTGCCTCACCGAAGAGCTGGTGGCTTTTTTTCTTCCTAGGTTGCATTAAATGAAGTGTGTGATCACCTCTTTTTTTTTCCTCTGAGCTAATCATACCATTGAGCTATTAGGCTGTAGACACAAAGTCACTCCCATGGAGCCAATGGCCATGGAGACAAAATTCAAGCAATCCCTCTGACAGGATATAACGTATCATTGACTTCTGCTGAATTTATGCTCTGCAGTCAATCTCCTGTATTTTATTGCTACTTGTGGGTACAGATGTTAATATGATCAGGATGATGCAGCACCGAAAGGCTGCAATTTCAATATCACATTACCAACATTGGCGAAATGAATTATCCGTCTCTTATTCTGCATGCAAAATCTAGTGACGCCCCCCCATTGTACGTTACTGAGCAACTGATTCCCAGGAGGCTGGTTTGTAGCATGGCCAGAGGAGAGATTCAAACCAAAATACACCTATAGAGGCAGGAGAAACACTAGTGCCAGAGTGTGTGGGTTTTTCAGAGGTGAGGGTTATGTAATGTTAAGTTACATACCATACAAGTTGCTTTTCAGCATCAGTACTTTGATCTTTGGTGTAAAATGTTGTGTTTTTTATGTTTGTGTGTTGTATCTAGGAGACAATTATAGAGAGTGAAAATGAAGTCCTTGAGCACATGGGGAGGGTAGATGAAGGTGTCGAGGAGTTCTTTACTAAGAGAGTACTTCCCACTGATGCACTGTGAGTACTACCAGATGCTACTTAAGTCTTTTTACAGGTCCATGATAACAACTAGGATACGAAAAATCCTGCTATATGATCACATGATAGGAACTCAATGCACACTATTGATTTGATATGTGATCCTTGGTATAGGAAAAAGCAAGATGAAGAAACTATCACAGTGCAAGAAGTGGCTCCTGCAAGCTCAGTCCCTTGTCCACCCCAGACCAAAACACTCAGGAGGAAGCTCGGTGATTTTTTCACTCTCAAAAAGAGACGCGGTCTAAAGTCAGAAACAAGTCATGAGGGGCGTCCCAAAAGGACCTCCATTGCTGACCTTATCCGCCCACTCAGGGAGGTCGCCAGAGCCGAGAAAGACAAAGACAAGGACCGGGTCAAGGAGCATGACAAGGAGAATGAAAAAGAGAGAGCAAAAGAGATCCCCATGACCAATGCTGGAGAGTCAGCTGTTCAGGAGACACCTGCCCCTGGTGCTCCTCTGCTGAGGAGTGAGGCGGCGCCCCCCCGCCGAGCTCTCAGAGAGGGGAAGTCCCAGTCTCTCATTCTGCTGTCTGGATCAGCAGCAGCAGGGACTCCTTATGGCAGAAACACTGGAAAGGTGAATGCTAGTAAGGTGTAAGTCACATTTACATTCAGACCAGAAGATCCTTTGACAGAACTCATCAATCTGCTGTTGCTATTTTCAGAAACCACTGGAAGGCCAACATAGCTTTGAACAGAAACTCCACCTTATGCTTCAACGTATTGGAGTTTCTAAACCCCAGCCAGGAGAGACACAGGTATGTGTATGTTTTATCTAGATGGGTACAATGTGCAAGTCCTCAAAGTTACTTAAACGCCTTTTTTACTTTTGTAGAATCAGGAGGGAGAAATGAAAAAAGCAGAATCTGAAGGTATGGCGTTTTATCTGTTTGATGCTTGATATGATTGAACTAGTCCCTGTTCCATCTAAGTGTTAATGAAGTGCCATTAATCTTTGAAGTGTAGGGATCTGTGTTAAAGGGACAAACTTTTTGATATGGATCAGTTGTCTTTGAAAAGGTTAATTATCTCTTTACCTACTTGAGAAAGCTCTCTCTTCATTACAGGGAGTAAGGCATAAATTAATTCCTCTTGTCACATGAAATGTAAATGATCTCTGTGCTTTAGGAACTATCATTGACAGTAAGCCTGAGCCACCTCCTACTTTCTCTAAACCCCGAACCATGTCTGCTTCATCAGGTATATCACAGACGCTGATTCATCTTTGCTGTACTTTTCTATGACACTTTATAGTTACACATATTTTTTTTGTTTTAGATACAAGGCATCAAATGCGCTCAAGTGTGTCTGCACACGAGTCTGCTGGGAAACCTCCTTTGCTTCCAAAGCCTGTTATCAAGCCAGGTCCACCTACCACAACATCTGGCCGCAACACACCCGAGAATGAGCTTGCCCAAATACAGGAAGCAGAGACAAACACACCCACCAAACTGAGTCCAGCTGCGTCCACCCCTGACATCACTGCCATCACCATCTCACCCACCGCACCAACTATCTCAGACTCAGTCCCCGCCTCAACCAGTTTAACACTTTCTCCTTCAAGTACTGTACCGCCCCTAGATGCAGATATATGCACCGACTCTGTTAACCCTCCTCCAGCAGTGACAACACCCACCAATGTAACAGAGCTCGACAGCAAACCTGCAGATAAAGCTAACTCCCCTGAAACACCCACTTCTACTACCACTACTACACCCAAAGAGCCCCCCACTACTGTCTCAGTTCCTTCCACTTCCTCTGAATCCATCACTCCAACCATCTCCACTACTTCCACTTCAGCAACTATAACTACGCCTTCCATTGACACCTCAGAAGCAGTTTCTGTTGCTGGCAGTGAAATTCAGGTTTCCACAGCATCAACAAATCTGTCCACTACATTAGATGTTCTCTCAGTTGATGCTACACCTGCTGCTGGAGGTGATGCAGCTGTTTCTGTCACCAACACTGCTTCATCACCCTCCACCTGCATGCCAGAAACAGCATCAGTCTTATCTGCAACCAGCAATTTAGTTACTACACCTGGTGCTGATCTCAGTTCAGTCGCCCCTGCTAGCTGTGTAAATTTTGCCCCTGCCTCACCAGTCACAAAAACATCTCCATCCCCTGACTCATCTGATACCATTGGAGCTGTAGTTTTGCCCGATGCCCCCATTTCCTCTCCCTCCACCCTGACCTCCTCTGACCTTCGTCCTACCACCACCACAACAACTGTCATTACCAGCCCAACTTCCACTGACAGCATGGAGTTAAGCTCCATTTCTACCATTCCTCAGCCAGCCACCTCTAGCCCTCAAGCTGACATGCCGACTCCCTCTACTTCATCCAGTGAAACAAACCATACAGACACCACCACCACTATAGCCTGCTCAGATTCCACTACCAGTCCAGCAACTATAGCTGCAATTAGTTCTCCATCTACAGCTGATTCAGACCCTCCTTACACTAACAATGTGAGCACTACCCTCACACCAGCTATCTCCAAGCTCCCTACGGCTGACGAGTCAATTGCTGCTTCTCTCCAACTGACCAGTCCAACTCCCGATAAGGATAATTCAGGCCAGGACAAAGATTTACAGTCATCTCCTGAACACAGAGCCAGTGTTGAGCCTGTAGGAAAGGAAGCAGGTAAGTTTTAAGTTATGTTTTATGCCTTTATATAAGAGGACAGAGGATAGGAAATGAGGAGAGAAAGGGGAGAGTGACCTTGAGGGACAACCCTCTGGATATGTTATGTACTCTGAGATTGCTAGGCTAGTGGTTCCCTAAGTTCTGTTTTATTTATATTTTTCTATCAGTTTATATTCTTAAACATGAACAAAGGAGTAAATCTAATGGTGTTTTTTGTGATTTTAACAGCAGAGGAGGAGTGTGAGATGGTACAACAGAGCAAGGAACCTGAGGCAGATGAGAACGAGACGGTCGTTGATAGTGGGAAGGAGAACCAGGATGAAAACAAGAAGGAGGCTCTGGTCAACAGTGAAGTGGAAAACGAAGAATTGCAGGAGGCAGGGGTGGAACTCGAAGAGGACAAGATGAAAACAGAAGTTGGAACGGCTGAACCTGCATCAGGGAAAGATGTGGATGAGGTGCTGATAGAAGGCCAGAAACAAGAAGAAACTCAGTGAGTGAGTGAGTGAGAAGTAATTAAAAAATCATGGTAATGCTAAATATGGGACCAACTACTGTGACAGGGCAGGAGAGACCACAGTATAGGGTAAAATGAGGGGACATGATCCATGGCACTTCCTACAGGGACCACCACATTACAGCAGCACACCACAAAGGGTGGGCCACTGGACCAAAGAACTGAGCTCCCTTTGGTGTTATGTAATCAACAAATCCAGCAGTGTCTTTGTCCTTTTTTAACTTTTGTTTGAATTTTTGCATTGCACGTATAATTATGTACCATAAGACAACTACTGTGGTAATATACACCATGTTTACAATAGATGGATAAAAGACATAGGTATGGATATTAAATGGATTATTGAATTGACTGAGCCATTCTCTCTGTTTTTTTTTAAACATTCACGCTTTTTTTCTTATTTCTAACAAATTAAGGTTATCTAGCAAAAAAAAACTTAACTCATTAGACGCATTATTATTTTTCAAGAAAAAAGGTCTTCCTTGGTTGCCATTAGAATAACTCATATGCTAACACAGGTAGTAGTTATATCCTGCCTTTCCTCAATAATAGTCTTTGTTACTAACTGTCATCAGACTGATGTTTACCCAACAAACCCATTAGAAACACTGAATATAGTGAACATTGACCTTAGCATGAGTTTTTTTGGTCAAGAATACAGTTTTCCCCATCAAGAATAAACTCAAGACATTAGGAACATTTTAACATTTTAATTTTAAGTCTATTTGTAAACAATCTTGTACATATTTTTTACTCATCTGTTTTTACTAAAGATATGTTATAAATCTATGTCCCCATAGAGAAATAATCACACACAGTTGTGAGAGCTGATCACATTGTAGTTGTTCTCTTTTCATGATGATAAATGGCAGTACAGCAGGATATGAAGTACATTAGAATACATTATTTATTGTTATTATTATACCTACTAAAGTTGAAAGGCGGTAATTTATCTGTTTGCGATTACTCATAGTTATCATCCAGACCAGTAGGGGTCGCTGACGGGATAACCTCGTAAAAACGCACATTCACCCGGAAGAGGAGGACCGAGGGAAACTACGGTCGAGGAATTGTTGTGGACAGTCCACACAAATAATCAGAATTTCATTCGCGAGGTAGATTTTCCAGCAAGTTACCTTACAGGTATAAGCAAATATATCTTCGAAGGAGGCTTCAGCGTCGTCGGGCTCAGCTTGGAGATGTCGGTCGTGCCTCCCAGTCGTTCAGCAGCGGGGTGGCCGCGCGGCGGTGCCGTTCAGTTCGGGAACAAATACATCACCGGGCCCGCTAAACCTCTGACACTGGAGAGGACCATCAACCTGTGAGTTCAATTACCTGAGTAATAATCATAACACATCAATGCATTATAGCTCCAGAAACCACCAGTAAATGCAGACTAAAGGCTGAATACATCTCCGCTCTCTTTGAGTTTAAAGCTTATTGACCATTGATAAGTATTTGTGATCATTAATTATCAGTGTGTTTCTCTGATAGATCATTTTTCATTATCGGATTGATTTTTCCTTATTAAAACATGCTGCAGTCCTGTTATTGTGTTTTTGTAATCATGGGAATTTTATTGAGAATAATAGTTGTATTGAGCAACTCTATTGATAACAGGGTGATTGCATCGATAACATTAACTTCTGTATAGAAACAAGTTGGGCTGTCTGGCCAACGTAGTAGGTCAGTGGATCTCAACAGGTCTCACTAAAAACTCTAATCTTTGACATAAATCCACTTTGTTTTTATTGAGTACGGTGCGTTTCAGAGCACATGAAGGTGAAAACATGAGGACGACGACTACTGAAGTTGTTTATACAGAAAATTTCAAATATCTCATAAATATCACATCGAATATTTCCTTTTTGGACCAGCTGTTTGTGACCCATCCAGAATGTGTCCGCGACCCACCAGTTGAGAACCACTGTAGTAGATCACACAAAATTAAAATATGATAGTTAAAAGGTCTCCACAGAATTTTTTTTTCCTTCCACTAAAATTGCATAGGGTAGATTTAATAAAGGTATTTCCACCAAACTGCTCTACTAACAGTATTGAATTGAATTTCCATTTTATAGCTGAGCATAATCTCTGGTCTTGCTCAGTTTCTTTTCGTGTGTCTGTTCTGATCTCAGATACCCTCTAACCAACTACACGTTTGGCACTAAGGAGCCTCTCTATGAGAAGGACAGCTCGGTGGCTGCTCGCTTCCAGCGGATGCGTGAAGAGTTTGATAAAATGGGGATGCGGAGGACGGTGGAGGGTGTTCTCATTGTCCATGAACACAGGCTGCCTCATGTTCTACTTTTGCAGCTGGGCACAACTTTCTTTAAACTGTAAGTAGTTAACCTTTATTAGTTCTTTCTTGAACCAGCACAAGTGTTTTTCCCTGAGCAATGTTTTGCTCCTCTCCTACAGGCCTGGGGGAGAATTGAATCCTGGAGAAGATGAAGTGGAGGGTTTAAAACGTCTGATGACTGAGGTACCCTCATCACAACACAGTTTACTACTGCTGATAATGTGCTCTTGTTGAGTATGATTTTGTTACTGTAAGGATGCCTAGCCCAGGTTCCCACTTTAAAGAATGGAGAGTCCACATGAATTATCATTTTGACAAGCTTGACTGGTTGCAGATCTGGGTTACAGCTTCTGTATGCCACAAGTGTAACAAAGACTGGCCTGAGACTTTTCAGGTTCATATAGCCAACCATGTTTCTAAACATTCTGCTTAAATGTTGGCCTGAAGGAGAGCCCATGTAGGGTTATAACAAAGTAGAACATATTTTGGGAGCCTGAGTGATTTTATACATGTGCACAAGGTCCTTGTCAAGGATGGTTTTTGGAGGCCCAAGACTCCAGGAATCTATCACCAAAGTATAGCACCTTTGAATTTCCCCCTGTGGGACTATTAAAAGCACATCTTATCTTAAGTATCCATGGTATTTGGGTAACACAGCTCCACCACCCTAGAAGCTGACATGATTGGCTGAAGAAAATCATCCTAACAGTTACTGTTGTTTCAATATTAGATCCTTGGGCGGCAGGATGGTGTGAAGCAGGACTGGGTGATCGATGACTGTATTGGCAACTGGTGGCGCCCCAACTTTGAGCCCCCACAGGTAAGTCGATTACTTGTGGCAGTTTAAAAAAACATTGTATTGCATGAGCAGCTTTTGGTCAACTACTGTTCCAGTCTCTTGGGTTAGTGTTATACAGTATAGATACACTCCTGAGTAAAAGAGCAGTTCTTTCTTCATACTGAAGTGATTTTCTCTATTGCGCTGATTCATATAATACTTGGTTGTGGTCACATTTTCTTACACTCTCATTTCTTATTTAGAAATGTTAATTTTTAACTTTGAAAATATTGTTAATAAACGTAACATTTAAAAGGAGAATTCCATCTCGCTATGAAGTAGCTCCTTACAGAGAAAAGTGTGCTGTAAACTCAACATTAATTGCCGAAAGTTTAATTTTTTGTTTCATGAAGCCAGAGTGAAACATGGGAATCTCTGTGCTTGTTCACTTCTGTACATACAGCTGCAACTGTATCCGTGCATTACAATGTGAACTGATCTGATGTTGTTTGTCCTGCAGTACCCCTATATTCCAGCGCACATTACTAAACCTAAGGAGCATAAGAAACTATTCCTGGTTCAGTTGCAGGAGAAAGGTCAGTGTGTCCTGAAGTAACGTTTAAAATGAGTAAGGGGGAAAGCAACAATATTTTGAAAAAGGAGAGAGGTGGTATCATTCACTCTTGTCATTTTATGTTTCCATAGCGCTGTTTGCTGTCCCCAAAAACTACAAACTGGTGGCAGCACCATTGTTCGAACTCTACGACAACGCGCCTGGATACGGACCAATTATTTCTAGTCTACCACAGCTGTTGAGCAGGTATCTTTCATGTCTTAATTGTGTGTGACTTTGTTACATAATGCACAATCTTTAAAGCCTGTTTAATTTGATCCAACCAATATTTTTTTTTTTTTGTATCAACCCAGTAAATTTCATTATTTGATAATCAGTTCTTCTTACCAATTATGGACCTAACGGGGCACAGAAATGACCAAAAATTAAAGCTGAAATAGCATGATGATAAAAAAAGGGTTACCTTAAAACATAATACAAGCTTGAAAAGTGAAAGTTGAAAAAAATTGTCAAAGCCACAAAAAGTAAAAAAAAAGTCTCTAAATTTTAACTTATGGTGGTCATTCTTTTACAGGTTTAACTTCATCTACAACTGAGTAAAAAGAAGAGCGTCCAGCTGTCTCTGTGAGTGCAGCTCTCTGAGTGAAGATGAATGACAACGTGGTGAAAAAAAATCTCATCTTTAGCTCACTGATGAAAAGAGATAATTGTCATGTTTCACAGGGGGCGTTTATACTCTTCAGAAGAAAATGAAAATGTCAGGTGTTTTTTTTTTTTCTTTCCTTTTTTATCTTGAGAAACTGTTAAGTTGTTTTGTAGTATGAACATCAGTATCCAGTGTGCGAAGAATGTGATTTTATTTCCTTGCGGTTGAGGTCAATGTTTGATTAAACAAAGTGCATAGTTGACTTTCGTGTTATTTTAACTTGTAACAATGCTGTGTTTTTGTTTCTTTTCAATAAAACAGCCCTTTTGACTATGTTTTTATAAAGTGCACAGAGCGAAACTGTTGCTGATTGATAATTAATCGGGAAAGGAAACAGAACAGTTGGAGTTGAAGTTTTACTTCAGATCATCCCCAAGTTCACTTTGTTCAAGACTCAGATGCAAGCAATCTGTGTTGAACTGGCACCTCACAAATAGTTTTGATGAAATAAGAATAGCCTTCAAGATTTGCTCTGAGCAGGTTGGGGTACAAGTTTATTTTAATTGGCATTTCTTGAATTACACCATCGCCAGTATAAAGACAAATTGAGGTGGAAGTCTTTGATTTTTGATTGAGCTACTAAACGTATCAAAAGTAGGAGAAACCCTCAGAAAACACTTCAGCTTTTTTTTACAATCCTGAAGTGTTTATGAAATCTATTTATTTGAATTTATAAAATCAAGCAACTTTAGGGCTTAGGCATTTCTGTAGTCCTCAAAGCACAAGGATTAAGAACACAGCTTGTAAGAATGATTCCTCATTTATCTATTCTCTCAGAAGCTGAAACCAAACAGTGAGGATCATGTTTACAATGTTTGTAAAGGTATCTGTGTACAAGGAGTACAAAACTGCGGTGGCCGAGAACTGCCATTGCTGCAAATAAAAAAGTGCAAAAAAAGAAGTCACAATGAAAGTTACGGATGCAACAAAAAAAGAACCTGAAGCCCGCTGCAAATAAAAAAAGAAACTGTGCAGAGAAAAAAAACAAAACAACTGAAGTTCACCACACAAAAGAAGTGGTGATGCAAAAAGAGTTACTTACTACGAAAATAAAAGAATGCAAATAATTTTTTAAAAAGCCACAAGAGAAGTGAGCTGCCGGGGACAATAATGATGATGCACCAGTGTTTTACGATCTAAGCACAGAAGACGATGGCGTGAAGACGAGTAAAGAAGTTAGTGGAAAGGTTATTGTTAAATTTTGCTTGGTTAGGCCATGTAGCGCCTGAGTCGATATGAAGTTGAACTGGAAGTTGCAAGTGTAGTGTTAGCTTCAGTTCAACTTTATGTTGACCCAGGCACTACATAGCCTGACCACATTGAAAAGCACATGAATCAAAATTAAACATTAACCTTTCCACTTTGTTGTTTGTCTTCTGTGCCTAGATCGTAAGACGCCGGTGCAATCATCATTACTGTTCCCCAGCAGCTCACTTTCATTGTAGCTTTTTAAAACCGCATCCTTTTATTTTCGCAGAAAGTAACTTTTTTTTTTTCATCGCCACTTTTTTGTGATGTTAACTTCTGCTGTGGCTTTTTTTTATCTGCAGTTTCTTTTTTTATTTGCAGCAGTGCCGGTTCTCGGCCACCGTACATATCTATATACAGTTATGTACAGATGAAGAAAATAGTTTTTTTTTTTCGTTATTCAGCAAACGATGGATCTGATTCGTTTTTACTAATTACAAAAGAAGGCATATTTGGCATTTTAACTTCTTTGCCTGACAGTCCTTACTCGGGGCCAGAAATGAACGCGTATGACGTCACTCACCAGCGACTCAGAGGCCGTTTCGCACCAGCATGTTAGCAGCGTGAATGTTGTCAAGTTGATCACAAAGTTGGGTGTTCACACCTATTTTCTATCAGACAGTCTCCAGAATGGCCTCTAAACGACTGTCAGAAGAGTGTGGCAAAGTGGGGGATAAGAAAAAGAAAAAGAAGAGTTGTGTGGAAAGAGCTGAACTTTGTGCAGTTCTGGAGGAAGAGCAGGTGAAAAAGTCCGTGAAGGAGGCATGGAGCCAGAGGAGTCCCTTCAAACAGGGTTAGTGATTAAACAAACAGCAGTATCACTTTCTCTTTATCTCGGTAACTCGTTGGCCTGTTTCTTTTCCTCGTTGCTTTGTCATTATTTTGAATTGTTATACATCCACTTTAGATGGAGAGATTGTTTTGTTTCTGTCCTGCAGGAAATCTGGAGCTGGACTGTCATCCTTTCCCTCACTGCATTATCAGGAATTTCCTGAGCAGCCAGACTTTTGTTGACAATCTGCAGAAAGAACTACTGGGACTTAACTTCCATGAGAAATCAAATGATCTGTACAAGTTTAAACAGGTGTGTATCCAAGTAAACCATTTACTGATGCTCTTCTGAAGGCTTGCATTGTTGTGGTAACTTTTGTTATTGTTCTTTTTTAGTCAGATGACTTGAAGAAGAGAACTGAGCCACATATTGCAGGACTGAGGTAAAGAAACATGGACATTCTTTTTCTTTTGAGACAGGTGATGCATGGTGCTGTGAGTTTTTCTTTTGATCAGATTGCAGAGACAGAGGACGTGAGGTTTTGGCCATTTGAGCAGCGATCATAGTGTGTGACCTAAGAGGAATTTGAATTTGAATTTATTGAAGGGTAGCCCCATTGAGATGTAGTATCTCATTTTCAAGGGGGTCCCTAAACAAACATACATAGAACTCAGGACACATTGAAATACATTAACATACATAAAATATAACAAATACAGACATCTTGCTCACCTGACTCCCACACACAACCCCAACCAACATACGCATAACATAAAAAGATGACAAAATTTATTATCAAGGAAAAATAATGTGAACATGAATGCAAAAAAGTAAAGAAAATAAATCAAAAACTTGAGCAATTTTTTTGAGATGAGAGAGTATAATGCCATTCTGAAGTGATAAAAAGAAGTAATAGAACACAAAGAAAGAGGTGCGTTATTCCAATCTGATGGGGCTTTCTACTGAAATGATTTTTTGCCAAGATGAAGATAGGAACAAAGAAAAATGGGTAGTTCATATGTCTAAGAGAGTATGGGGAGTTTATTGGAATAAAGAGCTCTTTTAAATATGAAGGGCAATGGAGATAAATACATTTAAAAAGGAAATGAAGCCAATGAAATTGCTGTGTTGATTTGGGTTGTAGCTAGTTCAGTGAGTCAAACATAAAGCAGTGATGTGTTCTAAAAGGACATCTCAAAACAAATCTACATAAGGAGTTAAATAATACAGCCAGGGGTTTGAGATGAGAGTCTGAAGTATTTTAATGAACTATATCAGCATAATAAACAAGTGGTAATATCAGTTGTGATATTAGTTTTAGGAGAATAAACATGCTATTACACGAGACAGCCTATTCTGTGTTTCAGAGATAACCTAAATAGATGATTTGTAATATATTCAGCTGATTCACTTCCAGCCCTGTTCATCTGTTTTGTTTATCTTTTTTGTCCTCATTACTGATCTTAGCGTTTTCTTCCAAAAGCTGATATTATTGGCTCTTGTGCGGTCCAACAAAACGTCCTCCCAAATCTTGTGGTTTTATAAAGGTCCTATAAAGGTTTTATAAAGTACTTTGCTGCTTTCACCACAAGCGGTGAACAGGAGTGGTCGTGAGACAGTTTTGGTTTCGTTAGTGTGCTCCACCAGGGGGCGCCAGAGATCATTCAGGCCTTCTGACAAGAGTATATCCTTTATTTAGTGGTGTTGAATCTGAAAGCATCAGCATTTGGCAAGACAAAAACAGGGATGGTGGAACACTCAGAGTCACAGCAGTTTGAATATAAGGGCTTCACTAAATCATAAGAAACATAGCTGCTGTATAATTATGAGGAAGTAAGGGCTTTTATGTCTGTCCATGTTAAGAGTTTGAACTGAGTCCAACAAAAAATTACCACAATGTAAAAATTATGATCAGTATGTTCTAGATTATCAGCTTTGAGACTTTAACATTTTCAGTAAATAACCTCCGAACTTCCCCTTGTATTTGAAGATAATGCTCTTTTTATCGTCACAGTTATGACATGCTATTTTTGGAGGGTAGAAACATGCATTCTCCTCAAAATACTTACTTGTGGTGATACAGAGCTGCACCTACTGAAGAAACAGAGCCCTGGAGAATAAATACCATAATTAGATACACAATAATGGCCTCCTCTTGTGGTCATCTATTATTTATGCAACAACAAAATGTCATGGTAGGTTTGAGCAGTCCAACAATCTGTGTACTTGCTGAGGCTTAGTCAAGGTTAAGGGTTTCCGCATTATTGTCACCGTCAATACAAAAGCGGATTGCACAATGAAACCCTGCTCATATTTTATGTGTTTTCAGGGCAGCGCTGTTTGGGCCTTTCTGCTCCTGGCTTGGGGAAGTGTTGGGGGTTGAACTGGAGCCCACTGTGGATATTTCCTGTGCCAAATATGAACACACAGGTAGGCTTTATTTTATTTTATTTATTTTTTGATCCTGCAAAGAGGGGCTGTTATATTTCCAATTTTTGATGAGTCACCTAATCAAAGTTTTCCCTTTTTATATACACAACATTCTCCTTTGTTTCTAGATGTTCTTTTGTGTCATGATGATGAATTGGAGGGGCGGCGCATTGCTTTTATCCTGTATCTCGTGCCTCCGTGGCAGAGCAGTGACGGTGGAACCCTGGATCTTTACACAACAGACAGCAAGTATTCCACAGTGTGTGTGTGTCTGTGTGTGTGTTTTGTATATATTTTCTCTGTGTAATCTTCATCTTTATTTTTGTCAGGTAATTTACAGCCTCAAAGCATCGTCAAGTCTCTGGTTCCCTCTTTGAACACACTTGTCCTTTTTGAAGTCTCTCCAGTCTCTTTTCACCAGGTGGGAGAAGCCCCTCCTTTTTTCCTGTAGTTGAAAACACAGAACACCACCTGTGATTGCAGATTGAAAGCATGAAATGTTTTGTTGTTGTTGTTTTTGTTCAGGTGTCAGAAGTTTTGGCACAAGACAAGTGTCGCCTCTCCCTGAGTGGCTGGTTTCATGGACAGTCTTTGGATCGGCCCCCTCGCCACATAGAGCCTCCTGTGCCGCGAAACCCGCACCTACCAAGAGATGTAAGTGTGGTGAAAGATGTCAAAGATGTTTACACCTATATTTGACTGAGTGAAATCTCGACACAGTTTAATTGCTGATTCACTGTTACCGGTTACTAAGCTTAGCAGAACAGCTTGAAAATGGAAAATGGCCTTTTTGCATCTGAAGGCAACACAATCTACCCAACAGGAGTTTTATCCTTGTATTTTATACTGATGTGTTAAAAATAATATTGAAGTTTTGTGGGAGGTTATCTTAGGGCCTCTCTCTTGTCTGGTAGCAGTAACTTCCTTGGCTAGGCTCTAATTGTTGACGTAACACTGGAATTCTGAATACAAAGAAAGTTCATACTTTATAAAGACCATGTGTACAAAACCTTGTGCAATTTTATGTTAAAGGAAACGTTGCTGTTTGAATGGATCAACCCAGTGTACCTGGACATATCTTACCAGGAGCAGGTTCAGGAGGAGTTTGAGGACAGCTCTGAAATCCAGCTCAAAGATTTTCTGAAGGTAACTTCTGACTCAATTTCTCTCCCTTGAATGTGTCCACTCTTGTATGTTGTCTCATGACAGCTCTGTCATACAGGAGGACAAGTTTAGGGAGGTGAGTGAAGCGCTGAGACTCTCTCAGATCCAGTGGACGAAGAGAGGTCCGCCCAATAAGAGGTGTGTCGTACTTCACAGATCATTTTAACAGTATATACTTGTTTTTGTCTTATTTCAAGATCCTGATCAGGTGTCTTGTGCATTTAGGTGCTATGAAACTGCTTCTCTGGATACTCTGCCGCAGTGTGTGAGTGCATGCTGGGAGCTTCTTCATTCAGAGGCCTTTTTTCTGCTTCTCTCCAACTTCACCGGCCTGCGACTTCACTACCTGTGTCCTAATGATGATGACGATGAGGAAAAAGATCAAGTAAATCAAGAGAAGAATGAGAATGAGGGGGAACAAAGTAGAGAAGCATCAGGATCTGCAACTGGAACATCATCAAACATGAGCACAGAGAAAGGTGTGGGTCAGTATGAGCTGATCTTCTCAGCCACCATTGTCGTATTTGTTTTGAGTTGTGTTTGTTCTTCAGAGCCAAGAACTCCTGTATGTTGTGGTGAGGTACGTCGATGGTCTCATGGAAGCTACACTCTGCTACACGATGGAGAGGCATCCCAAGCAGAGTATGCTTTAGATCTTGTTTTGCCTTTTGGTTGTGCTGGTGAGTCTGCAAACACACACACACACACACACACCCACACACACACACACACACACACACACACACACACACACACACACACAGAAATACACTCAAAAATTAGAGTGAGAACACTGTCAATCAATATCTGGACCTCATGAAACTTTGTCTTTCATAGATTGGCAGTCAGAGTTTGGGGGCTTCACATGTTATGTTGCTAATGAAGAGGATGAGGAGGTGAGTATTTGACACGTGTGAGTATAGTACACGTAGTACACGTGTGACCAGTACTACAATATTTATTCACATCATTGTTTCGTTTTCTTCCTCACAGCTTCTAACAGTGTATCCAGAGGACAACTCTCTTGCTCTTGTCTATAGAGACAAAGAAACCCTCAAATTTGTCAAGCATGTCAACCACAACAGCTCTGGCACTTCTACTCGCCGTGAACTGTATGACTTCTCTTTTGTGTATTATGAATAAATTATATTATCCGTATGTGGGTTTCTCTAACATCTTTGTCACACACAATTGACATACTACAATATGCAAATGTTGACAGCTTTTGGGCTGTTCATTGATCACTTTACCAATTAAATCCAATTTACCACTGCCCAGTTCAATCCAAAAATCCTAAAAGCAAACACATATTAAATAAGCAACACAAACAATTAAAACACCAACCCCTACAACTCACATATGGAAGTTGAAGTTATATTGTCCCTGTCCCTTTTCTCCAAGAACACAAACACACACCAAGACAATCTAACAATCACAGGTACAAGGAACAAAAAACCTGTGTTAAGACAGCCCTGAACAGAACCTAAAGATCCTCAGGTCAGCACGAAGCTTGTTCCACCTTTGCAGCTTTACCTCTTAGATAATGCACCTTTACCTGGTTTTGTTTTGGCTTTAGGTACATTTAGGAGGCCCATACCTAATTATATATATAAAAAAATAAAATTTCTGGTGATAATAGTTTTCATTATTATTTCACTTTTAGACAGCTCTGGGGTTTGGTCTGATAAACATGGTGTATAGACAAGGAGCATTTACTATTTCAAGTCATGGCCAAGTGTTGTTCAGGCATACTATTTTCCAGTTCTCATCTCACTAAAAGTCTTTTTTTTTTTTTTTAATTTCAGCTATATTAGATCATCTCATTTGGTGCTATTTTTGTTAGTGTTGCTAACATCACCCTCCACTGTGAGAATATCATTGAGTAAATAGGATGGATGCTCTGTCCTGGACAGCTCCACTCATTGTTTTGGCAGGAGTCATGACATAGTACACAAACAACGATACAGCAATCCTTGTGATTCTTGCAATGAACTGAAATATGTCTTATTCAGATTTACATTAGCAAAGTAAACACAAGAAAGTAGAGTCAGCATACCATCTTATGAGATACGTCAAGTTTTCTATCCTGGTCTCAATTGTTACACTGGACTTTACAGAACAGTACCAAGTAGCTTCCAAGGTACCAAAACATCTTGTTTTATTTGACTTAAAGTCCCTGACTCAAACTCAAATACTTCAATAAAGGCAGAAGAAAAGACAAACTGAATATCACCTCTCCTGACAAGCTAGAAATAGTCATAATTTTGATTTATGCTCGATTTATTCGTTTTAAAGTTGATGTGATTGTAAGTTCTCTATTAATCAGTATTTCTAACACCAATAAAAATCACAAATGTCAAGTTTCCCGTTTTAAAAAAAAAGTGCTTTACTTTGTCAGTGTTATTTGTCACATTGGTGGTCTGCAGTGAATAACACATATAGAAACATTTACTGTAGCCTTAGTATGAATTAATTCTCCGAGTATCAATGCTTTATAGCTCGTGCGTTTAACACAGTTAAGCAGAAAAAAATCGATATTGTTATAAATAAATAAACATTAAAACACACCTAACTTGTCCCTCGATCTATACCAACTTCTCCGTTTTTAATTGAATACGTGTTTAAACTTGAATAGTTATTTAACCATAAATTGAATATAATATCAGTATAAAGGTTATCTCGTTTGAAAAAGAAATGTCAGCGTGAACAATATGAAGTTGGAAAGTAAGGCCCCACATATCTTACAATCATTTCCTTCCGGTCATGATTTCGCCCCAGGCGAAGCATTGATCTCCACCAATCATAGCACGTTTAGGTTTCTGCTTGGCCAATGAGAGACCAGGAAGAGTTTATCGTGTCAGTGGGTGTGATCCCGGAGGAGGAAGCGTCATCGAACAATACAACAAAGTTTGAGGTAAGTTTGTAACGAATTAAATTAACTGCTACCTCAAAGAGGAACCAAAGAATCAGTGCGTGAAAAACACGCCCACGTTATACTCTGTCTGTTAGCTTTCTAGTTTTACTTCAGCGGTCAGTTTTGGTGTTATTGTGGCCAAGGTCTTCGTCTACTGTCCGTGAGTTTTATCAACACGAACTATACTCTCACTATACTCAGTGTACTTTGATGGTCTTAAACCTCTTTTTTAATCATCCAGTCTTGTGTTTCCTGGTTTTCGAAGGTCAAATCAAACACGAACTTCTCTTTACAAAAACCTGAAATCAACAATTCACGTTTATCGCACGTTCACTTGCTCACGTTCTCTTTACTTCACGTGCTACAACCGGGAAAAACACCTGTAACTGTACGTCCTGGTCGCATAGCAACAGCCTTTTGCGTAAGGGTTAGGTTCGTCAGTTTATATAGTTGTTTTTCTGTGTAAAATATCTCAAATCATCAAGAACAGATACCGAAATATAAAACACCAATAATTTTAGAGTCACGCTAGGCTTGTTTCTTGTAGATGTGTATTATTTCAGTCCGTTATTGTGATTTTCCTGTAATATATATTCCCAAGTACCTTATTCACTGCAGAAATGTATGATGAGGTTGAAGTAAAGCTTGCATTTGGCCTCACCTGTCTGAGCTGAGCATCATTTTTTAGTCTCTCCATGTGACTGTCCCTGCTGTTTAGTAGCCCTGCAGGACTAAAACAGTGATTATATGAAAATAATTACTTTTCAAACCAGAAATACTGTCACCTCAAGTCTGTTAAAGCCTTGAAGTGTAGGCTACCCTTGAAATTGAATGCAAGCAAAGGCTCGATTTTTGTTCCACCTTCCTCACAAATTACAGTTGCCAAAATATTTCGATCATGCCTCTTTTGTTGATAATTTCATGGTGTATAGAAAAGTTGCCTCGAGATTCCAGTTGCTCAGATTTCAGGGCATTTCTCAGAAATCTTTGCAGACATCATTTCTCTCATTTCTCTGAAGAGTATTTTTAAGAATTTCTCTGCCCACACAGGTATTTTTCACTCATCCTGTCAAGTTAGACCTCTTTTGACGTGCTGCAGGGTCCCAAAATTGCCCCCTTTCATTATTTGACTTTCATTTTCTTAAACAAAGGCTAATGTGAGGCCTCTTTATTTGTTTGGCTTTATAACCCTTTATTATAAATATGTCATGAAATCCTCCTGAGCCCAAGTCCAATCAGGGGCAGGGGCTTTCACATTAAGTACAAAGTCAGACTAGAAATAAGCGAATTGAACCTATTATTTAAAATTGTTTTGTCAGAGTTTTATGTACATTTTCATCTGAAATGTTATTGTCCATCTAGGCTGTGTATTAGCCTTCAACTAAAACCCTTGAATAAGTTGTTGGAGTGGTTATTGGAGTGGACTAGATAACAGACAAACAAGCACAAGTTCACTGAATGGCTAAAAAGTAAATTTGCATCTTTTAGGAAGCACATTGTTGAGTGGATGAAACATTTCCACCTCAATGTGAGATGAGCTATCCAGGGAATACTAGAGGTTGTCTTTTGGCAGCAGAAGCGAAATGATATATTTTAAGCTCCTGATGATCACTTAATCCTCATACAGCTGCTGAACAGATCTCACAGTGTACTTCCAGAGCACCGATAGATAGGATAGCATATAATTACATACTGGCTAAGTTGTGTAGATTCCTGTAGACCTAACAACCAAGCATACTGTGTATTAGTGAAATATGAGGACACTCATATAATCCTGCTCAGATGATGCTCTTTCCACGCAGAGCGCTCTGCATCCTGTGCATGGAGACAACACCAAGAGTTAGCAACCAGCTTCAGTGCTCCATTCAGAGTACAAGAGTCAGGCTGGGGGAGGGGAGGACTGAGATTAAACATGTTTTTATGTAATGAGCATTTCTAAAGGAGGCTGGGGTAAAAAAGGGCAAAGTGTAGTGAGGTCTTAAATGCCAGGAACCAGAGGACAGGCGTGGTTTTAATTCCAGGAGGAGCCATTAAAGTGTCCGTTACATGTCTGGAAAGTTTTATGTAGAGAAGTTATGTGATTCATTTTTACTTTTGTTTCATCAAGGATTTAATCACTTATTAAATCCAGAATATGTTGAAAATTCAGTATCATTGCTATTGTAACCATTATGGACTATGTCAAAAAATTCATTACTTAGTAAGTGGTCTGAAAAAGATGTAAAGCTTTTTACAGATAAATAAAATTAAAGTTTTGTCTTGAAATAAATGCTTAAGTTTATAATATTGAGCTCGTAGTGATGGAAACTCTTAAATTCTCCAGTTTCAAGATTTTCACCAGGTTTCCGGTGTGTTATACTGACTGAAAAGATGTTATTCCCAGACTTTTTATGCCTTCATGCAAAAGGAAAGGATGGTGGACAGAGCAGGTAATGGGAGGAGAGAGCCAGGAGTGATGTGCTGTAAAGTAGCTGCAGGACTGAATAAAACCCGGGCCGTGTGCTTGTGGCAAAACCTCTGTACATGGGACACATGCCAGACTGCTATACCAGCAGCACCCCTGTATAGTTCATTCTTAAGTCTGAAATGTATAAACCCTCAAAGATTTGTTACATGTTTAGTATTTACTGAATGTGTTATTTTAACAGTGAATTATATCCCTGCTACAGTGTATTTAATATAATCATGAATATTGTGAATTCTTGCTGCTTCTTAATCCTTTAGCAGTCAAATCCTTTTTTAGGTTTTGGGTTTATTCGGGTCTCCTAATATCCTCATGTGAAAGGGTTGTGTTATTATGTAATAAAAGCATTTCCGAAAAAAATCCCCAAAAATGTAAAAGGCTCCAAAAAGCAGTCACTTAGATTAAAGTCGAATCTATTGATTTGTGCTGCTTCATGAAGGAGATGTGTAGTAAGGTTACACAATAGTCACGCAAATGTTAAAATACCCACTCAGATGAAAAGAAATTACATTGTCTGTCTAATAGCTCAGTGACCGTTTGATACACAATGAAAACATAGACGTCAGTGTTCAGAGGGAAAAAACTGCAGGTGACTTTGAATGGAAAGGAGGACTCACCAACCCTGATGTCAATGGAGGAGATTGAAACCATACAGGTTTCTCAGACTCCACTGAACTTTAACTCTCTGAAACCAACACTTCTGGATGCTACAGGATGTTGTCTGATGACTTTCCTTGTGGTTTCTACCTCCTTGCTCAAGGTTTACATAATCATTCAACACAGATTTTATGGAGGGCTGCAAACACAATTAATGTGCCAATATTTTAAGCTCCGGTTTGTATCATAATGATTCTTTGACAGCTTTTAATGCACTACACTTCAGTGTCTCTTTTGAAGATTGTCCTCTCATGGCTGAATCTCTGTGCTGTGTGTCTCACTTTGCATCCAGAGAATGGCAGACACGACCGTGGATGGTGGGACATGGACAGGATGTGCGGTTATGTTCCTGCAGTCACTCTGTCCTGGTGTGGACCTGCTCTCTCTCTTCAAAGACCGGGATCAGGGAAAGTTTATTGTCTTTAAAGTTATCAAGCTGACACTTATAGGTGAGTACTGTGTTTAAAATCTTAAAGGCAAGTCTATTGTACTAAATAAGACACTTGTTAGGCCTGTAAAGTCACAGTTATTAAGCATAATTTTCCATGGTCAGACTCTGCAGGAGGACTGGGTGGTTATGAGATACTTAAAGTCCACGATGCTGATCCTTTCCTGGGGGTGGAGGTCAAGTTTTTGGATGAGGGGGCATGTCAGCAGTTTCTTGAGAGCTACCGCTCTGGTGCCGTGCATCAGTTTCTTTCCCAACATGCGTGCCGGCTTCTGGCTCTTTCTCAAGAGCTAACAGTGGAAACTAAGCTGAGAGCCAGCACACACATCCTGGATCTGTATCTGGACAAGCTGGAACTTTGCCTGAAGCACATCCACCTGTCACAGGTAAACTCTAAGTGATTTAGATTTAGTTTCAAAGTTTGAAAGAATAAGTTATTTTCAAGATAGTCAACCTGACTTTGTGTTTGTGTCCGCTGATCCCCACCACAACCTGCACAACTCAGCATTTTGCCTTTGCCTTCATGAGTTGGAAACAGTGATGTAAAACTCAAAGCAATTTAAAGGCTTGAGAACTGACAAGAAACCTAAAATACAAACACTGCAGCATGGTTGGTATTTTGGAGGTTCAGTTTCATTTTTATCAGCACACTGATTTTGCCTCAGATTGTTTTCTGTTTGCATGAAACATCAAAAGTTGAGTATTTCTTTGTTTCTGACTGTAAAAAGTACATGTGTAGTATATACACATACAAATGTAGTAAAGAGTTAACATGTTATATATAGATAGACATTCATTCAATATCTTTGCTCTCTGTCATGCTGCCTCAGCCTGAGCGTCTACGTGATGAAGAGATCGATCACCTGGAGCAGCAGCTGCAGACTCCAGCCCTTGGTGCTGCCCCTCAGCCTACCACCATCACACAAGAAGAGTCTACTGTCCCCAGCAACTGCTTCAGGTTTCAGAACAAAGTGTTTGGTGAGTCATCTTAACCATTTCTACGTTTGGTTCTTTTATATTTTGTCCTTCACAAAGTTGGTGTCAGACTGAAGATCGAAGACTGAAGAAATAGCTTGTACAACACAGACAGCATTTGTTGTTTTTCATGTGAATAGAATAGAAGAATTCATTTGGGCTTTCTACTTAAAAAGTAAAGTGCTGAAAAATGTCTGGGTAGAGCATGCACTTAAAGTGAGAGGGTTGCTTGGGTCATAAATAACGTTGCAGAGTTGGGCCGGTCTGCCACAAATGGTAGCATATCTAGCATCCTGTCCTGCCTGCAATTTCTGAGTAATGCAACATCTATTGTGGCTAGTACACTTACTAGTAACATGAAACTCATACAATCTCACTTCAGAAATACTGAAATGTCCCTTCAATTGACCATGATGTTGAATATTAAGTTGACAAACCTCTGTATGCAAGTGTAGCTGACAATCCATTCATACACACCCCTTCTCAACAAGGCAGTCTGCTTTGAGATTAATATTGCATCTTTTTTAAGGCCACAAGCAGCCAGGCCCAGAATCCAGGCATCCAACCCATTGTGCTGGATTTTTGACACACCATGAGTTCATTGATGTTTGGTAGAAAACTCACAAATCCATCCATTTATGGATTATTGTTTAGTTTACAGACAGAGATTGAAACCATCAGAGAAGGTATTTGGTTTGCATTGATTTAAACTCACTGACTTTATATTGAAGCTGTGTAATTGACATTAAACATGTCCTCAAGGTTAATGTAATTTCCTATACTGCCTATGCAGGGGGAAGTCTAACCCCTGAGTGCCGTTTCAGCCTTTGCAGTTCTGTTTTATATGTGGATTCTGAAAACTGGTTTACCAAGTGAATAAAAAAATAAAGGGACTGACGTTTGATACAGTTAGATCCATGCTGTATTTCTACTTACTTATCAGAGTACTTATCACACTGGCTGAAAAAGTTCATGTTGTGTGAATTGAATATGACCTGATATAATGAATCAGATTTTTAAACAGCGGTACAACACTAGACTATTCTGTCCTAATAGAGAAAACTCCGCAAGAGCAAGTGAAATATCACCAAACTCAACAGCCCACATCATCTTCAAGGAGTATTTACACATCGCTTACCTCCTTGTTTCGGTTTTATCTCTTGGAACTTGTCCATCTGGGCTCACTGTTAGTGCTCTCATCAGTGTCGTAAGGACCTCTGATAACTTTACACAACTTGTCAGGCACCAAACAGCAGACTGAAACTCCATCAAAAAGAAGATGTTGAATAGAGAAAGGTATTCACAGTCCTCAGAAACTGCTGACCGATTCAGGGCTCCGAAAGGAGTGAATTTTATTCAGACAGACACAAACTTAGTGTCAAATGAAAATGAGGGTATCTTCTTGTCTGCCGCCTTGTCATCTGAAAATAAAAACAGTTTGCAAACATATTCTCTTTGTTCAGATTTTAGGATTTGGTTTGAAGCTTTTATGACTGTAAGTGGCATTCAAATTAGTGATTTCTTTTTTTTTATCCAAGGCCTAGCATTTATTAGGAAAATCTTTTGTAAGGGTCCAGCATATCATATCCATAAGTTATTGTATTATAAGATATTAAGTAATTTCTGTTGTTAACATAATCACATTTATACAACATCTGCATTATTGTCGTGTTTTTTTTTTTCGTTTTTTTTTCATCCGTCAGAGGACCGCAAGCTGACAGCAGCTGATGTCCAGAGCTTCTCCAATGGAGTGGGCCGTCAGTGGAAGCATGTAGGGAGGGCCCTGGGGAAGAGCTGTCGGGCTCTGAAGGGTCCTGCCATAGACAACCTGGCCTACGAGTATGAGAGGGAAGGGCTGTATGAGCAAGCCTATCAGTTGCTCAACCGCTTCATTGAGGCAGAGGGGAGAGCAGCCAAGATAAGCCGACTGGTCAAAGCACTGGAGGACTGCAAACTCACCAACCTGGCTGAGAATATTTTGGACCCACAGACCTGATCGTGACTCTGTGTGCTGTCAATCTGTGGGAATCAGGGGTGAAAACTGAGAGGGACCGTTTCTATCTGCTCTCTACAGTTCACTGTGTTTTGCTTGCTTTTACTTGTATGCGCAGTACACTCTAAAAACTCTTGGGTTATTTATTCAACCCAATTCCTGGGTCATACATGTCGAGTTAAATTTCTGGGTTATTTTTTTAGATCCATACCCATTTCTTGGGCCATATGGATTCTATTTTAACCCAATTTGAGGGTTTTTTGAATGGGTTAATAATTATGGATTATGTTTTTGAGAGTAACTCAATAATTGGGTCAGAATGTTGAGTTCGATTGACTCTACGTGGTTTCTTCGCCTAATGGTCCCCCAATGCATATATCAATTGAACCTAAGATTATGAGTCAAATTAACTCGAACATTGGGTTTACTTGACCCTTAAAAAGGGTTAATGAGTCAACTCAAAATTTAGGTTAGTTTGAACCCAAGTTGGGTTGTTTTTAACCCAGGGGTTTTTAGAGTGTATGTTGTTCCTGATTGATGTCTGACTCAAATCATTCCTGAATGTGTGTGCAGTGTTTTTATATATATATATATATATATGTGTGTGTGTGTGTGTGTGTGTGTGTTTGTGTGTGTGTGTGTGGGTGTATGAGCATTGTTCAGACAGAATATTGATTTATATCTTGATTGGCTTTCCAATTATTAGTGTTTTTGTTTTGTTTAAATATGGACGAAATGATCTGTCATCACTGTCATAAAAAATGCTGTCTTGAGTTTAATGCACTGTTTAACCTGTTTTCATCATGTACCTCTTTTTATTTCTGCTTTTTAAGTCCATTAATGGGGCCTGTTGGGTCTTGTTGCTAATGAGTTCACAACTGAAGGTTATTGATTTTTTTTTCTACGAAATGGGTTTATACAAATTAAATGGTTTGAAAAAAGTCTTCATGTTTGTGTTTGATGCATTAGTGTAATTAAACTGGAAACATAATTTTGTCAAAATTCCCTCAGGTATACTTTGGCGCTAATCCTCCCTCCCATCACTCCCTGTCTCTCACATACACGTGCACATGCTTATATGATTGAATTGTGCCGATTACTAATGTTGTAGATGTGTGTGAGCCTGCACGCGTCACATTGTGTGTGGGGTTTTCACACTATAGACGTGTGTGTGTGTGTGTGTGTGTGTGTGTGTGTGTGTGTGTCGTGTACGAGGTTTTATCTCACTCTGGTTGTCAGAGGAAATTCACAATGGACAGATGAAGTCTCCTTAGGATGGGCTCCTCTACTGGTGCCAGTCGGGGTCCACTGTGGAGCCCAACCCCCCTTTATACTGCACTTGACCATCCATCCATCCAGATGTGATGCATGGATTAGAAGCTTTTATCACACATTTATTATGGCTATGTGGCTATATGACCACAACCCCCAAAGCGGACACCCACAGCTTCATAGTTAAAACAAACACACACATCAAGGTGTCAGTGGTACTAATAAAACTGAGGTTATGTCCTGTGATTTTTTTTTTTTTGGGGGGGGGCATATGGGACATAACGACATAACATTACACTCTCCATATTAATCTAGTAAACACTGGGCTCATGAAATTTATATTCACATTTTTGAAAACAGAAAATCTCTTTTGACTTGATAGTAAAATGTGTACTTCAAGAAGGTAGAAAATGTGGTATAATTTTATTTTTGCTTTTGATTTAAATTCAATTATTAGAAGTGGGTACCAGCTTGTACAATCACGTGATTTTATTTTTTTTTAATTATGAAAATATTTTTTGAAGTAGATTGTACAAATTTCCTACATTTAGGGTTACGAGCAATTATTTGTTGGTTTATTGGTTTGATGTGCATTTACTTGTGTACTGCATATTTGACAGCAGAGGATGGTTACTTAATATTAAGCTGTTTTTTCATACGTCTGTTCAACATGTACGCCAAAGTTACTTGTTTCTTTGCAGATTTATTCATTACATAAAACATGTCAGCTTATGAAGTGCAAAGCAGGTTCAGAATAACCCACCCACTGGCTGTTTATCTGGCTATTTTTTATGTAAGCTACATTAAAATGGGGAAAAAAAAACATTTTATCTTCTGTTCCCACCCAACAGTCGTGCCGGTCTGTTTCAAACCTGTTGGATTTTGAAGCGTCAATCCTGTCAGAATAGGAAAATACCGGCGTAGTGTCGTTTTAATTTCTCAAATAACATCAGAAAATCCACTAATACTGGAACAAGAGGGCGACATTTGCCATTTCGACGCTCTTTTCATTCATTTGAATAATCTTTTCATACGACGTGATTAAAGCTCGCCTGCTGTGACGTAAGCGAGCTTTAGGTGAGTCTCGCGCAGCGCCTGCTCTCCTTCTCTTCCTCGCGCACCCCTCCTGCCTGCCTTCCTGCCTGAAGAGATACGATGAAATCGCTCGCGCTCGCTGTCATCATCATCATCAGCGCCGCCCTGTAGAGAGAGAGAGAGATAGAGACAGAGAGAAAGAGAGAGAGAGAGAGAGAGAGAGAGAGAGAGAGAGCTCCAGGCCCCCCTCCCCACCTTACAACAACCCCAACCCCGCAGGCTCGAGCACAACGACCCCACCCCCCAATCCCCTCTGAGAGGAGACGGAGCGAGAGAGGCGCATAACAGAGTCACGGAGAAAAGACCGTGTTTCGGGATCCCGGCTCTGTTCAGCCCTCAATCTGGGCCTAATGCTGTAGCAGACCGCGCGGGAGGAGAGCTCGAGCGAGAGACAACGCACTGATTGAGAGTCGGCGAGGGACAGGGCGGACCGGAGAGAAGACGGGATTGCTCATTCGCCTGGAAACATGGGATGTACACTGAGCGCCGAGGAGCGCGCGGCTCTGGACCGGAGCAAGGCCATCGAAAAAAACCTGAAAGAGGACGGGCTGGTCGCCGCCAAGGACGTCAAGCTGCTGCTGCTCGGTAAGAGAAGAGCGTCTCATGCGCCGCGGGGCTGCAGAGCCTCGGCTCGGCACGGTGGTGGTGGGGCTGCATGGGGCGGAGGTGCTCTCCGTGGTACTGATTTCACTGCCGGCTCTGACTCTGCCTTCCGTTCTTTACAGGCGGCGGAGAGTCCGGCAAAAGCACCATCGTCAAACAGATGAAGTAAGTCTATTTTTCTCCGCTCGTTTTAACCCTCACCGGCGCAGTCCGAGTAAAAGGCCCGAGATTGCGCCTCCCCTATCTGTGCTAAGGCAGGTTGAGCCGCCATGTTTCGAGAGGCCGTAGCCCCGGAGGAGTGCCGGTGACTCGAGCACCTCCTGCAGACCGAAAGTGAGGCTGCGGAGGCCGTATGTGTGCGTCCCAGGGTGCTGTTCACTGCCTGGGTGCTGAAATATAGTTAACTGGGGTTTGTCTTTACTACAGGGAGTGTGCGGCTGGGGAATAGGTGGGTGTTGTTCCTCTGCGCGCGTGAGTGTGCGCGCGTGTGCATGAATGTGTGTGTGTGTGTGTGTGTGTGTGTGTGAATTACATTGAGGTCACTACAGCTCCATTAGTGAATACCTCTGCTTTTAATCTTAATGGCTTTAAGTGCCCGATATCGCCGGGAGTACTTTGCCTATAAAGCGGATTTACGCAGAAATATGGCTTCTAAAACCACATCTAAACCTTCCCCTGTCTAAGCTAAATCACTCTTTGATGTTTTACATCACTGTTGTTGTTCTCTATAAACCTCTTAGTTTAGTTTCTAGATGTTTCACTACGGAAAAAAAAGCTCTATCCCATTGTATATTTTGCCTGGTCCAGCATCTCTCTCGGTGGTTTTATGGGTATAGCTGTGTTACTCCGTCCTGTTCGGCGCATCCTCCGGCCTGCACTGCACTGACTGCACCCTCCCTTCCTGCTTCCTCCTCTTCCCTTCACCTCATTACCCTCCCTATGGTCCCCGGGTTGTGTATAACTCACTGCTGTGTCTGAATGCAACACACAGGGCCTGAGAGTGTTTACAAACACTAACCAGGGTTTCTCTTAGCTAAAGCAGACAACAGATGATGGATTTTAGGTCATAAAGATAGGTGTGGGGGGATTTATCTATTATCACCATTGTGCAAGTCACAAGGAAACATTTCTGCATGCTATTTGTAGAAGGCCAGGTTGTGGTAGATCTATAGCTGCGATTGGTTTGTGTGTGAAAGAAACAGTCTGGAAAGCCTTGAGAAATCTGAACTAAAACCTTAAATGATCAAAAAATGTCATAGTTGTTAAATGACTCCTGTGGCAGCAAAAAAATGTTCACACTGAAATACATTTGGTGTATTGATTACATGGATTACAGGAGAAACAACCTTGGTGATGGATGACGTTCTTTAAGGCAGTTTAGTCAGATGTAGCAGGATCTCAGTGGTGTCTTTTTTCTTAATCTTTTCCATCATTCACTCACTTATTCTTTAAAAAAAGAGCTCAAACTTTTACTGTGCAAAATAAAAATTCAATCTGCAACTCTTTAGACAGCCTGTTAATTATTCAAAGTCATCTCTCAAGATGTCAAAGCCTCCTTAGTTCTGACTGTGGTGAATGGGAACATCAACTTACTCAGCAGTGAATGAAAAATCAACTATATTCCCATTTTTATTTGGATTCTTGAAATACTGGTAACTCCAATTTCTGTCTCTGATTTTTGAAGGCCATTCACTTTTCATACATGCCTAAATATAAAATAAGCTCTCATGTTAAATTAATTCAGATCCAAATGCATCACAAGTCATATCACTTGTCATTGTTGTGTTATAGTTGACAGTTAGTTCAGCAGATTGTTTTCCAGAAGACATCAATATTTTACGGTTCCTCATCGTTTTCAACATGCTGACTGACGTGGTAGTAAAAACAAATACCTTTAAAATCTGAATTATGTTAGAAAAACAAAAGCTATTGATTTTCCAATCAGTAACAAGCAATTGTTTGCTGCAGCAAAGGTTCATTACACGGTCTTTGTTATGTGAAAAACGACACCTCTGCCCCCTTTCTCTGCAGGCTTATGTTTTAATTAATGTTAATTTGAAGATATTCAGGGAGCTTGTGGTATTTTCAGGCCAGCTGCTCGACCTCTACTATGAAACATCTTGTCAGAATGAGTTTTTTTTAGTGTTAGGGTCATAACATCAGACAAATAAAAGTGAAAACCATTATCCCTCACTTATCCTTCTCATTTAGCATCAAGAAACGATCGTAAAGATGGTAACAAAAAGCAGCAGAGTTTAAATGTAGAATGCAAGTCATCTATAAAATAAGTTATCATTGGTTATTCACTGGATTCAGTCTGGAAGAGGTCAGAGAGACTGTGCACAGTTGAATGATGACTGAATGTTGACCAGATTATCAGGAATTGAACTGTGCCATCCTGGATGAAACAGTAGAGTCCTGTACAGCTCGATTGATTAGTGCTCTGACTGATTCCTCTCCATTGCACATCATACATTATAAATGGCTTAAATATCACATTACTGTCCAATTACAGATCACAGACTGAGAATGTGATCAATTCCCCTCCCATTAGGCGCTGACACACTTAAAGATGCGTTTTAGGATGTAGAGATGGTAGGAAGGAAAGGGAAACTATTAGATTTGCTAAATGAGTTTGATACCAAAAAAGGATAAATCCAAAACATTCAAAGACTCTGTTAGGACATGTGGGGCCCTTACTACAAAAGGACAGTGGTCTGGACTTGCAGGAGCATATGGATATGTGTGACTTTTCCTCTTTAGTCCATGCTCAATGCTAACATCTGTGTGCGCATACAGGATTATCCATGAAGATGGCTTTTCTGGGGATGATGTGAAGCAGTATAAGCCTGTTGTCTACAGCAACACCATCCAGAGCTTGGCCGCCATCCTCCGAGCCATGGACTCCCTGGGCATTGAGTTTGGAGACAAGGATAGAAAAGTTAGTCTGACAGTATCCCTCAAATATCCTTAAGATTGAAGCGTAAAGGTGTAGAAACAAAAGTGGTAAATTATGTTGAAGTATCTCTTCAGGTTAAGATATCTTGCTGTTAAAAGCCTATAGATGCATGTAATGGAAAATAGGTATGTATTTATCTAAAGCAAGAGTACTACCAATAAGTCATTTTCAGAAATAATGGAGCTATTTTGCTTCAAAATGTTGACACAGTAAACAAAATTATCGTAAATAGTATTACAACAAGTGATACATAAGTATAAAGACACAATTTCATTCCTTTGTTCTCACATCTTATTAAATGTATTTGTGCAGGCTGATGCTAAGCTTGTTTGCGATGTGGTCAGCCGCATGGAGGACACAGAGCCGTACTCTGCAGAACTTCTCACCGCCATGAAGCGTGTTTGGGCTGACGCCGGGACTCAAGAGTGCTTCAACCGCGCCCGAGAATACCAACTGAACGACTCTGCTCAGTAGTAAGTGTCCAAAATGACTTTGAATACTCCTGTTTCAGTGTGATCAAGTGATGTAATTAACCTTTTTCCTATTTGTTCTTCAGCTACCTGGACAGTCTAGACCGGATTGGGGCGGCAGATTACCAGCCCACAGAGCAGGATATCCTGAGAACTAGAGTGAAGACCACCGGCATTGTCGAAACTCACTTTACCTTCAAAAACCTGCACTTCAGGTAACACTTGCTCAAAGGCTGTGGTGTCTTACAGTCATCACAGCTTGGCCTTTGTTCTAGGCGTTTGGTCTAAAATGGCGGTTATCAAACTCGGAGACTGAATTGACTTCTTGCACCTTTTTTTCAGGCTGTTTGACGTGGGAGGTCAGAGGTCAGAGAGGAAGAAGTGGATCCACTGCTTTGAAGATGTGACTGCCATTATCTTCTGTGTTGCTCTGAGTGGATATGACCAGGTGCTCCATGAAGATGAAACAACTGTAAGTATGACTCAGTTAATTCAACCTGCATCTCTCTGCAGAAAAATCCATGGAGGGGCTTTGTACTGCTGTAAAGGCTGATAATGGGAGCCGTAATGGACAAAAAAACATTTGACAGGACTGCAGCTTCAACTGTTTGAGTCTGCGATTTCTGCTGCAGCACAGATATCCTCATATTGGACCTTTGTCTCTCTCGTTTGCTAATTCCAGTCTGCATTATCTGCTGTAACTGTATAAATAGTACATATCAAATGCCAATAGCTAGAAACTGGCCATTTTTACATATTTTTACTGCATTTCTGCAGAAATAGAAGACATAATTCAAAGATATCAACTGTAAAGATGTTTAGGGAAGCTGCTTCGTTTAGACTCTTGTTTAGAATAAAGACAAATGTCATTAAACCATACAAAAGGGGAGGAGAATAAAATTGTGATTATTTTCCTTTTGGTACTTGGACACATTTCTCTGTAGGGATCAATAAAAATCTTCTATTGTATCGTATTTTTTATTTTGACTGAAATTGTATCCTTGTCCTTTATATAATTTGGGTACTTGAGTTCTGTTAACAGAAAAAATATAAACCCTTTTAAGGTGTGTTTTTTGTTCCTTGCTAATATTACCCATGTAGACACGTCATTTATAAGCTCTTCCTATACAAGTTTAACAGTAATATATAACAATTTCATATGTTTCAATAGTCTCACATTGACAGCATATTTATTCATTTCTGCTGCAGAACCGCATGCATGAGTCGCTCATGCTCTTTGACTCCATCTGTAACAACAAGTTCTTCATCGACACCTCCATTATTCTCTTCCTCAACAAGAAGGATCTGTTTGCTGAGAAGATCAAAAAGTCACCGCTGACGATCTGTTTTCCAGAATACACAGGTGAGAGTCCCTGATGTGTTACTTCAGTACAGAGCAGCTTCATGAGTCAAGTGATGAAGACGAGTCCCTCACAATCTTCACTCTTTCTCTCTCTCTTTCCTCACACAGGTGCTAACACTTATGATGATGCTACTGCATATATTCAGGTTCAGTTTGAGAGTAAGAACCGCTCTCCCAATAAGGAGATCTACTGTCACCTGACCTGTGCCACAGACACAGGAAACATCCAGGTAGTGTTTGATGCTGTCACTGACATCATTATTGCAAATAACCTTAGAGGGTGTGGCTTATACTGAGGCCTGACCAAGCACAGAGGTTGTCATGGAGAGTATGAGGTGTTAATAATGATAATTTTGATGATACTTAAACACATAAATATGTAATTCTACACGTCCAAATGGACCCAAAGAGCTGCCGTCAGACACCACACTGGATTATTGCCATGATTTGTTCCCTTTCTCTTTTTATTTTCAGTAAACGACCCCACTTTCGTCTTTTTAAACTGTGTTTTTGAGCTGAATGTTTCATGTTCTGTTGATGACTGTGTCAACGACTGCTAAGGTCAGAAGCAGCAGCACCAGGGTTATATTCACCCAGAGCCTTGTTTTTGCAAACCCGGCCCAGAAATATAACATGGGGTGTGCAATGTCATTTTTAAATCATAGTGTGGCATACGGTCCCATTTTTTATGTGACATTTTTATGTGCACGTCTTGAGGCATTTCTAACTGTACTGAATATAGCCTGTTGTGCTGGGTTGAAGAGCTGCTGTGTGTGTGTGAAGGTGGAGACAATGTTGTTAGGGAGATTGCTGTACTCGTGGCTGAGGCTCATGGTCAGGGAAAAAAGGCTATTTTAACTTTCAGAAGAGACAAAGCTTCCCTCTCCTTCAGACCCACACATGACTGAGTTGCCTGCAGGTCTGTTCCTCTCTTTCACTCTGAAACATAATGAAAGAGAGGATTCTTATGTTCAGAGAGGCGGCCTGTTCCTATTGGCTTCCTGTAGCATGAGGAAATGCCTGTCAGCCAATGAAATATTCAACAATAAAATCCCTGTCATATTGGTGCCATCCATGTAATGACGAGACCGGGGGATTAGGATCAGAAATTATAATTCATTCTCATCGTTATTTAAGTAACAGATAAAACATTTCATTTTCATTGAATGATTTATTTATTTATTTAAGCCTCATGCCCTACATGCCTCCTCCTACCTCCTGAAATCCCGTGCCACATTATTGATATCCTGAAATGAAACACTGAGGTACACAGATACCCGTCTATGGTTCAGAGGGTAGGAAGCAGCCCTCCAATGACATCTTGTTCTCTGTGTGGTGCTTTACCCTTCGATGTGAAACTGTGTAGAAATAGAAGACTGCACTAGGAGAACAATATCATTAGAGGCAGCGTCTGTCTGGGGAGTCTGGGTTTTTCCAAAACACCCTTGATCAGCAAACAGGGAACCTCTTATCCACCCCTCACTCGTCTGTCACGTTTCTCTTATCACAGAGAAAAAGTACAGCTCTCCATTTTCACCTGTGCACCCAGAAATTCATCCTCCCATCCCTGTATACTCTTATCTATCACATATCAGTCCTCATATCCTGTTCTCCATTTTCACCTTAAAAGCACCGTACTGTATATATATTATGATTATACCAGATTTTTTTTTTACTGTGAATGTTTTTGTGCTGCACCCCATCCTATTTGGTAGTTTATTGGTTGCTCTCATGTGGAATGTTTGTGCTGAGCCAATCGAATGTTGTGTTTACATTAAAGCCACACTTTTCCTAACTACTCCTGTGTTTGTAGTCTGATTACTCAAACTTGAAAAACACGATGACCTGTTTCAACCTGTGCAGAGAATTGGGGTCAGAGAAGGAAATTAGGCTGAACATTATGAGAACAGACCACTTTTAATGCTCCAGCACCAGGTGAGCACGGCTTTGTGTTTAGTGTCAGGAGAATGCAAAAAAGATTGAGCGGGTCTTGCATGGCAGTGGGGCAGCACTTCATGAAATGTGGCGGATGGTGGGGATCAGAGGCGTCGCACAGCGGCTCACAATTTATTAGGTTAAAAGTGTTCCATCAGCACAGACGAGGAGCTATTCATATATTGAATGACTAGGCTGGATCAGCTGTCTGACCTGCTTCTGTCAGTTTAATGGGTATGATGTTCATTACTGCTCTGTTTCACTGACAGTCCCAGAGCGCCCCTGCTCTGTCCCAATGTGTCCTCATTTCCCACAGCCAGTAACAGGTTAAAAGGTTGGAACTTCCCATGTGACACATATTTAATTACATATTCAGGGAAATATTCTCATACTTAACATATTCAAATTAACAGTGCACTCAAAATCTGAGCGGCAACTCTGACACAAACTGGCATCAGGTGAGGAGACTAAGGCAGGAATCTCCACGATGAGCAATGAGCATCTTTGTGTCATGGATGTACAGGGCATCATAAGGTGAGTACTGCAGTGGCATACCAGTGCTCTGCTTCATAAGTTACAGTCTCAGTCTCTTGATGTCTTCGCTTCTGAAGTCAATACGCAGAGCAAGAACCTGACGGACCTCTGCGGGGGTCAGCCGCCAAGTCAGGGGGCCGGAGTTTGGACCCCAGTAATCCAAGATTTCAGTTACCTGCAGAACACAGAAGTAGACAGGAGCTGGTGTTACATTAAGAAGAAAAATCAGACTCCAGTGTATGAAGAAACACCTTTGATACTCTTATGGTGCTTTTTCACAGTAAAAGTACAGTACGGTACGGCTCTACATGCTTGTGACGCTTTTCCACTAGTACCTGGTACGTTTTTCGTACCTCCCCGGCCCTGGTTCCAAGCAAGCCGAAGCAATACTATAACGTGATGTCAGCCGACTGCCTTCCAATGATTGGCCATTGAGTATCGTCATCCGACGCGCAACACACAACCGCATACTGTAAAAAGCCGAACACAACATGGCCCCGCCATTTTTAAAACTACTCTTTTACTACAAGGTATCGCAGAAGAGTGCGCCATGGTCAGTTGACGAGATCCAAACCTTCCTTTCTTTTGTGGCCGAGGAAATGACAGTAAATGGCGTCACTGCATTTTTGCGCCGCTGTATGACGACCCCGCCCACACCGGGGAAGTACTCAGTTGCAATGGAAAGCACCCAAACTGTGCCGTGCCGTACCGCACTGTGCCGCTACTGTGTAGTGAAAAAGCGCCGTTAGCACTGGTAATTCTCCCCGAGAGTGTTCTGTTATAAATAAAACCGTATAATTATTATACATGCATTCATTTGTAACAGGCATTTGATTCTAGTAATTTGTTCTTAATTTGTTTTGAAGCAATGGTCCCAGCAATGACTTTCAATTAACCTGACTTCACCTTGATATTTTATGGTCATCTGTAGACCCCACAACCACCTGGATGCCTCACTTTACAGCTGCTCACTCATTACTTTATCATAATAAATCAAATCACAACACAGTTAAATCTTTATCTTAAGAGTAAAAAACTACTTATGATACTTAATAATACAGTGGTGTACAAATCACAGTAAATCCAACAATATAGAGTAGCAAAAAAAGAAGCAAAATGAAAAAAGGCTCAGTTTTGTTTTTGTGTAAATACACTCAGCTTCTACTATTGGTATAAAATGCCTTCAAACTACCTTTAAACTGATAAACACCTTGTATTTGTGAGTGTGAATTGATCTTATTTACCCGCTCCAGGTTAAGGATGGTGGCCATTTGTGTGAGACGAGCAAACTTGTCCCTGATGGTCCAGGTGGTCACTGTGGTGAGGTATGCCACCAGAGACCGGAGTTCTTTATCAAACTGCAGCCCCCCGAGCTATGAACAAACATAAGCAGAAGATCAGAGACAGAGGATTCATGTCTGCTGTACAATGAATGCACACTTCTTCTGAGGTTTCCTGCCATCTCTCTGTGCAAAACAGGGAGATGCTTTCGTGCAAAGAGGAAGCATCCTCTCCTGCAGGCCTTTCTGGACTCATTAATAAATCAGTGCTTGAGGATTTTCACCACATGTGTGTCGGTGATGTGATGTGAAGTGATGCTGAGGGTACCAACTGCCACCTTGTGGCTGAGCCCTGCTGCTCACCCTGCTGAACGAGCACTTCAGGACGGTCTTCTCCATTTCAATAGATATCAGGCTGGTCATCAGGCTTGTCAGAGTGTCGTAGATAACAGGAGATAGAGCCGTCTGGTGAAGACACAGGCAGCAGATTAAAACACAGACAGGAAGAAAACATATAAGGAGTCAGAGCGGAGATCAGGCCGGGTACCTTGAACTCTGCCATGAGCTGCTCCAGGTTTACGATGAGCTGCTGCACCCAGGGGTCATTAGCTTCATAATCATTAAACTCTTCCTGTGAGGGACATTAGCAGTTACAGTGATATATTTCATGACCTCTGCCTTGTTTTTGCCGTTCATTCTGAGAACATTCATTACCTCCTCTATGTTGTGTGAGATGGACAGGAAGCTGCTGATCCAGGGCTTCACCTGAGGCTTTATGGCTGTTGTGTTTAATTCAGTCAGACCCTCCTATGAAGCAAAACCACATTAGAGTATGAGACTTAAGCAAAAGTCCATATAATACAAGACATACACCAGGCAATAGAAACACATTTTTTAGAGCTTTGCGCACAAATAAACCTTAGTCAAGAAGATTTCATTCATCCTCTTAAACATGCATTTTTATTGAGAAACATAACCTGATCTCTAAGGTAGATTGTTATTAATTCAAATTTAAAGAAGACATGTTTTCTCTATGCTCTCAATAGTCTGCTAATTAAAAAAACAGTGATACAATTGTTCTATGCAGTGCAGTATCAACAGTAGATCCGTAAATACACAACCCTAAGCTGACAAGAACTGATCAATGTTTGCTTTCTACCTGTAAGAGATCCTTGAACTTGGCGGATGTGTTAACAAGGTCAGACAAACAGCTTTCAATCTTGGCTTGTTCACCAGGGCCGGCACCTTGACTGAACAACTTAGAGCAGTCGTTCTGTATGCATGTGGAGGGAAAAGAGTAAATATTTCAAGCAATTAAGTAAAATCTAAATGAAAGGGTCTGGCATATATGAAACTTACCTCCAGGTTCCTCTTCAAGGTTGTGATATTCTCACTGCACACATCTACATTATTCAGAGTCACCTGAGACAGACAGAAAAACATTTATCAGTTGGTGTTGCAAACCTACTCACTGTCTTAATCTGAAACAAGCTTTTAAGTGTCTGAGAGTTTCTAGGGAACTCAAAGAGTACAAGGCAGAGCAAAGCAGGTGTGTGTATGTGTTCCTGTCCCTTACCAGAAATGCAGCCTTGGCGTTTTCAGTGCTCTCGATGCCCAGTGTGTTAAACTTGCCCTGCTGTAAGCTGCTCTGCATTAGACTAACCGCGCTGCTCACACCACGCTGGATGTCCTGAAGCGTTGTAGCTGGAAAGCCCTGACGCAGCTTATTATACAACACCTCTCTGACAGGTGAAGTGAGGCAGCAAAGGAGGGTTCATACACAAGCGTAAGACAAAATGAAAAGGGGTTAAAAAGAGAAAAAAGACGGTCATGAATGTAAGGACTGAAAAGTTAATGCTCTGGGTCACCTGAAGTCCGACTCTAACACAGAGTTAGCATGGTTGATCATGGCACAGAGACAGTCTATGCTGGAGCTGGATAGTGCTCTACTGATGCACTTCTTTACGATGTAGAAACAGTCGTCCACCATGCTGGAGGTCAGCTGACCCTTCTCATATGTGTCCATAGTAACAGCCTGTGAAGAGAGAGTCCGTTTATTTAATGCAGACTGAATATATCCTGATGAGATAATATCAAAAGGTTGAAAGTGTGTAATTTTTTATTTGTTGTAATGTATACCAATTCAGGTGACATGGTTTGATGACTGACAAGGTTTCTCTGACTTTGGACAATAATTCAAATCAAACTTGAGAAAAAAAAACTGTTGCAATGAAAGCAAACGGAGCATCTTTTTATGCCACACATTCTTCTTCCTTGCCAAAAACTGATGAGTAAATTTCCCTGGAAGACGCTCTATCTCCAGTGATAATTTAGTTTGCTACAAGCCTACATTGTCCTAGGATAAGGGTACGTTAATCAAACAGAGTTATATTTGATTTTGAGCTATTCACTTGAGGAAAGTTTACTGCCATCCAACAGTTAATAAATCTGAGACTGGCCCTTACAGTAGCTAGGCCACTAGGGTCCTCAGGCCTCAGCTGGACCTACATGACAACTGAAGACAACATTGTGGAGCTGAATTATTTTTCCGCACAGAAGTAATAAATAAAATCAGATCTAAAACTTGGCCTTGTCGTGCACCATGGGTATTTTTTAGCTGTAGAAGAGGAGTAGAAACTCATGACGAGTGCAAAGTTTTTTTCTTAAAGGTTAAAATAAAACCCACTCAGTGCAGGATCCTTTACACAAACCTGCTTTTTGAGAGGCTCAATTAAAGTTGCATGAGCCTAAGAGTTGGAAGCTGCATTTAGCCCTGAAAGAACTAAAGTTGCTCCTCCACCTATCTGCCAGGACAAACTTTAAAGAGGGCAGCCTCTGTGCTGGATATAAAACTGAGTGATCTACCTTGTTGACAGTCTCTCTCATGAAGTACTCCTCCATAGGGACGTAGTAGCCGATCAGCTCTTGCATTGTTGTGCTTAGCAAACAGTGTTTCAGAAGCTTCTCCACATTCTGCTGATGTTCTGGGCATTCAAGAGTGAATAAAAACAAACTCATTCATATTTCAGATTTTGTACTCTAAATCTCTTCGAGGCATAAGCATTTAACGGGTTGTATAACCAAGGGTTGAATAAATCTACCCTGTGTAACACTCTGAGCATCCCCAACTTCAAAGTCAGCCAACATGCGACGTCGTAAAAAGCGCAGGTACAGCTCTGCCCGAGCGTTCATCAAGGTCACTTCTGCCAGGACAGGGTCCAGCTCCCTGATCATGGAAGACAGAGTTATTCAAAAATCATCAATAAGACAAACAGGAAGGGGAGTAGGATTGTGCTAAAATAAGACACAAGTACCTGGGTTCGATCCTTTCACCAGGGACACTTTTCATCATGCTGCTCTGGACGATCTGAAACTGCAGGGGCGTTACAGGTTCACAGTGTGCACAGATTTGCAGTCAAAGCTATCAGATCTTACAGTGTAGATGTCATGCACACCTTGTTGTGGTATCCTCTCTGCTGGATAAACTTGTCAACGATTTTCTGGGCCTGTCGGTCACACTCCTCCTGCAGGTGAGTGATGAGTGTGTACAGATGGCCTGGCCCATAATAAGTCTCAACAATCGGCTGATGAGTCTCAACCACACGGGCAATGCCTGTGAACACACAACATCACACTAGTGGGAGAACTTCAAAGAAACAATGAAAAAAATGGACAGGCCGAGCTTTAAGCTTGTCAATTAACCTTCCAGCAGCAAAGTTAGGGTATCTGCGAACACCAGCAGTGCTCTCTTGTCACCAAGATCTCCTCCTGTAGCCAAATGCAGATTCTCCTCTGCTTTTGAAGCAAGCTGTGACAGAAAAATGATATATCTGTAAATATTTTTGATTAAAACAAAAATAGCTCATGAATTGAGCATTTTTAATGTGATGGAACCAAATAATCATACAACATCAGATTAGTTCCCATAAATGGGTTGAAAGTTAGATATATAATCCACATTCACTTCTCCTACAGTAAGCACTAGCTGGCACTTTTATTCTTAATACAATGAGTGAATTACAGAGCCATCATATTACTTTTAAAATAAAATATACTTTCCATAACAAATAGTGAAAATACTTGTACAAAACAAACAACAAGCTGGCAGAGATTTCAGTAGAAAATGTTTGAAATTTTTACCATATAGAGCAAGAACAAGAAGAAATATTACACAAGGAATACATATAATTAGAGGAATACACACACCAAAATTGGGTTAGTCAAGTGCAGCAAAAGTATAGAACTTTTTAGATGCAAAAAATACACAAAAACATCAGACCTGAGTGCAGAGATACTGTCCAAAGCGAGCCAGACCCTGCTGGTGGAGGCCCAACAGAGGGAAGATCTTGAAAAATCGCTCCACTTGTGCAAGGTCCACTGCTGCTACAGCTTCATCCAGCTTCTCAGCCACAATGACCTTCAGCTTCTGCTCTGCCTCCTGCAGCATTACCAGACTGGCATCCACTGCACTGCCTGTGCAGATATGAAGCATTGGCAGTGTTACAATTGAAGTACAGACCTACAAAATGTGTTATCTATTCTGAAATCCACCATGCAGTGAGGGGAACTTAAGGTAAAAACACACAAAATAATTTTATAGTAGGACTCGTACTTTCTTCTCCCTGTCTGCTTAGTTCAATGACTGACTGGTCCAGAGAGAGGTATCGATGGATGTGAGCAGCAGCCTGTTCATAATCTTCATTACGTAGAGCTGTCTGCACACCATCCGTGCAGAACTTCAGATCAAGGATGTCATCAGCACGCTGGATGACGTTATATAGACGCGTCTGTAAAGAATGACACATACAACAAAACAATGACAAACTCTCACACACTGTGAGGTACAGATACATCATTGGCAAAGGTGTTTTTGATATTGTGCAGACTTTTATGATTATTGATAGATATGAAATTTAACAAGACCTCAAAAGGTCATCTCTAATGAAGATGTGTGTGGATTAAGATGAATCAGTGCTGCACCTTAATTTTGATATTTACCTTTGCTAAGTCAAGCTGTCTGACTTTGCGGCTGACATTTTCAGCCAGGCTGCAGGTGAACGTAATCATGCCTGAAAGTTGACTTGCATCCCCACCAATCAACTGTAAATTGGGCCTGCAATAAAGTCCAGAGTGTGGTTAAAGTTCTGATATGAAATATAAAATCATAATAAGGCGCTGTGTAACTTTACTAATCTGTGCATACTGTACCCCATCCTCTGCAGAGCCAGCATCTTTGTGTGAATAGCCCCCTCCTGCCCCACCAGTCGGTCTAGCTCAGCATCCACTTCTTTCTGCATTAGAGTAGTAAAAAAGTCATGTAATGAATAACAAGGTTTTCAGTCATCCTTTAGTCATCTTAACATTCACTTTCTTCCTAAATCATCATGTAAAACCCATTCATCGTAAAGACAGTTACATTTATGAATATAAACTCTTTCTATGTATATAGATGTCTGGTAAGGAGAGAAGATGTTTGATGTCCTTTGAAAGGGTAGGGTGTTGTAACTTATTTATGCTTAACCATCAAAACATGGGATGTGTTATAAAGCCAGTGTATGAATTGCATGTTATATTTACCACGCTGTCGGTTCTTCATTTGTGCTTCAATATGTGCTGAATGACATGCTCATCTTTGGGACACATCATTAACTTTGGCTCTATGCACAAAGCCAATAAACTCCCAAGTAATAAACTGTGCTATAGTTCTCTTGAGAGATTGTGCAACTTATCATGAATTCTGACCAGATGTAACATTACAGCAGCACCTGGGCAATCTAACAAAACAACTCTACCACAAATCTACTCTCAAAAATGAGTTAATGTTCTAACATAAGGTTAATCTTTTCCAGTCGTGATGCATTTTATATTTTCATAATGGTCCAACAGAACTACTATGCTCCCAAACAGATTTCAGAAATGATTTACAGCTGTAACCCACCATCATAAATAAGTTTTGAAAAATCAAAACCTCCAAAGATTGAATCATTTAACTATAGTGGCAGTGAGGTCGGTGTAATGGTTGGTGCTGCCAAGCCTCCCTGTATTTCTCTGACAAGGAGGTGGTTGACTATTCGTTACTTCTAGCCGTAAGCCTTGCAGCTTGCACAATTAAAACAACTGTTTCATGTCATTAAGCCACAATCTCGCTCAGTGGAGGTCTGTCTTTCAGAGGTATATGGAGACAGACACACAAATAGAATGTCTATGGAGCCAGCTGTGTGTCCCGGAAGTTTACGTGGTGACGACAGTAAATGTCCACGTCAAACAAAGTATCATTAATGGCCATAAATACAAACCTCCTCCGCGCAGAGCTCCTGGTAGACTCTCTCTAGGTCCTCCAGCTCCGTCAGGCCTGAGATGGTGTCCATACTCACCGAAGACACTGAGCCGGAGTCGCATCTTTTTGCTGCCAGGGTTCCACCACCGTCAGCCATCTTCCGCCACCGACGTGAGACTGAACAGCCTACGTCACCACGATGGAAGCAATCCCTGGGTTTAGCCTGTCAGGCAGCGCCAGTCCAAAGGATCAGGGCGTCTGACAGAAAACACACGACGCCCTCTCGATTTTAAAAGTAGTTAAACATGTTTAATACATCTGAATAGTGTCTACTACCGAATTCAATATCAACCAATAATCCCTCTGGAGCTAGTTTTTCAGGGTGCAAACCCTCTACCTGAGATCCGTCTCTGGATTTGACAGCAGCTTTACTGCGCGTGCGCTGTATGGTGTAATAATTAAAGATTCTTCAATTTATTATTATTACTATTATTATTAAATTTTAAAAAATGAAATAATAAATAAATAGTAATAATAATAATAATAATAATGCTTCTACTACTACTAATAATAACCATTTATTATTATTTAAAATAATAATAATAATTATTATTATTGTTGTTGTTGTTATTATAGGAATTATTATTGTTAAAAGTTTTTCCCACTTAAAACTCCATGCTCAAAAATTCATGGAATTTGGCAGGCGAGTTGGGCCGGATGAAAATTCAAGTATTTCACTAAACCCGAAAATAAACGACAAAAAAAAAAAGAAAAGAAAAACTCTCTTGCGCACCCTACAGATTATCATGCTGGGGAAGTTTCTTGTAGTACTTGTTGAACGCTGGTTCCAGCTCCAGAGTACCACTTGGTTAAAAGTTTTGAGGACTCGAATAGAGAGAGGAAACCAATGACTTGATCAAACAGCAGTTCAAATGGCATCTCCTTTGTGGTACAGACCACAAGAAAACTGCAGCTTGATCACATAGTATCTTGTCATACAGAGGCTCTAGGATCCAGGTTGTGTCCCCTAGAGTTGACCCTACATGAGTTTATCAAGACCAGTGATATCATTAGCTCTGAAATGTCATTATTTGCACCAACACAGCAGGAATTTAAATATTGTAATTATTGGTGCTCAAGAAGGTCTTAAAACCATTAATATTAGCAGAAAAATGCTATGCTATCTTTTAACAACCAAACTGCAGCAGAAATTTGGTCCTCGACCACCTGAAAGGTACCCCAAAAAACTAAGTTAATGTTATTGATATGTCAATTAAATGCAGAGTATGGAAACATTATCAGTTTCACATTTTTCACACATTTTCACATTATCTTTTTCTCCACAAACCACGGAAACTGTTCTCAGATGGTTTGGCAGGCAGCATTTTGTTTTGATTCCAAAACTGTTGGTATAAAAATGTATAAATGAAAAACAAAAGACATGGGAGGATATCAACAGATTTCTAATTCTGTTGACACAAGCCTGATACTTAACTATGGGCATAAAGAGAGGCAGAAACACACCAACACAGTTTACATTTCAATTTACTGGAATATTTGAAACAAACATTTAGTGGAATCTACTTATCTTCTTTTTTTTTTTACATTACTATTGGTTTGATTCAGTCCTGCGGATTTATGTATAGTCTGACAGCAAAATGACATGTCCAGTCCTCACACTGTACCAGACTCAGGAAGGTTGCTGTCCTCTATGAAACAAGGAAAATTCGTAGTCCCTAGCCCTGCTGCTGCTGAAGCTCTTCCCATTTCTTCTGCAACTCGGCTTTTTCCACCTCGAGTTCTTCTCTCTGTCTAATCAAGTCTTTAGCTTCCTCCATCTGTGCTTTTCTCAATGACTCAATTTGCTCCCTCTCTGCAGCTGCCTCCCTGGCATTCGCAGAACGCAGCTTTTCAATCAGCTCCTTCTGTTGCTCCAGAGCTTGAGCCTCCTCCCTCTGGGCTCTCCTCAGGGCTTCAATCAGCTCTCGCTCTCTCCTAAACATGCGCATTTGTCCTTCAGGGGAAAACTTCAACATACCTTAAAGAAGAGAGAAGAAGAAGACACATGTTTAATTTCATTAATCCTCATAGCTTTTTTGGCTGATAGTAGCAGCAGGGACACCAAACTGCTTTCTTAGAAGTACGTAGAAAATTAAGTCACAATGCATCTAGTTGAGTGGTTGAGACCGGAGCATTTAAATTTTTTCATGTTATTAAACTTCTTTCCCAGCTAAAATATATGGGAAATGTACTGTTAAATAATTTAAATATTGTTCCACCTATATGTAAGAACTCATACTATGGTATTTTTGGCCTGTAAAATTATTTCAAATCTAAGGCACATTTGATACAAACATCCACCCACAATATCTTATTGGTGCCAGCAAAATTCTGCCCTTGCAAAAATGATTCTAAGCAGTAAAACACTGGCATGAAATCTTAAGTCAGCTTGATTATTACATTTATCTTGATCATGTATACATGAGGACAAGGTTTTAGATCAAGGTCCCCTCATTTTATCAAGTTTGTGTTAAAACAAGAGACATGTATCCCTCCTCTGTAAAGAAGCTACATTTGGATTAAATCACATTCAAACACAGCAAAAAGGTTCAAAATATCACCTGAACCCTGTCTCTTCTTTGCTGCCTTAATAGTCTCAGTGGGGGCCGGTGTGTCCTCATTGTGGTTCTGGCCATCAGTCCAAAGCTGAGAAAAGACCCCCGGGTGTCTCTTTGACATGTGTCGATGCAGGTTACTGGTGCTGCCGCCTTCAAAGCAATGTAATTTCTTCATGCAGATGCGACACTGAGCAGCATCCAAACTGTCCAAGCGTTCAAAGTGCTTCCATATCACACTCCGTTTACCTCGTCTGCGAGGGTGGTCGCCACTAGACTCCAAATGCGCCGTTTGTTCTGCTGGACCTCCTCGTGTAGCGGCCAGGATTCCAACAATGGTAGAGTTCATATCAACATTAATCCCGGCAGTGAGGCTGTCAGTGTCCCCATCCTCCTCTGAAACATCTGCTTAATCAGAAAAGGAAAAAATAGTACACTTAGGGCTTCTAATAGTGATATATAAAGACATGCTCATCCTTTTTTACAGACAACTCATTAAATATTTACTTTGAAAATAAAATCTATGCACCCATGCCTAGTTTTTTTCTGACAAAAAGTCAAAACACTTTATGATCAATTGTTACAATAAAGTCAAATGTTACAACTTTGAATATGAGAAGCAGATACTTATACTTTCACTCGCCTGAGGACCTGATGTATGACTAAAAAGTTAGGTACCCAATTTTCTGATTATTAAAACACAGAGGTAAGCTTTCAAAACATCACCTGGACATTTTCTTTTTTCTGTTCTCCTGACTGTCTCTTGAGGTGGTGATGTGTCCTCAACAATATTTGGTCCCTGCGAAGAGTGGGATGCCCGTGGGTTTTGCCCATTGGCCAAAAACTCAGAAAACAGCACTGGATGTCTTTTTGACATGTGTCGATGCAGGTTGCTGGTGCTGCCGCCTTCGAAGCACTGCAGCGTCTTCAGGCAAATGCGACACTGAGCAGCAGACAAACCTTCCAAGATTTCAAAATGCTTCCATATCATGCTCCTTTTACGTGGTTTACGATCTACAATGAAGTCACTGATTGCCTCTTCATTGGTGGTTTGTTCTGCTTGATGTGCTTCCAGGATGCCACCGATAGCAGAATTCACTTCACCTTCATTCCCCATGGTTGGGTAGTCTGAGTCTCCATCCTCAATGGCAACTTCCACTAAAATGGGGGAGACAAAGATACAATAAGGTAGTGATCAATTATTGATTATTTGCTTAGTATATAGTTTAGACATTTGTCTGAATAACCGTCAAATATTTTCAGAGCATAATGTGATACATTCAAATAATGTGTTTAGTCCGACCAAAGGCCCTGCAATATTATCTTATTATAGAATTATATTCTTATATTCTAACATTATTTGTTTATTTTCTTCTATTGTTTGAATTTCAAAACAGTTTTATTATATAATATTTTGTTGTGATTATTATTTTATTTCATTTTATTTTTTATCATTTTATGAGTTTCCTTTATCTTGTCATGGTTTTATCAGTTTAGCTTCGGTTCCTGTGGTTCCCCATTTTAGTTTAAGATAGCGTTTCCTTGGTCCTCTGTGGCTTCCTGTTGAGCCCTGACTTGGTGTCTCGGTGGTTGTGAGAGTGTGTGTGTCTGTCTGTCTGTGTGGGTGGGTGGGTCTCTGTTAAATGCGGGCTTGGAGGGTGGGTGGGTGGGCTTTTGCAGTTTGTATTTTGTTTTGTATTTTATTATGTATTCCCCGATCCTCCCCTTCTTGTGTACAGCACTTTGTGATACAAGTTTATGTATGAAAAGTGCTTTATAAATAAAGTGATTGCTTGATTGAATAAAAAGAGGTACCGCAGCGTTACTTTAACTCAAGTATAGCAGACCAGTGGTTAAAAAATGCATCACGTATGTAAAGAAAGAAAATGGTTTAAAATCCATGCAATCATTAATTTTCTTCTCTTTATTTGGGGCCAGATCACTGTAGAAACAGGTGGGGTAAGTTGTCCTAGGCACTCCCCTCCCCAGCAAAGCTTTCCAGCTTCTCCTAGGTTTCCATGGCAGATGGAATTTATAATACCTTGAGTGCTTTCTAAGACACCCAGAGGTCTCCTCTTAGATCCAGTTTGGTGTATAAAGAAATAAACAAAAGGAGGCTTCCTCATCCAATGTCTGAACCATCACCTGTCTCTTTCCGTGTGAATCCACTGTTTTAAACCCTGGATTGCTTTAAAAATGTGTTACTAAGGAAACCTGATCAAAAACTGAGTTATTTGCAGCTATTTAAATTCATGAAATAGCTATTTCAACATTTTTATGACAATTTCCATCGTTAGTGAAAGTGTTGACTGTCTTTGCTAACACTGATACAACAATAAAACAAAATAAATCTGTAAATATTAAAATGAATGTTGATGTCTGGATTGTTTTGTGTCTCTCTGCTGCTGTAGCAGTTTTCACATGGATCTTACCGGAGCAGAACTGTTCACCGCCTGTCTCCATGTCTTGGCTTCCGTGGATGGAGGTACCCTCAGAAAAACGACCTCGACTTGGTCTGTTGGCCTCAGTGGGGTGGTTGACTCGTAGATGTCTCAGCAAGGCCGTGGTGGTGCCCTGAGCATGTTTAGGCACAAAACGGCTGCAGATCAAACATTGGACTGAATGCGAGCTCACAGTTGAAAAATAGCCCCAAACGATGCTTCTTCGACGGACCATGTCTGCGATTGACTCAAAATATTTGACATAGCAGATGGTGTATTTTCAACTAATCTGTATTTTTAAGGCAATTAGATTTTCACTTTCCGGAGAGCAGTTAGCATTGAAGTTAACTATTGTGCTACGCCATGCCCCAGAATGCATTGCTGTTCAACGTCTCATCCGGCGGATCCGCGGGGTCGAGGGAGGGTTTTTTCAAAACGCTTTTCAAAACATTTTGCTTGTTTGCGTAGCAGGTGTTATTAAATTAAAAAACGTGAACTTTATTCCAACTTACTTGTACCGTGTCATATTTTTGTTGCTGTCATTTTTTTCTCTCAAGTGCGGTGAAAATCGCTGAAGGCAAGATTGTCATCAACTATTAAATGGATATTCCGGAGTAAAACTAATTTAGGGTCAAACACGCCGTAACACCGAGTTTGACTCTCCCTCCAGAGATGAATATTGTCGACTTCTTGCTTCTCTGGTTATACCAACGTTAGTAACGACCGCACGATAGCAACACACAGCGGTCTGAGGAGCCATAAACAAACCTCAACCAAAAAGCCACTCTATAGCCACAAATAATGCTCAGAACAGCGCCTAACTTCAACAGTACATGAAGGGTCCTAGCCACATCACCAACCACCAAACATCGTTTAAACTTTGCGTGATTGCCCCGATAGCCAAGAGATTAAACACAACTCACCTACTCTCTTTCAGCAGTCGCTTGTTTGTAGTGAGACCTTAGGCCAGTCCATTTGAACTGCTGCAGGGTGACGCAGTTTAAGGAAGAACACTTGTGATCTTTATCATTTCCTTGAAGTAATAATCACCATATTAATCATTTTGCACTGCAGACGCAGCAGTTCTTCTGCCTCAGCGTCTCTAGTCTGATTGCACTTCCATGAAAAAATGATCATAAATGTTCATTGAGCTGTGTCACCCTGCTGTAGTCCATAATGGACTGGCCCGAGGTCTCGCTACAGACAAGCGGCTGCTGGAACAGTCGGCAATTTGTGTTTAGCCTCTTCGCTAAACAAATGAGGCAAAGTTAAAAAGATGTCTGGTGGCCAGTACTATGGCTGGGACCCTGTATGTACTGTTGATGAAGTTAGGTGCTGTTCTGAGCATTATTTGTGGCTATAGAGTGGCGTTTTGGTTGAGGTTTGTTTGTGGCTCCTTAGACTGCTGTGTATTGCTATTGTGCAATTGTTACCAAATGTTGGTGTAACTAGAGAAGCAAGTGGTTGGCAACATTCATCTCTGGAGGGGGTGTCTAACTCGGTGTTAAAGTGTGTTTGACCCAAACTTAATTTTAAGCCAGAATATCCCTTTAATCTTAAAATACTTATTATAAATTCAGATTGCTACACAACACATAACTTTACATTTCACTGTCATTTCATTGCACTTTTCTGTTTGATTATTTCTCTGTAGTCAAACTGTTATTTCATATCCTACCCATAATATACAAAACATTGATTACTATTACATTAGTCTATGTAAAAACTGTTACTTTAAACATTGTATCGCTCTGAAAAATCAGAGAAACAAATCTGACAAAAGTATAAATGAATATATCTGTTTTTATTAAAAGAAAATCTGTCAGGCAGATGGACAGTACAGTTGCCAAACAAAATGCATCACATTGTGCTCAAAAAGCCATTTTATCACGTAAAATCTACAAAACATAAATATTACAGCTAAAAACAGAAATTCACAGGCTGAAAACATACACTGAGTGCTGGGAAAATTTCTCCACATCAAGACATAAATAAATAGCCTTCCTAACACAGACAAATGTTAATTCAGTGGTGCAGAGAGCTGGCTGGTACAAGCATCAGACTGCACATTAAATATTTGACATTTTTTTCCAGTAACCAGTGCAAAAAATAAAACAAAAACATCTTTTGTGAATAAGGTGAACACTCAGTTGGAATGCGTTTTAATAGTAGTGGTGGTTACGCAGCGTCCTGCAGGCTAAAAGATGTGAAGACACTTAGTGTAAACTTGTTGCACTGTTTTGATAAAGCACTGTTGGAAAAGCGTGAGGTCAGCATGTAACGTACTTTATTGTGCATTGTTAGAGAAACATCCTACATGGGACTTAAAAGAGAATGTATTAGTCAAACCAAACCAGAGCACCACCTGTCACTGGCTCAACAGTAAACTTTTTCACACTGTCTCCCCTTGGTTTGGTTTACACATTCTTGCTCTAAGGTTAGTCAAATCCAGTGATTTTACTAAATAAAAAGATCTGTAATGTTTAAGGATTAATAGTAAAAGGGATAGATGGCAGCCCCCCACTCATGATTTCAATCTGTCAAATAGCTTTGGATTGCTTTAAACTGAGTATTTTACAACAACAAAAAATAAAACAGCTTTTATAAATGATGTGTAAACAAACCTTTTACACACATTAAAATTCATTTAGTTCCCATTTTCCATTAGAATTTCACTGTTAGAAAATAAAAAGTCACCAGATAGTGATGTAGAGGGAAATCTTGCCTCAACTAATGGAAGACTTGAACATTCAATCTGAACTTCTAGCAGCTTGACAGGAGGCTGTTAAAAGTTTTCAGTTTCCTTCTTCACAGTCATGTTTAAACTTATAACTATACATTAGTTTTTCGTAGAGAAAAAGAGACAAAACCTCCTTGGCAATCTATATTTGAGAGGGAGATCTTCAACCTGAAGTTTATATCAGAGAAGAAAATTTTGAAAAAATAATGACAGACTACAGTGAGCATATGGATGATAAGTAGTTGTTAAATGTTGACATGTTTTCCCCCTGAAAATTGACAACTGGAATCAGTCATGTGCGTTTATTAAAACTGTTCCCTCTGTGAAAAAGGAAATCTAAAATTTCTCACATTTTCTAATCTAAATGATGAAAGCAATACTTACAAGGTTTAAAACTAAGCACTATTTTCAGATTCAAGAATTTTGAAGAGCTTGCTACAAATGAGTTTTTTTATTTTGTTTTAAACATAGCTTATTCAACTCAATCTCTTATGTATGCCATGAGACAATTTCCCCAAGCCCCATCTTGAAAAATTTCCTTACAATAAATATTTGCTTCACACACACTTAAAAATAAAAAAAAAATTGACAACAAAACTAATGTCTAAACAACTCCATTATTCTTTTTCAGAATCCTACAGAGGCTGAACTCCAGTGAAGCACCATTTGAATTCTGTCAGTCACCACACTGCACACAGGGAGGGCACTTTGTTAGTCAAAACACCTTCATGGTGAGATGAGGTTTATGTCTAAGGGGAAGTCTACTTTTTAGAATTAAGGGAATTTGTGCTTTAATAAACAGACACCAGTGAACTACATGTAGGACTGAACTGTTAGGTCAGACAGACTTGACATTGACAGTGTTTTCTTTTATACCAGTGTCCTGGAAGGTTTGTGGGGGACAGATATGTAGAACCAAAGATAATAAAGTTTGTGGTTCTCAACTGGTTGATGATTTAAAACTGTTCTTTTTGACTGAAATATGAAACTCTAACAACTTTTTTGATAGAGCCAAGGCCAAGCTAACAATTCATTGGTATGTTGTTTCTCAATCTTTGATGGTCTGATTCTGTAATTGCGGAAACAAAGGTGCTACAAAGAGGAAATATCCCAAACGGTTACTAATATCTGAGAGAATAGTGCCCTTGTTCAATTGTAGTAACAAAGTTTGAGCTAAATTTATCCACCTCCAATTATCACCAACATACAAAAAAACTACATGCTCTTTAAAGTAAAGATATTTATCCGGTCACATTACTGACAATGTTGGGAGACTCACCTGTAGGATTTGTTTGTCGCCTTTCTGACAGGTGATGCATGTTTACATTCTCCATAAGGAAAGTTACACTCAGGTGAATGAGTTGGACTGTGAAAGACTAGTACCAGTGACTGACATGTTGATGCAGATGCTAATTATTGTTGTTATCAATTGAGAACCAGAATAATGGAGTGTTAAATAAATGTACAAACAAAATGTGACTATGAGTACAAATATTCAGATAACAGTTAAGTTGTCTTATCCCAATTGGGAAAAAAGTAGTCATCTGTGGTGTAAACTGCCTTTGCAGCTGAGTTACAGGGAAACATTCAGAGCTTAGTGTTTTAGTAGCGTTGCACCGGGTGTATAAATAATTTTAGTTCTTGTTTCTCTGCAGAGCCTCACACAGGTTGTGATTTGGATCTGGCTCTTGACTCATGACCTCCACACACTCCCATTCTCCTGTACAGCTGGAGCGCTTCACTGCCTCCACCACTGTCTGCACATACAGACCATCTTCAAATGTTGGTGCCATGGCAACCGGGCCTCGTGCCCATGACCTGCGCTCCTCGTGAGCTTGAAAAGACTGTCTCAGTGACTTTACCATTGCGCTCAAACCTTGCAGGTGAGGCAGGGGCATCTCTCTAACCTCGGGTCCTGCCCACCCACTGTCACCTAGCAACAACTCCTCACCTTTGCTCCCATTGTTTTGACCAAACAGCTCTGTCCCCCTGACGACCAGTCTCCCGGAGGATCCAACAACCATAACCTCATGCACAAACGACCCTGGCATGTTGAAGTTCAGGGTCACAGTGCAACACACACCACCAGAGCTCGACACAGTCCCACCCATCAACATTTGAAAAAAGCAAAAATCATCGCTGGTGACACGGCGAATTCCTCTGATGGAAACATTCTGTTGTACAAATGTCCGCAGTAAGCCGTGAACACGTTGTGCTCGTGCACCAGTTAGAAAACTTAAAAGGTCAATGATGGCAGAGCCCACAGTGTGCAGACCACCACCTCCCATTAGCTCCTCGCATGTCCAGCCGTATGACTGATCCAAGAGGCTGGGCCCGTAGACTCTGACATCACACACCTGCACTTCGCCTACGTAACCCTCTACCAGCAATTGGCGCATAGCGACAAAAGCTGGTAGAAAGCGAAGGGTATTACCCATGATGCTGAGCAGCTGGGGATAGTATCTTGCTGCTGTCACCATCTTGAATGAGTCCACAGCAGTTGCAGCTTTTTCACAAACAACATTTTTACCTATACCTGCAGAAAGACACAGAAAAGAAGTAAATGATTACTGTAATCCAGGGTGTCGTAAGTCTATCTGAAAGTATGAACATTTCTGAAACTCAAAAATACAAGCTAGCACACTTTAATATAGAGCCTCTAAAAAAAATTTGGTCACCATGTTACAACAACAGTTGGATTCCTTTCCTGATTTATTTGTGTAGGTGAAGACCTCACAATTCAGTCTTTTGTGCTGCCACACTGTGAGAGGGATTGCCTGAAATGGCCTGACTGTGAAGTTCCAGTGTATGGTATCATTAAAAAAAATGTAAATATTATCCTGTATGTGATAACACAGTAGGAGTGCATATTTCCTACACATATCAGTAGCCTACAATAACTGTGGGAGGCAGTGCTCTGGATAAGTCTTTTGGTGGGGACTCACTCAGGAAGTTGCAACTCAAACAGGAAGCTGAGGTCAATGCCCAGGAATTCCATCAGATACAGTAAAAATGTGAACTTCATAGATCCCCTCTGATATGATGCCGAGTTGCTGATGTTTAATGTAATATGCAGATTACAGATTTCAGGTGTGGAGAGTTTTAGGTTTTTGAGTATTTCTGTTTTTTATCCCCCTCAAATCACTGTATTCCTTGATAACGCGTTTATCATCGCCTTTGGGAATATCTCAAAAATAAACACAAAGATGGATTACAACACATCACAGGAATTCGGTCATTTTTAGTATGAGTGTCTTTTAGGGGAATACCGGAACATTTAATCAGCTCCAGAGTTGATCTGCCACACCCAGGAGGCCAGGTCACATTGAAGACTAAGCTTTGTCTGTTTTTAAAAGATTACCTGTTTTTTAACCTTGGGATTCATTGAAAAATTGTAACAACTTAAAGTAAGGGACTGTAACATTATTATTAGGATAAACCCCTTGACATGTACTATCTTGTTTTCAAGGGGTTCCAACAGAAATCACATCCACAATATGTTATGTATGTGAAGGAGTGGGAAATGAAGGGGCGTAAGGTCTCTAACATCCACTCAGCTCTGTGACTGTCATCATGGAGGAGTGAAAGAGGATTCACGTGTCAACCTGTAAAGCTCTGGTAAACCCCACGCCCAAAAGGGTTAAGGCAGGGTTGGAAAAAATGGTGGCCACACAAAATATTGACATTTTTGGCCCGATTTGGACATTTTCACTTTGTGGTGTACTCACTTTTGTTGCCAGAGGTGTACACAGTAATGGCTCTGTGTTGAGTTTTTTAAGGGGACAATAAATTTACAGTGCTACACAAGCTGTACACTGACTACTGTACATTGTGCCAAAGGGTCATTTCTTTAGTGTTGTCCCATTAAAAGATATAATCAAATATTTGCAGAAATGTGAGGGGTGTACTCACTTTTGTGAGATACTGTAAATCTCTTACCTAGTGCTTTGACAGCAATCTGTCTTGTCATGGAGGGAGGAACATAAATGCAAACAAGGTCGACATCTTGGTGCAGGAGGACGTCATCAGATCGGCTGGTGTGAAATGGGATGCCCAGCTCCTCTGCCAAGCAGCGTGCTTCCTCTTCACTTCTTCCCCAGAGTGCATGGACCTCAAAGCCTTCAGCTTTCAATAATGGGACAAGCACTCTGGCCGTGCTCCCGATGCCAAACACACCCACTCCTGGCAACATGGTAGTGCCACTTTCAGCAAACCTACGTGTCTAACATGGTCAGCATTGCAAACATCCCAATGACTGGTAATCCACTTGGCTCCTAATGTCTTTAGAGATGAAGAACAGCTTCAAGTACCTGTAAAATACAAAGCATTAAAGCTGACAAAAACTGAATACACCCTACATTTTCATGCTTTGAAATCATCCATTACTCATTACACTGATGCAGTTAAACAAGATCGAATACTTTCTTCTCTACAATGAAAGATTAAAGACCCACTCTGATGAAAATCGTGTTTTTCTTGTTTTTTAAATGTTAATACGGCATTTTTCTGATACTACAGGAGATATCATGGGAAAAATAAGTGCTAAATTGCATTTCTGCATTCAAATCTCTGTGAATCTCTGGCAGACCCAAACAGCAGGCTCAGAGACAGTAGGATTTCCTTTGTCACAATTCCAAGCTCCGCCCCCAGGGCCCCGCTATTCAGGCAAGACTGGAGAAATAGAGAGGACAATTGCGGAACAAGCGTGTACGGTAGCGGATTGCAATGCCCGTAAAAAAGCTTAGTATGATATTAGCTTTTATCATACCCCTCAAGACATTAGTGTCTGAGAGCTGAATAGCTCTTATGCTACCTGCTTCTTCTACTACTACTGCTAGCGTAAAGAGGAGTGTGCAGAGCAGCGATGTCTCCGCCCACGACTCAGAGGTGAATTGCTAATGATCTACTGGAACTCTGCAGAAGAAAAGCCCTTGAAAATGACACAGTTAATGCTATTTTGGCTTAAAAATGTATAATCACAATTTACAGACCACTGAAAACACGTTCAGTAGTAAAAAACGATCAGGGTGGGACTTTCAGGATCAGCCTTTAATGACTGTAACAAAAAAAAATGTTAAAAAAAAAAAAAAAAAAAAAAAAACACGAAAAACGTGCCCTACAAAGGTCTGGACCAGTTTTTATTAATCAGTCTGACAGCCACTTACGTTGTGCCCTGCTGCATAGTTAGCATGCCATTCCTTACAGGATCCACACCCACTAAAAGTAAACGTCACCTTTACTTCTGAAGCAAGTGCACTTTATCAAGTTTGTAACATCTGTTTATTGGTCTTTGGGAACAAAACGTGCACACAGAGCAAATAAATGGACCTTTTTGATAAGACTCACCATTAACTAAGTGCTGGTGGTATATCAGAGAGAGTGCACCTTCTAACTCTTGTTTATTTTACCAAACTGAGGTACTAGCAGCTGGACAGCAGCTGTTTATTGACTGAGCTTTACCAAAGTTTATAAAATTACAAAACAGCTGTTTGCCTATTCGAAGATGTGATTATGACATTTCTAAACTGTGCCACAGTTGTCTTACAGTAACAAAAAAACTGATACAAGCGTGAGTGCCTTTGCACCTGCATTACCTGTGTAGCCTTAGCCCCCACAGCGAGACCTCAGTATTCCAGCCCCGTATTCAAACATATGTGAACCAGCCTGAGAGCAGCTGAAGCCACCCTTAGCCCGATATCACACACCTCTGCAAACTAACCTAGCCTTCCTCTGTTGGCTCAGCACACAATAAAGCCATGTCATGACAATTAATCGGGACATTAGCCTCTATTTCTATGACACATCGGACCAACAGTAGTCAAGGCTTAAGCTAACACAGACGCTCACAGTGTGCTCCAGATAACCAAGGTTCACTGAGCTAGCTGGACTGGGTTCGTGATAACGTTAGTTAGCATGTTCAGCTAGCCGGGCCAGACAACAGCAAAGTGAACTCCAAAAGCTCCTGATGCACTATTGTATTCAAAAGAGTTTATACCTGAATTTTATCTCCCAAACGGTCCATGAACTTGTTTTGACATAGAGAGGAAAAGTAATGGAAACATAGGCTAAGTTACCTTTTGTATTCGCCAGGACAGCATCGACAGCGGTTGAAGGTGCCGCACCGGGCGCTGGCCAGTTGCTAATGGTAACTTCAGTAGCAACGACAGGACTGTGGAGACGACCAGAGACGCTAAAAGAGGACGGAGATTGGTCACCGGCTAAATATCGAGTAACAGGTACACACGACCAGAACTGCTACAAGAGGCGGAAGATTGGTCATTATTAGACAATCAAGGCACAGTAACAAAGACACTGTTAGCTAAACTGAATAATATAGCATCTAAACACCAACATATCATTTTCTAATAAAGGTAGTGAAAAGGATATATAATCAAGGTCAAAACATGTAACAAATAAAGGACCAAGTGTTTTATTGTTTATGTTTTTAATGTTTAATAGCTAATCATTTAAACTTCGAAGTAGCCTGCACTTCACAGACACACTTGAAACTATCAAAAAGTTTATCTTGGTGTAGTTTGAAGAACATTTTCTAGAAATTACATTTGAAAAAACAATAAAGGCATTACTGCCTTCCCTTGCACAAAATAAATACATTATTCTAGCTTTATTATGACATTGTTACCAAGTCAACCACAAATTTATACTCTCAATATGAATCCATTCACATTTAAATTCATAAGAATGTGATATATTATCTTGGAAACCTGGGTGCTTGAAATGATAGAAATAGTTATAAGAACATGTGACATATGTTCTTATAACTATTTTGCTTTTCAGGGATGCATGTGGTGGAAGAAAAACTGTAATCTGTATCATTTATTTTGATCAATAAGTTTAATGATTTGGCAATAAGTTTGTTGCTGGGTGACATACTTGCTAATTAAACCTCTCTCCAGCAAGACACTTTAGGTCTTTCCTAAGCCTGCTTCCACTCACCTGTGAAGCTATAATTCAAAGGCTAAGTCAGATTTTAGTAGGTTTTTATGATAGACAAAGATTAATTTAGACATTCAGTGCTTTGTTTTCATAATCTCAATCAAAATATTATATCTTCCTCTAAAAGTATTTCACATTTCTGGTTTAGGGCACTTGTTGTAATGTAATCAAATAACTAATAGGATTTATTAGCACCAATTCACAACAGATGTTATCTCAATACCCTTACAAAAGAGGTGGTCTAAACTTTCTCTTTTATCTAGCAAAAACCCAGCATCAAGAGAATATTACATAAGCCCCATCTTATCTCATCATAATTCACAATGTGCGCTCTGTTTAATACATCTTTAGTCTAGGAAGATCCTCCTCCAAAAAGGTTATAAAAGACATGAATATTAACAAAACATACATTTACTTTACCATTGTTCTGTGCCATGTAAATGTCAAATTCGAAAAGATCTGGGGACCTTTGACTTATTCTCTTTTTACTTTTTATTTCTCAAAATGTTATGTATTTCAAGATCTACAAAACCCAAATTCCAGCACTTGTATTTTTTAAATTTTATTTATGTACTTATTTTTATTTTTTGTTATAGCTCCAGAATTTGTTATTTAAGCACAGTAATAGGAATTTCCAACAGTAGACAGGGTTTTGAGGGAAAGGGGGTGTTTGTAATTTGTTTCCTTTGTATATATGTATAAAACTAATAAAAATATTGCTGAATTAAATGTCATGTCGCACTTTAACCCATCGCTGGAAAGGTGTCACTCTAAAAAAGCTGGAAATGCTTGTTGTTCATAGCTGCTGCGTAATATTTTCCTCGCAATAAAGGCTTTTGTTTGAGAAAAATATGTTATCTCAACGCTTTAAGTCATTATTAGTCCATTAAAATTGGACAGAAAACTGTAAAGTCTCTTTTTTTCTGAGTTGGGCTCGAAATCGCACTATGACACCATAACCACCAGGGGGCGATAGTCTATTTGACGATTTGGTGGACTCAGACACAAAGGATTGTGGGAATTTTAGTTCTGGATGGAGGACGGTTGGCTTGTTAACACCGCGAAAACTAAACGAGCCACAAACCACCGAAATCAAAATCTTAGCCTCGAATTCAGCATTGATACGCGATCCGTATGCTTTTAATCCGGGTAAAATCGGGTGGATTCAGCCTTCGTGCGAATGAGAGCGACTCATTTTGGGTGAAAAATAAACAGGAAGTTGTTAGCGTTGTGGGACGTGTAGTTCCGCTTGCAGGCCACTGAGCTTTATTACAACGCATAGAATAAAGAAACAACATATAAATAACCTAAACTCAACCCGGGGACCCTGTGTTTGTTTTTAGCGTTTTAACAAACATGCCTGGGTTCACTTGCTGTGTGCCTGGGTGCTACAACAACTCGCACCGGGACCGGGAGCTGCGCTTCTACACATTTCCCAAAGACACCACGCTGAGGGAGATGTGGCTGAGGAACATCTCCCGGGCCGGGGTCAGCGGCTGCTTCAGCACCTTCCAGCCTACGACGGGACACCGAGTCTGCAGCGTGCACTTCGCCGGCGGGAGGAAGACCTACACCGTCCGAGTCCCGTCCCTCTTCCCTCTGCGGGGCGTGAACGAGCGCAGGAGTCGTAAAGGCAGGGGAAGGAAGGTGTCCACGGCGGCTCCTGTCCCCGCAGCTGCAGCGACCTCCGGTATTGTCATCACGAACGACCTGGGCAGCACGGCAGAAGGAGCCGAGGGCAACACCGGCGGCGAGGCGAGCGACGACACCATCACCGTGGTTCAGATAGGCCAAAACGGGGAGTACCTGGGCACGGCGCGTCTGCCTGCCCAGTCTGAGGGGACTTTTTACGCGGCGCCCACCGCCTCAGAGGAGCAGACCACCGACTGTTCATCATTGGTCGAAACTACATCCACTTTACAACAACAGTCCGTGCAGTACGTAAGCGTCACAAGTAGCCCACTGGACCACTCGTACTCTCTGACCACCGGCACCACGTCCACCGAGCTCCTGCGCAAACTGAACGAGCAGCGGGACATCATCGCGCTGATGGAGGTGAAGATGAAGGAGATGAAGGCGACCATCCGTCAGCTGCGGGTGGCTGAGGCCAAGCTGCAGGAGGAGGTGCGGGAGCGGGACAGGCTGCTCGGTGGAAACTCAATTGCTTGTAGTATCCGTAAGAAATTCTGATAACGTGAGACGACCCGTGATGACAGAGACTAAGACTGACGGGGGTGATTGAAGACTGCAGATTCAGATCTATTTTGTATAAAAACTGCGAGCGACGACAATTTATTTTCAACAAGTAGAAGTGACTTTTTGTAGGTCTGTCAAACGAAGTTGTCTGGGTAGTTCATGTAGCTCATATAATACAGTCCAAACCGGACCCATACTGCTTAGAAATGGTCAGTAACAGCCTATATTTATCTGTTTAACCAGTCTCATAGTATGCACAGACTTACAAGGCTTACACATTGATTACCAGACTGATGAGGGAGATGCTCAAGACTGCTTAGTTTCACAGAAGGTTTTCTCTTGAAGATTCTTGTTGAGGTGTTTTATTTCCATACTTTTGAGCTTAAATTAGGGGGTTCTGACAGAAACACCCCACAATAGATTTGTAGAGGTAATGTAAAGTATGCCAGGATGAGGTACTCACAAGACCTATAAGAAGCAAAACACTATTCTCGGCACCCCTCTGGTGTAGGTCAATAAATTAAAGCGCTACTGTGGCTTGAGTTGCTTTTTTCAACGGATGTTCCTTTAAAACGTGTGAAGTAACATTTGCTGACCTTTTTTTCTTTTAGAAAATCTTACAAAAATATGTCAAGATACATATTGCAACTTGAATCTGTACTTTGTCTACCCGAAAGGTTTTCTGTAGAACAGCAGTTGCTTGTTTCAGTGTGATACATGGTTGAATTTTGTGTGCCTGTTTATGTTTTCTCTCTGCAGACGCATCTCTCCAGATCATCAGTGTTTTATGGACGTTACACACATTTCTGAGTTTTGAACTCGGTCTCACATCAATGCTTTGCCGTCATTTTGAAGTAAATTTCATTTGAAATGAAGTTGGTTCATGCATGATAATTTCTCAACTTCTGATTTGTGTCTGCTTAAGTTGGAAGAGGCTGTCAAACAGATGATCACTTGGGTATTTCTGTTGATTAATCCAAAGCAGTAGCTCCAAACATGGATTGCGTTTATCTGTCAGGATTAAGTGAAAATTTTCAGAGATTTGAGGTAGTCAGCATGTGGATTGTTTGTTTTAGATCATACAAAATGTGCATAAAAGCAGTCAGAATTTAACCATATGAAATTACGAAACCCTGTAGAGGAAAAAGGAAACCGATTAGTCATACATCCCGATGGCAGGGGCATTCTGTATCAAAGAGAGTTCGCAGAAACTAAGAGAATACATTAGAAAATTGTGCAATGAGACACAGAGAGATTAAAAATCCTTGAAAGTTTAGTAAAAATCCACAGATTTTGTTTTGTTTTAAACAAGCATTACATTACTAAGTGAAAAATCGATCATGTTTACAAATGTTTGTCACATTATTGTTGGTTATTTAATTGGAAAAGAAATAATATAATATAATATGTTATAATATAAGCTCAATTCTTGTGTGTGTAGTTATACATTGTGACTGACTGTTCAAATGTCATTACAGGTCCAATAGAGGTCATGGGAAATTGTGTCCATGTAATTTGAACCCCCTCTTTACTCATGTGGTGAGCAACCACTTAACACCTCACTTTGTTTTCATGTTAGAGTTCAGAGAACATCCTGACATATAAGCAAGACTTAAGAGTAAGTGTGCAACCCATTAGTTACTTGTGTAAAACTAATGAAGCGGTGATAGCTCTTCTTATGTTTTAGTAAGGTTTAAGGTAGAATTTAAGATATGATTCATTCTTGGTTTACACATAGTTTAATAAACTCAATGAATAAACAAGTTAAGCCAATCAATTTAGCAATTTTTACGTATGCAGCAGACGTAACAACCAGAAAATCTGTTATTTAGTTTTTATGAGTGAAAGTCAGCACAATTAATACAAAGTTGTCACTGCAATATAGCAAAAGATATAATAACATCTTTGGATAACTCAATTCAAAAACTGATTTTTTGTTTGTTTTCTCAGCAGCAAATCCTTCCATTTGAGAGCCATTGTTGAGTTCTGTGCCAGACTGCAGTCAGATGTTGCAGCATGATTTTCTCCCTCTAGATGGCGGTGGGATAAAAGCTAAGTGACAGGGGAGCTAACCAACTGTTTGGCCTAATTTGTTTTATCTTCATGCCTGTGTGTTGACAGCATGGATGGCCATTTACTTAACTGTAAGTCGAGTTAAAGTCCTGAGGTGCTAAATATCTTTGGTTGAATGTTAAGCCGTGAAAGAGTTCCTGAACCACAACAAATGAGTAATTTCCACCACTTCCTGTGATAATGTGGTAGATGAACCAGAGCAGGAGCGAAGGCTGGATGAATGGATAGACAGAGAGCATTGGAGAGAGCCAGGATGCAGATCCTAATCTCATCTGGATTTATTTTTTTTACTCCCAGCAGTGTTGCATAATGCTGTAATCCAGCACTGTCGATCAAACTTACACTACTCTTTCCTCCTTTTTAATGGCTGCTGACATTTACCACAGCCGTCTTTACATTCAAGCCAAAGCAAAGCCGCTGTCAGATGGTCCAGTCCTGTGAGAGTAATTATGTAATGGGAATGAAGTACAACAATGTAAACAACATGTGATCCTACAAACAAATGCATGACATAAGAAGAGGTAAATGTGAATAGTGTACAGACAGTAAAAATATATCTGTGCTTTGCAATTAAATCTCATGAAACATTATTTTTATTTTGATTCTGACTAAACAAGCTGTGCATATTTACACACTTGTCTACATACATGATGTAGTTTATTATCGCAGGATCATTTTGAACACACAATGACTGAAGCAGTAATGGGAATCCATAGAAGAGAGTGTCTTTCTACCCACAGACCCAACAGATTGATTAACAAATAATTAACATGATGCCATGGAAACTGGATTATTTTGTATTCCTTGAGGTTTTACTAATTTTATTCCAAAATTGTATGTACAATTTTTCAGTAAATTTCTGTCAGCTATGCAGCCTAGATAACAGAACTTAACAAAATATAAAACTTTCTTTTTAGCTTTTTTAAAGCCAGAGGTACTAAATGCTTAGTCAAATTAATGCCATTTGAAATTATCACCAATAATTAATGACATTAAAAAGAATTTTTAATGGAAGACAGCAGTGTTGCATAACAAGACAATTTGTCTTGTCATGAGAACAAGTATCAAGCAGTTTGTAACAGAGGTATTGATAAAATAAAAAAATGTCAACCCTCAGAACGCTGACAGCACTTTGTATTGACTCTGTCATATCTAACATTCAAAAGAATCATGAGCAAGAATAAAAAGCTTAATATTCAATCCAGGAGCAACACATTTGATATCAAACTTGTAGGAAAGAATACATTGGGATCTTTCTGAGCTTGGGACGATTAAATGTAAGATTTTACATTAAAATAGTCAAATGAGCAGAGAAGTGGATTATGCCGTATTATCCCTTTACAATATATACAGTCATGAAAAAAATATTAACCTTGTTTTCTTTCACTTCTCGAAGAAATTGAAGAAAACAAGGGTGGGATAGAGTAGATGTTTACTTTATACTTACAGTTTGTCTTTACAACTGGATTTATTGTGATACACATCGGTCCACATGAGAATGACAGCACCACACATAACAGCATTAAAGTGGGAAAGCTGCTCCATGATCCAGTAAAAGCTGCATAAGGTTACAACAGACAACATAGACAGCAAAACTTTTGGGATTAAAATGAGCACAGTGAGCCGATAACAGGACAAAAACCTGGACCAGGGCATGAACTTTGTACTACTTTTGCAAAGAGAGCTTTAGAGTCAAGTGGCAGGACATTTGATTTGCATATCACTGCTAATAAAATGTAAGGGCTTGAATGTGAAACTGATGTCGTGTATGACTGATGATCATCTTCCAAATACTGATCTTGGCACCTGGCTGCAGGGATTTACTCCCTTTCAACAGGAGCATCAGTGAGACAAAGGCTATTGCTGGTATGCTTATACAAAATCAATCTGCCACATTTTGAAGTATCGAATCCGTGCCAATGCTTACACTGATATCAACAGAATGAATAGTTTATGTATCACAAACCGAGTAGAGTTAAATGTTATTCTGTCTGAATAATATTTAAGTTTTTTTCAAATTTGCTGTCAAAAATGATGAGCACCTACTGCTTGCTGTTTCACTTCAACGTTTTGGGAAGCTACATTGATTGATCCTGAGAACAGCTGGATGATGAATAAAAAAACCCTTTATATTTGCTTAGCTAATCCAGATGTTGCTGCCAAAGTAGCTCCTGTGATGTATTGATTCGTGGCAGCAGCCTCAGACACAGACAGATTATTCCACAGTTAATGGTTGTGTTAAGCCGGAGATTAACAATGGGTTACCATTTCTCCTGTGTCACTATACAGATGTGAACCAGGACTTATACTAATGCACAGTGTGTGGGCCATCTGGGGGGCACAGCAGAAGGTTTGAGGTCGGGTGGAAGAGGAATGGGATGAAAGGCAGACACTCAGTGTAAGAAGAGTTGTGAATAAGGTAGATGGTTATCAGCGTCTGCATGTGTTTTTTGTCCAGGCTTAAGCTTACACTGCACACAGCGCTCTTTAATAAACCTTGGTGACCCACATAGCTGTGGATGATTCTCACATGGGCTGCTGCTGTTCTCAGAGGTCTCTCTCTCTCCCCCTCTCTCTCTCTTTTGGACTCCCAGGTGAGCTGGATTCTTTTATCCTCTCAGGGACGGCATCCATCTGTCCACATGAAAAATAAAATCCAAATCCTCCTGACACTTCTGACTATGTTCCCCTAGTACCATCATGTGTAATAAACTCCCTCTTTATGATTTAAACCTGTTTTTGCTACGGGAACATGTGTATGCCAGAGGGAATGGGTGTGTGTTCACCCTTATATTGTATAGATATACAGTTTCTAATTATTTGTAATTCACATAAATGTTCTTAATACTAAAGACCGGAAATGAGAACGCTTTAATCCAGTGTGCAGCGTTGTGATGCTGTCATTGGTCTGCTGCTTCAAAGCTCTCCATCGCTCTTGCCTTGTGCCCCTCCCTGGCGCACAACCACACACACACACACACACACACACACACACACACACACACACACACACACACACACACACATGCAATCACATACTCACATACACATCCTCTTACTCTCTGCCATGCATCGGCCCCCTTCACTGTTAATCCAGCAGAGTTGTGCCTCAGTACATTGCTGTACTTTTGCAATCTGATGAATCCCCAACGGATGTCTGGACACATCACTTTTTAGAGCAGCAACTTTTTACTCTTTGGATTTACATTCAGAGGAAACTTGACTATCATCAACATCATCATCACCATCATCATCATCACACACCAGAGTCTCTGGTTCAGACAGGGGACGTGGCTCCACGGGATTCGTGGAACAAACCTTAAAGTCTGAACTAGGCATGGTGACGATGCTGCTTCCAGTCGCTCTCTGCCTCAGTAAGGATGCTTATTTAACTAATGTCTGATTGATAAAATGAATGTTGACTGTGTTCATGTCTGTGAAAAAGTTTGCAAATCTGCAGTGGCGTTTTGTGTCTTTTCTAAAGACTAGACTAAGATTTAACCACAGGTTTATGAAAAGAGTTTCAGCACAAGAAGTTAAAATGTTTTCTTTCAATTGAACTTTATCTGAAAATGAAATCAATTTAAAACATCTTATTATCTTAATTACAGCTTCACCTTCCAATTATGTTGTACGTGTTTGTGTGAATACAACACTGTTTAAGTAAGAGTGACTCCTACTGTCTATTCTTTTGTAAGGGTATTTAGAGCGATTTTTCTACCATAAGATTACTATGACGGAAACTCTTTTTAGCAACTAAGACATTTCAAAATTATTTATAATCTCTGCATCTTTCTATCTGGGCAAAGTCTTTAAATGTGTAAAATTCATATATAGTGGATAAAATAATTAGCCAGTGCCAGATTGCCAGCTTTATAAAGGGTATATTTTTTAATAGTTGCAGTGAGGCATATACAAGTAATTGAGTCACATTGACGTAAAATTTGCAGTTGCCACACGTAGTTGTGGCTGGCATTGTGTTGGTTGCCTCTTACGGATGCTGTTTTTCATGGTCTTGGCTCTTTGAATATAGAGGTGGTAAACTGATGCAACAGTATGTGATGATTTTCTCCTGAGATTTTGTCTGTGATGTGAGGAAGGAAAAGAGAGAACAAACTGTTGCCATATCAAAAGGTAGGTTCAAGATTAAAAACAAGCTTCACTTTGTATGTTTCAGAGAATGCGTATTGTTGTCAGAGTTTGGCGTGGGGCCTTTTAACCTTATTCAGTGACATTAGCGGTCAAACTCAACTGCACATAGAGCAAATTACTGCTGCAGAGCTTTAAAATGTTGTGAAACACCTACACCAGGAGAGAGTAAGCTGATACAAGAGTAGATTAACAACCACAGTTTTGAAGTGAGGTGTTTTAATCCCAGGTGGCTTTAGTGTTTTTGTGTCCACCCATATTAGCCATGTGGTGCAGTATTCCTGTCACACAACTTCCACTGGGCTGCTGAAACTTCTAATATCAAGAATAGTCATCTGTCCCACCTTTACTGTGGAGACTCAAATCAGCCTCAGAGATGTGTTATGTATGAGCTGATCAATGGACTCAAGCAGATATCACATGGTTTTGTAGTCTTTCTCCAAATTTGGCGCCGAGAATGTATAATCCCTCCAGATGAATGGGATACAACATATTTCTGTATTTGTTTGATCCATCAAAAGACCAGATGGATCATGCCTCTATAAATAAACAAATACTGTTTCACTTCACAAGATCAAACACAGCAACCCAAAGAATCTGCAGTCTCACTTCCAGCTCATAACTAACTCCAACTTGGTTGATTGTTTTCCATCCAAATGAAAAGAGAGGCACATATGCCACGCTCACCACATCAACATATTTCTTTATAAGTTTGAATGACAGTTTGATGAAAATGATCAAATATTCATCACATATATTTCTCTCCACAGGCCTCGTCCCCGTGTGCTTCGGAGCTGCGATTTCTGTGTCATGTGGCTCCATCTACAAGAGTTTTGCTCAGTGTTTAGTCACACTTGGAGACAGTTTGGTGGAAACTCAAAAAGACCAGAGTACGCAGGACATTGCTGCTGTTTGCAGGTGTGTCACCAGTAGCAACACCTTAAAATGATAGTTCAAGCTTTCTCAAGCTTTCCTATGAGGCTGAAACACAGCTTGAATATAGTCTATTTTGATGGATATTCCTATGAAACCAATGACAACCCTGACAGCTGCAGCTGCTCTTAATCTTTTGCTAATTAGCCACTGCTAGCACACTAACACACTGAATTAAGGTAAAAAAAACTCCACCATGATAATAAGGTTACTTCAAAACACAAGGTTTTACATTGACAACTGGAGCATGTTAGCGTGCCAACATTAGCATTAACCAAGGCATGGAGTTTGAACAGCTTCACAGAACTGCTAGCATGACTTTAGACTTGACGCTCATTCACACATTACTATTTTCGCACATCATGCTCAATTTAGTGCAATGCAGTTGTATTTTCACAGTTTTGTTCCTGGCCGTAAGTTGTGTAGGGTATCACAACGATCAATCAGCAACTGAAAAAACAAGTAACAATAAAAATCTGAGGGGTCTTTTCCTCTTGACCGATCCAACAAACTACGAGAATTAAACAAGCTGATGATATAGCTGACCCCCCCAAAAAATCTGTGTTTTTAGATGCAAATTGCTCTTAAGAGTGCTCTATTTTTAATTTTTACCTTTACTTTTTGTGATACTTTACTTTTGGTAACAATGTAGGTGACATGAGAAAAAACCTGTGGAGTTTTCTGCTGCTGTATCGGTGGTGACAAAGTCAAACTCTGTTTGCTCACACACAAAAAACGCCTTTACATCATCATTGTTATCCCCACATCAGACCGGATCATTGACTGTAGCTGACACCTCACACTTAACTTAATCAACCAACTGCACAGAGGGCGTAATTATTCTTTAGAGTTGAATCAAGACTGTTTTCAAACATTTTATTTTATGTTAAAATAAAAGCTGGTGTCTCTCTAGATTGTTAGTTTGGACTGCCTCGTGATTTGCTGATGAATTAAAAAGCAATGAACACAAAATAATTTCAAATGCCCCAAATACTACCCACCAGTAGTACAGCATTAGGCCGTAGATTATTAAAAGAGCACTTTAGCCCTTGCTGAGTGGACATGAGAGGGAAATGGCTTCAGTGTACCAGATTTATAATTGTGATTAACCCCAGACTTTGCATTTCTATTCAAATACACCGATTTTAGAATCTCTCATTTTATTGTTTTGGAATCATGGCCTACAACTGTTTTATTTTAGACCTCGGTCCCTGCAGTGGAAACATACTAAGTTCCTTGAGAAAATTTCTGCTGTAAAAAGTGTCTTTATTCCTCAACCCATAGGTGTCCTTGTCATTTCTGTATTGTATTCTGTACATATTTTACCAAGCACATTGTAAACTAATGTGATACTGAGATCTCATTATGTCTGGGTCCCTTGAAGGTCCTGGGATGCGTTCCATGTTTGTGCCAACTCAGCGCTTGCCGGCTGTCCTGGAGAGGCAGCAGCTGTCTGGGAGTCTCTAAGACAAGAGTCCAGGAAGGCACAGTTTTCTGGAAACCTCTATGACATGTGTGCCAGCCTCACAACTCTCCCACCCAGCACTGTGCCTGCAACCCAAAGCCCCCCTACCTCAGACCAGACCAACCAGGAGACACTAAAGGGACAGACACACAAACACAGCCCCACTTTGGCTTCATTGTTGCTCCCTGCATGCAGCACACTGCTACTCCTGCTCAGGAGTTAGTTAAATCTTCAATCAAAGTCAAGAAAGCTGGTCTCTGTACGTGCGTTTTTAACACTGAGGGTGAAAATATGCTTCATAAAGCATGATCAGCATGATTGCAAACTAATCCTGCAATAAGGATTTTAATAATTGAAACAGTTGGCTCTGTGGGTTTGATAGTGCGTCTGATTTAGGCATTTTAACATGATTTAGGCAAAAGAATTTAACATGTTTACTTTATCAAATGTGTTGCTTTATGCAAGAAATTTAAAGGGAAGTAACTTTCACTTGGACAAAAATATTCAACTCAAGCAAACAGGTAACTGTTTGACTGTTTTGCTTAAAGCTGGGATGTATTCGGTTCATTGTTAAACACACATCATGTACCTTCGTATGTGGTAATTTACACAGAAAAGACTTTCACCAAAATCAATGATTTAAATATATGTGGTTTGGATCTCTGAGGCTATATGTGCTGTAAAATCTTCTTTTTATTATTATTATTTTTTACCACTAGTGCTGTGCATTGGTATTTATAACACGAGTTTTTAGGACAAAAAAATAATTTATGAGTCTTCCAATACCAGGTGTTCAGATTTGTTTGTGATCCAATCAGCTGTGATCCAGATTAGTGTTTACAGGGTGCAAAACAGTTTTCATCAACTGCTTTGAAAATTTGATTTTTTTTTTTAAGTATGTGAAACTCTGTCATCCATGTGACTTCTTCTGCTGTATTGTTTTCCTCTTTTCTGCAGTAGTTAAATGGGACACATATCAGAGCACACATCTGTAAAAAGAAACTGCTACAAATAATTTCTATGAGCTGAAGTGAATACTACAAAAATGCACGTAGACTGTGTAAGTGCAGAAGTGGCATCCTTTTGACACAGAGAGTTTTTGTAAGATAATTTGGTTGTATAGCTTTTCTTTGATATTAAGTGATCTCTTTTAAAGTCACACGCTGCACTGCATTCACTAGTTCTCTCATCACTGCACAATTACCTTATTATTCTCTGGGTTTGGCTGTTTAAATTGTTGTATTTTTTCACAGGATTATTGTAATCCATGGCTGTCTGTTTCACACTATTTTTTCACTCAACTGAATAAAATCATGCTGAAATTCACAGTGAAGTTTCTCTCTACTTCTCTTGAAGTTTGTTTTTTGGTGTCAGTTTTATGTGTGTCTATGTGTGTGTGTATATGTGTGCATATGCATGTGTGTGTATGCCTAAACTTAATACTCTTAAGCTGTTTCATAACAGCAGAATCGCGCGTAGATTAATCTCATCTCTCTGTATTCATCACAGTGGAGGTTGCACCTCAGAAACCCTTGAAAACATCCTCAGTGCCCTCAGATGGAGGATAAACGCTGTAAGTGGTGACATGATTGTGCGTCACTTTGCCATGTCAGCATTGTTGTGTGACTTGAACTTGATGTGAGCAGGTGTGACAACTGAAGGTCAGAGGTCGTAACTTCATTATGCAGCACGCTGACTTTAAGAAGTAACTGCAGCGTCTCTGACACCTCAGGTGAACGTCCTGCTACATATTCTATATTCTATATTCATTTGTAACACTGATTAGATGACGGGTCAGCAAAATGCAGCGTCTGCAGCCCAAAGTTCACAGTTTTATTGGCTCATCTAAATTTTGCACTTTCACAAATTCTATGCTTCAGACTCCAATTAGTCACTTCAATTGCAGTTTGAACCAATATTAAGTTCAAGATGACTCTTTAATAAGATTTATTCAGTATTTTTCAGTTCTGTAACAGAGATCGTGTATCAAGGACAGCATACACTCTGATTAGGCTATTTTGACTGATTTTAAATTCTGTGAGCTGTCAACACAAAAAGTGGGAGGTTTCCAAATACAGATCTGTATGAAGTTTCATTGTCAGTGATGCTCTTCTTCTTTTATATACTAACACCAAAAGAAAATAGAAATGATCTTAAAGATAGTTTAATTATGTGTAAGCTCAAGCTCATAACACTTCAGTATGCCCACACTTTGTTTGGATTAGCTGCCTTTCATGGTTCTCTTACTCTTTATTTTTCTGTTTTTTTTTCAGTGTAATGACATTTAAATGAGCTGTTCTTGATTTTTATGAGCATTGTTTTGTTACACAAATTTCCTTTCTTTACTCCCTCATTGAACTCCAGAGATAATTTCGAGATATTTCTGAGACCGTTATGACGAGTCAGCAGAAGTGAATAAACAAACTTTAAATCTTCAGATGTCCCCAGAACACCTTAGTGGGCTCTCAGCCTAATCTTTCTTTGTCCTGTGCTCCATCCGAGGAAATCTGCAGCATCGTCATGAAATCTCTGTAAGATGCCCCAAAGCTCTGATATTCTGCCAGCTGTTGAAGTATTCAAATTTTTTTTGTGTCTAAAGAAACCTTCCTGCCGCCAGCTGAGAGTCAGTGACATGCAGAACTACAATCATGGGATTTTGGCTGATGCTCTATAGCAGATGGTGTGTAGAATAAAACACGGGTGGGATTATGGCTTCCATGTGAAGTGGATTGTTCTCTCCAATCCATATGACAAGGACTTTATTTTACCACATTAACAAATGCTTTGACTGTGAAGACTCAGCACTAACTCTACATATTGTAAATGATTTTTTTTATGCTTCAGCTTCACATTAAATAGATACAACTCAGATGAACTGTAGAAATGCTGTAATTCAGTAAATTCTTCATCACCATTGTATTCACTGACAAATATGATTGTGGTTTAACGCTTGTTACTGAACACTGAGACAAATCAGTGAAACTCAGCTGAGCTTTTGTTTGACTGTTAATGGGCTCACGGCATGTGGCAATGCATGAAGAATGATGTGACGTGTTGGTGTTGTATTTTAACATATTCAAAAGCTGTTATGATACAATAACTCACAAAACTAATGACAAAACTAAAGAGCTTGAAGCTGCTGACCTGATGGAGATATCAACTGGGGCCTAAAGACCACAGGGGACTAGGATCAGGGGTTATTTGTTTGTGTGTGATTATTTCACTGAAAATTGATTTCAATACAGGCTGTACAAGTCATCAAAGTAAAATGATTACAGACAGACAGTTAGGGGAGAGTGGGGTAAGATGAGCCATTTTTTATATTTCTGATCACTACATCAAGTTAATCATATTTTCATTTCTAACTAGTGTATCTGCATATATTTGAAGATGTTGTGTATCCCTGCAAACTACCAGAATGAGTGTAAACTAGTGATGCACGATATGAAAAATTTCAACCGATACCGATAACCGATAATTTTCTTCTTCTCATGGCCGATACCGATACCGATAACCGATAAATTCATATTTTTACATTTAATATAATCTTCATATAATCTGCAGTTTGTGCAGGATGCAGCGATTGAAAACTGATGTTTTTGTTGCTCTGGCCTATCTAGAACAACAAACAAAAGTTTTTGGCTCTTCAAATGTGGTCATTTGCTATAAATAATAACAGAGCACAAAGCAGAACTTCATTTGATCCCCTGAACTGTTCAACAGAACTGTAAACTGTAAAGGAGCTATTATGAGACGTTAGGCTTAGCATGCTGACCGGACTAACATCTGACGTCCATATGTCTGTGGTAAAACTCACGTGTAGTCCGTTCTTGTCGATCAGGTTGTGAATGTATGTGGCGACAAAATCATAGAGTGCAGGAAGAGACACATCCGAGAAGAAGCGACGGCTTGGGAGAGTGTAACGTGGCTCCAAGTGTGCTATTAACTTGCGAAAACCCGGGTTCTCAACGACGGAAAAAGGCTGGTCGTCGACCACTATGAACTCCATCACTTTGTCGTTAATGGCTTTAACCTTTTCGCTGTCTCTTGAGAAGCTTTTGCAGTTTTTAAACGCCCGCTGAAAGGGGACATCGATCCTCCGTAGTGTTGTTGTCTTAGCTTTAGTACCGCTAGCAGCTTCGGCGGCTGTCTCATATTCTTTTACTACCGCTTCGCCGCGATGGCGACTTTTCAGATGAGCTATCAGATTCGCTGTGTTAATACTTGACGTCTTCTTTCCTCCTCTCGGAATCCTCGCTGAACAGGTTTTGCATATAGCAATGCTGTTGTCATCTTCTGCCACTGAGAGAAACGACCATGCTGGTGAAGACATTTTATTATCTGTCAGGTAGTGACGGGGTCAGGCTTGGGACCTGCGAGTAAGGCGCGATAGATGACGTAACCAGCGCGTCTCGGACGGGCGGCTACTCCGCCTGCAAACGTTACTCGTAATTTCATTAATATATCGGATCTTTCTATCGGAAAAATGCACCTATCGGACCGATAAAAAATGACGTAATTTCCCCCCAAATCGGCCGATATTTTATCGGTCCGATAAATATCGTGCATCCCTAGTGTAAACATAACTGTCTTGATAATATAGCATGACAAAAAAGTGGTCAACTTACCCCAGAACTACTATTATGACTTTATTAGTCCTCTTAAGCTAAAATGGTGGACTTCCATGCTAGGTTTTTGACCTCATGTTGTAGCTCATAGATACCACCATTGATATATAAAACAAATTTAAAATCATCTTTTATGGTCTGAACACAATTCTGATAAAACTTATGACAGACTAAATTCATTTTCAAGAGTGAAAAATGTTTTTTTTTTCTTGGCAATAAATGTCTAACCCCTTCACCCATGTGCTTCTAACCTTCACAGACTCCATGAATTGATGCCCAGCTCCTAAATATTTGGTCACATGATCAATTTCTTTGATCATTTCCAAGCATTAGAGGGTGGATCTACTTACCCTCTGGCTCAACTTACCCCACTCTCCCCTACTGCTTTAACTGTAAAAGCAAAACAGGCAGAATTAATGGAGGAATCTGAATAACAGGACTGTACAGTTAATTAACCCTCAAACTGTTAAGCGAGCAAAGAAAGAGAAATTAGGCAATAGCGTGTGTGTGTGTGTGTGTGTGTGTGTGTGTGTGTGTGTGTGTGTGTGTGTGTGAGAGAGAGAGACAGAGAGACAGAGAGAGAGTACAAACACGGTCACTTCAGTGACAAATATGTCACCTCTGAGTGAAATGTCCAATAGTCTAAATGTCTAATTAGACCTCGTGGGTTGTGTGCGCGCGTGGGTGTGGGCTATATATTAGCATGGTGAACTCCAAGAAACTGAAGATTGCACCAATTGACCTGCTACTGCGTTAAGTTCCGTCGTGTTGAACATCTTTCCGGACAAACTCTCAGGTAACTTTTCTTCTCATGGAGGAACTAGCCCGCGAGAGCATCAGCCTGCTGGCGCGCTCTGCGTCCCACGCTGACCCGCCTCGGCTCGGCTCGTTTGGTGCGGTGTTCATCATGCTGAAGTCCGCGCTGGGAGCCGGACTGCTCAACTTTCCGTGGGCCTTTCAGAAGGCGGGGGGAGTCAACACCGCCATCAGTGTGGAGACGGTGAGGACACAATTGTAGACAAATTACACACAAACTCACAGTATAGAGGGTTGTTTAGTACATGAACTACTCTACCAGGACACTGTTGAACAGGAGCTATGAGGAACTTTTGGAAATGCTTTGATATATTTGTCTTTATATTGTAAATATATGGACATCCAGAGTTTTGTAGTGGGTTAGTGTCTGCAGATTGAGTATGTATAGACTCTCCACTCAGCTCTCTCTCCCTGGTGTGAAAGAGGCTCACTTTTTTCACAGGTGAGCTCTAATGAAGCTTTTTGTTTAGGTGAGGGCCTGAACTTAAGTTGCACTGACTTACACATACAAGTGTGTGTGTGTGTGTGTGTGTGTGTGTGTGTGTGTGTGTGTGTGTGGTACTCTGTGTTTCTTCCAACCTTTCCTAGAATGGGCCCTAGGAGGGAATAAGGATGTTTCTAACAATTTGCCACTGTTTGTAAGTTTTGATAGTTTATGTGAAAATTAAACAACATTGTCTATACTGTGACTGACACACACTTAGTTGAGGATCAGCCCCAATCTGTAAAATTAACTGTACATCCTCTATGTACACCTAAATTAGCCCTTTAATGCCTAAAACCACAAATTATGGCCAGAAAGTTCAATTTTTTGGGGGGAGCTGAAATGTTTATTTCAATTGCTACTGAAAACCAAAATAAATGAATAAATAAATAAAAATAAAAATATCCTTGAAATTTAACATATATATTTATTCATCTTGTTTGATACATTAGATGTTTTTGGAAACTTATAAACCACAAGAGGACATTTTTATAATTTATCGGACTGTATTCAGGTGTTTTTTTTTAGTAATTTGTTGATCATATTGATTTGATAGAAGTCTCATAAAAGTATGTATCAAGTATGATACAAAAGGCAGTAAAGGGTTAGGATCACAAGGTTCAATGCTCACTCCTGTTTCATTCAACTGCAAGGAAGATGAATCTACATTATTTGAAGATGGTAACCAACTATGGCCTACTTCTCATTAAAAACATTTACACTGGGAAAATGAATCTACATTATTTGAAGATGGTAACCAATTATGGCCTACTTCTCATTAAAGACACTCACATCGTGGTCTTGAGGCAGGGCCTTGGTAGAGCCCCCTCCAGTAAAAACACATGTCCTTCTGTTTTCATGAGTAGGCTTTTAACTTTACCCTTGATAAATTGTCAACTTTACCAACCCCTTGTTTACAATAGAATTAATCCTTACATTAAGAGCTCGAGGAAGATCTCTTCATCCCTGGTGAACAAAGCTCTGAAATGTAATTAAAATTTTAATGAGCAGAAATGCACAGAAATGGTGCATTGACCTGTGCTTTATCATGGAGAAGATACAAAATAACAAGGCTGTGTTTTTACACAGAGCAACAGAAGATGGGGATTGCAGGGGGAATCTTAATTAGGACTAAAGGGCATACATCCCAGGTCCCTTTAAAACAAAGTTTTAATTCTTCTGCTGTTGTACCTGTAGGTTTCTTTGGTTTTCCTTATCAGTGGCTTAGTGATCCTGGGCTACGCCTCTTCAGTCAGCAGACAGAAGACATATCAGGACGTGGTGAGGGAAGTGTGTGGACAAGCTGTGGGTCAACTCTGTGAAGTCTGTTTCTGCTTCAACCTCTTCATGATATGTGTCGCCTTTCTGGTGGTGGTGCAGGACCAGCTGGAGAAATGTGAGCGCTGAATTCTGTTATTTTTGTGACAGAGGTTTTCACTTTATCATCAATAAATCCTTCATTTGTGCATGGGATTTTAGGATTTCTCAAACTTGTGTCTTATCTCAAATCTAATAGCATTATTTATTTTTGAATGTCTAAAGTAACATGATACCAGTATTTATCACCACTGGGATACTTGTGGGATTATAAATGTTTATTTCAATGATGAACAGGATATTATTACCTTAAGTATTTATGATAATATTGCGACATGGATTTTTGTATCAACTCATGACAAGTTGGGGACATTGGTTGCTTTACTGTATTTGTATGTGTGCATGTTCTTTGGACCATATTACAGACAAATCTTGCCCTACTTTGAGGTCTCTCAGAATAAGTTCATTTGAAGAGGTTTGACTTCACTGCTTTGAAAAATGTGTCTTTGAAAATTTTAAATCTTTATTGCCAACTGGAAGTTCCTCTCTGTATCGCAAAGTTTCACAGAATTTTTCAGCATTTTACATTTCTTTACTATCACTATGGCAAAATCATTAGACACACATTTTCATGTATTTGAACATGTCAGAAATATTCATCATAGTGCCCTGTCATCCCCATTGATTGGTTGTTTTTTTATGTTATACAAGCCATCAATCATCATGTAGCACCTCTCATTTGAAATGTTTCCACATTATCCTGGTACAGTCTGTGAAGGATGAATTTAGCATTCATTTTCCATGTAAAAACAAATAATCCCTAGCAGCCACGCTTTAATTTTCTGTATAAAACACATGTAAACATGTGACATACAACACACCATTTCTTGTTATTCACTTTGTCAATTTTTAAAACTAACACACTAAAAATGTCTAAAACGTTTTTGGTTAACAGAACATTTGATGAGACACACAAAGGCCTCTCCTTTAAAATCCATTTCATAAAAAGAAAAAGTGTGGTATACCATGCAAATGTAAGAACCAGGGATTTATCCTTGAGGTGGAAATGCTTTAAACACTCATCTATATTTGTCCTGCGTTGATTATTCTTCGTGTTCATCCAGCTGCATTAAGAAAACATAAACCATCTTATTCAGCAGGAGGTAAAATGTAATTTATTCTGATGTAAATCAGGATTTGCTGTCTTGCATACTGATGTGTCCTGTTTGCAACTCTTCTCCCTCAGTGTGTATCTCCTTATATGAGACTGTGACTGGGTCCAGTGAGGCAGATATGCCATATTACTGGTACACTGACCAGCGATTTGCTCTCTTCATCATGTGCCTCGTCATCATCCTACCTCTGTCCATCCCAAAAGAAATTGGCATCCAGAAATACACGAGGTACACAACACTTCTGTGAGGTTGGAGTTTCATTCAGCTTGTATGTGGTTTAACTGCTCTCTCTCTCTTTCTCTCTCTCTCTCTCTCTCTCCCCGTTAGTGTGTTGGGGACGCTGGCTGCTACGTACTTGTGTGTGGCAGTGATTGTCAAGTATTACCTGATGGAGAGTCACTCTGTTATATTAACTCCAGAGCACAGCCAAGGGTCAGTAACAATGATTTTTGTGGACTGTTGTGTGTATTTATCTGAATTTAGTTGCTGTTTTGAATGTGCCGGTGAATGTGTATTTGTTTTGTGTTTTTCAGCATCACTTCTTGGGCTTCAATGTTCAGTGTTGTACCAACCATCTGCTTTGGCTTCCAGGTATCAAGTTATTAGTGTTGGTTGTTCCGATTGGCTCCTTTGAACACCACTTGGGGGCACCATTCGTCACTACTTGACTCTTATTTTAAGGGAAATATCCTATTTTTTCTACATATTTTCTTTGTGTCTGCCCTCACATTTATGTGCTCTCACACAAGTTTGCCAACCAGAGAATAACAGATAGGAATACATTATTTTTAACCTCAGGGAAGGCTTGAATTACATAACTGTATTTAAACTTCTGTTCTTGAAATCCTATACATTTTACTCCTAATAAAAGAAGACCACATTAAACTTTTACCCAACTCTTGCTTACAGATTTTTCACACACATTCATATTTTGGAGTTGCAGATGTAAATGCCAGTGGATGGATCCTGTTGATTAAGAAAGAGTTTTGGTTAAATAACACGCTAAAGAATAAAGTTTTAAAGTAGAAGCAGCATTCGAGACGGCAATATAAAGAAAGAAACCCAGACAATAGTGGCACATTAAGCCATTAAAAGGTTAAGGCACAGTTATTAAAGTTTGTAAAAGTAAAAAGGCACTAAATTACAGCTGAAAAAGGCATGAGTAGAGACTGGGAAAGTCAAGAGATACAAATATTAAAACAACAACTCCCCATAAAAATTTCCCTGCAAATGATGTTAAAATAATGAGATTTGAAAGAAGTTGTGGATAATTACAGTTTAAGATCATCCTTGAATCCAAGCCATGACCCTGGAAAACAAAGTGAGAAATATTAGAAGGCAATCAAAAACTAATGCTCCACTGTGAATTTTAAAAATCTTATTCCTGTGTGTGTTGCAGTGTCATGAAGCCTGTATCGCTATCTACAGCAGCATGGAGAATCAGAAGCTCTCCCACTGGGTGCTCATCTCTGTGCTCTCCATGTTTTTCTGTTTACTCATCTACACTCTCACAGGTGAGTTCACCTCTACAAGTTCAGCCCTGAGCTTCATTGTCACACCTGAAAACTCACATCACACTCTCTCCGCAGGTGTGTACGGCTTCATGACGTTCGGCAGAGAGGTGGCGTCTGATATTTTGATGTCATATCCAGGAAATGATGTGGTCATGATCATCTCCAGGCTACTTTTTGGAATATCAATCATCACTATTTATCCAATTATTCTTCTCCTGGGGAGGTGAGTGATGCTGGAGTTGATCTGTTTAGTGTTGTATGATGTTATATGTGACATATTGTCTGTTTGTGCGAAATAGATCTGTCATCCTGAACTTGATGCTGCGCGTTCAGAGACGTCGCCGGGGAGTCATCACTCACTCGTTTGAAAGTCGCTGCAGAGTTGTTCTCACTGTGATCTGGATCGGTATCACTCTTCTCATCGCCATGTTTGTACCTGACATGGGTGAGGTCATCAGTGTCATTGGAGGAATCAGCGCCTTCTTCATCTTTATTTTTCCTGGTATGTGCATAACATGAGTATTTCAACCAAAACATGTTGACCTAGACAATTTTATCTTCGCTTACTAAAACCCAGAACATTGATTTGAATTTTCCCGACAAGTGTAAAAAGTGTTATACAAATAAGGTTGCATTGATAACCATGTTGTATGTGACTGAGGTGAGGAGTCTAAATATAGTGTGTTTATTGTATACTGCAGGTCTTTGCCTCGTGTTCATAATGCAAACTGAGCCTGTGAGTGCAAGAGTAAGGTGAGTGGGAACTTTTCGTTTGGACTAATGGTTCAGCTTCACTTTTGGGGTCCATTTTTTCTTTCCTATTCTCTTGACAATCCAAACAGCTGTGTGATATGATACAGAGAAAAGTTAAATTTAGCGGGATTAAGTGCACAATAAGTGAGTAATTTAAAGATCCAGAGAGGAGTGAAACTGAATGAAATTATTACTCAAATTAGAATAATGATATTACATAAGCTACCAATGCAAACATGGAGCTTGACTATTAACAACAGACTTATTTTTAATGCCTGTCTTTGGCACCGCAGACCCAGACAGGGGGATTAACTGCAGCCGTTGTTCATTTACTCCACAGAAACGATTTACAGTCAGTGATAGGTCACACTATTAAGAGACAGCACACACTTTTGTGAGAAAACACTATTTACACACTTAGAGGATAAAATCGATCAGGAATGGTCATAGTAACTTAAACAGAAGTCTTAAGTCACCCTGTAGCAGAGCAGTTAAATGTGTTAGTTTAGAGGAAAATACATTTATATAATTACAAAATTGTCAGGATGGGGCACCACTGGCTTGGTGGTCTTTGTGCATGCCCTATATACGGAGGTTAGGCCTTTAGCGGTTGGACCAGGTTCACTTCCAGACTGTGGCTCCTTTCTTGCATGTCACACACTGCTCTGTCCCCATGTCCTATCCTCTCCTGATAAAAGGTAAAAGGCTTACAAATGAATCTTAAAAAAGAAATTTGTCAGGATATTTGAACCTTGTGTTATATGAACTGATAGGAGGCCATCTATTCTGATCATTTCCTGATGTCTTTGAAATCCTCTTGTCCCTGTTTCCATCACTGCAGGTTGACTTTAACTGTTTGGGGAGTCATAACAATTGTAGTTGGAGCCTTCATCTTCGGGCAGAGCACAACCATCGCTATCATGGAGCTTTTCCACAAATTCTGAAACACTCAGCATCGTCTCCACTAGCTGCACTTTGTTCTGTGAAGCTCACCTTGTGCTCACAACTCAAGGTTGTGTTTTCAAAGGTGGCTGTCACTTGCAGTAAGATCCTTTTCAATGTCATCAACAATCACGCTGTCAGACATATTTACTGTGAAAGAATGTAACATTTATACTCAGTGTAGTTTGTATAATTATTGAATTTAAATATTTTTTTATTTGAAAAATGTTTTGGCTGTTAAAGGATGTATATCGGAGTAAATTGTTTGTCATTAAGTTGTTCAGTTTATTGGAAAAATGTTTCTGTTGAAAATGTTTTTAGCTGGTTTATCATATTTATGTCTTGTGCTGATAATTTACCTGTATTTTGAATTTAAATCACACTGATGTACTTTTACTTGTTCTTATATTCATCAGCAGGGGGCAGTATTAAACCACAGAATTATTATTTATTTATCTACAGTCATTCATGTGTGGTGTATGTGGAACTGCAAACTGTTTCAACAGATAAGAGAAAAAAATGTTTTTTTTCCTTGTTTGTAAGGTCCCAGAGATCATTGTTGGATGTATAAATCAAAACAGTCTGACGATAAAAATAATCATTTTCTTTGTAGCGTGATGGATTTTAAATCCTTGAATTGTATCCTGCACAGAGAGTGTCTCTGAATAATAAATAATCAAGATATGTTCTCCTTTTTTTGTAGGTTACATGGTTCCTATCCTTTTACTGAATTTTCTCCTCTTTCCCTCCACTGACCTCCTCATGGTCTGACTCATGTCAATGATATAAATTTGCACCTTTCATTGAGCACTGATTCATGGCAGAGCTATGCTGAATATCTCTGTTTATTGTTTATTGACTCCAAGCTTTAAGGAGTTATGGCACACTGCCTGTGAGCGTGCACGTGCTCACACATTAGTGTATGAGTGAGTAATGGTTTACTGTAAATTCACAAAATGGTCTGCATGTGTATATGTGGTCTGCTGCCTGAAGGGGTCTGCTTTAAAGCGGCATATCAGCCGTGCTAAGTTCACACACTCATCTGTCTGAATAGCTTCACAGAATTAATAAGAAGTTATTTCAAAAAACAGACCAACCAGAAACAGCAGCTCCATATTGACGCTGCTGTTATGTAATGGGCTTTTTTTCATCTCATACTGCATGAATATCCTCAAGGGAAAACCTCAAACTGTGATACTCCGCTTGTGTTTAGCTCGAGGGATTATATCCCAACCTGCTGGCCAAATGACTAAATCCACTAAATGCCCAAGTAAAATCCTCGAAAATCACCCAAACTCCTTCTTGAATCCAGCAGCTGCACTCATTTTGAACCAGTCTGCAAATTTGAAAAGGCGTCTCAGCAATCCTGGCAACCTTTGAGTTCAATCCCTTTTTAGACTCCAAAAAATTAAAACGAGAGAAGCCACTAATACCTTTGTTACATAGCAGTCTATGGCCATGCTAGATGCAGATGTAAAGCACAAAGACTCATCATCTCAGTGAAACGCTAATGATATGCTATTATTTACAAACTGACAGTAGTTTTACATTGCCAGATCAAGGCAGGATGTCCTTGTGAGATCTAGCTTGTAGGATGGGACCAATTTTCACTCCCAGTGAAAATAAAAGGTTGTTACAGAAGCGTATAGTGAAGGTGTAACAGGGTCACTATCAAATGTAGCAGCTAAAAGGTCAGAACAACACTATGTGTGTTTATATGAAGCCTCACTGTTAGCTTCTGCCAAGTGGCAGTCTCTAGATCTTCAGAAATGAAGTCTAAGCCGAAATGCTATAAACTGCAGTTCCCCGAGTACCCACCTGAGGCAGGCTGCAGAAACAGCGGTAACATCATAACACAAAGGTGAAAAACAGGTGATTTTACATTGTGCTATAGCATTTCTCCCTTTTATTAATTAACTGCCATCCTGTAATAAGTGTACTATTAAACTTCAGAGCCACCATAAGACGCTATATGTGTAGACTGAAAGCTAGAACATCACATGTAATGCACACAACACTGCGCTGTTACTTCACTGCCAGGAAACTCTATTCTACACATATACAGGACAACATGAGTGCAGAGACAAGACATGTCAATTTGTTCTCAGGAGGTCAACACAAACTGAAAGGTCCTCAAAGGGACTCAAAGCACTGTAGCATCTAAATCAGGCCAACCACAACATTACATAATAAACATCTGAGGTCAGTGGAAATATCTAACCCTTAGCCTTATTCAATAATACAGCAAATATGTTGGTAATAGAGCACTAAATAAAATGAACATTACTTTATCTCACCTTTAATCTTCCACCACACCTTTTAATATTTTACCCAGAGTTTTCCTTTCTTTGAGGTTGACACTGAGGCTTACCTGCCTACAAACAAGCTACTCTAAGCCTTTTATTTTGAAATGTTGGCATCATTTTTTCCAGCGCAGCACAGACTAGTGGGATAATTCTTACACTTTAGCCTGAAGGAAACATAAACATGTTTTTAGTCTGACTCAGTAATCCATCCATCAGTTTGCAAGACTTTTTTCTTCGCTCAAACCAGTAAATGTCATTTTCATGATGGTGTTAGAGGAAAGTCAGAGATTTATCTGAATCATTTGGATTCATGTTCTTGGGAAACATTTATTGAATCCTATCCAACAGTTATGGAATTTTTTTTTCAGACCAAACAATGAATGATCACCGCCGCCTTCCCTGAAGCCGTTTCCACGTGCTTGGCTAAAGCTCATCAGTTATTCTCCACCATAGATTATCTTTTCACATTCTTCGGCTTCTGAGAAATAATTTCCAGGCCTCATTATTATGCTGTCCCCTGTAGCTACTTTGTTATTGAAAGATTACTCGTAATGTAGGCTTCTAGCAGACGTAATTAATGAAATGGCAATTTGTGGCAACGTCCTTTTTAAATGTTAATTGGTCCTGATAAGATTGTCAGCAAAAGGAATGGCTGCATGTCTTTCCTATTACACTGATTGAAATCTGCATATATACCTTTTGTGTTCAGGATGGGAGAAAACAATTTTGCTCCTGTTAAATGAACAGCTTTATGACTCTGTACCAAACATTAACAGGCTGTAACTGTAGTGCCTGTGTGTGTGAGTGTGTCTGACAGTGTGGCATCTGTATGACATAGCTGTGTGCATGCATGTGTATGACCTTGTTTTCTATGCACCAAGGTTGTGACCAGCAGGCAGAGATCATCATGATGGAGATAACATGCATCCATCACTGTGCTGCTCAGGCCGTTATTGAAGTGGTGACAGCAGATCTTTGACCTGCAGGCCAGACTCTGTGGGATAATCGCCGCAGAGGCAATGAGCTCAGGTGAAGGAGAGGCCACAGTTACCTTCAGTCGTCAGTACAGCACACAGGGGTAACATTAAGTCCTACTTGTGATCCCTGAAGAGCACCAGAGTCAATTTCATGCGTGGACAAATAAGCAAATAGACATAAGCTCTAAAATTAGCCATACATTTACTTCAGTGTTAAAAAAGTGAGGCTGAAATGGTTTACCCTTCAGAGACAAAGTTAGCTTCTCTCGGTTTTACTAGATTTGTAAAGATAATTTCTCAGGCCAAAAATGAAACCATACAAATAGACTATAAAACTATGCTAACACGTCTTAGGACAGAAAATACATTAACAATTGTTCAAACTCGCAAGCCTGGGTAACATGACAAATTACATCAGCACAATCGCTGGATATGATGTACGTACGGTTAGACCACGAAATGTGTTTCAGGATTAATCTCATCATTGCATTTACACATGGCTGCAAGTAACAACCAAGATTAGAGGACAGCGCCAGCACTGCACAATACATTTATTCTCTTTGTTAGGTGCAATTGGCCTTCATAAACCCACTTCCTCTCTGTTTGTGCATCTGCTAATAACATCACAAGGGTGAATGGCGCAGTCACATCAGCTCATCACCTCAGTAAAATGTGCCTAGTGTCAGATATTCAATAGGATGCAGAGCAAGTTTCTGCCTTTTTTTTACATTCAGAAATCTTAACTTCTTTAGATGAAATGTTCACTTATGTTATAATTGTTTGCACTGAATATTGTAAAAGAGTATTAAAAAAACAAGAATATTCCATCAAAAATTATCTTGTAAATATCAACTATTGCTTTTAGTTGTCTAACAGGCAGCTTTCTTCCCTCAGATACTCAACTTATTTGGTCTTACTTCTGGGTCAGGGTGTTTCTGTGTGGAGTTGGTGTGTTCTCCCAGTGTCTGCGTGGGTTTACTCCAGGTATTCTGGTTTCCTCCCACATCCCAAAAACATGCAAAATTGGGGTTACGTTAATTGGTCACCTTCAAATTGCCTGTAGGTGTGAATGTGACTGTGGATGGCTGTACATCTCTATATGTTGTAGACCCTAAGGTGCATTATGTTAAGATTTTTAAACTCAAGGTAATTACACTCGCCCCACATTTTTTTTGAGTTAGTGTTATTTATTTAATTGTTGCAGTTTTGCACAGCGATCACTAACAACATTTCAGTACAAGACATTCAGAAAGGCCAAAGTCACTGACCAAGTCATCCAGTAGGTTTGTTAGTGGAGACCTGAGTGAGCTGACCGCTGGAGAGGACTCATGATTGGCTGCCCTTTAGAATAATACAGAGTATGGATGCAGGTCTGTCCCTCTGCCCATTTCCAGAGAACAGTAATTTTTTTCATAGTAACACATGACCTTTAGAACTTCAATCACTTTAACTCAAATTGTGATATATACTGTATAGCATTGTGTTCGATTTGAATATTGTAAACTCAAGGCCTTTCTTACAGGCCAGTTTTCTTACATGACTGTATGAGTATACAGGACAAATTCTCTAAGAGACATCTTTAAGCAATTTTCTTGGGTAAACCAATTGAATAAAATAAACAGCTCTTTGTTTTCTTGTTGTTTGTCTTCCAATATTCCACAATATTCTGTTTAATCTTTCCATTATGAGTCTTCTCACACAGCTAGTTTTTATAACTTTCTCCTGCATTTCCAAAATAAACTCCTGCTCCTCAAACCTCCTCCTTGAATTGACTGCCTCCCCCCATCTGTCACAGTTTGAAATGCCCCACTTGGATAGCTCTTTAGGAACATTAGGACATAAATAGAATGATAACTCCACAGTGTGCGCATTAATATTACAAGACGTTCTACTGTTATGGCAGTGAATCGAATGATAAAATGTTTACACCCTACTTTTTTGGGAATCCTAATTGCACCTGGATGTCCCAAAGGTCCATTATTTATGAATGAGACTCCCTCTGTGTATGTCCTGTTTTTACTCAGTCACATGTTTTTTATTATTAAGACCTGGATTACTTTTGCATGAGCAGCACATCTGATCGATGAGAAATATATGAAAGTAAGGCGCAAACAGTATTTATACTGCTTTGAAACACAACAATGAAACACAATAGTTCCAAAGTCTGTTTTCATGGGCTCAGAGTCTCAAGGGGTGTGAAATTACATAACATGACACAGATCAGCTCACCGTGGATAATCTGGGGAGAAGATGCACACACAAGAAACTCCAGCACAACAGAGGATCCTAAAGTGAATCCATAGACATAATCCTTTGATTTCACCCATAAACTGAAAGTTAGAATAAATCAACAAGGAACATATTGTGTTTTCAGGATTCATTCTTGGTCTTTATGTCAGAAATTCAACAATATGATATATGTTGTTAAATCCTGCATGCGCAAGTTGAAACAGAGTTGTAGTCTAGAGAATTGTAGTCTGTGTCTCTGTATGGACGATACCAAAAGTAGAAATGACTAAAAGCCTAAAAAATACTGCACAAGATGTTTGTGTGACTCAACAGAAATGAAACACAGTACGACCATGTCATTCACATGAACATTTCTCACAAATATTGACATTTTAGGTCAGGTTAAAAATGGTTCATACCTAAAGTAACACCTCAATATCTTTTTTTTTCAACCTATACCCTTTCACTGAGAAGCTGTTTTTAATCTTCAAGGCTTTAGTTTGTATAGCTTTCATTTGATAAAGCATATTAAAGTATTTTAGCATAACTTTATTTTAAACTGATTCATTAATGTCCATGTATTTGACTCTATATTGACCATATAAAAGTGTCATAAGCTACTCCCATTTTTATTCTATGTTATTTGCTCAAAAATGTCTGCGTGGAGAGTACAGACCGTAAATATGATGAATTTTCTATATTCAGTCTATGGCGGTGAGATAGAAGCTGCAATCCCCCTTTAATTAAAGCCCCGCCCTCTGGTTCATACGCATGCGCGTTGTTGTTCTGGGTCACATGACAGCGTGGTTTCGTTTCCTGACTGCAGAGGAGGCACGGTGAGTCTCTGCTGAGAGCTTTAAGGGGTTTTGAGTCTGTGTTATCGACAGGCAGCCCCCCGGACCTTACAATAAGACTGAGATTTTTCTCTTAAAACCTCTCGCCGCCAGTTCAACACGTCTTCAGAGTTTGTTTTTACGATATTAGAGACTTAATTCGGCAGAGAGCGCAGCGCTTTAGGAAGCCCACCACTAAGTTTAGGCAGACTTTGTTTTCATCACAGTTTGGCTTCGCCACAGACAAAAGGCAACATGTTCTCGCCTTTTTAGACAAATTGTGTAACCTTATTTGGCCTGATGGCTGTAAAGTTCTCCTTGAAAGTTCTTACACACAGTATAATCTCTGTTTTCAGACTGTGAGAGTAGAAGACGGAAATAGTTTGTCCCACTTTATTCGTTATGAAGTTAATATATGCTTTTAGAGATGTAGGCTCTCCAGTCAGACTTCGTAAGTTCAAACAATACTTAATAATGAAATAAAGTTCAAGCAGTGTTTACTCAGTATGTGATCAGGGAAGTAGGGGAGAGTGGGGTAAGTTGAGCCACCCCCTGTTGCTTGGAAAAAGTGAAAGAAATTGATCATGTGACCAAATATTAAGGAGATGGACATCAATTCATGGAGTCTGTAAAGGCTAGAAGCACATGGGTGAAGGGGTTAGACATTTATTTACAAAAAAAACAACATTTTTTTACTCTTGAAAGTGAATTTAGTCTGTCATAAGTTTTATTAGAATTGTGTTCAGACCAAAAAAGATCATTTTAAATTTGCTTTATACAACAATTGTGGTATCTATGAACTACAACTTGAGGTCAAATACCTAACATGATAGTCTAATATTTTAGCTGAGAGGACTAATAAAGTCATCATAGAGTTTTGGGGTAAGTTGAGTCAGTGGCTCAAATGAGAAAGCAAAGGAGTCTGATGAGAGGATCAGAGTTTCAGTTCAGATTGTCGAAATGTGTTTCTCTTTCTTTTCAAAAATACAGCTGTGAATGTTCTGAATCACTTAAAGACATTCTCATGTTAAAATGACTTTTTACAAAACAACTTTTTAGCCGTTATATGCAATAATAATAAAATGAATTATTGCACCAGTTAAATAGCCTATAGTAGATAAAAATACACATGGATGTGAAGAAGTGACTCTTATTTAGGGAGAGAGAAGGTAAGGGAGGGCGGGGGTGGAGGGTGGGGGGGTAGTAGGGATACGGCTCAACTTACCCCGCTCCTATGGTCAACTTACCCCATACATGGGGTAAATTGACCATAGGAGACTTTTTTGGCATGCTATATAATCAAGACAGTTCTGTTTACACTCCTTCTGTTGGTTAACAGGGATGCGCAACATCCATAGTGTATGCAGATACACTAGTTAGAGACAAAACTATGATTGCCTTAATGAAATGATCTGAAATATGAATAATGGCTCATCTTACCCCACTCTCCCTGACTTATCAAAGATTGTACGACTGAACAACACCACAAAAAGCAGCGACATCAGTACTTCTGACCCGAATACTTCACTTCTATGAAGTTCCTTGATAACATGTTTGGTCTGTTATTATGTAAACAGCAGCTCAACCATTTACAAACACAGCACAGAGCAGATTTCTTTCATGCACACAAGCAGGGCTTGACCTCTGAGACTTATTAGAAATAATTGATGAATGTGCAGCCATTAGCTATATAGAACTGTACATATGTCCATCCATCAATGAGTCACAGCAGACCAATCAAGAAATGACCCGGAAATATAGGCTCCTGCCCACTGTTGTCATCTAAATCATGTGCACTTGAGCAGAGGATTAGCTCTGGGGTTAATTTGATTCTGACCGTAAATTCTTTAGATGTCACTTATAAGAAATTCTTCACTAACTACACCAAGTGATGGAAGTTGTTTTTTGCCCATCATGATGGTTTTACAACTCTTCTCCTCAGCTCTAAACCATGACTTCCTAAGAGTCATCACACAAGTTGTTGAATACCAAGTTATTTACCTTTGACATTTTAAGTATGTTATTTTAATTTATTTCTCTACCTTTATATTTTAATGATGATTATTGTTTACTTCTTCAGACCAAAGAAAATGTATTCTTCATTGTGAGTATTTTAGGTAACCAGTTAAATAGTCTTTAGATAATGAAAAAGTTCACTGTGACAAGATGAAAGATTGGCTGATATTTTTAGCCAACGAAAAGGTTTAATGTCTTCACGCTTACCTTAAACCTTGTGGTCATATGTTCATGTTGGTAAGCTAAACCAGCGATGACAGAGGAGAGACTGAACATTGTCGTGGTGATTCATAACATTTCACAGTCTGCCCGGTTGCCTAAGGACATCACATCACACTGAGTAATTTAACACCTCTCATGCATGTAGAAGGAAATAAAGGACTGCAGAGCGTGTCCTTTGTTGAATTTACTGTGAAAAACTCTGATTGCAGCATTTTTTCTTCATTGCGACTCTACATTGAGGTCTTTGAAAGGTGCTTTATAAAATCAGTTTATACATTATTACCCGCAGCATGCAAGCAGGTCACCGAACCAGAACCACTGACTTGATGAGCAGTAAATGACTGATGCAGATGCGTGTTTTTTTGACTCCTTTTGTATACATTCTCCAACAGTTGAGGAGGATGAGCTCAGGCAATGGAACCAGAAGGAAAGCTGGCAAACATCAGCACTTCAGCAACACGGCAGCGTTGGACCATGAAACACAAAATGAGATTCAGAGTCTTTTTAGTAAAGTAAGGACTTATGTTAAACCACCCAATGGGAAATGGTGCATCCCTTGCCCAAATGCTACCCTCCGACACTCTGCAGAGGAGCATCACAAGCTTCAGGACCTAAAGGTGGCACTGAATGCCGTAAAGAACCAACTGAGTGACAAAAATGTCCAGGTCTGGCATCAACACACCAATTCCACAAATCGGGCTGGGAAGGTGATTGCTGCTGTGCGTTCTGCGGCTGGAGCTGAGATCTGCACACAGGCATGGTGTAAGTTCTATGAGATCCTGGGAACCTTCGATCTTCTTCCACAGGAGGCTCTTCAAAATGGAGAACTGAATACAGTCCACCTGTGTGAGGCTCCTGGGGCCTTCATAACTGCTCTGAACCACTACATGAAAACCAGCGAGTCCACACGCTACTGTGACTGGAGCTGGGCTGCCAACACTCTTAACCCCTACCATGAAGCCAACGGGGGCAGCACCACGATTGCAGATGATCGGTTGATCGCGAACACACTGCCCTGGTGGTTCTTTGGCTCAGATAACACAGGCAACATCATGATGCAGAAACATCTGCTGGAGCTGCAGGCGTTTGTGACAAACATGCGCAGAGTTGATTTGGTGACGGCAGATGGAAGTTTTGACTGTCAGGAGAACCCGGATGAACAGGAGGCGCTGGTGGCATCGCTGCATTACTGCGAAGTCATCGCTGCACTGCTGCTTCTCAGCCCTGGTGGCTCCTTTGTTCTGAAAATGTTCACCCTGTATGAACACTCCTCTGTCTGCCTACTCTACCTGCTGAACTGCTGCTTCTACTCTGTTAATGTCTTCAAACCTGCCACCAGCAAGGCAGGAAACTCCGAGGTCTATGTTGTGTGTTTGAACTATAACGCCAGAGAAGGAGTGAGGCCTCTGCTCTCAAAACTGATACGTAACTATGGACCACATATTGCCGACCGGGAAGCTCTTTTTCCAAACTCGCTCATCCCAGAATCTTTTCTAAAACAGCACGAAGAAGTGTGTTTGTACTTCCACACGCTGCAGGTGGAGACAATCACAGAAAATCTGCGACTGTTCAAAGGAATGGTTGCAGAGCAGAGGCAGCGCCTGGATTACATCAGAGACTGCACAGCCCAAGAATACCTGCAGCGTTTTCAGGTAGGATTTCCACAAACACCTAACTTGATCTATTATTTAACTGCAGAGTTAATTTTTGAGCTTTGAAACAGCAGTTTGCTAAACAGATGTACACAGGGGTCTATACCGGACTGTTTTAGAGCTTTTACTCATTTCTCATGGTCTTCATCAGAACATAGTTGCCCACTTGTCATGGGAACTCAGGGTCCAACCTTCATTTATTTTCCCAGCACTTAAGGGGCTTTTTGCCCATGTTGCCCTAAAAGTGAATAAGTGGTTTAAAATTTAATGAAGTTAACTCATACTAGAGTGAAACAGTCCCCTCTAGGCTTTCAGAAAATCAGTTTTTAGAGACCTTTAGGATTGTCGTTTCTTCGTCAAACGTGGGCAAAAAAAATCACAGCACTGTGGAATGGGCAAAGAAGCATTTCAATCTAAACTGTGACTGCTGGAAATCACTAGATACTACCATTTCTACATACTTTACCTTTATTTTTTACTATTCTAGCACAGCTTTAGGTGTGGCTATGTTCAGCCTCACAACATACCTTGAATGGCGGTGAACTCTCATGGCCCTGATCTAAAATGCAGGGTCCAAAACCCACAATGCTAAGTGTGCCTGACTACTTTTCTGGTAGTTCCAGGGAACAAAATCTGGGTTCCAAGGGAGGCGCAGGATGCTGAGAGGTTGAATGAAGTCCTTGAATTTTTCTGAAGTGTGTTTTTTGTGTAACATGAATCCAACTAGTCGGTGTATCTACTCTTATTCCATCACTCTCAGCATTTCTGTTTAAATACACTGGGCAGAAACCAGACTCTTACTACTCGCCTGTGACTCTTTCAAGGGTCTAGTAACTTGTAAAATGTCAAAAATCATCAGGAAGCAGACTTTCAAAGGCTTTTCGTAGATGTTGTATTTTCTGTTACATTTTAATTGTACTCATTTGTAATCAGACCTCGGTCTCTTTGTACAGGTGAGCTTCCTTCCCCGGAGTCGTTGGATTTCTCGTAACACAGTGAGCCCTGCTTGCTGCAGCGTCTCAGCAGGCCGACCCCTGGGACAGAAAAAGCAAACAGGCTCCTTCAACGAGCGCAGGGAATTACAGACTCTGAGCTGGAGGGAGCGTATCGAGAGGGGTTGCCATGCTGCAGAGATAAAGAGACACCGCGTCGAGGCCGGTGGGAGCGGCTGTGTGCTGGAGGGACCCCTGACTGAGATTCAGGTGGATTCATGGTACATTATCATTGGGACTGCGCTGCCTGCAGTCAGAAACTCCCCAGTCTGTGATGGAGGACTGTTGAACCACCTAAATGAAGCTCTGATGGACACAGATGTTGACTGGACTAGCGCATCTTCGTGTGACTCCTGCAATGTGGTTTCTGCTTCCTCCATCTTGTCTGAGGTTGCAGGTCTTTGTGCCTTTCCTCAGAACAGTGTGGAGAACAAAAAGAAGAGACAGTGTTTGGTGTTTGGCAACAGCTTGGTGTGGGGAGCCAGTGAAAACCAACATGAGGATTTAGTCTTAAGGTTTTCTGCAGAGCCCTCACTTCCTCAAACCATCCTGCTGCACGACGGGGAGCCGCTGTACCAGCAGCAGCTCTTAGCTTGTGTTGTTTCCTCCCTGCAGACCCTGAACTCTGGGGACGCCCTGCTGCTGCCAGTGTTTTCTGCCCTCACCCGTGTTACAGCAGCCGTTGTGCTCTGCCTGCATGTGTGTTTTCACTCAGTCACATTCAAGTGTCCTCCACCGTCAGGCGTGGTTGGGACCGTTCTGCTGTGTGTTGGCTTCTGTCCTGACGCTGCGGCACAGATACTCCCTGTTCTCACTGATGTCTGTGACTGCATGAGTCAGGTGTTAAGAGGAGAGGAGGACTCAGGGGGAAACCTGCAGTCTGGGTGCAACAGACAGGTGCTGCAGTTTGTTCCCATGGAGGAACTACTCACAGGGGGACTGACTGACTTTCTTTGGACCATGAACTCTGAAATCATTCAACAGAAGCTCCATTTTCTTATGCAATCACAGAGCAGTGACGTTAGATCAGCTGACTGTTCAACCACATGAGTGTCTAACAGTTAGTCTGTGAATTATTTCTGACATCAAAAGATCAAAACACACTGATTTAGCACTGATTTATCTCTATGGGATTTACAAAGAAAAAAAAAAGAGTCAGGAATTTTTTCTCCTTTGGATTCTGCTTTAACTTGTTTCTGGGAAACCTGATGTCTCCATCATGCAGTCAACCAATTTGGTCAAACTAAGGTGTTGTGATTCAGTTATTAATCACCGTCAATGTAGACTCAAGCGTCACCTCTGGAGCTACAAGCTACAGGGGGGCTGTCTTCGACTTTTCTTAAGAATTCATTAGTTCTCTTACAGACAGATGTTCAGTGAAATGAAGCGGAGATGGTGTAAACCAATTTTTGTATTCACTCTGTGTGTTAAACACCTTTTTTTCTGTTCATGTCACTCCAGATGGTGAACTGATGATTTCCATACATCATCCAGGGAAAAATTCAGGAGCTTAAATGCAGTGTTTGAATGTGTGGTCTCTATAAATCACAGACTTTTGAAAGATGGGTTTTTAAGGGGAAAGTTGTAAATGACATATGACTAATGGTGTTGGTTATTTTACATGCTGTCACATGTATAAAGGATATACAACAAAAGCGACAAAATTATGATTGGGTACATTTTCAAACAGTGTCACAAACACCTGGTTTGGTTTTCTGAGAGAGCTGATGAGTTTTCATCTATAAGTACATAACTATGTCTTGTTCAGTCAGAATTCAGTTCATCCTGTTCAGACAGACCCGTATGCAACTCAAGTGTCTGTATAAGTAAACGACTAAAAATGAGAAAGCAGTACACGTTAAGGTCATTAATATTTTAAATACATACTCATACGTGTTTATGGTGATGAAGCAGGTTCCTCCATCGTGTATTTAGTGAAATGAATGCAGAGTAGAGGCTTATTAATATTTGATGTTTGGGGTGGATCATGCTTATATTTTGAAGTTCTGCTCTCTCACCTTACAATCACTCACAATATCTACCTCTGAAATTGGCAGACTCCAGTCCCCATTTGGCTGCTGTGGGTTGGAGCAAAGTTATCAAAGTTGTTCTAAAACAACACATGAAAGGCCTCACAAATCTTTGCATTTACTTTGTTTAGCAGACTCATTAGCTAGATCAAGAAGCGAGCTTGGTTATTAGATGAGATTAAAGTGCTATGACATTGTTAGTAGATTAAAAATCACTAAAGCCATATTTAAACCTAAAGAAGTTCAAAACGAGGCTCACAAATCTGGGATGATCATACAGGAAAAAAGACTGATGAAACAAACTTTCAGTGCATGAAAACGCAAATGACTCTGTGCTTGATCAACAGAAGTCATCCGTGTCTAAATTCACTGAGGATTTTAAGAAGGTTGAATAAACAACAGTGGAGCCCTCAGCACCAAACCTCCTGTCAGTCACAGATGGTTTGTGTTTAAACCCACATCACAGAGACCCTGGAGTTTTATCCTGAAGTTCCTGTTCTACAGACGTATCATTTAATATCTGGATGTTGTTGTCTTTTCACCATGTTGCAGCATTTACCCACTAGTAAGCTACTGATTTAGGTTTTTCAGAATCGGGGTTCACATGTTTTATGCTGCATGAGCAAGTTGGGAGTAGTATAACATGCAGTATAAGTGCTTAAATTTAGGTGAACTTTTTACATGTGTTTTATTTTGTTTTGGGTTGTTTTATATTGCCAGAATGATTGTCATGGAGTTTATTTTTGTACAAAAGAATAGAAAATGTTCAGACTAATGACACAGAGTCTAAGGTTTATTTCCTTCTAACAAAGATGGTTTATTTTCGACTGTTTCAGAAATAATGTTATTGTTAAACTTTTGGATTCAGCACTAACTCTTATGCATTAGGTTAGTTTGACTCTGAAATGAACCTCCTTTACATTGTTCTTCACTTCAGGTCCAAACTGTGGTGTGTGGTTATATTTTCGGTTAGTGCTGGGCAGCTGTTTTCCCTGTCTTGTTATGGGACATAAATCTTCATGCACACACATCTCTTCTTCAACTGCTCCAGCTCCTTAGTATCGAAATGTATTTGGCATTACGTGCACAACATAGGTAACAGATAACTCAGTGTTGTGGTGTGCGCAAAGGATAAAAGTGATCAGAAAATCTTACAAGCTAATTTAACCATATTGTCATGAAATTATTCTCAGTGTTGAAGCATGTAACAGAGCCAGGAGTTGTTTCCACCAAGGTACAGTTTGGTAATACTTTTTTTTTTTTAAATATACACGCTTTCCTTCATTTGGTTTAATATGTACGATTTAAGGCTGGTATAAACATAAAAACGGATCCATGTACTCAAAAACATAAAACAAAATAAACTCACTACCCATCAATACTATCTGTTTTGTGCTACTTTGGTTGTTTGCTGCCCTTTAGGACAATAAAAGTATCACTAAAGTAACCAGAGTTTATCTATGGAGTGTAATTTTTTGTCCAGTTTTTTTAATATTTAGGATTAAAGGTGAAAATGAGATTAGATAACAAGTAAATCTTTATTATAACCTGCCTCCAGTGGCACCACTGAATGATTAACAAAAATAGGCGGAGCCATAGGAATACATTAAATACATTCCTTTCTTTCTTGTTCTTTTCATCGAAAACAAAACATTTTTTTTTGGAGAGTCTTTCCTGAACTATAAATAAAGAAAGTTTTGTGTGGGAGACAGAGAGTGAGTGAGTGTGTGTGGTCTGGTCCAGTGATTTGGTTTGTATTCTGCCCTAGAAATGTAATCTCTCCACTGTGCAATACAATATTCCTCTGTCACCACTCTGTCCTTTCCAAATATGAACAACACACACACACACACACACACACACACACACACACACACACACACAGGAACATGGCAAAGCTATATTTGTACCTACAGCTGATGCTGACTGTAGTACAATCTGTGAGGATGAAGTGATCAGAGGGTGAACTTGTGAACTCCGCTGAGAGCTCACTTATACTTTGAAAACAAATTTGAAAACAATATGCTGCACTGATATGGAGTTAAAGTTAATCTCCTCTTTTGTAAAGGTCAAAGACATACCAAACTGCTTATCATTATGGATATCACTGATGCGTGAACGTAGGAAATGAAATGATGAAGCCAGCAGGTTGTTTGGATCTTCCGTAATGGAATAATAATATTAAAGGCTCGTCTCAGTTGTTGATGTAAAGAAGGTGAATTCTGTAAAAGAAAGGCAACGCTGAATCAGATTCACATTTAAAATAATGAACCTTCAGGCGAGCAGTAAATTAAAGAGCAACAAGACTTCATAACACTGTCAGTGAGTGTAAAAAATGCATTCAAGCCTGACAGCAGCACGGATTTTGGCTGATATAAATATTACTCCATAAGTTTTTTTGTTTCACATCACTGCCGAGTGAAGCTCCGCCACATGTCTCTGCTGTCTACAGAGGAAAGATGGTGACAGATCAGGTAAAGTGAAACTCTCGTTATGTAACAAAAATAATGCAGCAAGGATAAACTTTTGCGAGCAGGACGTGTGTTCACCAGAGGAATTCAGCTCAGTCAGTCAATTGTTTCTCAGTGATCGTGTTTCAAAGGAAGCTTCCCTTTTTGCAAGTCTCACTTTGTCACTGCAGTCACAGTCTGACAGAGAAATGAAATAGGTTTCAAGTAAAGGAAACTGCTAGTCCTTAAAACATCACTAGTGTGACAAATGAACTATCACAGTGTCAGCCTTATAATGAAACTAGCAGAATGTAAAAAAGAGTTTTGTAGGGACCTCTCTGTACCTTTCATTAATCTCCTTGATAATCCAGGATTATACCTGGTTAAAACAAAACAATCCTAGTCAGGGTCAAATCTTAAATCCTCAACTTTGTAAAACTGCTGTTGACTTAATTTTTGTGTGACAGAAGATGTGACACATTTGAGAAGGCATGGTAAATATGGTGCTGCAATAAAACTGGTTAGATAAGCAAGAAATAAATCAAGAAATAGCTCATCAGACTCTGGGACAGCATCTCCAGACACCACAGAGGATAAATTCCACTACTGAAATTTTATACCAGTGGTCTCTTGCTTCAGCTCTGAATAAGTTTTAAGTTTAAATTTATATCTTTGGTTTGTATTGAATACCAAAAATGTGATCCATCCACAGTGCGATACACAACTTTCCGAATATTAAAAAACATACAGCGTTGAAAAGGTGTGTTCAGCATCCATGACGGCATAATAATAAAGAGTTAATAAATCAAAAGCAACAGTAAAACAACAACAGTGACATTAAACGGACAAGTTCGAGGTTCTGGATTATCACAGAGATGAAATTATACATGTCAGAATCAGGCAGCCAGATTATAGCACAAACTACTACTTTATGATCGCCTACGGTAACTCTCATGGTTCAAAAAGGTGAAAACATAAACATGGAACAGTCATTAGTACGTCTACAAGCAACCCTAAGGCTTAATGTGAGAAATGTGGAAATATTTTAAACTAGAAAGCAAAAACAGCCCAAAAGCCACATGCAACACATGTCAAATAATCCTTTCATGAGGTAGCAGTAGAGCTGTGTTCAATACTACCAGTTCACTACAAAATCTAAGGACCAAACATGCAACAAGAAACACTGATGAAAGGAGGGAAAGACTGCTCCACCAATGCTACAGACTCTGAATTTTAAGTCAACGCTAGATGACGTTTGGAGCTCGGATGTTTGCCCTATGTCATTTCTGAGCCTCACTGCACACTGGACTGATTCCTCTTCTTTAAAGTTTACAGTGACCCAGGCCAGATGATGTTATCATGGTCTGTGAAAAAACAGAAATGGAAAACGAGAATATAATGCATGAAAGTTGAGTTATTGGCCAATAACTCATTCTTGGTCAAGCAGCTGGGTGCTCCCATCTTGCACCATCTCATGAAAGCTGCGTTCACAACTGTATTATTTCAAATCCAAGCATACAGTATTCTGACCATGTTTGAGAGCCAGAAAAGTGATAGGGACTTCCCTTTTTATAATATTATAGTCTGTCAACATGAGGGAGGGGTTTATGACCTATACCTCAGCCAATCAGGGGGAGCTCTAAATGTTTTGCCACTGAGCCTTAAAGTGTCCATTTTAATATACAGTCTTTGATAGTAAACATGCTAATTTAGCACAAGGTGTTATTGTGCTTTTCACTGAAAGCCTCATGGATCCAGTAGCATGGCTGTTAACCCAATAAAGAAGATATACATGCATAGATATATAACTGAACAATCTTAGCCCTGTCCAGTGGAGAAAATGCATACAGAGCAACATACAAAGTAATTCATTTTAAATCAACCGTTTCATCACAGTGGATTTCTCTGGAATTACTTCAATTAAGGAACAAATCAGAACATGACAAAGAAATCTAAAAACTAAGTACATGAAGAGATTGGTAGTGTTCAGTGCTTTTTTTGAGCAAGCAGAGCGTGAGTCTAATGTATAGGATAAATGTGAAGGATGACAGTAACGCCTCAGCTCCAGCGAGATGAAGAGCAGAGAAGAAATAAACACACCACTAAGCAATCACAGCAAACATCTGCTCCCTGTCACAGCGACACTGCAGCGATGCAAACAAGTCTCTCCCTCTCTTCCTGCAGCTGCTGTCTGACAAAAAACTCCATCTTTGTGTCTCTCGTATACAAAAGATGGATCGTCTGTAAAACAGAGAGGAGACAGCTCAATCTCTGAAATATGAAGAGAGATATGAAACATGTCACAACATGGTGTGGAGAGACACAAAGATAACTTTTACAGTTCAAACGCTGGATAAGAACAGATGAAAATATAATAACCCTTGGAAATGGCTGGGGAAGTTCCTGTCATACATATATAGGACTTTCACAATTTAGTGCCCAAAGAAAAGCCTTATGAGCTCTGCTGAACAGTCACTAATAGAAAAGAAGCTCAGCTATTTCTGCTGTGTTAGAGGATAAGTGGGAATGGAAAAGGCTGGACCAGAGATAGAAAAATAGAGCAGCAAAGATGTGATCCAGCCCGACTATTAACTCAAACTTATATTGAATAAGATACAAAACATTTCTGCTTCTAGACTGGTGGCACTGCAGATAATGTTAGCAGTGAGGAGTATGTACTGTGCGGAAGTGTTTTTATCCTCTAGACCGAAGAGGAAGAGAATACACAGCTGTAAAAATGTGTAGCAGGGAGGTATTAATTAATGTAACTTCCATTTGAGTTAGAGCAATGGTTTTACACAAGGTTGTGGGTGGTTTAGGTGGCTGTTGGGAGAAATTAAAATCTCATCACACAAGAAAAGAGGGATTTAGGGTCACAAATCTTTCACCATGGCAGCTGTTTTCTACCTATAAACAACGGCAACCAATTAACCTCTGACACCCGGCCAGAATTGGAGTGTCAATGCTTGTCGATTCCTGGAAATATTGCAGTTTAGTTCCTGTTCTAATGGCTGGTTTTATGGATCGAGTATGTAAATCATGTTCCATAGTGTGAGATTTATTGCCAAAGCACAGTGGTGTTTGGTCGTGTCTTCTTAAAATGCTAATCAGTTTGACTCTCATGTCTGGCTCTCTTGCTTTTATTCCTGATGGTTGTGTGTAAAGAAGAGCGCACAGAAAAGGGGGAGCAGGAAGAGGAGCACACAAACAGTGTAAATACGTGTGACGGCATGCACTAGCCAAGAAAGTCGACTTTCCTCATCTGTGACCGAAAAAGAAGGTTTGAAACTGGACAAAGCTTCATCACATGTTCTCAATATCTTAGAAATATTGGGAGGTTGGTAGTTTGAATGATTAAACAGGTAAAATGAATCAACACCAAATGCTAAAGGGCTTTACAGTATCAACTTAAGCATTTGAAGAACTAATAAGGCTAATTAATGAATTCAATTTTTAAGTGAAGTTCAAATTTGTCCCATTACTATTTTTTCTTCAAGCCCAACAGACTGGATTGATAGTTAAACCATCTCTTTCCTTGTGGTGGTACTTTTGTGCATAAAGGGTCCAATTTAACTGCAAAACTTGCACAGATATTTCAAACGTTTTCCAATGTAGTGTAACACTTCAATCAAATGCAGATATCAGATGTTTTAATTGATTATAGAAAAGAGGTTATCAGTATTATTATTGATAACCATATGACTGTACGCTCTCCTCTGTAACACAATCAATGGGAACAACAGAGACATGTTACATAACATCTGTAAGAAAAAGCATCCTGGCTCTTTAAGTCCAGTAATTTATCAACCAGAGCTTCAAGATGAATTTCGGCTCATTGTTATTTCATAACTGATGATCTCTGGCTCCTCTTTCAAAATGTAAAAGCTTGAATTCAGAGCACCCTACAGTGTTTTTGTATGAGTGAATGGATGAAGGGATTATTTTAACTCCACTGATGTTCACTGCAGAGCTACGTGAGATCTCAGCAGAACTGAAG